AACTTAAATTTAATGGTTTGTCTTTGTATTTAATGGTTTATATTTTAAAAAAGGACTGAAAATTCTTGCTACTTTAATTATATCTGAATAAAAATACATTTCCTGTATCAGTTTCTCCAATACCTATCAATTAAATATCTTCAAAAGAATTAATATTAATTGAGTCAGAAGACATCTGAGTTAGTAATTAAGTATCTTCTGTATCTATATTAAAACTAATTACCTTATGATCCTCACATACTACAATTAAATATATATTTTTACCATCATTGTATAATTGTCCCATTACTGATTGATAGCATTAGTATTTAGCTTATTTTTAATTAAAGTAATATTTTTTTAATTAATATTAGATAAATTATTTACTTATTGTCTTTTTATATTTAAATTTATATGAATTTAGTGAATCCCACACATACACATTTCCTAATACATCTAATCCTACAAGAGAATTATTTTTTTCTGAATATAAAGCGTAACATGTTTTATTCAAATTATCATCATTATTATCTGATAATAAAGCTTTTGCCTTTTGTTTTTTAAAATCAATCATCCAGAATAAATGTTGTTCATTATTGTCTTTGTAAGGTAAACCAATAATAAACCAAAGAATGTTTTTTTAATCGATATATGAAGTCAGTACATAACTCATTCTGTTCAAGGAAAGTTTAAGTTTACTTAATTAAAAATTCTTAAAATATGATTATTTCAATTTATCTTTTTAGTTTAATAAATTTACCTTAATATTTTGATTTGAAAATATCTCTATATAGCTTATTGATCCAGAGTTCATCATTACAAAAAAACCTTTAGGATAATTTTGAACTTAAATAAAAAAGTTTTCTTTTCCATACATTTCGTCATCCGATAAATTCTTTTGCCATATAACATCATCATGTATTGTATCTTACATAACTTTAATTTAATTATAACTTGCTGAAACAAAATAATTTATCCCATTTTGATTAACTATAAATATTTTAGTCCATCCATTAGAATAATAAACTATTTTTTTTTAAATTAGATTACTTTTTAAAGTAAAAATTAATTAAATATTAAAAATATATATATTAAATAGGATCATAATTATAAAGTTTTAAAAACAAAAAATTATTTAAAATAAAAAGGGATGGGTAGGGTGGAGGTAATAATTACTTTAAATATATTAAATTAAATATTATAAAAAACTCTACTAATATAATGACCACATTAAAAATGATTGTTATTATTTTCTCCTCCCAAAATAAAAAATACTTTAATTTTAAATCTCAGTTTAATAATATGAAATTATTTAATATATATTACATTAACGCTTGATGATCATATTATCTTGATAAGAAAAAATAAAACTATATGTCTAGCCTAAAAAATTATTACTCATAGGTATATATAATTATTTGTTTTCTTATAAATAATACCATGAAGTGTACTATTTTCCTTAATATTATACAGGGAAACCTTAAGTAGCCTATTCAAAAGTAAGAGAATCAATTGACTATGTTAACTAATTTCCAATAATGGTAAAATCAAGTCTGAATAAGGAGTTTGAGTCACTCATAAATAAGCTAAAATTAGATTAAGATTATTGAATTTATTAAATAAATTTAACATTCAAAAAAGTATTGCTCCAATCCATCAAATCTATTTTTTAAGTAAATAATCATATAAATATACAATTAAAATTAATTATTTATACACAAATTTTATAATATGGTTAATTTATTCGAACTTAATTCTTGAATTTATACTATGTTAAGCATGTAATAATCACCAACTATAAATAGCAAATTCCAATCATAATAGAATTCTATATCTGTATACCCTATTTAATCTATTTATAGATTTAGAATTAAAAAAATTTAAATATGATTAAAATATATTATACCTGGGTCTGGGATATAATTATGAAATTCAAGTTAGTATGTTGTTAAATTTAAAAACCAAGCTTGATATCCTTAAGAATCTTTTATTGCTATAAAAACTTACCCATTTTTTAGTACAAACGTTTTTGGATAAAGGAGTATATTACCAACATTATAATTATAATAGCAAGTATCTTCTGAATATATCTCTTTAAAATAAACAACATCAATTATGTAGAATTTACAAGCTCGAGTCGTTAAAATAGCTAAATCTGTGCCTTAAATAAGGCTTACACCTGTTGAAGATCTAAATATGAGAAAGTCTATAATCTGTAATGTATAAACATTAGCTGCGATTAGCTAATTTGGACTAACAATTAGAATTTAATTATTTTTCTAAATATACTCCATCTATAAAATTGTATAATCAGCTAATTAGTTTAATAAAAATGTTAAAGTCAATACAACTTATGTATAATTTACTCTTGATTGCATTAATGATGTTGTCTTAATTGTTCGATATGTCATTGTAATACACAACGTTAGATATATCATTGAGTTGATAAACATCACTTGAAAGAGTATTTATTAAGATAAGATTTGTTTGTGGAATTTTTAAATAGCCTTTTATCTTTTGATTATCGAAGAAACGAGGTACTTAAATAATAGAAATAATGTTATATATATTTAATATTTATTTATTTACTATGCTGAATAGAAAATTATGGACACTGTGATGTCTATCCTAATAAGAAATAATGTAATAGAATATAAATTATTTATAAAAATGATGCTTTAAAATTCATTTATTTATTTTTCTTTTTTTTTCTCTCTCTATCTCTTAAAAAACTCTGCTTGCTTTATCTAATTTTTTAACTTTTGATTATTTTTAATTACAAATATGTTTGTTTGCAAGATTTAATTTTTAGAAAATCATAAGACCATAATAATTAGTAAATGACATAAAAAAATACTAAAAAATTCATATTTTCAATAGTTTGAACTTAAATAAAAAACAGTAGGTTTCAAATGAATTTTTGGCTTATTTTTTCTAAATAACTTAAATTACATACCTGGTAATATAAAAAATTCCATCTTAAATTAATTCTAAAGTAATAAATTGTCAATTTTTAAAAATAGATGTTAATTCTTTGTAGGATTATTCTAAACAAAATTAACTTTAAAATAACTTACTCAAAACTAAATTTAAAATCTTATTTATTAAGTTTAAAATTTAAAAATAATTTTAATTAGTATATTAGAAATAAAAAACCTATTACTGTCATTTTTAGTATTTAAGACAACAATGAATTAAAAATCTAAAAAATTTTAAATTCGCATAATCATAAAATATATAGCGCCAACGGAGAATTTTTACAAATTTTAATAATTAATATGTTACAGTAAATATAATAAATAATTTATGATAATTATTAATGAGTTACTACTTATGCTTGTTTTTCAATATAATTATGAAATTCAAGTTAGTATATTGCTAAATAAAACCAAGCTTGAAATCCAAGTTAATCTTTTATTTGCTACAAAAACTAACGCACTCTTGATAAGTGAGTATATTTCCAACATTATAATTATATTAGAAAGTATCTTCAGAATATATCTCTTTAAAATAAACAGCATCAAGCAGTTGCAAGCTCGAGTGGTTAAAATAGTTAATTCTGTGCATTAAATTAGGCTTACACCTATTGAAGATCTAACGAAAAGAAACTTTATTATCTGTAAAGTATTAATATTAGTTGCTATTAGCTGATTATTTAGACTAACAATTAGAATTTAATTATATTTAAAATATATTCTATTATTAAATTGTATAATCATCTACAATACAAAAAAATTTTTAAAGTCTACACAATTTATGAAGAATTTACTTTTGATTAAATAGTAATGTTGCATGAATTTTTTGATACATCGTCCTAATGCAATAAGTTATATATATATCATTAATTTGATAAATATCATTCGAAATAATATTTATTAACATAAGATTTGTTTGTGGTAATTGTAAATAGCCTTATCTTTTGAATATGGAATAAATAAGACACTTAAATATTAGAAATAATAATATAAATTTTTAATATTTTTAATTTACTTTACTGAAAGAAAAGTATGGAAATTATGTTATGTATTATAATATATTATTTAATAAATAATCAATTAGTTATAAAAATGACGCTTTGAAATTCTTTCTTCTTTTCTGTTTTGTCTTTCCCTCTCATGATTTTAATAAATTCTGCTTGTTAATCTAATTTTGTTTACTTGTAACTTTTTTAATTATGAATATGTTTGTTTGTAAGCTTAAATTTTTAGAAAATCATTGACTAAACTAATAAAATACTAGTTCGAACTACCTTGAATAAAAAACAGAAGTTATCAAATAATTGGCTTATTTTTTTCTCAATAAGTTAATTTACTTATCTTGTAATAACAAAATTTAATCCTTCTAATTAATTCTAAATTAATCACTTTTAAATTATCAAAAATACTTGTTAATTATTCGTAGGAATATTTTAGACAAATTTAATTTTATATTAACTTAAAATCCTATCAATTAAAAATTTATGAATAATTTTATTGAGTATTTTAGATATAAAAAAGCCGAATACTATCATATTTAATAGATTAAAATTTCAATTTATTAAAAATCCAAAAAGTATCCTTATAGGACCAAAAGTCTTGAATATTTTTCAATTGCGGGTGGTGTATATGAGCATATAACATAATATTAAAATTTTATTTCAAAAATATAATAGTTTTATAAAATTTTAGAGTTCATAATAGGAAAAAAAAATAAGTAGTTTACTAAAACTAAAATTTAATAAATATAATTTTATAAATGACAGGAAACAGTTCCAAACGCAAAAACTACAGATACAATAAATACTAAAGGCTAAGCTAAGGTCTTTTTAGATAAAATGAAATTAGAAATATCCATATTAAAAATACTATAAAAATTATAAATACATATAACCACTAATAATTCAAAATATATTATATGTTCTTAAGCAAGTAAGTAAACCAATTTAGAATATGAAATTATAATCAATTTTAATTAGTAAATTATAAATATAAAATTAAATTTGGTAGATATCAATAATATTTTTATTTTTTTGTAATTATTCATCAATAATTATTTTCTATACTTAGCTCTGATACTTAAAAATCTTAATTAACTTATTATTCAATATCTAACTACTATATTTTAGATCTTTTATGAAATGGATTTTAAGTATTTATTCTTTTATTTGAATTTATTTATGCTTTATCAATTTTATTGGTGAATTGCATTAATTTAGTTTCTGTTTCTGCCAATTATACTTTTTTTATATTTATTTAAAAATGTTATAAATAGTTTAAAAATAAATAAATAAACCTCTTTTGCTTTAAGAAATTATGAAATTTTGACTTTAGGTCTCCCATATTTTGTTATATAAAGGTGAACAAGATTGCAAATTAGAACACTAGCTATTATATGCTACTTTGTCTTATTTATCAAGTTATGAGAATAGATTAAGCATTTACACGTTTGAGTTTTCTTTTAAGTCTACTTATTCGTTAAAAATTAAGTTTGTTAGTAATTAAATTAATTACTTAATTTAATAAAAATTACTTTGTTGATCATTATATATAAGAAGATTGATGTTCAATTTATTGTTTTTACTAAATGATTAATAATTTAACAGAATTCTTCTTATCTTTTTCTTTAATTCTTTATTTATTTGTTTTTTTTCAATTTTTTGTTCTTTTTTATTCAATAATTTATTTTTCATATTAGATAATATTTTTAATAAACTATGTTTCTTACTATCAATTACTCTTATTAAAATGGCTATAACAAAATAAATGTTAATTATTAAGATTATAGTTAAAGAAGTAATCAATAAATAATTGTAATCATTTCCGTTTATCAAAACGCAAAGAAATACTGTTAAAGCGCATACCTTTGTGGATAAGCTATCTAATTAATTGTAGTTATCTTCTATGTAAGGTTATAATTTATTTGCATATAATCCATAGCCTGTTATAATCAATGTTATAATACAGCCTTTTACAATCTAATTCTGATAATAAAGATTAAGTACAAGTATTATTGATATTTTTTATGCTATCTTTATGAATTCCCAATAATAAACATTGCTTTTGTACTCTCTGTACAAGAAGCCAAATTTCATATTTATAAATAAACTATCTAAATTCTTTTTATTCTTTGTAATATAAACTAGAAGAGCAAAAGGAATTATTATAACCCATATAATTAAGAAAGGAAGTATTAAGCTTAAGCTATAATATTTGTAGCTGTCTGTATAGCATTCATAATTGAGATTGCTTAATATGTAAGAGGTGTCCCCAATTTATCTACATGAAAGCAGACTTATCATTTAAGAAACTAAATCTGGTTAAAGATACAAAAACAAGAATATTGATCCTGTATAGAGTTAGTGTATTTTAAATTTTATTGATTTATCTATAAATTTTTAGTTAAATTTCAGGATAAAAGCAAATAATGCTAAAATAATAAAAGGAGAAATTAAAGAAAAAAATAGCTTCTTGTAAATTAAAGGTATTTGTATTTAACTATCTTTAAGTAAACATTCTAAAAAATCTATAGACGTTTTTATTGGATTCCCTAAATAAGTAGAAACTTCTACAAAATCTATTTTTTATATATAAAATTAATATAAATAATAGTTTTTTATATAATTAAAAAAAATAAGAAATAAATTACATGAATCAACGTTTAAGTTGAATGTGACAGTAGTACTTACTATTTAAACATAGTTTGTAAAAATCTTAATATAATTTTTAGATAAAATTTTTTATTTTGGGTTTTCAAGCTTATTTAATCTAACCTATGAACTTAGATTACTAATTTTAATACTTTCACTTTGGATTTTTTTAGATTTTTTACGAATGTTGTTTATCAATATTCTTTTTAAGAAAAAACTTTCATCATTCTTAACAGTCAAAAATATAGAAATTGTTATCCAAAGAAAAGTAAGAGCTAGTTTCCAAAAATCATATCTTATACTTTCACATAACTCACACTAATACTTTGAACTTCTTGTATAGCTTTTCTACCAAAATTCTCCATGAATCTTTGTATAAATAAACATTTTTAAAAATATCATCAAATTAATTAATTAATTACATCACATTCTTCGCATAGCGGTCCGATATTTCCTTAATGACAAACATTATTTCCAAATGATGTTCCTATACAATTCTATAATCGATTATAGCATTATAATATTTATAAACTGTGCTCTTCTTTTCTCCAAAATCCACTTTAGAGATCAACTACTCCATTTTAGCATTATCCTCCAGAAGGACAGGAATAACATGCTTCAAAGTCTAATGAATATTTACCATCTTCACAAGTTTAACATTCTTTGTAATTGTTATACTAATTAATGATCTCTCCATAAACACAATTCCTAAAATTAACATACACTTCAAATGTATAATTATTTTCAAATGTTTATGTTTAATTGTTAAATATCTTTATTGAATCTGAAATAAATTCTATTATCAAGTAGGAATTAGGAATACCTATCAAATCTAGATCATTAAATATAAAAATATTTTTGATAGGATCAATTGATTGGATAGTATTCCCTCTAAAATAATATTAAGAAGAATTTGCTGTCTTTGTACTTATTCTTATTTGAGCTGTAATTTGCTATCCTTCAGTATATATTACAGGTTTACTGCTATTATCTCTTAGCTCAAAAATAAATTTAGGAAATTTATCACCACTTTTAAAATTATTAAATATAATTTGATTCTAATTTTAATGTTAAAAACTTTGATAGTTGACATTAAAAAGTTATGATGGATAAGAAAACTAATCATTTCCATAGTACAAGGCATAATTAAATGAGAGTAAACTTAATTCTATTTTAGGGTTTATTCCTTAATTATAAATTCCACCACCTATTTAAGCCTTGTTATTACTAATTTCAGTATTTTAAATCATTATCTATTATTAACTTGAGTTAACAGTTTATGCCAATAAATAAAAAGCACCTCCATTACCTTAATCAGCTGAGTTTTCACGAAATTAAGATTCAACAATTTACATTTTGAAAATCTAAAATTAAAAATAAATTGAATGGATTAAAATTAATTTTAAGTAATAAAAATATTAGTAAAATAATATTGATTTAGTATTATATTTAATTTAGCCTTTTTTTAAAAAAATTATATTTGAAAAGATTATTACATCATTTATATCAGTTTACAAATAAATTGCTCCACCATTTTTTATTGCAGTGTTTTAAAAAAAGTTTGAACTTTAAATTAAGTTAATCATTTGATCATTTCCTAAGATCGCTATTGCTCCTCCATTAACTGCCTATGATATAAAAATGTAAATATTAGACTTTATTGAAAATAAATTACTTTATTTTATATGAATTAGGTGTTCTATATATTAAAATTTGAGTAAACTAAAGATAAACATGAGCCATAACAATTTTAAGAGCAAATAATTTCACTAAAAAATGAGTTATCGTTAATCAAAATACTAGATCTGTTTAATTAAATCAATGAGTTATTTTTAATTTATTAAGTTATAGCATTATTTTGAAGAATTCTTTGAGGTTCTATTTAAAACATATTATTGAACCTGCTTTGACTAATCTCTAATTTGCTCTATGTTATATCTATTAGACTTGGCAAAAATTAACATTTAGTTGCATTTAATTTTTTTACTAAAATAGTTGAATTTATAGATTTAATTAAAAGAGGTAGAGTCGATTCCTTCGAAGAAATCAAATCATAAAAATTTGTATTATTTATTGTAATTTTTGAATTTTCAGAATTAATAAATGTGCATGCTTATAAATTATCTGGAGCAAGTATTTTTGAAAATTGAATAGGGTAATCATAATTCAACAAATTATTGAATTATGTTAAATTTTAAATACTGATATCAGCATCATTTGCATTAAAAAAAATAGAATCTGTGTTTCCGAAAATATTTGTTAATAAAGCATTGTTTATATTGAAATTATAGAGTCTTCCTAACTGGCCTTATGTTGCTTGATTCCTTTAAATTAAAAATTTTATTTAATTTTTTTTTTAAAATAATAAATTACTTAATTGAAATAACACTTGATAATGGATAAAGTGAGTAAATATCAGTAAAATTACACTTATTTATACTCAAGCTTATATAAGAATTTTAAGAATTTATGTAAGCAGCTCCTCCATCAAAATGAGAATAACCTTAAGAAAATGAAGTATTGAAGAATATATTATCCATTTAATTGCTTAGTGGTTCTAGGTAAACAAAAGAAGCAATACTAGCAGTTGATTAAAAGAATTTAGAATTATTCAATTGAAATGTATTTGATTTTATTCTTAGACATCCTCCTTATTGTATGAATAATGCTGTGTTATCTAATAAATCATATGAAGAATTTGCAAATGAGCATCTATTTATATAAGTGTTGTTGCACTATATAAATGCAAAATTATAGTGAGAATCTGACTTAGAATTGCTAAATTATGTGTCCTAAATAAGCATATATCCTTGTGAATTTATTATCTAAATAGCTGTTGTTGACTAAGTTAAAGAATTGACGAAACCATTTAGAATATTGTCATAAAAATTAGAATTTAATATTTAAATATCAGAAACTTAATCACAAGAAATGAACAAGGGGTTAGAATAAGAATTTGATAAGGTTTATATGAATGAAGAACTAAATATTTCAATATTATTTAATTCAATCAAATTGTTTTTGTAATTGATATTTTAGATAATTATGATAGAATTATCAACAGCATTAATATAGCTAGAATTAAATAAATTCAGGTTAATTTAATTAACTTCAATAAATTATAGACAACCTGCTAATGGATTAAAGGTATATATTGCGTTATAAAATAGATGTGAAGCTATTGTATAAAATTTGTTGTTTTGTATGATAATGTTATCAAACAAAATATTATAGTTTTTCTGGTTTATACTGCTAATAGTTGAAAAGATCTTTGAGTTACAAAATTGATTTCCTATGATTTGCATGTTACTTACATTAAATTAACCTGCTTAAAAAAGTTATCCTACATACTGTGAATTTGAGTTTTATTTTATATCGCAAGTGTTGTTTTGAATAATCATCTATTTGATTGTTATACTAGTTTCACTTAGCTGCTTTACAATGCTAAACTAACTGTTTAAAATTGAATTTTAAAGAATGAGATTTTCTAACACAAGCTTTTTAATTATTATAGAAAATATTAAGTCTAATTATTTAAATATTTATATTAAGATTTACCTACTTTGAATCGCTAACTTAAATTAAATCTTAAAATTAAGAAAAATCTTTATTTGATATATTTAGATTTTACAAAGTTACAGAGGAATTACTTATTTGAAAAGAATTGCAATTTTAAGAAATTGTAGCATTTGAAGATTATTAGTCGATATTATCAATATTCACTATTTCAATAATATTATTTATTTATAATCCACACTAATAAATTTAGTTATCCACATATTTAAAATAGAATATTATATTTGATAAATTTAAAGAGCTAAATTAATTAAATTAAAGGCTATTTGTAATATTTATTTAAGATTATTTTAAAGTGTCTGTACTCTTTATCATTAATTATATTACATTACTAAATTAAATATCTAGTAACTCTTGAAATAAATTAAAAGAGTTTTCTGCATGAATATAAATATTAATTTTAATCTTCTAAATTCCATCTATTAATTAATTATATTGCTGTGCCTGATTATTTTTTAAATAATAGAAAATTTTTAAAGAAATTAAATTTTATATTTTATTAATATTAATAAGAAAATATAAAAAAATTGCTAAAAATTCTCATTATTCCTCTTTAATTAATGTAAACATTTTATTAAAGTCAAGCTATTTTAAATTGAATTTATTTATTGTCAATTAAGGAAAAAAATTTTGTTTTTAGTATATTTATGCCAAGGATTAATTTTAATGGCTTAATATGAATAATTTATTATATTTAAATTTTTTCAAAATTTAATAAAAAAAATGAGTTTCTTATACAACCTCACATCCCCTCCCCCTATGATAAAAACCGTATAAAGTATTTTAATCAAATATTAATAAGAAAAGGTTTTAAATTTTAAACTGAAGATTTTAATTATTATTTATTTTAATGAATTAATTTACCAGTAAAAATGTTGTTATTAGATTTGATGAACTTAAAAATGGAGATTGACTCGTTCCTAGCCCAAATAAATTATCCAACTGTTAAGTTTCAGATGTGTTAAAATAAAAATCCATCTAACAATTCAAACAATTTTAAACATTTTCTAAGCACATTCCTATTGGTAAAAAGTTGTTACTGTAGTAGTATTAGATAAAGAGCTATTGAGAATCAGGTAAATAACTTAAATTCAATGGCTTATCGTTGTATTTAATAGTTTATATTTTAAAAAAGGACTTAAAATTCTTGCTACTTTAATTATACCTGAATAAAAATACATTTCCTGTATCAGTTTCTCCAATACCTATCAATTAAATATCTTCAAAAGAATTAATATTAATTGAGTCAGAAGACATCTGAGTTAGTAGTTAAGTATCTTCTGTATCTATATTAAAACTAATTACCTTATGATCATCACATACTACAATTAAATATACATTGTTACCATCATTGTATAATTATCCCATTACCGATTAATAACATTAGTATTTAGCTTATTTTTAATTAAAGTAATATCTTTTAGTTAATATAAATAAATATTAAATTATTTACTTATTGTCTTTTTATATTTAAATTTATATTGATTTAGTGAATCCCATACATATACATTTCCTAATACATCTAAGCCTACAAGTGAGTTATTTTTTTCTGAATATAAAGCGTAACATGTTTTATTTTAATTATCATCTACATTATCTGAAAATAAAGCTTATGCCTTTTAACTTTTAAAATCAATCATCCAGAATAAAAAATTTTCCTAATTGTCTTTGTATGGTAAACCAATAATAAACCAAAGAATGTTTTCTTAGTCGATATATGAAGTCAGTACATAACTCATTCTGTTCAAGGAAAGGTTAATTTAACTTAATTTAAAACTCTTAAAATATAATTATTTCAATTTATCTTTGAGGATGAATAAATTTACCTAAATATTTTAATTTGCAAATATATCTATATAGCTTATTGATCCAGAGTTCATCATTACAAAAAAACCTTTAGGGTAATTTTGAACTTAAATAAAAAAGTTTTCTTTTCCGTACATTAAATCATCTGATAATTTTGTTTGCCATATAACTTCACCATGAATTGTATCTTATATAACTATAATTTAATTATAACTTGCTGAAACAAAATAATTTATCTCATTTTGATTAACTATAAATATTTTTGTCCATCCATTAGAATAATACACTTTTTATAAAAAAAATTAATTTATCATTAAAATTAAAAAGAGTTAAATATTTTAAAAAAATATTTATTAAATAGGATCATAAATATTAAGTTTTAAAAACAATAATTATTTAAAAAACAAAGAGATGGGTAGGGGGAGGTAATTACTTTAAAATATATTCAAAGAAATATAGCAAAAAACTTTTTTTTAATTTAACAACTCCTTTAAGGAAGATTGTTAGTATTTTCTTCTCCCCAAAATAAAAGATATTTTAATTTTAAACACCAGTTTAAAAATATTATTTTATTTAATATATTTTACATTAACGCCTGATGATTTTATTATCTTGATAAGAAAAAACAAAACTATATGTCTAGCCTAAAAAATAATTACTCATAGGTATAAATAACTATTTGTTTTCTTACACATAATACCATTAAGTGTACTAATATCCTTAATATTATACAGGAAAACCTTAAGTAGCCCATACAAAATTAATAGAATCAATTGACTATGTTAACTAATTTCCAGTAATAGTAAAATCAAGTCTGAATAAGGAGTAAGGGTCACTCGTAAATAAGCTAAAACTGGATTAAGATTATTGAATTTATTAAATAATTTTAACATTCAAAAAACTATTGCCCCAATCCATCAAATCTATTTATAAAAAATAATCATATAAATATATAATTAATATAATTTATTTCTACTCCAATTTTATAATACAGTAAATTTATTCGAACTTAATTCTTGAATTTACACTATGTTAAGCATGTAATAATTGCCAACTATAAATAGCAAATTCCAATCATAATAGAAATCTATATCATTATACCCTAAGTATTCTATTAAAAAATTTAGAATTTAAAAAATTTAAATAAGATTAAAATATAGTATACATGGTTATGGGACATAATTATGATATTCAAGTTAGTATGTTTTTAAATTTAAAAACCAAGCTTGATATCCATAATAATCTTTTATTGCTATAAAAACTTCCCCATTTTTTAGTACAAATGTTTTTGGGTAAAAGAGTATATTACCGACATCATACATATAATAGCAACTATCTTCAGAATATATCTCTTTAAATTAAACAACATCTATTATGTAGAATTTGCAACTTCGAGTGGTTAAAATAGCTAAGTTTGTGTCCTAAATAAGGCTTAAACCTGTTGAGGATCTAAATATGAGAAAGTTTATAATCTATAATGTATAAACATTAGCTGCGATTAGCTGATTTGGACTAACAATTAGAATTTAATTATTTTTCTAAATATAATCCATCTATAAAATTGTATAATCAGCTAATTTGTTTAATAAAAATTTTAAAGTCAATACAACTTATGGATAATTTACTCTTGATTGCATTAATGATGTTGTCTTAATTGTTCGATATGTCATTGTAATACACTACGTTAGATATATCATTGAGTTTATTAGCATCATTTGAAATAGTATTTATTAAGATAAGATTTGTTTGTGGTATTTTTAGATAGCCTTTTATACTTTGATTATCGAAGAAACGAGTCACTTATATTATAGAAAGAAATAATGTTATATATATATATATAAATTTAATATTTATTTATTTACTGTGCTCAATAGAAAATTATGGACACTGTGATGTCTATCCTAATAATACATATTGTAATAGAAGATAAATTAGTTAATAAAATGATGCTTTAAAATTCATTTTTTATTTTTCTTTTCTCTCTTCTTCTATCCCTTAAAAAACTCTGTTTGTTTAATCTAATTTTATTAAGCTGTGATTCTTCTTAATTACAAATATATTTGTTTATAAGATTTAATTTTTAGAAAATCCTAAGGCTATAATAATTAATCAACATAAAAATACTAAAAATTTTATATTTTCAATTTTGTGTTATTTTAAATAAAAAATAAAAGTTATCAAATGAATTTATGGCTTGTGTTTATCTAAATAATTTAAACTACTTAACTGATAATAAAAACAAATTCATCTTTAATCAATTCTAAACCAATAATCATTAAATTTTGAAAAAGAGATGTTAATTCTATGTAGGATTTTTTAGATAAAATAACTTTAAACTAACTTATTCATAACTAAATTTAAAATCTTATTTATTAAGTTTTAAAATTTTTAAATAATTTTATTTATTATATAGTTATATTAATGAATAAAATAAAAATTAGGATATTAAATTAATGGGAAAGATTTTCTAATTATAATAAGAATAGTAATTAAAAACTTTGACCATTTTTGGTGATAATTTAGTGTTGACTTTACAGTAATTATTTTATTAAAATAAATTTAATTTAAAAATTGTTTTTATTTAATAAATTAACTTAAAAAATATGATATATTATAAATATAAAAATAAATCTATCTATATTTTAGGTTAAATGATCCTATTACTAATTATTATAAAACAAAAAAAATAAAATTCTTTTATATTATTCAAATATGTTTATATTTATTCATCCTTTTTCACCAATTGTTTATCATAATCAGAAATATATTTTAAGTATAACTAATTTTTTGATTACAAAACTTGCTTTCGTTTTCATTTTTATATAAATTACTAAAAAAAATTTAATTGAATAAAATTTTTAAACAAAATATTATATTATAAATCAATAAATAAAAATAAACCTTAATGTAAAGAGTTTATTGTTTTAAATTCATTTTTTTATTATAAAAAATATGGTCCAAAACAAATGAACTATTTATAAATTTGTAAGTAAATTTATTTTTAATAATAAAAAAAAATATCTACTTGATCTATTGTCATTTAAATATACATTTTATTAAATTATATTGTAAAAGATATTTTCAAAGAAGCACAAGATATTTTTTGCAGAAGGAATATAATTTTTACAGTTTTTTTATAAAAATTAAAGATAAAATTTGGTATGCAACCACTTAGTAAATATAATCTGCTTGAATTAATTTAAAAATGAAAGAATAATTTTAAAATATGTTACCTAAAAATCTAAATGAAGAAATAAAAAAACTATTAAATATTTTGATTTGTTTTAGAGGAAGTAAAGCAACGAAAGTTAAATTTAATTGGCTTACTGAAAAATTCAAATTAAAATCTAGAAAAAAAATTTCTAAGCTTTATTTTTAGATACGATAAATTTGAAAAGATACTAATTTATTTATAAATTTAATATTAATAGTTATACCTAGGACAAATAAATTCCATAAAATTAAATATAAATATCATATTATCGTTTATATTGCATCATATCAAATATTAATAGTCTAAGTAATTAAAGTAATGACTGATCTAATAAATAGATAACTTTTTTATTCAAGTATCTATTCAAATAATAAGTTGTATTGTATTATTAAATAATGAATTAGACATAGTAAAATTATAAACCAAAGTTTTTGTAAAAAAAAATGGTGGTATTTTTGTGCTTTTAAAAGTGTATATGATATACTTTACACATAGGTATATAAAAGACACTTAAAAATACAATAGTAATGTTCAAATTTTTAAAGACGAATATTTATTTGTTTAAAGATTTGTAATTGATCAGAGTCCAGAGGTCTTCTTGACGTGAAGAGCGAGGTCAATTAACTTATTAGAGTAACCCCATTCGTTATCATACCAAGAAATGATCTTGTGGAAGTTATCATTCAAACCAATACCAGCCTTGTGATCGAAGATGGAGGTTCTGGCATCATGCATGAAGTCTTGAGAGACGACTTCTTCCTTGGTGTAACCCAAGATACCCTATAATTAGAAAATAATGAGTTAAAAACGAATGAATATATGAATTAATAAAAGTAAAAAACAAAAAAATAAAAAAATAGAATCTCTTAATTTAATTTATAGCTTTTTAATTAACTCATTAATATTTTTAAAAAGAATGAGCATTGCTTTTTATTTAAAATGTATTTGAAAAGCTTTAGCTTTAAATTAAAAGATAATATGTTATCTTTGTTAAATGCCTATATTTTTTTTTTTATCAATAAAATAGAAAGCCTGAGCTATACAATTAAGTATATTTCGGCCCTTTTTGTTAGCATTTATCCTTATTTATGTAGTATTTATTCTCTTTAAGTTTAATAATTAGCATTTTTAAAGGGAATTAATAATTACCTTGAGTTCACCTTCGGAGGCTTCCTTCATGGCTTCACAAATGTTAGCATAGGTGGTACCCTTTTCGAGTCTGACGGTAAGATCAACGACAGAGACGTTAATGGTAGGAACTCTGAAGGACATACCAGTCAACTTACCCTTCAAGGCAGGGAGAACTAGACCGACAGCCTTAGCAGCACCAGTGGAAGAAGGAATGATGTTGGTTGAGGCAGCTCTACCAGCTCTCCAGTCCTTACCACCCTTGGAGGGACCATCAACAACCAATTAGGTAGCAGTGGAGGCGTGGACAGTGGTCATGAGACCTTCAGCAATTCCGAACTTTTCGTGGAGGACCTTAGCAACGGGAGCAAGACAGTTGGTAGTGCAAGAAGCGTTGGAAATAATGTTTTAGGAGGGGTTGTAGTTCTTGTGGTTAACACCGAAGACGAAGGTAGGAGTGTCATCCTTAGCAGGGGCAGAGAGAATGACCTTCTTAGCACCACCCTTCAAGTGAGCAGCAGCCTTTTCTTAGGTAAGGAAAGCACCAGTGGATTCGCAAACGAAATCAGCACCAGCATCACCCCACTTTAAAGCAGCGGGATCCTTTTCCTTGAACAAGGTGATGTTGTTACCGTTGACCTTGATGGTGTGGTCGTCAACCTTTATTTATAAATAAATAAGTATTAGTAAATGATATTTCATGAATTCCTCTTTGTTTGTTTTTCGTTTATATCTTCCTCTCTCTCTCTCTTTAAATGGGTTGAGTAGAATATTAGAATATTATATGTTCAAAAATGAGAAATGAAACTCATCATTCATAATGAGATTGAATCCTACTCAAAAGAAAAAGGTCAAAATGACTAAAGAAATAGTGGTGTCGTATAACTACCATATTTCCTATAACAAGAGCAGTGTTGGAAAAAAGATATTTGCTTATTTGATGGGTATTAGTGAAAGAGGTTTGAAGGTATATAAGTAGAGTTTGAACGAAAATACATAACCAAATAATGAGTTAAATAGTTAGTTAATAAATTAATTAGTTAATTACCTTTTCGATTTTACCAGGGAACTTAAGGTGAGCAGAGTCGTACTTCAATTAGTAAATGAGGTAGTCGACATCCATGAAGGGATCGTTGATAGCAACAACCTTGACTTCGTTGGCGTGGTTTTCAACAGCAGCTCTTAATACTAATCTACCGATTCTACCAAAACCGTTAATACCTAATCTCAAAGCCATTTTATTATATTAGAGGATTTTTATTTGAAATAAATAATTTTTTTATTATTTTGTTTGTTTTAAAAATTTTTAATTTATTATTTGATACGACTCTCCGCTCTCAAAAAGCCTAATTTAAAGATATTAATTACGTAATTAAGTATTAGAAAGTGCTCTTACTATTACGATCTATTGCCAAACGAACTTTAAATCATTCTTCCTTCATTTATTGACAGAGTATTCAAAAGTATACCACTATTAATATCTCAAATCCCCCTTTTAGTCTTTATTATTATTTTACAAAGATATTTCTTTACTGGCGACAATAACATCTACTTTGTATATAAAATACAATAGTACTGTTTTTCATTTTATTTAGTGGGCATAAAATCCTGCTGATCCATTTTTCCTAAATAGAAAAATTTATCAATTCAGATTAAAATATGGAAAGTTTACTCTTTGACTCAACATCTAAACGTTCATGTATGTGATTTAACATATAAATAATAAGAATTAAATGAGTTTCAATAACGTGAGTATCTTTGATTTGAACAATATAAATTTTATTTAAATGCATATAAATAACAATTTTTAATGATGGAAAGAAAATGTAAAATGAAGAAATCCGATGATTAATTGACAGTGTAAAAATTGGTTCATATTTAATATAATTCTTAAGATCGCTATCTTATATATAATCTATGTATTTTAGCAGTAACTTGAATCTTTATTAAGTCTTTTCCCTTTTTCATTTTTCATTTTATTGCGAATGATGTCTTTTAAATCAAAGTTCTATATTTAGAAAAGCAAATGAAATTCTAAATTGTTTTCCTAAATAGACACACTTTTCCCTAATTTATAAATATTTTATTGCACTTATTTTATAGATGCTTCTATTCTAATCTGTAACGCTTTTATACTCATGGTTAGTAATACTAAATTTGAGAAAATATTTGCCCATTTTAAATTGTAAACATTAAATATAAGGGAGTTTATGCTTTGGAAATCAATTATGTTTTGATGTTTTGTCTGATAACTTCTATTTTTAACTGAAAAAAATATATTAATTAGCAGGAAGTTTTTTAATGTATCAATATATCTAAGTTCCTAAAAATAAAAAGAGTTGTAAAGCAACATATCTGCCATTTTAAATATCTTATAGAAATCAGGACTGAGAAAATCATTTTATTTTAAGTATAATCACTTTGATTAATTTTTTATATCGTCACTTAATTCTTAAAACGGTACTTAAATTTGATAATACTTGTTACAAATCAACCTATTTATTTATTGATCAAGAATATATATTTAAAGTAGCATATATTATATATTTTTTTTTTCAACCTAATTAAAAGAATATATTCCTATTAATTATAAAAAATTAAATAATTTATAATCGTTTGTCTATAATTTATGGCTAATATAAAGTTAAGTTATTTTTTAAGTTTTAGCTTGGTTCATCTTTTAACAACATTATAAATTAAATTAATGTTTATCTAAATCAAAATAAATTGATAAATAAATTATGATCTTGTAGCAATTAGCTATTTATTCATGAAAGCTCTGAAGAAATCATTTTTAAAAAATAGAATCAGTACTCTTACTGAAGAGAGTATATTATTTAGATAATTGATGGAATAGTACTTAAATGAGGCTGCTATTTTTCAAGTGATGAAAAGAATATAAATAGAATATTGAAAGTGGGAATTGTATCTTTTAAAGATAAAAATTAGAATGTTAGAGAATGCGACATAAATTTACGTGTTAGTAAATGTTTTCAACAAAAATATTAAGCAAAATAATAGCACGTCATTCTAACTCAAATGGCAATTACGAAATGATTTATTTTTGCAAAAATAAAAAAAACTTTGATAATAACATATTTTACATAATACGCATCAAAATTAAATCAAAAAAATAAATATTACGCATTTTTACAACATACATAGATATATTTACCAATAAGCAAAATTTAATATTTCAATAATATTAAGTGAAGGATTTCAATTTGAATTTTCTTATTACTATTTTTTTTAACCTTCACTATTACTATTAGAACTAGCTTTATTATTAGAAGTATTGTTACTATTATAATTATGATTATAATAGTGATTATTACATGAGGGCGCTTTATTCATTTTAACTTACATTACTCATGCTCATATGTGAAACATTTAAGAATTAAAAATTATTTTATGCTTAATTGCTAAATCTATCATCAGGTCTTTGTTGTGGTTATTATTATTATTATAATTATTATTAAATTAAATTTGGTTTTTATACAAATTAATTTTGGTTTTGCTAAAAATTATTTTAGTACGGCATCTAATTATAATTAGGCTAAGGTTAAAAGTTAAACTTCTATGATTTAGGTTAGATATCTGAAGTATTTTATTGATTATTTGAACCAAATCTTACATTTTATTGAGATGAAGGAGGGTTTTACTAAATTTATTAAACTGGCTAATTATTATCATTAATTTATCTTTACTATCCATTATTTGCATTTTGAACATAAATCTGTTAACCTTGAATCTAGTTTTAAATAGGATTGATATTATTTACCTATCTCTAAGGCATTTATTAGTCATTAGTTTAGTTTGCAAACATTTATTTTTAAGAGTAGTTTGGAGAGATAGATGTCTAGTTATTAGTCTACACGTTTTAAGTTGGTTAATAATTCAACTTATTTTAGTCTCTGTTTTGGTATTAAGTAGGATCAATAGCTTAATTTCTTTAATTAAGATTATTTAAGTCCTATTAAGAAATCTAATTGCCTTATACAGCTTAATTTCTAATTAAATTATTCTATGTTAGATTCTCTGGCTACGAAGCAACTTATTAAGTATTAACTGGATTCGGTTATCTTTACTATTAAGGCAATAATTATTGATTTTGCATCTACTATTATTAATATTATTATTACTAAATATTCATGAATTATTATTATTGTTAAATTTAATTAGGCATGAATTATTACTAAATAGGCTATTATCTCTGTTGCTATTAAATCATTTGCTATGGATTTTAAGGTATTTACTGTTATTGATTAAGCAAATTTTATTGTAAGTTAGGTTATAGTTGTTTATTAGTAAGCAATTACTATTAGTTCAATAATTGCTATTGTTATTGGATTTATTACATATTTTATTATCCAGGATTTGGCTATGCAATATTATTTGGCACTTTAATTTAGTTGCCATCTATTTACACTTTTTAAAGTTATTATGATATTTATTAAACATCAGAATTTTAATTTTTATTATTAAGTTTTGCCTTAAACCTATTTTGAGGCTATTTAGGACCTGTTATTTTTATCAAAATATAAATAAATATTCTTACTATCAATTGATTGATCAATAAATTAATCAATTTGAAAATATATAATATATCATGATTAAATAATTTATAAAATTTACCTGCAATTGTTTTTTCTATATCAATATCGTCATCATCATCATCATCTTCATCATCATCATCACCATCAACATTCTTTTTAAGGGTTTATGGGTGTACATAATCTGTTACTTAGTCATTATCTTCATCAGAATCATTTTCGCTACTGTTATGATCATTTTGAAAATTATTTTCATTGATTTAATTAGCAATTGGTTGCTAATTAAGCTTGTTTATCTCATAAATTAACTATTAGTTTTATTATACTTTCTTATCTAATAAAGTTGTTTCCTTTTAATGTTCATTTTACAAAGTATATATTATGTTCATTTTATTATCTATTAGCTAGTCTTTTTTTTATTATTTTTCTTACTCTTCCTATTATCTCTTTAGTTCTTTTTATCTCTCTTCCTCCTCCTTTTCATATTTTAATTTTTCTCTGTAAATTTGTTCGTAATCTTTTTTCCTTTCCTACTCAAGTAGCTACTTCAAATGTGGTTACATTTCCAAGGTATTTTACTAGCCTAGCTTTTTAGAATTAATCTCATATAAATCTTTGTCGAATTTATCTATTTGAATGCAATATCTCTAATCGTATTTTAAGATATTTAAAAAGGTATTAATAGCAATTTTTTCATCTCCATCTTTAATAGCTTTTTAAAAACTGTTAATAAGAGACTTCTATTCATCGAATTAGTTTTTAAACTGAATACTTTAGGTAGACATTTAAGATTTTCGCAAAAAACAATTTACTTTTTCTTACCTTTTTTTGATATTTAAATTTGTTATTTATTTAATCTAATAATTTTTAATTTTGTGATAGAATCTCTTTTTTTCTTTTATATATTCATTGATTTTAGTTTTAATATTCTAAAATGTTTTGGTTTTTTCCCCTTATTCTTTTCAAAGATTTGCTGAGAAATTGAGAAGGATAATGAATTCATTATAAATTATTGTTTGTGTTCTCTTAAGAATATTTTATTTCTTACAAATTGAAAAATAATGTATTCATATTTATTTCATTCATTTTTGAATATGCATTAAAAAAATTGCTTTCCATAAAGTTAAATAAATTTAATCAAATAATAAATAAATAAATTTCATATATTCTATTCTGAATTAATTCCATCAAAAGATATTAGTTTTTTTAAATTTTTATCTTTTAGACTATTAAAAAATAAACACAAATGAATATTTAAAATATAGTTAAAATCTTTTTTTTAGTGATAAAGAGATATGAAAAGATTAAATTAAAAATAATAATTAAATATTTATGAACATAATTATTAATTAATTAAATTTGTTTTATATTTTAGTTTGTATTTTTTTGATAATTAATTTTTAAATTATTTTATTATAAAGATATTTTAATTTTCTAAATATTTTATGAGAGTAGATAAAGAAAGAATTATTTGGTTAGTTGATAAGTTATTTTGTTACTAAATATTAGATTATTTATTTTTATTTTGGAAATAAAAAAACTATTTTTGTAAATTTTTTCTTTTGAAAGTATTAAAAAAATTATTTTTTTGGATTCTTTCATGACCTTATTCCATCCATTTTATATTAGGTATCATTTTGTTTAATTTGTTTTGAGGAACTCTCCTTTGAATTTAAGTAACTCAAGTTTGTTAACCACTTTTTATCTTAGGAGTTTTTAGGTGTTTGATAAGCGGTTTTTGAAGCTTCTTCGTTGTATTTTTAGGAAAATATTCCCTTTAGTTTTATATGATTGACTTCTGGGTTCCAAGAGTTGAGAAGTACATCTGAGTTATTTAAATCTTGGTATTAATTGAATATTTACTAAGAGTTGTTGATAATATGTTTTATTTCACTTTTTGATTATAATTAACTAAATTTCATTGCAGATATTTTATTTTTCAATGAATAATTTTTAAATTACTCTTAGTATTAAGATTAATTTAATGTGTTTTGATTATTATGGTTATTCATCTTAAATTGTCTAAAATAAGAATTTCTTTAGTTTTTACCTGAGCCTGTACCACTTCTTATATGCTTTTAAGTAGGAGTTTAAGTTTCATTAAAGCTATTCTAAGTGCTTTAAGGGATGAGTTTTATGTTATTTGAATATGGCTATTGAATTTGATTTTGATCTTTTGCCAGAAGTCCAAAGACTTTTTTGGGTAATTTCTCTTATTAGTTTGATTAATTTTCACATTTTTCAGCAGTAGTAGTTTAGTTTTAGTTTTAGTTATTTGTTGATTTCATATTACTATTCTATTCTTTATAATTAGAGTAATAATCATTTTACTCAATTTGGCTGAGATGTATTTGTTATAGTTTTGTTCCTTTTTCCTAAAAAGAAATCCTTCTTTATGTTTGACAAGATGTAGTATTTCTTGATAAATGTAATATTTTAGTATCACAATTGTATTTTTTAGAGTTTTCTTTTAAAATTTTACTAAAGTTTTTGATTAAATTTCCATTCTTCTTATTAGATGTATTTGGCTCATTTTGTTAATTTTTCTTGATTGTGCTATTAGATCTCTAAATAACTTATTAACTGTCATGATTATTAGTGGTATTAGCTCCTTGCTAATTTTACTATGTTAATTCCTAAGGGTTTTGAGCATAAATTTTGCTCTCTTAGATTACTTATTTATTTTACTAACCTTAAATAACCATTTAAGAGTTTGAATCAACATGCTTTTAGTGTGAGAATCTATTAATAGCGCTTTATAGTCTTCCACTTCTTGCACTTTTAATAGGTTTTTCTGCACTTTAGTCTTGTTACCAACCATTAGGATTTAAAGGATTAAACCAATTAGCTTAGGATAAATTTTACTCTGCCTCAGTTTATAATTATTAGATTGCCTACTTAAATGTGTTTACTCCTTTTAAACCATTCTAAGGATGAAATCTATTTTTTGGAAAGTTAATATTAACATCCTAACTCTAATGCTGATCTTATTTCTTTTATTCCTTATCTATATTAAAAAAAAATATTTATAAAAAAATTATATTAAATATTAAAATATTGATTAATTTTTAAGAAAATAAATTTTAATAAAAGCAAAAATGTTTTTGTAAAAGAAAATTTTTTTTTAAGATAATTTTTTATTTTCTTTATAAGAAAAATTTTAAACGTATTTCAAATTAAAAATTTTTATAATTGAAAATAATTTTATTAAATTATGTATTAAAAAATGAATATAAAATACGAATTTAGTCAATTGAGTTGTCATGTGAAGCATCTTAACCCTGATTATCTTCATTAGTATTGTTAATATTGCTATTTATGTTGGTATTGTCATATCCATAGTAGTTATTGGCATAAGAATTTTGCAGAAATGCAGCAATATTACTTGATTTATATTTCATTATAGTTTTAGGATCAATTAAGATGTTGTATGACTTTGGTGTAGTTAAAGGGGTGTTTTTAGATATTCTAAACCTCTTTTTATATACTTCTTCTTTTAAAAATTTAATACATTATTCTCTCTATTATTCTCTTTCTTAGTTTCTAACTTTTGCATGATACTTTTTCTCTTTGAATTTATTATCTTGCTCTATTTCTTCAATAAAATCTATTTAGTTTTAATTATTTGACTAACAAGACTCAATTAAAAGAGATTTCTGCTATCTACTTGATAAGCTTCTATCTAATTTTTCCTAATCCTCCTTCTTTTCTTAGAAATCCTTATTATTAATATCTGATTCTTAGATATTATCAGCTTCGTCATCGTCTTCTTCTTTGAGATTTAGACTTTCATTATAATTTATAATTTAGCTTGGACTTTTTTTAATATTTTAATTGCTGACATAATTTTAATTTTGTATTTAAATTAATTTAGAATCCTTAGACACATTTTTTTATTTGATCCTCTAAGAAGGTCCAGTCGAATTAGTAGAAATAGAAGAGTTTCTTTTTTATTAGCGCTATTAGTAAGGTTGCTATTTACTTTTTTCAGATCCACTAACATTTTCAGAATTCATGTTTGATTGGTTAATCAACCCAATTGATTTAGCTATTTTGACACCAATTACATTGTTTATTTTTTCTTTTACATTAAGTTCATCAATAAGAGGATCTGAATCACTCCCAGAGTCTTCTTCTAAAAGATAACTGCTGCTATTCTACTAAATATTACTTTTTATTATATCTTAAATAATAACACTTTTCCTCACTTGTTTATAAGCTTTCAAAGTCAATTACAGCTACTGTTTAAGAGATTCATCTGCATTGTTTTCTATGTAATAAGCAAACATACATCTTATTAAGTCTCCTCCAAGCTTTGTTAAATCCTAAATTTTAAAATGTGTTGCTCTGCCTCCATTTTTCTTGTCATTATAGCCAAAAAACGAAGTTTCAATCGTAAAAATATTTGGTTTATTCACCCCACTATTCCAAGCTATTCCTCTTGCAGTATTTTCCTGTTATTTTTGTAAATTTATTTTTATTTTTGATATTAAAGTAAAAGTTATTTTTGAATAAATTTAATTTTTCTCAAATTAAAAAAAATTCATTTATGATAAATTTAATTTAAAAATAAAAAGTTTAATTGAGTTAGAAAATTTTATGCTAGAATAAATGAATAAATAAATAGCTAAATACTTTGTAAGATTCTAAGCCAAAAGTGCAAGAGGGGTAGTGTAGAACAGGATTAAGTTTAGAAAGCATCATAGGAAATAGACAACAAGCATATTAATCAGATTCCATTTTGCAAGCATAAACAAAGGAATTTAATTTCTTGCTATGACCATGAAGATCAATAAAATAATCAATTTGGTAATCTTATTAACGGTATTTAGAAATCAAGTTTTTTATACTATAAACAGTTGGATGTAAGAGCTTATTTGGATTACTCCATTATCTATTTAAATCAACTCCTGATAAATTACACCTTTAAGAATTAAAAAATTTTATATTCTTTTAAAGTCATATTAATATTTTATATTTACCTAAAATTTCCATAAAGAACTCCATCAGGATTTACCATTGGAATTATTTTAAAAATATATTTGTTTCTTAAAAAGTTAGCTTCTACACAGTCAGAAACCAAAAAATCAATAACACCTTACATCAAGAATGAAGAAACAGTTTCACCTGGATGTTATCTAGCCATAAGCATAGCTATCTTTTTTTATTTACTCTCATTAGGTGGATTTTAAGTTTTTCCTTTTTCGATTTAATCTTTTTCCTTGTTAGTTATAGTCAGCAAAGGGACAGCATTGTTTGATATTGTATGACAAAGAATTTCCTTTTTTATCTGTCTAATAAAAAAAATTTTATTAGTTTATAATAATGTGTAATTTACACTCAAAATCATAAATATTTAAATTAAAATCATTCTCATATTAGCAAATTGAAATTTCAAATAAAGTGATTAAATTTCTTACAAATTTAATTTTTTTAAATTAAAGATATATTTAAATCTAATTATTTTTTAATTGATATATTTAATCTAAGTTATTTTCTTAATATTTTCCTCCTAAAAACCTTAAATTAAATGTAAGAAATTGCATATTTTTTAATTTAGCATGAAATTTGAATTTGATTTTAAATTAATCTTAGCAAAATAAAATAACTTTCTATTTTAGTTAAGATTGATTAGCATTGATACATAAATTAATAGTAGGCTTTATCTTTATAATCTATTCTTTAATATTGCAATTTAGATGAAATAGATAAATTTCAATTTGTATTTAGAAATGTTTGAAAGTTTCATATTTTAATTTCGAGTGATTTTTAGGTATTAGCTTTTAAGTTTAAATATACATCAAAGGTTAAGTTAATTGGCATTTTTCTATGGTGGTATTCAAGTGGTTAATCATCTAGGTGTAAGAATATGGATAGGACATAGCAAAATATACAACATCGTCGTCATACTCAAAAGTATATGAAAAAGAAAGTGTATAATAATAGTTATCATAAGTTTCTTCCTTTATATTATTCGAAATTGAGCATTAAAACAAAATAAGTGAAATATTTTAATTCAATTTACTTTTAAAATTTAATTTTAGTAATATTTCACATTGTTTCCTCCTCTTTCCCAGCTTTTTTCTTTCTCATTTTTATTTTTCTTGACAGAGAAAATAGCAGGTTTCATACCATTTTTGAACAAAGATTACTTTTTACTCTAATTATTTCAAACGGTTTAAGTAAACAAAAGAGATTTGAGAGAAAAGTGTAATTTATATAATGGTAAAGGTAAAGGAAATAAATATATTAATTAGGTGATCAAATAAATATTATTTTTGAATGTATATTTGTAAGTTAGTTAGTTAATTATGTTTGAAATAAATCTTTTAGAAATAGAAAGATAAAAGAAAAAGAAAATTAATAAAATTTTGACAAGAAAGTGAATTTATTTTTAGATTTAATTACATGATTTACTAAATTCAACTTGATGGTTTTATCCTTTTTAGTTTTTGAAATAGAAAAGTAGAACCATTGAGCATAACCTTTGGAATTTATATCATTACATATTATTAAATCATACTCATCAGAATATTTTGGATCTCTTCTCTAGAACGCGTACATCAGATTTCCAGACTCAAACCTGCTATCAAAAACTAATTATTCTTATTAATTAACGAGCTCATCTTGTATGTCTTCGCTCACTATTATTTAATCTTAGTCGCTTAGATAGTTGATTTAATGATTAGAGGCATTTTAATCCAAATTATTACTAGAGCCTCTAGGGGATGAAGTTATTGATTTATATTTGTGCTTCTCTCTTAGTTGTTGAAAAATATCTGTTTCACCTATTAATTCCTTTGATATGTGTTTACCAAGTGTAAATACATTTGCTAAATTTATGTAATATCCTGCAAAATTATGATCCATTTCGCTTTCTTCTCTCTTCTCAGAGTATTTAGAGTATATCAATTTATAATTTAAATTGTCTTTCATGTATTTATCATATAAATAAGCTTAGTTGCTTCTATCCATTTATTGGGCCTTTTTAAAAATTAAAATAATTTTAATAGAACAAATAAAAATTAGTATTTCTAAAATTTTGGCTTTATTCTTTTCAAACAAATAAAGTAGAAATCCCAAACCAAACGAAAGTTAATTTAGAAATTTAGTTTATACTCGCTTTTATTGCTGATTTTATGGAATTTGGTTGTTTGTTATTTTACTTGAGTTTGTCTACTAATCCAATGTTTGTTTTCTATTCAATTAATAAATAGAGTATGATGTAAGGATAAATATTATTATTTAATTTAATAGTTGTGCAATTTGCATCCATTATTAAATGTCTCTCTCAATAATTTACTTAATTGTAATGTTATCGAGTAACAATTTAGGTTCATAATTGATTTATTTGCTATTGTCTAGTAGAGGATTAGCCTCTGGAAGATGAAGACTAAATCTATGTTTTAAATTTTTATAATCTTCCTCATCATCAGATTCATCTCCATCACTTAGCTTCATATTTTCTTTTAATTTAAGATTTGAACTAGGTATCTCAATATATGTGTATAAATCCTTTTCTTCAATAAATCCTTCTTCCTCTTGATCCTCGCTGAATTACTTGCTTAAAATGAACTTCTTTTGAATGATTGTTTCATCTTTTTCAATTTTTAAAAAAAATTTAGAGATTTCAATGAGTTTATTACTTGTAAAATAAAGTACTTTAATTCATATTTCTTTTGCCATACAATGATTATTTGTTACTTTCTTATTTAAGCTGAATCATCAAGCTATTTTGCCGAACAGTTAAAAAATTAAAAGAAAAATATTAAAAAAAATTAATACTTAATTAATTAATTATCAAAAACTAGTTTAGTATATTTTAAAAAATACTTGCTAACATATAGACTATATATCAATCAACCAATTATTAACTCATGCATTCTTACTGATTCTTCAAAATGAATATTTTTATTTCTTAAATTATAAAAAATCTATGAGAAAGAAAGAGAATGAAATAAATTATATTAAACAATTTTATTAGAAAAGCTCTTTAATACTTACTTTAATACTAAATTTCATTATTATAAACAGCTTAAACATTCTCACTTCTCTCATTTAAACTAGTATTCTATTAGTAAATATTTATCTAAAATATCTAATAAGAAAATTTATAGTATCTTACTCAATAAAGGTATCTATCTATCTTTTGGTGTTAAAAAATATTCAAATAATTCTAAGATGAAAAGTTTTTTAAGATGAATTTAATAATCTCTATTAAAGGTACAAGCTAAATTTGTAATGACTTTTTCTAATTTTATTGAAGGTAAAATTTAAATTTGCTATTACTTGTAAGTCGATTTTTACTAATTAATCTGATTAGAAAATTTTAATTTACATTTATGAAATTAAAAGCAAATTTGATGTGTTGAAAACTATTTTCATTTTAAATTAATTAATTTAATTTATAAAAATATTTTTTAGAAATAAATTTATTTTATTGAATGTTAAAATAATAAAATTTTAATAATTTTTGTTTTTTCTAAAATTTTTTTAATTTTTATTAAATTTTCAATTTTTTGTTTAAAAAGTTTACTTTTTTTATATTCTGCTATTTTTCTATGCTTTTTTAAATGAAATATTTACAATTAAAAAAATAAAAATAATTTTAATTAAGCTTAAAGAAATACTTTCATTCTTATAAATATTTAAGAATTTTACTATGGAGAATTTTGTTTATAAATTTAATTTTAGCTAACGATTTCTGATTAAATGACTATATTTCCCGCAATTTTGCATGAATTAAATAATATTCTTTTTGTCTGTTTAATATTTTAAGCTGATTTATTTTGATTAATTTTTATACTGTTTTATAGCAGTAAATTAATTGATAAAATTTCAAACAAAATCTTTTTTAGCTTTTTAATAATTAAATAATAGAGCAAACTAAATATAAAGAAGTACGTTGTTCTAAGTTTAAGATTGACTATTTGCTTATTAAAAATAAATTATTTTAATAAATTTAGGGGGAAAATATTATTTTTTTCTTTTTACTTAATATAAAACGATAAAGGAAGAGCATTTATTTGATTTTTAGTTGTGTCTGTCTCTCTGCCTAAATAATGATGTAATCTAAGCCAAAAGATATTTTGAGTGAGTATTTGCTATTTACTGATGGAAAATTTCTCTCAGAGCCTCTTTACACTTGTATTCATTCAATTCTTTTATTGCATGAGAATTAATCTTAAAAAATTATTTTAAAGAAAAGATTTAAAAATTAAAAAATATTTATCAAAGTACAATTTCACATTTTCCAACTTTATTCTTTTTTATGCTTATGATGTTATTTTTTTAATAGAAAAATTAAATGAATTCGATAGCAAAATGTTGAAACTTAAACAATAAATTTTAGGATTAAAGAATATAAGTATCCTAGATGATGAGCTATACAATATTATAAGCATTTAGTTAAGTGAGAGCTTTATTTATAGCATTTAGCAATGGTAAATAGAAAGCATTATAGATAAAACATATCTTCTTTTGAAAGCTTAAGAATAGAGTTCGCCTAATGTTTTGAATATGGACAACAGCGCTATTGTTTACCTAATTAATAGAAATATAAAATTTGCTATTATCTATTTGATAACTAAAATTGTAATGAAAAGAATAAATTCTTTAACGCTATCTGAGCAACTTTTGAAATTTTTTGAGACTGTGGTTGATCTTATGTATGATATGCTAATTTAAGATGAAATTGCTTTGCAATGTTATGGATATGCATGTTTTAAAATGTATGAAAAATTATAAAACGATGAAGAGAATTAAGAAGAGCCCTAGATTTTTGAAAGCAATCATTCCTTTCACATTTTATAAAAAATAAAATAAATTTCTAAACATTTATTGAGTATTTTCTTAAGCAATTTTAACCAAACTAGTGAAGTCTTTTTAGAAAAGTATGAAATTTTGATGCTTAAATGCCTGAAATCATCCAATTATTTCAGTTAATAAGGTGGATTAATCTTACTCTCAAATATCCTGAAAGTGACAGAAACATGCTATCATACAGGAATGTATTCTATCATTCAAGAAATGAGCATACCTTAAAATTTATTAATATAGATTTATCGTATCTTCGTACTTCTTTCTCCAGAAGAGCAGTTGGTAAAAAATATCTTTACCAAAATTGGATCTCTTTCATTGCCAAATCAAATACACTTTTTGAGTAACTTTTTGCATAATGGACTATTCTAAGAAGTTTATTATTCATTTGACTTTAAATAGTAAAAATTTGATTGCTTTACTCAAGAATACTCTCAATTAGTTCTAAAAAATCTATACAAATTTTATTAAGATAATCTTAAATAATATGTAGATGAAATTTAGTAATCATAGAACAAATTAATTGCAAAGGATTAAAATTATCAAATAGAATCACAAAAAATCATATAAAGTCTTCTAAGAAACGCCGAATTATTTAACTTAAACACTTTCTAGTTGTATAGCGATTTAAAGTAATATATTGATGCTCTCCAAAATACCCTTCCAAATAACTCTGTTTCTCCATATATCATAAATAACCTTATAACAATTATGATTCAATATAACTAAGCACTATTTTAATTCTAAGAAATAGCTCCTTTCTTTGCATACTTAAAAAATCAATCATTTTAAAATACAATTATCAAAGCAAAAATATATTTTCTTCTTTCTTACTCAGACGCAGATGAAACTAATGCAGAAGTAAATAAATATTCTCCCAAAATTATCTTGATTTTTATATATAAACAAAAACATCAAACCCCCTCTTTAATTTCATAATCTACACATAGTATTTATTGAAATTAAATATTAAAATAGGGGGATTTTATTTTTAAAAAAAAAATTAATCATCAAACTCATAAATTAAAAATAATATTATTAGGTTTAAAAAATAAAACAAGTGGCTTTAAAAGTTAAATTTGGAAAACTTCTTAAGTAAATAAAAAATGTTAAATTAGAATATTTTGCATTGCACTGTGCTGAATTATATTTGAGTAATCCATAATTAACTGACATAGAAACAGATTTTGATGAAGAAGTTTTATGTAAAATTCTAAATTTTGTAAAGAGAGAAGAGAAGTTTCAAGCTGATAAAACTTTATACTTAGATTCTTCTCTTTAAAATACAAAAACCAATAAGAGTTTCAGTAATATGGTAGAAAATTTGTCTAGGAGCGCTTCTATATTATTTTACATAAGTAAAATTAAAAATTTAGTTCCAACTATCCCACAAACTGAAAAAGAAAGCATTTCTCATAAACTAAGTGAAATTATTGAGTCAATCAATTTTTGAAATTCAAGAATATCTAATATAATTTAATATATATTTATTTACTATCACAATCTATTTTTCATTAGTTAAAACATTAAATTATAAATTCTTTTTTTCTTAGCTAATTATTATTCATTAAATCGCTTTTTAAGTAATTGATTTGTTTTAAATTTTGTAAATTTACTTAATAATAGACAAAAAATATTAAATCAAAATTAATAATTTAAAATTATATAGTATGAGAATATGAACATATCACACTAAATTAATCAAAATATATAAATTATTAATTAATTATATTTATTACTATAAAGTTAAGTTAAAATTTAAATATAAAAAATCTAGTAAATATCAAGGGATTTTTTTTCAGCTGTAGCTTATTCAAATTTAGTTTTTGATTTTCAAGAATTATTTGTTTTTTAATAGTTTATTTAGTTAATAAATAAAGTGTTTAATAAATTAAATATTCCTATAAAGCAAAATGAATTTATTTAAATTTAAATTAATTTTAAATATAATAGCATTTGTTTAATTGTTAATGAAATAGACTAAAATATAATAAAAAATTAATTTAACTAACAATAATTTTATTTAATTTGAATATTTTTATTGTTTAATATGCTTTCAATTAAAGTAGAGTTATTTTTTTATTTTTTTAAAAATTATATTTATTTTGGTGATTTTGCATTTATTTTTCAGAAAATTGGCAGATCTCTATTGTTATCTTTTGATACCAATAAAGTCTATAAGTAACCATGAACAATTGAGTCTAATTCGTTTTTATGCATTTACCTTATTTCATCAGTCAATTCTCCAACAATCCTCATTTTTATATCTCCTATTTGACAATTATAATGGTTTAAATATAATTTTGTTAATTTTATTTATATTACTTGATCCTATAGATAGATTTAAAAGTATTTTTGCAGCTAATCTTTTGCCTTCAATATTGGAGTCATTTCTTAAATGGGCTAAGAAAATTTCTACTCCCTTATTGTGGACAATTTAAGCTCTAAGAGTGTCTTTAAGAGCTAAATTAGAAAGAGTTTATAGGGTGTGATTAACAAATTCATGTGTTTTATCTCTTGCGAGCGTTAGGTCAATCAACATTTTAATGTGACTTTCAAATGATATATCAAAATTAGAAACTCTTGATCTATTTGAATCAGAGAGAACTGTAAGTATTTTCATACCTAAATTCTGAAGATTTTCGTAAGGGCATTCTATAAGGCTAATTGCAGTAGATACGTCAACTGCATAACCTCCAACTTCAAGGTGTTTCCTCATCAAATTAAATAATATTGGCTAGAAGGCAGTTGGTTAAAAGTTAAATGCTTTTAACACTCTTTAAATAATTTTATTTTTTAATCCTTCTTCTGCTCTATAAGGATTCAGATGTTGGCAAATTGTATCTAAGATTTTAAGTTACTGCATAGATGGATCTGTTGGAAGAGTAATTTCAATTAGATTAAGAATCTTTGAATAGCTTTCTTTGTTATCCATAATGATGTGTATTATACTTTCAATAATAGGTTCTAAGTTCTAAACTGCAAAAATATGCATATCTCTTGATGCAGTTGGATCTAATAAACTAACATAGTCTTTCATCATGTTATCATTTACTGTTTGGAATGTATCTGCTCCATCTTTTGAATAAATATTTCCTACATATCCATCCTAATTTTCTTTAGGCGATTTTGGACGCATTATATTTTTAGTCGAATTTTTAAAGGGTTCGAATCTGGATTATTGCTATAATCTGTATTATTAAAAAATATTAATTTTTTTAGTATTAAAAATTAAAAATAATTTAGTGTAAAAAAAGAAATATCTATGATATAATAGAATATTCATTTATAAATTAAAGTAAAAAACTAATTAGTTGAATATCTTATAATTTAAGAGGAAGATGAGTCATAATATATATTTAAGATTTGAAATTTCAAATAAATATTTTTAAGTTTCATATAATGAAAATTTTCAATTGTTTTTAATTCTGAGCCTTTGGTAGGGCTTTTTAAATTTAACTTAAAGAAATTAATTAATACCTTTTAGCATCTTCTAATTAATCATCTATTTTAATTTAAGGATTAGATGGAAGTCTATACTCACCATAGGGATTATTTTAGAGATTCTTATTAGCTGTGTTTCCTCTTACTAAAATGAAAAATAAGGATGTTAAAATATAATTTTAGGCTATAAAAGTAAATATTTTACTGCTTTAAGGTCTTTTAATTACATTGTTTGTAGCATTATTTGGTGCAAAGTTAGGTTAATAGCTTTGATTTATTTAATTTTCTCTGCCAATAGGTAATCTACTCTATGAGTTTTTATAAAATTAATCTAAACTATCTTCTTATTATTATTTAATTCTGTTATTTTCTTCTTGCTATTATAATCTTAGACCAGTTTAGCGTTAGGCTGCATCTACATCTCTGTTAAGCTGTATGATTTATCCTCTTGAAACAGGTTTAGGATTGTAAGTGTTTTTGAAGTCACCTTTTGTTAAATGTGAAATGAGTTTAATCATTCTAGACCTTGTTTGAACTGATACTGAATCTAACTTAGATGCTAACATTAATGAGTTGATTGCTTATGGAGTTTTCATTTTTTGGCAAATTACAACTAAATAATTAAATGAATAATAAAAACATTATTTTTTGGAAACTAAAAATAAAAAATTGTCTCACTCGATTTGAATAAGATTTCCAATATGTCGACTACTTATTGCAGTAGGTAGGGATCGCCGAAAATGAGTTCGCATATCCAAAAATGAAGAAGATTAATTAACAAATTGAGAATAATAATATTTTCTTAAACCTCAAACATTTCTAATCTTTCAGTAAGGAATATTTTTCTTATAATAGCTGCAACATTATGCACAATCATTTTGTTTTAGGCACTAAATCCTAAAGGGAGAATAGCTCCTAAAACTTCTTCAAGATTTTCAATTCTGGTAAATGAAGCATCTAATTAAAATTAAAATTGATTAATAAAATTTTAAAGAGAAAGACTTTTTACAAATTATTTTAGTGAAGTTAAATAAATAAATCAATCAAATTTCAGCTTTTTTATATTATGAAACTTTTAAAATTTAGTTAATAAGCCAAATAATTAATTAAATGAATTAAATGGCTGCTTGTTTTAATTGCTCTTTTGTAAATAAGCAGAAAAATAAATTATATTTGATTTTAAAATATATTCACACCCGTTAGCTTGGAGCAGATATTTTGCTGCATAGATCTAAGCAGATACAGCAGTTCTTATATGTCACTTGTTAAATGCATATTGACCGCACCTATTTATAAATTAAAACTAATTCAGTAAATTTATAAAGTCTTTTTTTGGTTATTTTTTCATAAAATGCCAATTATTTTTTTTGCTTCAAAATTTGAGATTTTACCCATATCAGAACCTATTTTTTCAGGAAGCGCGTATAATTTATCTCCATTTTTAACTAATTCAAATACATAGCTACTATTTGATAATGAATATCCATATTAATCCTACAATTTCGCACAAATAAATGTTGGTTCATTTGGAAATAAGTCTGAAAATTCTTATTCAACAAGTCTCTTTAGCATAGAAACTTTTATGTTAGCTGTTGAATCGAAATAAAAAATGTATTTAAAAGTGCTTTATTGTTTTATATTTGTTACTTTTTGTCATTAAAATGAGTTTGCGATAATCCCCTTCGTCATCTACATCTTTTTTTAACGTTATGTATATTTTGATATTTTCTGATTATAAATTCATTTTTGCTCTCATCTCACCTAAAAGGTCTTGCTAATATAAATGCTAAGATGGTATCATTTAAGTTGGAGGGCTAATAAGCTGCTAAGCAGAAGCTGCTTGATGGATGGCGTTTTACTAACTTTCATAAGGATCGTTATAATAATCTAAATTATTTTTGGATTTTGGCCTCTAATTTGGTGATAAATAGTGCTGTGATTGAGGAATTAATGATTGCTAATTATACATTCTAATTTTTGTAAGATAGAGAAAACAAACTAGTTATTTAATTATTTTTTTATGACTTCTTTTTATGATAAAGAAACAAATTCTTTTCAAGTTATTTTTTAAATTGCTAACAAATATTTCTCATTGTTCATTTAACATTTTAAGTAAAATATTTCTAAAAAAAAAAATTATATTATTTTTAATGAAAGGACTTGATTTGAATTTTATATTTAAAATTTTATTTAGTAAAGAAGATTTAAAAAATAATGTTTATTAATCAATAAAGGCTAATTATATCTTATTTAAAATGCAAAAACTAAATCTAAGCTACATTTATAATGGTATTGCTGCCTATATATAATCTCTCAGAAAGAAAATAACTAATAACATAGTAAAGACGAAACTTTAAATCATAATAATATAAAATATTTATGTATTAAAAATACAATTTTATGAATATTTATTAAAAAGTAGTGAATTATTTACAAGCGATAAATAGAAGAAAGCAGATTGTCTGAAATAATAAATTAATGTAATTAAAAAATATAAAAGGAAAACTAGATTAAAAAATTTGAAAACTTTTGTAAATTTTGTAAAGCCTTGATGTTATTTTCTTTTGTTACTTCTATAATTTATTGTCTTTCCAATAAATTTAAAAATTCTAAAAATAAGAGAAAAGTTTTTAAATTTATTAAGAAAGAATACTCGAACTAAAATAGGTAAGAAAATTTAAATATATTATACTTTTTATAGTATTTACAGAATATCTAAAAAAATATTTTATTTATTTGTGGATGGATAATATAATTAAATAATTCAATTGCCAGATTTTGATAGAAAATTTGATGAAAATTGTAATGTTTCATAATCACTTTAAACAAAAGTGTAAGTTTTATATTTAATCAAAAAATTGATCAATTATTATTTTATTTTGCTTTTGACTTTGTGATATTTTTATAACCCTTAAATTAGTGTTTTAATTTACCTAATGAGCTGTGAAAATTTAAATTTATTGAAAAAGTGACGAATGCGCTTTGGGTGTTTGTGTAAGCCCTTAAAAAGCTTATGAAACATTAAATAATTTAATTAATACATTGACTACAAGTTTTACAATAAATATACATACATAATAAATATAAATTAATTAGTAAGAGCATAATTGATTATTTATTAATATTAAAACTGAATGAAAATATTTTATTTTGAGGAAGTGCATTTATTTGTTTTTTGTTAATTTTTGAGTAAATATTTGAATATTTTATTTGATTTAATTTGAGTTTGTAAAATATATGAAGAATAAATTGAATTAAAATAAGTTTTCTTTTTTTGTTTCAATTAATCAATTAATAGTCCCTGAATCGAATGAATTAATAGATGGTTATTTGCTATTATCTTCGTTATTTGGAAAGTTTTTTTTTTCTTCTTTCTTTTTGTATATTTTGTTCAGCTTTTTCATTTTCTTTAGAATTTTTGATTAATCTAAATAAAATTTCTCCACGAGCTGCTCTGATTAAATGCTGTATGCAAAGTCTTCTTCCCATTCAATAAGTGGATTCAAAATTTAGTTTTTTCTAATTGTTTCTAAAGATTTTAATTAATTTTCGTTTAAAATAATTCTTTAAATTGTCAAGATGTTATCTCCTGTAAAAGGAGAATATTAACCATTATCGATTGTAAATATCTCTGATTCTATTGAAGCAAATAAGTCAATATTATCATATGTCTTTATCTTCGCTTCAAAATATGATTTATTTTATTGAGAGAGTATCAAATCTAACACGGCTTTTATATATTTTGCTTAATCTAGAGGCTGAAAAAATTCAAGACCTCCTTTTCTAAGGCTAATATTGATGTACTATTCAGCAGTACCTCCCATAAGATCTAAAAATGATTTACTAATTGATGCATTTTTAAAGGCCGTTGTGTCTTGGGTGTAATTAAATCCAGAAGTAATTGCAATAAAAGGCAATCCACCCTCTTCTTCCTATTTAATTATATTACTTTTAAGTTATTCGAATTATTCTTATCGATCAGCTAATATTTATTCAAATTCTATCTATTTTCCCTAATATTCTTTCTTTAGATTGCTTATTTGACTCACCATAAAATTAGCAACTTATTAGTAAGCTAATATCGCATCAGCAAGTTCTTTAAATTCTTTTAAATTAAATCTAAGGAGTAGAGAAGAAATGTGCTCCATATTCTTGAGTGGACTTGCATATTGGGTCATAGACAAGCTTAATTTATCATTAAATATCTCAAATTAATCAACTTTCATAAATTTACTCCAGCAAGCATCTTTTTAGTAAGCTAAATCTCTCTTTAATCTTAGATCAAGCACACAACTTCCCCATAAAATAAATACTGGTTCATCGCTCACAACATAATCTTATAAAATTTATACTCCACATTCACGCTTTTTATAATGACTAACTAACGAACGCAATCTCTCTATTTCCTATTATTCTTTCTCATCATAATTTTCATTAGCTTAATTAGTATTCTATTTGCTAATCTTCTTTTATTTTTTTGATGGTACCTTAGATTTAGATTCATCTTTAGATATTTAATCAATTATTATCGACTAAGTACTGCAAGTGCTACTTATATTATCCTTAAATGAGCTTATCATACTCTGTCGCCTAATTTTATTTTTCGTTATTATGATATTTTATATTCTATATTCGTGTTATAATGATTTCAATTCTAGAAAATGTAAAACGTGGTTCGTGTTTTCTTTTACTTTTACTTTTGCTTGACTCTTTCTTATTTATCTCTGGTTTATAAAATTTTAATTAAATAAAGTTTATACAAAATTTCTTATTGAAATAATAACAATTATAAAGAGATGTTTTTATGAATTATTGCTTTCTAACTTATTTTTTGATTGATTATCCAAAGGATATTTTTGTTTTGTTTTCCGTTTAATTTAATACAGTTTACTTTGAGATTATTGATTTTTTGTTTGTTTTACTCTTGTTAAAATTTCATTTTATGATGGAGCAAAATAATGTATTTAATTGATAAAAAGTCTATTTAAAAATTAACTAATTCAACTAAAATTCTCTAGATACTATGAAATAAAAATATTAGATCTTTTTAATAGCTTTTTAAATTCACAATTCCACTGAATCACTTTTTAAAGTTGTTGATAAATTTACTGTTTAAAAATTAAATAAAGTCAAAAACTTAATCATTCATGTATTATTAATTGCTTTTCTCATTATAGGATTTTTTAACAAATAAATAAATTTATTACTTTTCTTACTATTCTGAAGAGAGGAATATTATCATTCAGTTTTTATCTATTAGAATCGTAAATTGTTAACAAAATTTTGATATATAAGTGACATTTAAATCTTTAATAATTAATCAATAATATATTCTGGCTTTAAATGTGCTTGAAAGATTTTACCAAATTAATTTAATAAATTCATGTGAATACTTAAAAAAAATACAAAATAAAACTGGTAAATTGATCATTTTTTTCTAAATAGTAATAAATATTATTCTACATTCATCAATCAAACTGAAAATTACATTTTTAAAATAATATATAATATCTTTGTTTAATTTAATGCGCTTGAAAGATTTTACAAAATCCATTTAATTATATTCAAGCAAATTCTAAATAATTAAACATTTTCTTTTCATTAATTAAAAATATAACTCTACATTTATCAACCATTCAGATATAGAAAATACCATTTTATTTTTAAATAGTTGAAATTCATAGAAAATTTTATTGATTAAATAAATATGCTCAATAGTTTCTTTGCCAAATCAGTTCATTAACACAAGCAAATATTAGAACTAAAAAATTATTTATAATGTTATATTGTAGAAACTAATAAATATGATTTTATATTTATCTTAAATCAGTAAAATTTGAATTTTATAAATACTAGAAATCCATTCATAAATCTTATCAATCTTGGATAAATATTGATTAAAATTCAAATAAATTATTTTAAAGCAAGCAATTAATAATCTATTTAATATTCTACCCCATTTCAGATTACATTCTTTCTTTACAAAGTTAAAACTTACAAAAAAATTATGTAAATTTGTGTTACCTATTAATTTTCTGATAAAATACCACTTTTTTTAATATTTGGGAAATTAAAAAAATAGAAAGTAAAAGAAAAATTCTTTTCTTGTTTTTTAATTGAATATCACAAACAATAATTGTTAAGATTATAATTATGTAATTTAATTAATTGGCAATACTAAACAAATTTACACTACTTGAAGTAATTATTTATTATTTACACAAATTTTAATTAATAATTTTTAATAGATAATATATAAATTTGAAATAGATGATTAATATTTGACTGAAAATTCTTATAACAATTCATCATCACTTATTTATTTTTCAATTTTCTGATTTCTAATTTTCATTTTAATAAGATATTAGGTGAGCTTTAAGCGAATCACTGCTGTTGCTACTGATAATTTGAGAAGAAACAATTTAGGTAATTTGGTTATATGATACTTAAGCAAATTAAATATTTTTATTATTTTTCTGTTCTTAGTTATGGTCCTAATTTATACCAGATTCTTTCTCAGATAATACACTGCTTGAATATTTTTAGAAAATACTAAATATATTTTTCTATGTTCGATTGTTCATCTTTAAGCTTATAGACTATGACATTTCAATATTTTCTTTGTTTTTGTTGTTTAGTTCATTTTAAGTAAATATATTTTGCAACTAAGGAGTTTAAGATATTTAATATTTTAATTTAGCTTATTCGCTTACACTCATATTTTTATATCTTATCATAAAATTCTTCAAAGATTCATCATATTTTGATCTGTTTTCTGTTTTTGAAAATTCTACAATTCCTTCAAAGAGCTTTCTCAGCTTTTTAATGTTGACAAATGTCCTAAAACTCACTGATCTGTTGAAAATGCATGCCATAATTTTTGAAAATAGTAACCGCCTTTCAAAAAAGCTGGTAAAGATATTAAATATAGTTTTAACTGAAAATGCGCAAATCAAAAAAGCAACAAAAACTCCAATCATATAAATTAAGTTATCTTGGTTATCATTATAGCTACCAATCTTTTTATTCTAATAATCAATATCTGTAAGCCTATAAGAATTCATATTTTCTTGCAAACTCATCATTAAGCTAGCAAAAAAAGTTATTGAAACTAAAACACTACTTTAAAATTCTTATTTATTCAAATGAGAAGTGTTAAACGGGCGTATGATTATTAAGCAGACTGTGTAAAGTTAGGTAATTACAATAGATATGATAGAAAAAATCCACATACTATTGCTTTGATATTGATTCGCTATTATGAGAAGGACGATATTCTTTGCCATTCGAATAAAATCCCAGTAGAAATATTCGTTTTTATATTCGTTATACAGGAAGCCATATTTATATCTTACTGCAATATTGTTTAAACGAGATCTTTATTTAAATAACCCATAGAATATTATAGAAGGTACCAAAAAGGTCCAAAGAACACAAGATGGAAAGTATAAAAATAGCTATCTTTAAACCAATTCTTAGTTATCATCACACTAGATAGTGAGATCTATTTTTAAATAAAGTTTTTAACCAATTTCTCTGCAGAATAAAGTGTTGACAAGAATTCTAAAGCAATTGATACTAAATATGTTAATCAAACCATAAATGATTACTGTATTTGTTATATATTTGATTTTGTTAATGTTGATTTTCTTATTAAATTTATTTATTAAAAACGATATTCCACTTATTACAATTACAAATATAAATGGAGCTAAAATGACAAATAGAATCTTAGTTTCAATGAGTTCCTTCTTACTGCTCATATACTCAGAAAGCCAACAATCCACTGAAAAAAATACGGTTTACAAAGGTTGCCCAACAATATTGCTTACAACTAAAATATCTCTAAAATCTTTGAATCTGATTAGTTGAGACATCTAGATTGTTTATAAAAAATTAAGAAAGATCTTTAAATAAGCTGTTGAAAGAGTCATTTTGTAGTAAGAGCTACCAATATAGCATATTTTCATCTTCGTCAAATAGTATCTGTAATATAAAAGAGATTTGATAAAATAAATAAAAATGTCCATATTTTTTAGATTTGAAATATCAAAAGCATGAAAATTAATTGTAATTCAATATCAGTTTAATCAATTTTAATTCTTTTTCATGAAAATAATATTTAGATAACGAATGATTAAAAATAGAAATAGGTGGAATTTTTTCATTTAAAATTGAGTAACTTTTATTTGATTGAATTTTTCAACCTCAACTTTTAAAATAATTAACTGTAATATAACTTTTCTCATCTAATAAAAAAAATTCATGAAAATTGTTGTAATATCTCTCTCCCTTAATATAAATAATTTACCTATAAATATTGTTTGTAACCTTTTTATAAGTACTAAAAAGTATAATGATAAGTAGTGATAACAAAGCCAAACACACTCCTAAAATAATTAGCTTGTTATTTTTTATATCTTTACATTTTGTGCAGCTAAAAAGCCCTGTTTTAGCATAAGTTTCATTCCAAAATTATCTGCTACTATCACATTCTTCACATAAAGGTCCAATATGCCTGAAATTAACAAAAAAAAATATTTATTTTTTTTTAATTTAATAAAAATTTTTTACCCCTCAGAGCAAAGAAAATTGTCAAATTAATCTCCCCCCTTACAATTTTCTTTTAAGTTTGAACACTCCACAAGCACTTCAGGTTTTGATTCACTTCTCCAAAATCCCTTTTCTAAATTCCAATAATTTCCATAGCTGCTATTAACACCATTTGGCTTTAATAAAAAAAATGATTCTAATTTAAAATTATTAAATAAAAGAAAGTAATTTACTTTATTTTTACAAGTTGTCATATCAGTAGGCTTTTCAAATGAATATGTGCTGTACGGGCATTAATAACAAATTTCAGCTTAGTAGTTCATTCGAAACTCTCCCTCCTTACAGTCTCTAAACTAAATATTGACTTGAACATTAAAATTATCATCAAAAATTTAATCTTGGTAATAAGGATATCTCATTTTTAATGAGAACTTTAATCTCCTTTTATCATTTCCCCTGTTTTTAAATAACATTTTTTTTAGGTTATTTCCAGCAAAAAATGTCAGAAAAGATAAAATAAAAAATAATTTAATTAAATAAAAAACAATTTAAAATAATTTATTAATTAACTGATCAATTTACTTGATGAAATATGATGAATAAGCAAAAAATTTAGATTATAAATCCACCTCTTGTAAAAGGGAAATGTAATGAGAGGCATCATTCTCATCTACTTTTTATATTTATAGAAAATCGGATATATCTCTGTTTTTTCTACTTTAATTTCTAATTTGAGACTGTTAAGATTTGCTTTAAGACTCCCAATTGTTTTCATCTATAATCTCATATGATCCATTTTTTACATCTTCATATCCTTTATGCTCCGGATTTGGATTTATCGATATTTTTGTATTTATGTCATCAATTTGAAGAGCGAATATGTGAAACTCAAATAAAACTTTGCTTCCACTCCGAAAATCTTTTATTTCTACACTCCAATCTGACATCGATCTTTAAAATGGTACATTCTTATGACTATTAAGCAAATCAGAGTTAGATTCTTGAATTTTTTACACAACTAATGATTAGAAATTTTAAATTGAATCATGACCTTCTATTTTACCAAAATTATTTATAAATGTGATATTAGATAGGTCTAAATTAATATCATCATTCTATATAAATAAACCTCCTCCAAAGTAAGACTTGCAATTTTCTATTTACATGGTTATTTTAGGTTTTAAAAAAGTTGAGCCTCCTAAATTAGGTAACCCTATTTTGCTTAAAAATGCAGCACCTGCATACTAAGAGCTAGAACAGTTGTAAATAGTGATACCAGAGAGACTCATATTGTAAATTTCACTAAAATAAAAAGCTCCGCCTGTTATTTCAGAGTAAAAATCTCTAACGTGAGTGTCATTTACTATTACTGTATGAGTTTCTTAAATAAAAGCAAATCCGCCATACTAAGCGTTATACTCTTTTTCATATTTATTATTTATTGCAGTTATATTCGAAAATCCTACACATCCAAAATAATGACTGGATTTTATGTAAAGTGATCCTCCTGCTTTCACTGAAACGTTGCTGTCGAAAATAGTGCTTTTTACATAAATAAGCTTAACATGTATGGCATTTATTGCTCCTCCATTTCCTAGTCTTGCCACGTTATCTTGAAATAAGCTATCTTATACTTTAAAATATCCTATAAATTCGCTATGTATGGCGCCTCCTTCAGTAGATTAATTATTGATAAATTTAGTCTAGCGTATAATTATGTTATTGGAAACTTTAATATGGACTATACCTCCTCCTTGGTAAGAAACTGAATTGTTTATTAATTTTGAATCTTTAATTACTATAATATCACCTTTCATTATCTTAATAATAGCATTAGGAGAGTGGCAATTTTCAACTGTAATATTTACAAGCTAAATATTCTTGTAATTCATAAAATTAAAAATTCCTCCAGCATCATTGTCGTTCATTCTTGCTTTCTGTATATCTTTAAAAACTGCATTATTCAACTTTAAATCAATTAAAGATTCCTGACCGTTCTCATAATTCGAAGACAAAATATTAATAAATCCATGATTTATCTAGCTTTTTCTTAAATAAATCATTTCTTCTATATACTCTTTGTCATAGTTTATTTTAATATTGTCAAAATAAATCTAGTCGAACTCAATATTGTTTTTCTAGGACTATCCTTTCATTGCATTTTGAGAATCGTAAAAAGCAAATGGATTTATGTTCATCATCAAAAAACTATGTGCTATTTAGCAATCCGTTATCCTAAACTTATTTATCCTCAAGTATGAAATACCGAAAAACCTGAAGACTGATGGGAAATCATTGACTAAAATAATATAAAAACAGTCAGATAAAATTAAAAAGTTTAACTTAAACTGTAAATTGTTCAAGATATATAAATAGCATGAATAAATTAAAAAATTACTCTCTATTTTACTTGTGTAATACTCCATGCTCATAATAAGAAACACATTTTCTAATTTCAAGTTTTCTATTTTTACATTTTTTATATCTATAAAGCAAAAGAATCCCTCTAAAGAAATGTCTTGTCTCCCGTTCATAAATACGTCTACTAACTCTACCCCTGTGCCTGACTACAAGTAAAATATTCTCATATATTCGTTTTACTTAATATTCTAAAAAGTGATGTTTTCTATTTTGATTATTTCGAACTTCTTCGCTTATAAAAATAGTTAATCTGTGGAGATATATCTCATTTGCACTGAACTAAGACCAAAATATTTGACATTTTAATCTATTTCAAATATTATAACATTATTCAGAGTAACATTGTAAAAATCCACATTTTCCAATTAAACTTTGTTGACATTTTTAAAATAAAATAGCTGCTGATTTACTCTCCTGCTACTTGGTGAGTTAATACTCCCCTAAAACACTTAATTTGTAGCCTTAATTCCATTAATTTTAAGAAAAAACATATTGTTGAAGATAATTTTGAAAGATGAGCACTAAATCATATCTAAATCAATATCATTAACAATCACTGTATCAGTAAGCCCAGTAGCGTTAATGACTCCTTACTCTGTTATGTTATAACTAAAATCCTTTAAGAATTCAAGTTAACTATAATTGCATTTTTCAGGTGATAATTGTTTCCCATTATCACCTTTTTTATTATTATTATTATTATTATTATCATTTGTGGTTGGAGTATTAAAAATGTCATTATCGTAGTTATTATCAATGCCTTATTTGTTTAGTTTAGATTAGATGTATTGTTCAATTTCATCTAATTGGTCTAACTATCCATTTATGGACTTTAAAATAAATATTAAAATAAATAGAATTGAGTTAGTAAAAACCTTCTTCATTAAAATGCCAATTATTATTAAATAGATATTAAAAATACAGTTTTTATGTTTATTGATTTTACCTCAAATTATCTTGCTTTTTTGTAATAAATTTCTTGTTTATCTTCAATTTATAAAATGTTCGTTTATGAGTCAGTACTAGCTATTGATAGTACTTTTTGTAGTTGTTTGTTTATCTCTACTTACACATTTTCTCGAAGACTTTGATTACATATATGCATTGGTACTAAATGAATCTATATATATATTTAAGCTAAAAAATATGATTGATAACATTATACTTCCATATTTATGTAACAAAAAAAATTATGTAAAATATTAATCTAACTTATCTTTACCTTATAAAAAAAATAAATACTCATATCTAAATTATGTAAATGCTTTATATTTTTTGTATTTGCTTACAATTTATATTAATTAAAATATTGTGTTATTTCAATTAAATATTAAAAGAGAAATATATAAATAGGATATTGTAAAATTTCATCAGTGATATAATTAAATAATTTTTTTAAAATAGCTAAAATATTTTGAGATACAGAGAGCATAAAACTCTCTATCAAATAAATATGGGTATATCAATTTTTAAAAATGTTAAGGTGTATATTATTAAGTAACATAAGAAAAAAATGTAGTTCTTTTTTTCAAAAATATGAAAAATACAAAATAGTAATATATTTTATCATAATAATAGAAAAAATAAAAAAATCAAATTTTAATTTAAAAAAATTGTTTATTAAAATAAATTTGATTTGTTGTGTGTATTTATTTAATTAAGGTATCTATTTAAAAACAGATTTCAACTTATTTACTAACAGTTAAAATAGTCTATTGTTTGCTATATTTTTAAGTTCACTATTACTAACAAGTTGATGTGGATGGATAATTATCTTTTATAAAATTTAATAAATTTATGATACATGATATACTACTAATTAAATTTAATTGGTAGAATCAATATTACTTATTTTACTTTAAAAGTGTTATTTTTTTAAATTTACTTTATTTTATTAAAGTAGATGAAAAACATTTTTTAAATGAATTTTTTTTATATTAATTTATTTAAAGATAAATATATTATTAATACAACATAAATATGATTTATGGATTTTAATCATAGAAGAGTTTTTTCAGAAAGCAAACATAAATAATATAAATAATGTATCAAGCATATTAAAATGAGATTAAAGAACTTCTTTTAAAAATACTATTAAATTATATTTACTGTTTTATATTTAAAACTATTTATTAGGTTATTGCAAAATTTACAAATTCAAATTCATTCGTGTTAAAATATTTTAGTATTTTAATTATTCAATGACAACAAAAAATTTGAATTTCCTTATTCTTTATGAAAAATATTTATTGATAATAAAATTTAAATTAAAATAGAATTAATTAAAGTTTACTTAGATATTTTTTTCATTATTTTTTTGTTTTAACTAAAACTTTATCCTTAAAATATTATCTAAAATTAATTGTAATTTGTTAAATAAATAGAAATATTTAGATTAACCAATTTATTTTAAAAAAATAAAAAAATAATTTTTAGTCATATTTAAAAAATAAATTTTGATATTTAAGTTAAATTTATAATGCTAGTAGATGTTTTACAATCTAATTATTATATAAATGGTAGCTAAAAACAAAAAGAAACGATAAAAAATATGATATTATTAATATCTTAATAGAGAATCTTTAAATGAGGACTTTCTGATCTTCGGAGAATAAAGGCAATCTAGTAGTAATTATTGTATGTATTATCATAAAGATCTTATCTCACGAGTAGAAATCAATAAAAAGATAATTAATGTAATCTTCTTTCATAAATGAATAGGAAGATTTAAGAATAGCAAAATAGTATAAATGCACTTATTTGAAAAACAGATATTTTGATATTTAAAAATAAATAATTTGTTTGTTTTTTTTGTATGTTATAAGTCAGTCATTCAGTTTGTCATTCATTAATATATGAATAGATTTTTAATTTTTAATTAATTATATAGTAATTTATGTATCTAGTTTATATAGATTAGCAAGCAATATATCTCAGAACAATAAAAAAAATAAAAAATATTGCTTTTTATATAAAACAAATCATTTCAAATAAGAAATTTAGAGAAAAACTAAAGCAAACCTATTCATAAAGAATATCAAAAAAATAAAAGTTTTTTAGTAATTAAATCAGATGTCAGTAAGTTAAGGTGCAGGATTGAAGGCATTTTATCTTTCTAAGATTGAAGAGCTCTCTTTGAAAGTTAATGAAAAGTCATAGAATATAAAACGTTTGGAGGCTTAAAGAAACGAATATAATAATCAAGGTATATCATTAAGCGTTGATTTATTTAGTAGATTATAGATAAGAGCAAAAATTTTCATAAAATAATCAAAAAGCTGGCTAATTACAGCAGTAAAAAAAGGCACAAGCACAAAATGCATAAAGCTTTTCTTAATTTGATTAATAAAATAATCTTGCCAATTTTTCATCAAATAATTACAAATCTATTTTTAAAATGTTTAAAAGACAACAATATTTAATAAATAATTAACTTGAGATGAAAACAAAAATGCTTGATTTGTTTTGTAGTGATTGAATTTACCTTTACTACACTCAATAAATTGTTTGATTAATTTAAAATATCACAGCTTTTAAAATTATTTCTAAAAATTTTGTTTAACTTATAATAAATAAATAGTTCGTATGCTCAAAGAAGAATTTTACTCTTTATAATCACCTCACTCTTATGTTGGTGAAGTTGTTAAGCCAATGGGAAAGAGCAAAGTTTTAGTTAAGGTAGAATATACAATTAAATACAATATTTTATTTTAGACAAAATAAAATATATATTAAATTTTTACTTTTGGTTTATGCAATATAAAAATAATAAATTCTTAAATGATTAGATATCTCCTGATGGCAAATATGTAGTTAATATAGATAAAAGCATTAAAATTGAAGATTGTTTACCAAATACTCGTGTTGCTTTAAAAGGTGACTCTTATGTTCTTCACAAGCTTCTTCCCACTAAGGTTGATCCTTTGGTTTCTCTCATGAAAGTCGAAAAGGTACCCGATTCTACTTATGATATGATCGGTGGTCTTGATCAATAAGTTAAGGAAGTAAAGGAAGTTATTGAATTGCCAATTAAGCATCCTGAAATTTTTGAGTCTCTTGGTATTGCTTAACCTAAGGGTGTTCTCCTTTACGGACCTCCTGGTACTGGTAAAACCCTTCTCGCCAGAGCTATTGCACATCATACAGTAAATAATTATATTAGAAAATAAACAGTTGGAACCCTCCTATATTTATCACCAATATTTTATTTAAAAATTTAAATAAATTAGAAGAAAAACGAACTAAAAAATAAATATTAATGTAAAAAAGCTCTAGGTTTTTCTGAAATAAAATATTTTTAAAATAAATTTTAGAATTTTTGTTAAATTTATTAGGGATTTAATTAAATTTTATAATTATGAGTTTATAAAAAGTATTTAGTAATAAAAATAGAAAAAGAGCTAAAGAAAATTTTAAGAATTTAACTTGAAAATATAGTTTTACGAAATCAATTGAGATTTAAACAGTCAAAAAAAATAATAAATAATTTTTATTTCCAGAAAAAATTAATTGTCTTATTATTTTAACTTAGCTAATTTATTTTTATTGAATAGGATTGTACTTTTATTAGAGTTTCTGGTAGTGAATTGGTTTAGAAATATATTGGTGAAGGAGCAAGAATGGTCAGAGAATTATTCGTCATGGCTAGATAACATGCTCCTTGTTTGATTTTTATTGATGAAGTCGATTCTATCGGTGGTGCAAGAATTGATAGTGATAGAGGTGGTGACTCAGAAGTACAAAGAACTATGCTTGAACTTCTTAACTAAGTAAATAAATTAATAAAAAATATAATTAAAAATGGTATTTTTAATTTTTTAAAATTTTTAAATAGCTTGACGGTTTTGAATCTACAAATAACATTAAAATTATCATGGCTACTAATCGTATTGATATATTAGATCCTGCTCTTCTTAGACCAGGTCGTATCGATAGAAAGGTAGAGTTCCCTAATCCTAGTGTTGAGGTAATTGATAAAACATGATATTTTTTATTTAATTATTAAGCATACTATTTATATTTAAAAAATAATTATAAATTTATAGGCTAGATTAGAAATCTTATCAATCCACTCAAAGAAAATGAATCTCATGAGAGGTATTAATTTAAAGGCTATAGCTGAAAAGATGGGAGGAGCTTCTGGTGCAGAATCAAAGGTGAATAATAATTATTTTATATTTTATTAATTAATATTTTTTTAAATATTTATTATTAGGCTGTATGTACTGAAGCTGGTATGTTTGCATTAAGAGAAAGAAGAATTCATGTTACTCAAGAAGATTTCGAAATGGCTGTTTCAAAGGTTATGAAAAAGGACTTAGAAAAAAATATGGCTCTTCGTAAATTATGGACATGATCAATTATTAATAAAATATTTTATCTAATAATTTTTTGAATGCAAAATTAACTAGCTAATAATTTAATAATGAAAATAAAGCAACTTGGAATAATTAATTTAGATTATTTATATAAATCTATCAAAGCATATTAGTTTTACAATCTTTGTTTATATCTTGTAAACAACACTCTTCTTTTTATAGTCCAATTAATTACCAAAATAAGTATTTATCCCTTTATAACAAATATAATAACCTAATAATATGTCTATTATCAATCAGTTAATCAATTAATCAATCAATTTTAATTTTAAGCTATTAAATTAAACAATAGTAGCTAATTTAATAAGCATTTAATTGGTAAAAAGAAACAAATAAGTAAATAATTATATTATTAATTAGTTTCTATTAATTATTAATAATCAGTCAATATTCTAAAAAATAATTGAAACAAATGTTTAATCATTTTTGTTAATTAATTTTTTGACTAAGATTTGATTAAAGGTCTTTCTTTTATTAATTATTTTTTAAAAAATTTGATTATTCAAAAATTTTTGAGTAAAATATATTTACTTTTCTCCAACTTTTTCATATTTTGTTTCTTTTAAAATTCAAAAGTTTTATTTAACTATTTTGTCAACTAAAATTTTTTTTGGTAATTAAAAATATGTTTAGAAGCAAAACAATATCATTATGATAAAATAAATATTTATTTTTAAGCTGATAAGTAATTATTTCTGTTTGCAATAATAATTTTATAACTAAAAAAATATATAAATGATTCATTGTTTTTAATTGATTTTTTTATAATTAAATGCATCTATTTTTTAGATTAGTAGAATGTATGATTTAATATCTTTAATACATTCATTCCTACATAAAAATTTATACAAATTTGATTTGATAATTAAAAATACTAATAAATAAATTAAAAATAGATAGACTTAATCAATAACAAAAAATGTCAAATGTAAACATCTTTATTCATAAAATAGATTGATAATGGTAGCAAATTAATTAATTAATTTTATTTTTTTATGATAGAATTAAGAGTTTAAGCCTCTTAGAGAGCAAGCAAAAGAGAAAAATGAAAAATATGAAAAGATCAGAGAAAGATATGAATAAAGAGGGCCAAATAATAATAACAGCAATTAGAAGAAAGAAGACTAGAAGATGTAGAATAATTTGTACATGCTAAGTAACTTATAATAAATAATTAACTATTATTTAAATTTATTTATAATTTTTTATTAGAGGATAGCTTCAAAGGTGAGCTTTATAACGAAGAAGATTTCGATCATTTCAACTATTTTAATTCTTTAAGAGAGAAATAACAAGCAATAGAAAGACAAGATTTAAATGATCTCGAAGCGTTTAAGATAAATATTTATTCATTCATTCATCTTTTATTTATTTTAATTTTATTTATTTGAGGTCTTATTTATCTTTATAAAAATTATATACTTTTTGGAAAACACAATTCCCGTGCCAAAACCATCGTGACCATTGAAGACAAAGAAAAAGTTGAAGTAAGTCTTGTGAAATAGTCAGATTAAGCAGTATCCTTAAAGCTAAATAATAAAGTATTTTTTTAGTATTCCAAATACTTAAAATATAAATTATTCTTTTTAATAAAAGGTGTAAGTCAGAGCTAAAAAGATTTCTGAGTCAAACAATAGCAAGGAAGATAATAACTTAAATATAAAAAGGGAAAGGAGTGATTCATAAAATGCAATAACAAAATAAGATTCTTCATCTTCCTAAAAAAAGATAAAACCTAATGATTCCTAGTAAGATGAATCTAAGCCATCAGCTGTAGAGCCAAATATTAGCAAAAATGATAGCAAAGAAGCACCTAAAAAAGAAGTAAAAAATCTAGCAGCAGTTTTGGGATACTCTTCATCATCTGATTCTGAATGAAAAATAATTTTATAAAGAAATAAAATTGAAAATATTGTCCTTCATATCTAGAATAAATAATGAACCCAATAAATAATTTAAATCAAAATTAATAAATAGAAAAAAGTCTTCTAAATTTTATTCTAAAATAATGTGTTTGTAAAATAAATATTATTATTTGATTTGATTAATATAAAATAATAAAATACTATCTTAAATATATAAAAAATATATTACAAGTTACCAAAATTTTTTATAGTGAGTGATTGATATAAAGGGTTTATAGTTATTTAATATACATCTAATTAATTGCTCTGCCTGAGCCTTCTATTTTGTTTAAATTTATTAGAGATCTTCTTGAAAAAAATATCAATTTGTAAATCACATTTCTTCCATTTGATTGTTGTTGAAGAATTTTTCATCAAATTTAACATACTTTTTCTATTCATTAGTTTTAGCATACCCATAGTAAATCTAATTCTAAAAGCTAAATGAATCTTCAGATTTTTCATCCTAATTATCAGCTTCTGAGTTTTCGTTTTCAAGAGGTTTTTTACCAGCTTTTCTTTATAATTTTTAATAATACTCATCATCATGATCAGCATCTTCTTCATCATCACCATTGTAATATTCTAAGTCATCTTCATCATCAGCATTGACTACTTCACCATTATATGTCATATTATACTCATAAAATTCTATTAAAATAAGAGGATAGAACTCTTTTATATCTTTTCTGCTGACTCTACTATCGACAGGCTATTGTTTATTAGGTCTAATTTTCCAAATAATATCACAAGCAAAATATCCATCATCCTTCGTCCCTACTCTTTTGTCTATGACCATATTTTTTATAGATTTTGGTTCATCTATACCAAGTATACCATAAAAAGGAAGCTTATCATATAAAATTTTGCATTTTTTTGGAATTTTTCTTTTTGTTTTAACTATTCTTCTTGATTCAGAGACTTCTTGCTCACTATTCTCATCTGAGCTACTATTTGAATCATTAATATTCTATCCTTTTTAATTTTTTCTATTTCCTCCTCTCTTCGGTTTTTTTTTATTGTTATAAATTCTACCCTTTCTTCTACCATTACTTTTTCCTCTTTAATTTGTATTTTCATCTTAATTATCTTCTGAAGAGCTTCTACTGCATGAATCTGAACTGCTTCCGCTTCTACTTTAACTATTATCGCTATTGCTTGAATTATTTTAGCTATTATCTGAATTTTTATCACTTTAAGAATCGCTCAAATCTTCATCACTGCTAAGAAATCTATCTTAGCTTTTGCTAAATCTTTTCTATTAATATTTTCTTTTAGCCCCAACCAATTAATCACTCTCTTTATATAAATCAAATATAAATAAATGTAAAAGAAATTTAAATCTTCAAAATAATTACTTTCATATTCAGAAATTTTATCGGCATGGTCAAGCATCAAAGCCTTTCTTCTAATCCATACATCTTCTCCGCCATTTTTTAGAGAAACCAAATAAAAAACTTTACTATTTACATATTTTTTGTCTATTATCCTATCCATATTCTTGATTTTTTGTAATTCCTTTCTATTTTACTACTCTTCCCAATCTTCAAAAAGCCAATTGCAATGAGATATGTTTTTATAAAATTCCTGGTTTATAATAACACATTTTTTATTGAGCTCTAATTATGGAAATAAATTTATGTATTTACCCATGTTGCTTGTGAAGCCCTAAAACCTTTCCATTTAACCAAATAGGAAGTACCACTTTAATTAACTTTTTTATCTAATATCTTTTCAGGTTCATAAAGATCTTCCTGCTTTTCATTATTTGTTGATTGTCTTCTCTTTTTCATGTTTGAAATTAGTACTTTTTTACTTATATCTATTTATCTATCTACTTATCTTTTTTATAAATAATTAAATTTTAAAAATTTTATGGCTCAAAAATTAAAATTTGATTTATCAATAAACTAATTAACTAATAATAAATAGTAAATTCGCATTAAAAGATTTGCTAGAGAATTTATAATACTTTATTTGTTAGCACAATTTAATTATTCTAATTTATTAATTTTTAGCTTAGCTAAGTGGAAAATTAACCAAATACCAACCTACATATATACATAGCCTAATCAGAACTTTAAACTAAAAATAACTTTATAGCAATAAACTCGTTTTACAATGAAAAACTGAGATAGATGGATTTTTTTTTTAAATTTATTTATTTGCTTATAAAAAATGAAATAGAAATATTTATTTTTTAAATCTAATTCAATATCAATGATAATTTTTAAAATATTTTTATAAATTTATATAAATTAAATAAATATCTTATTCTAAAAATACAATCAATATTTTAAAATAAATATAAAAATGAATAAAACAAATTTTTTTAAAATTTTTTATGAGTAAAATGATTATCATAAATTTATTAAATAAAAATAAAGAGTAAAACTTTAAAAAGTTAAATTTAAAGTATTAAAAATTAAATAAATTAGTATAAAATCAAGCATAATAAAAAGATTAAATATTTAAAAATTAATACAAAATTAAAAAAATCAAAACTATTTTATATGTTAAAAAGAAAGCAAAAGTCGTTATTAATTTTTATAAAAATTAAATCAATAAATAATATAGAAATAAAATTAATTTAAATTTAGATTATATAATAAATTAATTTTGATTTAACTCTAATTTTAGTAAAATATTTCATTCTTACTAAATTTTGAAGCTGTTTCATTTCAATATCCAATTCTTTTATGAACTTTAATAGTTACAATGAACATAACAATTTAAAGGCTGTAGTAGACAATAAAATAAACCGGAGTATAAAAAACCATATAAGGCAATTATAATATCATGCCTAATATTTCGTAAAAAGGAACCAAAAATTATCCAATACAACCAATTAAATTACAAATAGCTCTACTACACTCACTGCGGTCTGTTTCATAATAGGAATTTATTTCTTATTTTTTATAGTCATAAACAGTTACTTTATAAACAATTTCAGGTGGAGTCCAATGAAATAATTTATTAAATATTTTGAAAGTTATGAATGGAACTATCATAAAAATCCCAAATGGCCTCATGTTATAACCCTCTTTCTTTTTAATAAGTAATAGCACTATGCATATATATGTAGCAAAAAACCAAATCACACTATTCCAATAGAAAAACATAGGATAGATCATAATACTCTTTTCACTATATTTCCAACTAGAGCAGTTAACTTGACTGAAAATAAAAGCTTTTGAGTTATTTAAATAACAAAATGTCAATTTATACAACAAAATTTTTATCATTTTTAATAATTATATTTTTAATATTTAAAGATTCTACGATAAAAAACTTTTGTGTGTTGAAAATAATTATTAAAATTTATTTATTTTGATTATAAAGTAAGAGTAGGTATTAATTACAAAACTATAAATTGAAAATATTTTATTTTAAGTCAAGAGTAAATAAAATAATAGAAAATCTAAAAATAAATACCTGTAAATGGAGATAATGTTACAGATGAGATGTAATCTATAATAAAATTATAACAATCTCTTTGTCTAATATCATTTCTGAATTGGTAAGTTATCTTTCCTAGAATTGTACATTAATGTATTTCAATTAATTAAAAAGTGATATAATAAGCTTTCCACATCAAAATCATAGCAAGAATTGCATTGTAAAAACCTTCCTTATTATTTTCCATTATTTCTCCATAGTATCTATTATCTAGAGAATCACAATCATGTATGTAAAGCTCATTTTTTGCTAAATAATATTCATAATTAATATTTGTATTATTTAAAGAATTATTAGGAGGATTAGAGCTAGGAACTTCAAAAAGCTGAAATTAGTTACTGAATTTTCCTACTGAATTAAAGATTAATAAGGCAACAAAATATAAGGCAACAATTAATTTCAAAATATAAAATAATCTGAGTAAACAGCTTATTTAATACGAATCTTTATCACTATATAAATCTTATGTTTGCATCTCTATTTGGTTTTCGTTTATGTATTATGTTTGCTCTTAATTTATAGACTACTCTGAGGTATTATTGATGCTTGGAGAAGCATAATTATTGATTTATTGTTGCTACATTATGGGAGGTTAGCATTAATTCGTATTTTAGTATACTACATATTAATATTGCGGAGTCACTACGTATTATACCTAATTTTAGCTATATATCTGCTAGTCTTGTTATACATATTGCTAAGGCACGTATTAGTTATTCTAATATTAATTATCATAGTTTTGCTAATTATTATAGTACATTTTTATCTACTTTATTTATTTGAAATAAATAGATTTAGTTAGATTTTAAAAAGATTAACTTAAAAATAAATTTTTTATATAATAAAATATTAAATTACTTAAAGCTAAGATTGAGAACTTGTTTTGATTGATAGTTTGTTAACTATATTAATTTATGTATATATTAATGATTATATTTATTTTATCAAATATTTTGATATTTTATTAAGTTTTTGATAAAGACACTTAGCAATTATTAATAATTTATCTATAATCAATTTTAAATTTATTGAATTAGATGCTATTTTATAAAGAAAGACGATTATTTAAAATTTGTGGTGATAAAGTAAAATTTGGTTAATATCTAATAATAAAGAGTATCTAATTTACCATTCTTATAGTAAGAATTTTACAAACAAAAGTAATAATAAATGATTCACAGAATACCATAGAAAACCCTTTACATTTTTTATATTTTAAATCAATCAAAATGTAAATATCACTGTAAAATATTTTAATAAATTTTCTAAAAAAATTATAAGAGCCATAAATCTTGAATTAAACATTTTTTAAGCCAAGAAATATTTTTGAATTCAAACTTTTTTACAGTTCAATAAGCTAGTTTGTGGAGGAATTTATTGATTGAATAATAACCTTTTAATATAAAAAATACAAATTTGGATTACTTACTAAGTTAATAATCAATTATTTTTGATTTGAAAGATAGATAAATTTGATTGTTTATAATTAATATAGACAAAAAATAAAAATTCTCCTTAAAATTAAAAGGTAAGGTCTTTTGTGGGAACTCCTTAACTTAAATTTAATGATTATAAACATCAAAAAAAAACTATAAATTTCTTTTATATAAATTATAAACCATTTCTCTTCTCTCCCTCAAAAATTGGAGATTATTTATAAACAAAAATTAACAATATAGTTAGTTACACATTAGTCAATCAGTATATATATTCATAAAATTTATTTGTTTGGAAAAAAATCCTTCCGTTTTTTTAATGAATTAGTTTTAAGCATATTTTTAAAAAATAATAATTAAGCTAATAAATTGCCTCAAATATTTTTAAAAAAATGTAATAGTTATTAGATCAAAAGAGAATGTATTTTTAATTAAATATTTGATAAATTTCCTTTTGGTGTTTGCTTTAAAACTCTTAAAAATACTCACTCAATATCTGATTTCTAAACAAATTATTTTTAGTTTTTTTCTAAATAAGTACAATAATACAAATCAGATAATGTCAATATTAAGTAATTTCAAATAAATTAAGTTATAACAATCAAAAAATTCATAAAACGCTACAGTAGCTTAAATAAACAGGTTCTAGTGAAGCAATATGATTAAAATGGAACAACTGAATCTTAGTGTTTGAAATGATTAAATAAAGATTGCTTGGAAAGATGATGCATTCATTTAGAAGATTTTATAGATTAAAAAGACAAAGAAATAATAGAAAATTAATTGGACACTACTAAATGACTAAAAAATGACTTATTAGATTTAACTTTTTTGTTATAAAAAGTAACAAAATAATGTTCTTTCAAATTTAATTTAATAAATAGAATAAATAAAAAATAATTAATTTAAAGATTTGCTGAGTAAAAAAGACCTTTATTAAAAAATATGAACATTAAATTGGCAATTATTTATGTAAAAATGGAATGAAATTTCATAAATTAAGTAATTTAAATATATTTTTCCATGTGAGAGATAGATCTTGTATATTATTAATATAATTTTTACAATAGTATTTCATTTAATTTTATTCAAACACTGAGATAATTGAAAACGAAATTAACTTTTAAGATAATTAGTAATCTCAGAATTTTAAATGGCTAAATATTAATCTCAAATTTAAGATAGATATCGAATTTATAAATAAATTTAGTAATCAAATAGAAATTATTTGTAGAACTTGATTCAATAAATTTTAAATTATTGTAAAAAAGCCGGATTAAATACTCTTAATCAAATTGAGTAATAATATATTGCTGTCTCTTAAAACATTAAAAAGATAATAAATAAATAACTTCTTTATTTTGAAAAATAAATTAAATAATTATTATTACTAAAATTTCAGCTTGATTTTATGAAAAGTATTCTTTGTCATTTTCAACCAAATTCAGATAAATTATCATTAAATAATACTTTCAATTTATTAAAATTTGTAGAGTCTTTATCATAATATTACACTACTATAGACTATTCTTAATTTTAAGACTATTTAATATAATTCTTTACTTCTTCATAGCTCTTTTTAATTATAGTAAATTCGATATCACTAAAAAAATTAGGATAAGCAAATATTTTACACCATTTAAATAAAAAGTTTTAAATTTGAAATTTATGATTTTTCTAATATATATTTTAGATTATTTAAATACTTTCTTTTTAAAATTATTCTCTGAAACATAAATCATTTATTGCTACTCTGTAATTTCAAAAGTTTTTTATTTATTTATTTGAAGATGAAGAATACATAATTATTGAGTTTAAATTTTTTTTAATAATTTTTATTTATTTTTTCAATGAAAAATTTACTATTTTTTTCAACATTTTTATATAATTAAAATAAATATCATAAAAGTTCCTATATTAAGGCACTAACATTCTCTATTTAAAATCATTTATAATTAAAAAATTTTCAAAGTTTCAAACAAGGATCTTTTAGAGTTTTAATATATGAGCCTAGTAACGTATAATTGATTTAGATTTAATAAATAGCAACTAAAGCGTCTATATATTAAATAGATCTTATATTTTTTGATGATGAGTTGTTTCTTATCAATTTTTCTATATAAATAATTTAGTAAAAACTTCAATAATAAATTTATGTGAATAAATTTTAATATTATATTCTTATAAAAATTGTTTTCATTAAAATTTCTAAATAATAAACTATTTATTATATAAGTAATTTTATTGATGTAGAAAATATTATTTAATTTATTATTTATTGATTATTGTATAATTTTTAAATTTACTTTCAATTGTGAAAAGTATTTTTAATTTAAATTTTTAACATTTTAGTTGCTTATTTTTTTAATTTTAAGGAAATGTATTAATTTTCATTAAAATTATTGATTGATACTTTAATTAAAAAATGGAGGAAGACTGGCTTATTGAATTTTTGTATAAAGCTGCATTGATAGTAAAAATTGATGTATGATTTGGTTAATCAATGAATGATAACTAAGAAGGGAAGTTATCTTTATTATAAGATTCAAAAATTATTTAAAAATATATTGAAAAGTGAATTAATTTATAACATACGAATCAAAATAAAAATAATAATAACAAGAAGAAGAATAACAAATATTAATAAGACAGCTGTATATAAACAAGAAGAAAAGAGGTCTTATATTAACAAAAGTATTGAATTAGCAAATAGATTGCAGGAAAAAGATCAGCAATTAGCAGTTGAATAAGCACTTTACAATATAAAAAATCAATTTATTTTATTGACCAAATGTAAACATTTGGAAAAAGCAATATTTAAAATAGTATTTCCACCTCAAAAAATGCTCAAACTAAAGGTCCTGTCAAAATGGTATGTTTATTTTCTTTTAATTCCTTCATTATTAGTTATTAGCAATTACTGCAAAGATTTCAAAATAAAGTTTGAGGTAGTGTCTTTGCTAAAGAAAATCAAATTCAAATTATTATTTAAATTTGCCATTTTATTAAATTTTATTATTATTTGTTTTTAGACTCCTAGCTAATTGGTGCAAAGACAACTAAGCGGAAACATCTTGGAGGATTTCTATTAGAAACCATAAATAAAGAAGTTTTTGAATTTAGCTGACTACTCCAATTACAAGGATACAAATGTACCAATAGATGAGCCACTCTTTGAGCCCATCCCTCCTCTCATATAATTTACTGATTATGAGCCTCTTTAGCTTAAAGAAAAAATATTTAAATTAAGAAATAAAGATAAAGTTGTTCGCAGAGTCAAAATTCTTTAGCCAGATTCTCGTTTGTTTTAGGTCTAACCAGCTCCCTCTAATGCCTCTAGTAAAAAGTCAAATGAAGCTGGAAAAAATTATTTAGGGAACAAAGTAAACAAATTAAAAGCAATAGAAGCAAACCATTTTAAAGTCATGCTGCCAAAATTAAAAAAAACATTTACTGCTGGATTGAATAAGCATTTTTTTATTTTAAACTAGTGGTTTGATTCAGTTTTTTTCTATTAATCATAACTACATGCAATGATTAAAACAAAAGTGAATAAGTTACAAACAAGTTTTCAAATAAATAAAAATCTAACTTTAATAAATATTTTATCATCCTGCATGAATGTTTAAATTAGAATGATTAAAATTTTAACTTTTAAGTTAGCTTAAATGCGAAAAAGCTAACAAGCAATATTGATTTAATGAAATAAATAAATAGAAGATATTTTATTGGCAAAAATCAAAAAATTAATTAATTAAAATTAGAATCAAAATACAACCAACGTTTTATTTTTCTCTGTACAAGTTGATTTTTATCTATGAACAATTAAATTTCAAATAATAAAATAGATATTCAAGCTAGCATAAATAAATACATACATAAATAAATAATAGTTCATATACGAAAATAACTCTCAGCATTACTTAGAATTGTTTAAATATATAATGATTAATTAATTATTATTCATTCATATTTATTAATTAGATAGCACCAGGAATGGAAGCATGCTTTATTATTAAATTTTCTCCTGAAGCTAAGATTGATTATTAATATGAATTGGTAGTTGTTACAGAAAGAGAATAATTTATTGTTCCTATTTATGCTATAGGAAAGAGAGCCATGATCGACTTTCCTGATATTTTAGATTTTGGTTAATGCCCAGTCAAATATGTAACCGAAAAACCTATTATTATTAGAAATTTGGGTGAAAAGACAACCAAGTGGTTCTTGACTTTACCTTAAGATTTTGAAGCAGACAAGAAAGAAGGTGTTTTAGAATACGGCAAAAACGAATAAATTGTCATTAAGTAAAAAATAAAAAACAATATAAAAGATATTAATTTCAATAATTTTAATATAGATTTTATCCCAAAGAAGCCAAACCATACAAGAGTGAGGCAATCTTGATGTATGATAAATTATAAGCATATATTCCTATCCTAGGTTCAGCATAAAATCATGTTGTATATCTTTCTAAGAGTTTTGTTTAGATGGACGAAGCATATATTGGATTACAAACTTAACAAACATTATAAATTATAAATAAATCTGCTGTGAAGGTCGACTTTGAATGGAGAGCTTTCTCAACTGAAAAAGAAGAACAAGAAAAGAAAAATAGACTTAAGCAGCAACTTGAAGAAGAAGAAGCTGAAGAAAGAATGCTTCTTAAAGAAATTGTCAACAATGAAGCCATTAATGAAGATTTTGAAATAGAAAACAATGATGATTCTGATGAAGAAGATCGTGACGAAAAAGCTATTTTATTAAAAAGATAAAAGAAAGCAGAGCTAATGTTGTCTCGTAAGTATAAAGACATTCGCAAAGTAATTAAATTTTATGAAATATCTAATCTCATTTCAATTTATTGCAATAATATTAACAAACATTTCATAATAAATGTATTTTCAAAATATTTGCAATTAAATTTAAAATATTTTTAAGAAATGATAATGAATTAAACAAACTTACTAACTGATAAATTTAATATTTCCATTTTAATGCTTTTTGCGGATAACATTTAATATTTTAAATTAAATAGGCTATTGAAGATGATTTATTATTATTTTAAGATGATATCTTTTCTATAGAGCCTATTTAGGGTTAAATCTGGCCTAATTCAGAAATGACTATCACATTAACATTTTAACCTAAGGGAGCTCACAGTTACACTTGTCCAGCATTTTGTAACATTTCTTGTAATTAAGATAGACTTGCTCTTACACTTTAAGGTGATGGTATTGGTCCTAAAGCCTTCTTAAATCAAAATGAAATCAATTTAGGAGATCCTTTCGTTAATGAAGAAGTTCGCCCAACTATTGTTATTGAAAATTAAGGTGAAATTGAGTGTAAATTCGAACTTATGCCTAATGAGCGTCACTTTGGAAAAATGTTTAAGTTCTTCCCTGAAAGCGGTAAACATATGCAATAAATTATTATAGCTTTTCTTGAATATATTTTTAAATATAAAAGGAACTCTTAAGGTAGGTGAAAGAAAAGAAATCAAGGTAGAGTTTAGTTCATCAAAGCCTGGTGAATTTAAAGAAACTTTTAGATGGCGTTTGGAAGGCTCTGTAGATTTTCTATCTGTCTTATTTATAGGCCATATAAGAGCTCCTTAGTTTGAATTTGATAGGGAAGTAATTGATTTTGGCAAAGTCTCATTCAATTTCCCTCAAGAAGAAAAACTCAAACTAACTAACAAATCCACAGTTCCTTTTGATTATAATTTAAGAATTCCTGGAGACGGTAAAATGAAAGATAAGGAATTTGCTATTGACAGAGCTAATGGAACTATTCAAGCTGGTGAGACCATTGAAATTACTATTGAGTTTACTCCTCGTTACACTAAAAAGTATGAAATGGTACTAACTATTGATATTGAAGGAGTTGCACAAGATATGAAATGCTTAACTATTAAGGCAGAATCAGAAGTACCTTAAGTAGAAATAAAGCCTGCTGACAGATTGGACTTCAATGAAATTTTCTTAAGACACAAAGATATTTAAGGAATCTAACTTATAAACAATTCAAAATTACGTGCAAAGTTCGAAGTACAAGAATAAAAGAAGGAAAGTATGGTGCTTGCAAAATACGAAGTTGAACCTTAAACAGGTATTATCGAACCTGGTAACACAACCACTATTTAAGTTAAGCTCTTCACAAATAAGTTAGGTGATATTACTCTTCCTCTTGGTGTAATAATTTATAAATTATTTAGAGAATTAATTATTAATTTTAGGGTTTACTTAAAGTATAAATATAAATTACTTCCTTTAATTTTTAAAAAGAAATTGATAAGGTTTATAAAAATTATTAGAAAACCCTCTATTTAATACTCAAGTTATTTATTAATAATTTATTTTTTTTTAAATATTAGATTGTTATTGTTGGTAGTAATAACAACTTGCCACATATAATTAACATTGTAGCAAGCTCTATTGGACCTATTGTCGATGTTGGCGGTAATTTAAAAGAATTAGATTTTGGTTAAGTTGAAGTATTGTAGGATTATTCTTAAAAAATTACAATTACAAATAAATCAAAGATCGAAGCTGATTTTAGAGCTTTTACTAAGAATAAGGTAGATAGATTTCTTTTATTAAATTTTTATAAACAAAAATTTTATTTTTAATTTAAAGGTATCCATTTTCAAGCCAATTCAGAAACATGGGTTGTTGAAGCCTTCTGAATCTATGGAAGTTGAAGTTGTGTGCTGTGCTGATGATGCTACTAAATTTTAAGATGTACTTCACTTTGTTATCAAGGAAGGTTTGGATATTGATATTGTTCTAAAAGCTAAAGGTGTTGGTAGTACTATCTTCTGTAAAGAAGATTTGACTTATATTGATTTCTAAACTCTTTACACTCATAAACCTAAAACAAGAGAAATATTTGTTGAGAATAAAGGCAGAAAGCCTTAAAAATTAACTTGGTAGAGGAAGCAAGAGAAAAAGAAATAACAAGCTATTGATGAAAAAGCTACTACTAAGAAAGACAATGCAGCTGCTGGAGCTAACAACAACTCTCAATAGAATGAAGATGCTGATATTTTTAGCGTTGTACCTGAAAGTGTAGTCCTTCCTCCAAAGCATGGTATTATGTTCTAATTCCGTGCTTTCTCAACTAAACCAGGCAAGCACCCTGAGTAATTCATCTTAAATAGTGTTATAGGCAATGAGCGTAAAACACATCAATTATACACTACAACTGTTGATGGTGAGTTCATCAAGCCCACTCTTAAATTTAGCGAAAAGAAACTCTACTTCAAGTACACTTGGGAAAAGAATGTACCTTTTATGCCTATATCTAAGAACTTAGAAATTACCAGCACTTCTGCTTTGCCAACAAATTTCATGTTAAAATATAATCCTCCTTTTTCAATCAACTAAGAAAGCTTCTAGCTTTTATATGGAGAAGTTGCAACTGTCAAAGTTGATTTTGATCCTGGTTAGAAGTTAGATAGAGTTTCTGGAGAGTAACTTGGTAAATTATAAATCATTCACACTGAACATCCTCATAGAGAAACAATTGATTTGGTAGGAGAAGTTTGCTTCCCAAATATTAAATTAGAACAAACTACAATTAATTTTGGATCTATCCTTAATGAGACATCTAAGAAGATTATCATCACCATGACTAATGTTTCAGAAATGGGATTAAATTATGAATGGACTTTCTTAGAAGAAGAACTGGTAGCTCATGGGCAATAAGGAGATGTTAATCGCTCTGGTTCTATCGCAAGCAGAGATTCTAAGAGATCAATCGTACCTGGATCAACCACAAATGCTACTTACATGATTCCAATCAATGAAGTTTTTGATATCTTGCCTCTTTCTGGTTATCTTGAGCCTGGTGAGATTGAATAAGTTGAATTTGTTTACAATGCATTTGGTGGATAAAAATTCAAAACTACTGCTGTTTGCCATGTAGATGGAGGTCCTAATTATGAGGTTGTCCTTGTTGGTGATTCTTCTTTAATCACTTATAAGATTTCCACTCAAAGCATCGATCTAGGAGAATTGAGATTCTGTGATTGGGTTGCTAGAGATTTCTACATTGAAAATACTGGAAAAGTTACATTTGAATATAAAATCATCCTAGATTAAGTAAAAAGAAAGGGCTATGTTGATTGCTTCCCACAACAAGGACGTATTCTTGGAGGTGAAAAATAAAAAATAACAATCAAGATATGTCCAGTTATGCCTAATGAGTTTAAAGAAGTTATTCAAGTCTAAATTGGATATTTTGAACCTGAATCTATCACAATTTAAGGAAAAGGATTTTACCCTGCAATCCTTGCTAATTTAGATAGAATTGATATCCCTGAATACAAAGCTAAATTTGATGAAGAATTCGAAAAGAAAAAGAATGAACGTGAAGCTCAATTAAAAAGAGCACAGCTGATAGCTAAGGTAAATAAATATATTTTAAGCTTTTTTATTAATTTATTTCAAAATTTATTCATGCATTTAATAAAAATTAAAGGCTGCTGACAAAAGTCCTGGAGCTTAATAAAATAATGCTTTTGCATCTATAAAGAGCTTAGAACAAATTTAAAATGACATCTAGAAAGAATTGGATAGATAATTATTCTGTAATTTGATTTAATAAGAATTAGAAGAAAGAGAAAGAGCTTAGACTATGATTTTGAATTCTCAAGATGATGAAAATATTTTAGCAGGAGCTGGAGTCTAATCTTAACCAAATATCATGATGAAGACAGGAATGCATTCTATGAACTAAACATAAACTAGTAAAATGCATATAGGAATTGAAAGTAAACTTTATGAGAAAATAGTTCTTTCAAGCTTCATTTGTGATTTTGGTAACGTCGTCATTAACTCAGTTAAGCAGAAGACCATTAGAATTGTTAATGCTGGTCCATCTTAAATTGAAATGAGTTTAGACACAAGAAATGCTCGTGCTGCTGGCTACACTCTTCCTGAACGCCCTCCAAAGATTCTTCCTAATTCCGATTTAATAATTAAAATAAGCTACACTGCAAAAAATAAAATGAAATATGGTAAAAACAAGTGTATAGTTCCAATAGAAATTAAAAACGGTGCAAAATATAATCTTGAATTAGTTTCAAACATTACTATCCCTGAAATTACTCTCGAAAATATTGAAGATTGTGTTGATTTTGGTAAAGTTTTATGCGGTCAAAGAAAAACTTTCTTCGTTAGATTTATAAATGATAAGGAAATTCCTTGCTAATGGGCCCTCAATACTCGTATTGATATGGTCTAAGATAAGAAAAAAGAAGATTTGAAATTTACCATTACTCCAAATAGTGGTATTATTCCTAGTGGCTCTAAGTAGCTTGTTTAAATTACTTTTAGTCCAACTCAAGAAAAGCTCTATCAACATAAATTTTCAATTAACATATAAGAAAATCACAAGCCTTTCCATATTCAAGTAAAAGGAAATGGAACTTAAATAAATTTAGAATTTAATCCCTCTGCTCTTAATATTGGTCCAGTTCTCCCATATGATCCTTTTGCTCATGCTGTATTGGAAGTAACTAATCCTTCTTCATATCCAACTGAATTATACAGCTGTGATTTTGATAAATTATATCTCAACGAAGAAGAAACTCTAGCATCTTATGATGAATTTGATGTTTAAGAATAACTTTTCGTATAGGTCCGCGAGCCAGGTAGCCAACTATGGGATTTCATCAAAAAATCTGTAGAGAAAAAGAAAAAGCGTGAAGAAATTGCAGCTAAATTATAAAAGCATACTTTAGCTATAACTGCTTAGTAAGATTATGATGCTAAAGTGTAGTAAGCTGCTATAGATGCTAAAGAATAAAACAAGGCTTAGCCTGATCCAGTAGAAAAGCCAGCTATCCTTTAAGAAAAGGCTATTCTTAATCCTGATGAAAAAGCTGAATTAGAAAAATAATTAGAAGCTTTATCCTAAATAGAAAAACCTATTGAATACCCAGAAAAGGTTGATGATGATAAGTTGCATCACATCATAGTTTTAGGTCATCCTGGATCTGGTAAAACATCAGTCGTTAAATATATAGCATAATAACACAAGGTATTAATTAATATTTAAATAAAATATAGAGGGTTATTCAATTATTAAATTTTTATTGATTTGATTCTATTTAATATTTAAAATTTATTCATTTTTATATTTAATAAATTACTTTTTATCTAACCTCCATTTTGAACTATTTGATTAAATTAAATAATTTGTTTAAAATAAAAAGAGATACGTTGCTACTATTGATGAAGCTGTTGATTGGGCAATATAAAATTAGACAAGTGGTGGTAAAAAGGCTAAAGAATATCTTGATTTAAAGCAATAAGAATTGGATAAAATTATAGAAGAAAGAGAAAAGCTAAAAAAGAAGGCTGGTAAAAAAGCTCCTGAACTAGATGCAAAATGGGGACCTATTAATGAAAATCAATTCAAGTATTTAACTGAAGAAATAATTGAGGAATGCCTTAGAGATAAAATGAAAAACCCTGTTTGTAATGCTGGTTTAATATTTGATGGTATTGATTCTAAATATGCATTTAATCATTTGATGGCCATGAAGTCTATAATGCGTGCTGTTGATAAATAAACTTTACAATTAGTTGTCTTCTAACCATAAGTAGATGAAGATGGTTGCGAAGTTTGGAAATTGATTGAATGGGAAGGTATGGAAGAAATTGTTAAGCAAGAAGAAGAGCTTATGCGTTAGAAGAGTCCAGGTGAGCACAAAGGAAAGAAAAAGAAAGGTGGTATTTAAGGATCTCCAAAGGGATAAGGTACTACCACATCTGTTGCTGCTGCTAACACTGCCAGAAAAGAAGGAGAAGGCAATCCTAAAGGTCCTAGCAGTTTTAGCTCTGCTGTACGCAAAGACACTACTTCACTTAAGAAAGATGACAAAACAACTATTGTTTCTGAAAAAACAAAAACAACATAGCAAGGTGCTTCAGCTGCATAGAATCCTAAGTAAAAAGATGGATCAGTGAAAAGTCAATCAATTAAAAGAGCAAGCTTTAATCGTAGACAAAGCAAGATGGATGCAGTTAATGAAGAAGCATAAGTTGCAGATGAACCTGCTCTTTTTGAAATTTTTTATCCTAAAGACTATGAAGATGGTATTAAAAAAGAAGCTGAGTTAAAAAAATTAAGCTAAATCATTGCTATAATGAAAAATGAATATACAGAAAAGATTGAAATTCCTCCTATTTTCGACCCTGTAATGGATGAGGGTAAAAAAGAAGAAAAGAAACCACCACCTAAAAAGGATGCTAAGGGTAAAATTATTGTAGAAGAGGAACCTGAACCTGTTTTACCTCAACCAATTGATTACAGTGACGTATTAATGAGAGGTCCTCGTAGTGTTTCAGTAATGCCACTTCATTACAATATTTCATAATTATACAGAACTTCTCTAGAAGTAATACCTGCTCCAGTTTACCCTGATCCAAATACACTTCCTGTTCCAGAACCTATTTATCATTAAATATTAACTAGACCTTAAAGAAATATTGCTCGTAAAAGATAAGAAATAGCTGCAAGCGCAATTATTAAAAATTTTGAAATATTAACTCCTCTTAATAATCCTTTTAAGCCAGAACCTGCTGTAAATTTAGAAGCTTCTCAATTGCTTAATAGCTCTTAAGTGCAAGAATAGTAACCACCAGCTGAAAATGCAGAAGAAAATGCTGAAAAATAACCATAAGAGTAACCTAAAAATTAAGATGATAAAGACTAAGGTATGAAGAAGAGTTTAGTCATTAAAAGAGCACAAAAACCTGCTTCATAATCTGTTAGTATTTCTAAAGCTAAGCCATCAAATCCTGCTAAAAAACTTGAATAATCTGCAGTTATGAATGGTTCATAAGAAGCTGAAGGCGAATCTGCTGAGCCATAAAAACCCAAATACGAGTTTAAATTAGAAGAACTAGCTAATAACTAATCTAGATGGATTATTCCTCCTAACAAGACTTTGCTATTAGTTGTTCGTTTCTTCACTAAAAAGACTGGAAATTATGAAGGTAAGTTAGAATTTGAAAACTTCTTTAGCTCAAAGAAATACACAATTGATGTTAAAGGTCATTCAGATTTCCCAACAATTTCAACCTTAACTAAAAATCTTTACTGGTAATTCAAAAAGAGTAGACCTCCTATTGCTCCTGATAGCTATTTGTCTAAGGTTTTCATCCAATCTGAAAATGTTTTTGAATTCGGTCCCCTCTTGATAGGTAAAAATCCTGATAAAAGAACTGATGCTGACATTCGTAAAGTTAACTCAACTACTTTCCGTATTACAAATAATGGTAAATACGATGCAAATATTGAATTTGCTCTTCTTTCTACAATTAAAGAGAATGATCCAGAATACAAGAAAGGTATTTTCTACATTGAACCAGAAACTATGAAAATATCTCCATCCGATATTCCTCAAGAATTAAGAGTTTGGGCTATTCCTAATGCTGGTAATTTTTTATTATTTTAAAATTTGAAGAAAATTCAATAAAAAAATTAAATTAGTTATTTTTTAAAAAATAAAATTTAAATTTCTTTTATTTAAGCTCAAAAATTCAGAGACGAGATTGTTGTCATGATAAAAGACAATCCTACTCCTGCTATTTTACCAGTCTAGTGCCTGGGTTCAAAGCCTATTGTTGACATAGAAGAAGGTGAGCCTGTTAAATTTGATAGATTATTGCTCAAGTAAAATGCAAGAAAAGAAATCAGAATCAAGAATAATGGTTAGATACCATGCAGATGGAAAATTACTGGTTAATAAAACTTACCTGAAGAGTTTTCTCTTTTGAATACAGAAGGAGAACTTAAACCAACTCAAGACTCTACAATTTATGTTAGCTTCAAGGCAATTAAACAATAGAAATTCTCTTACTAGATTTAACTAGAAGTTGAAGATGTTGAAGGTCTCGGTATCAAATAAGAAACTAAAAACATCCTCATCGAGGCTGAAGCCTTTGACATCACCGTAGAACTTAAATTCCCAGAAAACAACCAAGAAAACATGCTTGATTTCGGTGCTGTGCGTGTGGGAGACATCAAAGACTAGTACTTTAGTGTTAAGAATATTGGTTTGTATCAAGTTTAATTCACTTTCTCAATGAAGAAAAAACAATTTAAAGATAATTTCAAAATAGAACCGGTTAAGGTTGAGTTAGATCCTAATTAAGAAAAGTAAATCTTAGTACGTTTCTGTTCTTAAAGAGAAATAAGATTAAATACTACGAATTCAACAACCGATATTACTATGGAAATTTTAGAAGGTAAGACTCTTGAGTTGTATAAACCTGTTCCAATTAATGTTAGAGTCAATTCTGTATTTAGCAAATATTCAATATTGCCATTAAAAAATATTAACTTCGGACCCATTCAATTCAATGACACAAAAACTCTTACATTTGAAATCAAGAATGAAGGTCTCTTTGATTTTAATTATACTGTTTTTGATTATGCTGATGAAGCATTTAGAGCTGCTTTAATGGAAGAACAAGCAAAGGAAAAAGAAGCACGCCTATAAGCTGCATTAGGAGCTGCAGACCAAAAAGATAACAAAAAAGGTGCTCCTAAGAAAGATGTGAAGCAAGACAAGAAGCCACCAGCTAAGGGAGGAAAAGGAAAAGATGTAAATTGAATTAAATTATAAATTTAAGTAAGTATAATTAATAATATTTATTAGGTTGTTGAGAATCAACTAAAGGTTGGATAGTGGGCATTAACTCCTAATAAAGGAACTGTTCCTAAAGACAGTTCTGTAACTATTGAAATTGAATTTTCAGGAAATTCTCAAAAATTATATGAACAAAAATTCGCTATCGATATCACAGGCAGAGATCCTGAAGACCAACCAAAAGGAATCTTGTATGAAACAGTTGGTGAATCATGCATTCCTGGTATTAATTGTGAAAACTTTGAATCCATTTTTGAAGAATAAATTATAGTACCTTCAATGAATGCAAACTCAAACATCACCTCCATGATTAACTCTAATGTATTCTTCTATGAAGAAAAAACATTCTTCTTTGGTACTCTAGTTCCATAATAGCATCCTGATGGAATCTTTGAAAAATTCAAAATTATTAATCCAAACAAGGTAATTTTTAAATAAAGTTCATTCTGATTTCTTAAATTTTCTACTTTTATAATTTAATCAACTTATTTTATAAAATTTAATTAATTAAGATTCCTTGTACTGTTAAATTTGATGTAAGAAAGAGAAATCCCACTTCCACTGAGCCTTTTGCATTTGAAATAGCTCAAAAAACTGCAAAGATTCATCCTCATGAGCACACATACGTAAAGATATTCTTCAAGCCAACTATTATGGCTCAATACAGTGGAATTTTCGAAGCAATCGTTGAAAATGGTGAGTAAAACCCAAAGACATATAAACTCATATTTGATTTGAGAGGTGAAGGAGCTATGCCAACAATTAAATTAGAAAAGCCTAAAGAATGGTTCAACGAATCAACTCCTCTCCTCAAATTCCCTAAGGTGAGAATAGACAAAGCTTGTGTCTTACCTATTACTTTAAAAAATGATGGACAAGTTCCAGCTACTGTTAAATGGGATCTAATAACAAATGAAAACTTCAGATTCCTTGATCAAAACAGCTACACTTTAACTCCAAAAACATACAAAACTTTCAATATTGAATTCAAACCTAGGGAAGCTGGTATTAAACAATGGTAAATAGCTATGCAAACTCTTCTCAACCCTTATGAGGTCACCAAGTTTATGATTTAGGGAGAAGGTTTCTATGAAGATATTGTATTTGAAAGTCTTCCAGATGAAGCTGAAGATGAAGTCAACCTTGGAGATTGCATAACAGGCTAAGAGAGAAAGATAGGTTTCTATATCAAGAACAACAAGAATGAAACTATCAAATTCAATTGGAATACTTAAGGCTGTGAAGATTTTTCTTTCTGCCCTCGTATTGGTCATCTTGCAGGACACACATCTAAATATATTTAAATGACTTTCAAAGGATCAAAGCCAACTACACACAAGAATTTTGGTTGCATTTTAGAAACTCGTTAAATCAAATAATCAAACACAGATGCCTCTCATCCTTATATTGATTGGGATGACTCAATGAAGAACATCAAGTATGTCACAAAAACTGAATATGACTGGTTGATTAAAAAGAAAGCTGAGGAAGAGTAAAAACGTAGAGAAGAAGAAGCTGCTGCAGCTGATCCTAAAAAGAAAGCAGCAGCAAAGAAAGATCCTAAGAAAAAAGCTGAAGAACCAAAAGTAGAATAACCACCTCCATCACAACCTGGTGAGCGTGCTGACATTCCCTACGATGAACCAGTTCTTGAACCTGAAAATACTATTGTTGATAAGACAGAGAAAAATGTAACACTTAAAGTCTCAGCTATTTCAGATTATGCAAAATATGAAGTTGATACAAGAGAAATTTTCTTCAAACCCACCCTAATGTACACTTCCCGTACTCATAATTTCAAAGTTAAAAATACCTCATTAATTAATATTAAATACTCTTGCAAGATTATTTCTTATTAAGATAATATGCCTATTATTGATCCTGGATTCTTTTACATAGCACCAAAATCAGGTAATTAATCAAATTATTTTTTAATTTTAATTATTAAACATTAATTTATTTTTCACTTTTATTTAATGATATATATACTTATTGTTTTTTTTGTCTTAATTCTTTTAATTAACTATTATTCAATAATTATTATTTTAGGTTCTATTGCTCCTAATTGTGATGAGTAATTTACAGTTAGATTCTCTCCCACTGAAGTAGAAGAAACAAATGAAAGATTCCTAGTTATTACAATTGATAATATGGAAAAAGGAACCTAACCTCTTGTTATTGAATTGGAAGGTGAAGCTGAAAGACCTGTTTGCCACTTTGAATTATAACCAAGCAAATACCGTGAAAAGAAAAAACCTGAATTAGATTCATCTTATAATGTGATCGAATTTGAGTCTTTAGGAACTAAAGTAAAGAATACAAAGAAATTCTATGTGGTTAATCCTACTGCAGTTGGTTATGAATTTGAATGGAAGAAGATTGAAGAAGACAAATTACCTGCTGGTGCCAATATTTAAAATGATAGCTTCTTTAAATGCACTACTGTTAAGGGAGTGGTACTAAGTGGTAAAAAGTATGAAATGTGCTTTGAGTATACTCCTGATGTTGTTGGAACTCATGAATCTTACTGGCAATTTGAAATTCCTTCATAAAAAATAGTTCAAAACTTCTTAGTTGCTGGTTCTGTTATGGAGCCAAACGTATTCTTCGATGTTGGTAAAGTTAACTTTGGTCCTCTGCTATTGGGAGGTAAGAATAAGGAAATAGTTCATTTGAAGAACTTGGAAGACGTTCCCATGACATTTAACTTTGAGCGTGAAAGTGTGAAAGGAGATGTAGAGTATGCTGATTCATTATAGGTTAATCCTGTTAGTGGAACTATTAAGCCTTAGTCTGAAATTGCTATAGAAATAGTTTTTATTCCTAAGGTAGAAACTTCTTTCAATTACAATTTACTTTGCAATGTAAAACGTAAATCACGTCCAGTTTCTCTTAACGTGAAAGGTATTGGATACATTTTGCATCATTCTGTTAACATGTAACAAGCTCCAACTACTCCTCTTGATCCTTTAGTTTCTCATTTATTAGAGTTAGGAGATATTTACGTCAATGAAAGACGTTCAAAGATAATCGAAATCGTTAATTCAGGTGAATTCAACTTTGACTTCGCTGTTAAGAAATCTCAATAGCACCTCTCTTTCGTTCAAATCCTTCCTGAAAACGGTACTGTTAAGTAGAACGAAAAATTCTCGATTGAAGTTCGTTTCGCTCCTCTCTCAGAAACAAAATTAACTTCTAAATAATCTTTCACTCTAAATATCACAAGTGGACCAACTTATACATTTTAATTAAAGGGTAGTGCTAAGAAACCTGGAGTAGAATTATCTTTCTTGCAGTATGACTTTGGTCCATAATATGTCCTTAAATAACCTTTACCCATAACAGCTTTCTTGGAAATGAGAAACAGGGATATCTCAGCTATGTCTATCGAGACTTCATACGAAAAGACTAATTATCTTGATGTAAACTTACCACCTGGATAGGTTATTTTACCACTTTAAATTGAAACTACTAAAGACAAGAAGGGATTATTCTAAACTAAAGAAAACAATGTACTAAAGATTCCTATTGTATTCATCCCTCGTGAAAGCCGCAAGTATGAAGAAACTATCACTTTTGATATAAATGGACTTCATAAGATTGATGTTAAGATTAGCGGTGAAGGTATTCCTTTCAAGCTAGAATTGGAAAGAACTGAAGATCAAAATATTGATTTTGGAATTGTTAAGGTAAACAATGAAAGCACTAAAACTGTTACTCTTCTCAATCTATCTAAAAAACCTGTTACAATTACATTTGATACTGATGAATAGCTTAATGAACTTGCAAAGAATTACATTTCAGTTATTCCTTCTAATTCATTCTAAATACTCCCTAAAGAACGCAAAGAAATTGAACTTAATTTCAGTCCTAAATCACGTCTCCATGCATTTAGGAAAGAATTACTATACAAGATAGTTGATAACCAAGAAAAACGCAAACTTCTCAACTTAGTTGGCACTTGTCATGGAGTAGAACTTAAATTAATGGAAGATACTATTGGTTTTGGTGTTGTAGTTATTCACTCTAAGAAAACAAAATCTCTACAATTATCCAATTTAGGTGATATTGGCGCTAAATTTGAGTGGGATTTCTAATATTGTAAGAAATATTTCACAATTACTCCTGAGCGCGGTTTCTTGCCACCCCATGAAGACTCCTTCTTCACTATCACTTTCCACCCAGATGTAGTTGATGATGATATCCGCTTTAATAAGGTAAAATGCGAAATCGAAGGCTCTTCACCTCTCTACATCAATTTACTCGGTAAGTGTATTGCATAACCAATTGAATCAATCTAAGACATTAAATTCACTACAATGGTGCGTACAACAACAAAATAGAAAGTAACAATAAAGAACACCACTGCAGAACCCTGGCGTATTAAGGTTTCAGTTACTTCAAGCTCTGCAATTTCTTAAAATTATTTCTATGGAAAAGAAATGCTTGAAATAGCTCCTAATCAATCTGCTGATTATGAAGTCTTCTACAATCCTCTAACGATGACTGCAGGTCCAGACCAACCAAATATAAAGCAAGCAAATCATGAAGGCACTCTTTTCTTCCCACTTCCTGATGGTAACGCTCTTCTCTACAATTTATATGGTACTTCAACTCCTCCAGCACCTGCATAGTCTTTCGATATAACTACCAAAGCAAAGCGTGCTCACACTTAAATCATCCCAATTAATAACTGGCTCAAGGCAACTTAGAGATTCTAAGTAACTTGGAGTATAGAGCCAAACGATTCTTCATTATTCATTTCTGGTGCTAATACATTTGATGTTGCTGGTGAATCAACAAAAGACTATAAACTCTCAATATACTCACTTAAGCAATCAGCCTCCAAAATCACTATAACCTTCAAGAATCCTATAACATTCGAATTCGTCCATTTCAAAATAGTAAATTAAATTAAAATATTTAAAAATTAACTTTTAAAAATTAAAAATAAAAGAATCTAACTGTCTAAGCTCCTGAACAATAAGAAAAGATAGAAATGTCTGCTATTATTCGTGAAACAGTAGCAAAACTTATCACTGTTGTTAACCCTCTTTCAGTCCCAGTAGATATTAAAAAAGAAATGCTTGTCTCTGCAAATGACAATATCAGTTTCAACCCTAATACTTTTACAATTCCAGCTAACTCTGTAAATTGATTTTTTAATACTTTATTTATTAATAAACTAAAAATTTACTATTTTAAACTTATTTAAATTTTTTTAAAATAGGAATTTGGTTTCGAAATTGTATATCGTCCCTTACTTGTAAAAGAGGAGAACTCTGTGGTTACTCTCAACTCTCCAGAACTTGGATAGTTTGTTTATCCTTTAGTATTGAAGGGAGTTGCACAATCAACAATATAGCGTAACATGACTCTTAAGGCATCTCTTGGGTCTGATATCACTTAAACATTTAAATTCGTTAACTATTGTAAGAAATAAACTACATACACTTGCAGAGTAGATAAATTAGGCAAATAAAACCAACCACCTCCTGATCCCAAAGCAAAACTTCCCCCAGTGCAAGTAGATTTCTCTGTAGAATAAGCTACTATAGCTGCTCCTCCTGCAGAGTCCTATGATGGTAGTGAGTTAAGTCTTAATGTTAAATTTGAACCATCACTATTAGGCGAATCTGTCGCTATTTTAATTATATAAAGTCCTGACGGAGGTGAATATAATTGTATGTTACATGGTGTTTCTTCTCCTCCTCAACCAAAGGGTCCTTACAAAATTGGTGGTGCTAAATCAGCTCCTATAGATTTCAAGAATCCCTTCTTCGAACCATGTGAATTTACAGTTCGTTTAGATAATCCTTGCTTCACCACCGCTGTTAAAAATCCAGTTAAAATAGATGTAATTATAATTTTCTTATTAATTTTTTAAAAATAAATGTTTTAATACTAAAAATTAGGCAAAGAAACTACTTGGTATTAATGTGTAATATAAAGCTATCCCTGGCTAATCTTCAAACGGCAGACTCATTATTCAAACAGGTAATTAAAAATTCGATTTATTTTAAATATCCTTAACAATTCTATAATTAAAATAATAGATAAATTCGACTATCCTCCATGGGTATTCTATTTGCAAGGTGAATGAAATTGAAATAGTAACTTAAATAAACAGCCTTACTAAATTATTATATTGAATCATATATATAATTAAGAAGGCAAAGATGAATAATTTCTTTATTTTAGAAAATAATTCAAGCTAGATTAGCATTAATTTATAATTTAATAAAAAAATAATAATTAAAAATAAAAAATTTTAAATCTAAACCTTTTTTCATAAAAATATCTTTAACTACTAAAAATACAAACATTCATATTTTAATTGTTGTATATAATGTTGTATTATTTCTTCTGAATCATAAGCAATTCTAATTAATTCAAATTAAATTCTTTCAAGAAATATTTTAAATTAAATTATATTAAATATCTTAAATTTAATATTAGTGGTTTCAAATACTTATTTGCTTTCAAAATTTTTTTCTTATTTAAACAAACATATAAAAAATAAATCCACAATCTAAAGCTTTATTTGACAATTAAGGTTGATAATTTGATAATTTTTATATTTATTTAAAATCAAAATAATAATTTAATTAAAATCATTTCTTTAAAATTATTCGATTTTACTAAAATTTAACTTTCCTTTATTATTTTATATTCAATTCATTCAAAAAAATCATTTTTAAATTTTTATTATTTACCATAGAATACGCATAAAGGTTAAATAAAATCTGAATTTATCTTATTTTGCCAAAAATTTTAAAAAAAATTAACTAGCAAATTTGACTATATATTGATAGTGATATATTTAACTGGTATTATATGGTGTATATTTCAGCTTTTTTTTGCAAAATGTCTTGTACTTTACAATTTGTTAAGATTTATTTTTTATTTTTTATATATTTGTGCTGAATTGAAATAATGTAATCCTTAACTCAACACAATTACTGAATTTCTCATTTTCTATTAGCTTTAACTCTATCCTTTTGAACATATTTTTTTAATACATGAATAGATTAACATAATGTATTCAGATAAAAATAATAGGTTAAAAACTAGTAATATAATAGTTATGATTTAGCCCACTTTTAGATATCTATTTATTAAATCTTAATCTAATTATTATTATGTTTCAAATTACTATTCAATTTTAGCAATATAAATATGAAGAAACCACACTGCAGAAAAACAAATTTCTGAAATAATTTTTGTTGTCCTGTTTACTAAATTTAGATAAGGCTTGTATTTGTAAGTCATTAGTGCAGAAGCTAAAAATATTAATCCATTTAATATGCAAGGTATTAATGGGTTATCTTAGAAACAAAATAATATAATTAAAGAAAAATACTTTCTAGCAAGCTAAATTAAAAAATAGTTTTTTTCTATCAAAGAGCTATTCATATTCTTTTAGTTTAATCTTTTAATCAACTAATAAGAAAACATTGAAGAATGATGGTTTTATATATAATTTATCTCAATAAAATTTTAGTAGAATGAGAGAACTAATATTATTAGCATACATGTTGCAGCATAATATCCATATCTTACTGACCATATATCTTGCTCAAATGTTGTGAACTGGGTTAAAATACATAATAATACCATCAATAAATTAACTTCATTTTCTGCATTTATTCTTTGTTTAAGTATTTGATTTATTTTATTTAGCTTATCAAGAGTATTTGCCGATTTAAAACTTAAAAATTGTTTTGAAATTAATATTAAAATCATAATAAATAATAATATTAAATATTTCAAAATAATAACTGGAGCATTGACAATAAAACTGTTAGAAAATCCTATTCTTTGAAACATAGAATTATCAATCAAGTGTACTTCTGTTTGATTTAATCCATAACCAAACAAATAAAAATTTTATTTGTAGTTGCTTGACATGTAATCTACTATGCCAGGATAAATAAAACTACCTATAATCTAGTAAAACATAAACAAATTTGGAGGGAAATGAAGCTTTAAGAGCATAAAGAGGTTAGAAGGTTGTACCGTGTTTAGCAAATAAAAAACAAAATTCATTTATTATATTAATTTCAAAAGATCTTAATTATTTGAATTTTTAATTTCATTCACCAATTATTATAAATCTTTATTGAAAACAGCTTCTTAAAAAATGTATGGACCGACTTAGAATTATATTGGTTGCTTTAAATAATTTGAGCTCAAAACATATTTTTCATCGTCACTAACAAATAAATTTGTTTGTTTAAAAAGAGCCATTCCTATAGTTGCCTTGATACTCTGATATATATCAATTTTAACTATAAGATTATTTCCATCTATTTCAGGGTTGTTGAATGAATAGAGGCTTTGGGAGACTTCAGAAAGAATTAATTAAATCAAATTTTCAAATTATAGATTTTTAAAATCAATTTGCTTAAGATCGTGATCGAATTTAAAAATAACATAATAAGCTGAATCTTTAAGTTAAACTGATAGGTTAACGTTCATATGTTATTTACATGCATTTTCTTAGCTATTTTATTTCATTTAATATACTTCTAACCCATTAGAGCAGCTACATTGATTATTTTTTAATTACAAATTTTAAGAGCAGCTAGTGCAGTAGCTTGCAGAAATTTAGCAAGTCTAACAAGGTAAAGAGCATGGCTAACAGTCTTAAATATTTTTATCAAAGTACTAAGAAGAAGGGCAGGGTGAGCATGTGCCATCTTAATTACTCCTATAATTTGGTAAACAATCGCATTAAGGAGGATTTGTCCTTCCATCTTTACATTAGTAACAAAGAGTTTTATTATTTGAAGAATCAAATTTGCACTTTCTACAATCTTTTTCACATGATTCAATTTTAATACATTAATTATTTATTTCTAAAAATTAGAAAGGATCACATTCACATTTAGGAGGATTTACTCTATCAGCAGAGCATTATAAACATAAATTTTCGTTTTAAGTGCAAGATCTACACTTTTCAGAGCATTTCTAGCACTGATTTTGTTCGTTTAAAAAAAAATTTGAATATATACAATTGCACAAAGGAAGCTATTAATCTGAATAATTGCATGAAGTGCAATTACTTCTTGAGCCTGAGCAAGTTTTACATTATGGAAAACATTTGAAGCATCTTTTAGAAATTGGGTCTTTGTAGTATCCGTCAGCGCAACGTAATTAGCACTGTCTTGCCTAATAGTTAGCAAACATCTAATAACCCTATTATACAATTTATTCAAGACATTACTTTTCATTAATTAAGATGGTTTATAGATTATTTTAGAGCATTAATAGATTATTTTTATAAATTATACATTACATCTATACTATATTTATAAATATGAAGCAATCTTCTAATTTAGTATAATCGAAGTAATAAAACCCATCACCTTAATCAATATTAATCATATTAAGATAAAATAAATAATCTGAAGTTACATTTTTCTATAGACCAATGAATAAGTTTAATTTATCTTTATTTATTGTTTATAGAGGATTTAAAAATTAGATTTGTTCTCTTTTATAATTACAAACTACTTCAAATTCAATAAATAAAATTTTTGCTGAAAATGGAGTTTTATTTCTCATTAAAATTAATAAATTATTGCTTTAATTTAAATTGAGCATGGAATATTTTGTATCTATGCATTATTAGGAATAGCAAATCCTTATTTATATTTTTTCTCCTTAGGGAACAAGAAAGTATTCAATTGTCTAGTCTACTTCATAACTCAAGAGAGATACCTATTAATTTATTTTTACAGGTAAAATAGTGCAATAAAATGAAATCCAATATTTAAGATCTATATTCAAAACTGTAGCATAAGATATTTGGGTAAACATAAACCCATTCAATTCATCTATTTGAGGTATATTAACGTACTAAAGTTTTAAATTTTTATTTTTTACAATTTTATTATTATAAACTTAAGATAAATCAGAATCCGCCAAAATTTCGAAAATAGCAATTTTTTGTACTTGGGGAGATAAAAATTGTTGTAGAGTATTTTCATCATTAGATGGATTATTCATAGCTTAAATAAAAACTAATGATTTTAATGAGGGAGAACTTATAAAATCAGCATTACAAAGACCTATACAAATAAAAGGATCAGTTAATTTGATATTGCTAGATAAGACTTGTAGATCTGAAAAAAATTATGAATAGCTTTAAATAAGCAAAAAAACTTAAGTCATATCTGTCCAAAAAGATATCCAAACAGGTTCTTTAAAATTGATGAAAGCTTCAGTAAAAGTAGTACTTAGATATGATACTTTTATTGAAGGAAAACTTATTGATGGCGATGAAGATGCTTAATAATAAAAGGAAAATATTTCATTGGTGGAATCACTAATAACTGCAAACTTTTTACTTGGAGTTGAAGCATCAAATGAAAAATTAAAACAAAAGAAAAATGAATAAGGACCTGTTGAAGGTAATTGCATCTAGACATTATTAAAAGACAAGAATTAAACTTGATCGAAGTAACTAATCAAGTTTATTTTTTTTTAAATAGTTAGCTTTTACGATATTAATATACATGAATATCCATCATCAAAATATTGATCAGGACATCTTCCATCTACTTTTCTCATAGGATCTTGCTTAACGCAAGTATTCTTATCAGTACACTCATCACAATAATCTGGACATTTAGAGCATCTGTTATCCGTAGTCTTAAAAAACTATTTCATGCAAACACAATTAGCTGATGAATCATAAATCATATCATATGGGCAATCAGGAGAGTCCTTGTTCCAATCAATGAATTTTAACGCTCCTGGAATATTAGAACAGCTTAAATTATCTTTGTAGTTAATTGGATATGAATCTTAGCACATTAAACAAGTTTTTAAATCTTAATTAGATAAAAAGCAATACCCCTAATCTAGAAAAACTTAAGCACCTTTATAATACCTAATATGATTAAATTCAATAGTAATTTTATTACTTGGATCTCCAAACTGCAGCTAACCAATTGAAAGCTTTTAATAATATGTTTTAATTTTTTATGTTCTACTTAAAAATAAGTAGATATCATTTAACTAAGCATTTTTTATGATCAAAACAATTTAATACCAATCACTTCCAATCTAACCATTTACTGACTCACCTAATAATCTTAAACTACCAAAGCTATCAATATAAATACTAATATCTGAATTAGAGATACTCATAAGAATTAAATTTTAAGAAGCTGGAGGTACTGAGGATATTTTAAAGTGAAAGCTTATAATAATACCTTTGTTTTATAATGAATTTATATAATCTGTTTTAAATGTTTAACCCCCATTTAAAATTAAAGTGTTTGAAGTACTCTAAAATCCATTTATATATTTGTGCATAGATTAAGCTATATTGAAGTACTTGTTAGGATTTGCTTTTGTGTAAAAGAAATCGTAATCCCAAATAAGTTCAGTTGTTTGAGCAGTATAATCATCTGAGTAGGAAGCTCCATTATTCATGTTAACAGTATCAGTATCAGAACCCCAATAAATATTTAGATTATCTATAAATCCTAACGATTATAGACATCCTTTTTTTTGCATGTAAGCAAAATTACCTATTTATAATTGAATACTTTGCTATTATAATAAACTATTATATGGTCCAGTAGAAGATATTGATGTCGTTTAAGCTGGGGTTTCATAATTTTTAAAAGCAATTGAACCATTAATATAATTCCCATCAGTAATTAGTGTGATAGTCACTAATAACCATTTGTTTTCTATAATATTGGAGGCAACTGCTCTTTAAATATTTCCTAACACAATTAATTAAAGAAAATAAATTGAAGGGTTGATTTTAACTATCAATAAATCAGTAGAGCCCTATTTAATTGTAAGAAAATTGTAATCAGTTGCTGGGAAATCTTAAAATTTAAACAAAACCCACATTGAAATATAGAGATGAGTAAATGATTATGATTGGCTTGAGCCAAATAAACTTTCGTCTTAATATGTTTTAAAATTGCCTAAAATATATTTTTAATAGGATAAGTTGTCCAAATTCAGCTACCTAGAGCTTTTTGAATATGCGGATTATAAAACCGTAATCAAAAAAAGCAGATATTTGAAAATCTTTGTCATAATTTTTAGATCACTATCTTTCTCTATTTATTGTTATAAATTTTACTCAAAAATTAATTTTTTTTACAAAATATGTAATCAAATTCAGAATGATCAGGCCAATAATGCTAAGCGCTTCCTTAACTTTACAGAATTTACCAAATAATATTACATCTTATTTTAATAGATTGGGATTGTTTTTGTATAAGTGATATTTAAACTATAAAAGAAGTTATTCTTATTCCAATAAAATAATCGTACTCAAAATAAAGATAGAAAAATATAAAAATCAATATTTTTCTATCACTAAAATTCCTATTATTCCTAAGGTTATTTATAAAAGAAAGTTAATTAAAATAAAAGAAAGATATTCCTTACAAATTATAACAAATAATTTCGCAATTATTTTTATATATCTTAATTTTTGAAATATTTACTAAAAGTAAAAATAGCTTAAAAGCTAATTTTATTTTGTGTTAAACAAATTTTCTTAAAAAAATTAACTAAAATTATAAACTCTAATTAATTTCTCAAAGTAACAAGTATATTAGATTGAAATTGAGTTAGAATTGCTTAAAAGTATATATTATCTATATTAATTAATTTTTGTAAGTAGAAAAGCAAAATCTGTAAATTCTGGATATTTTTGGCAATAAATTAAGTATAACTATTCTTTTATAGCTTAACAATTTCCTAAAAGTACATGCAGATAAAAAAAATAAGAGGAAAATAAATTTCATATGTTATAAATCTCAACAAAAATAGCAAAAAGAAAGCAATAAATATATTATATTCTAAACTTTGATAATAGTATTTAAGAAATTACATAAAAATAATTAAAATTAGCTAACTTACAAAATAAAAAAATTGATTTACACTTTAATTATAAGAATTTATCAAAAATCAAAAGCTGAAGTCTAAATAAAAACTCAACCAAAAAATATTAAAAAATCATAAATAAATAAATAAAATCTATAAAGTTACTTAAAATTTATTTATATTTAAATTAATCTTATTCATTTTTAACATATATTTATAGATATCTTTCTTTTTTTATTATCATAAAAACTAAAATTAGAGAAGAAAACATAAAAAATCAGAATTCTGAATGTTAGCTATTCGAATAAAGAATATAATTTTAAATGTAAAAGTTCCAAAATAACATTTATTTGTGTTTGTTTTTAAAAAGTATTTAAGATATCACTTGTAGGTAGAAGTTACTTTACATAAAGAAATGATTATTTATTTATTATTATAAATATGAGAAAAAAAGATAAATTTATATAATTACTATATTATTTTTATAAGCTATTAGAAACTACTTTTAGAAAATTAATTTTTTTATCTTTAATATTTGACTTTTAAAATTTAATATAAAGCTTTTTGAGATATTTTTATATTTTTATCTTTATTTTTTTTATAAATAATTTAGTTTTAAATAAGTTTTTAGATAAAAATGTATTAATTTTAAATAATATTTTATATAAAATTATGAAATAAAATTTTCTTTTTATTAATACCAATTAAATAAAAAAATAATACAAATGCCAAATATATAAATAATTTAATTAAAAAAGCTAAATAAATATGCTTCTTTTAATACCACAGTTTACTTAAAAGCAAATAATATTTTTAATCCTATATGAATATCCTGCTTTATTCTTTCTTTCAGCTATTTTTGGATAATTATTTCTTGAGTAAGAATTATACATTTAATAGATTAAAATATATTATTTATTAAAATAAATAAAAAATTAAAAGAAATAAAAAAAAGTTTTTGAAGCAGGTTTAGAAGCAAACTGATAGAATAAAAAAATAATAAATATTTAATCAAAGATTTAATTTTTTGATGAAGAAATTATAATTTTTTATCAAAAATCAAATATTTAATCTTGAATTAATTTTTTTTTTAATTTAAAATGAATGAAAAAAATGCTTAACTATAAAAATTAAATATTTGATTAAAAATTTAGATTTCTTTATTAAAAACAAATTAAATCTTTGATTAAAAATTTTTTATTTTTTTTGTTTGTTTGTCCAGGTTCGAAACCTATTTCGATACCTTTTTATTATTTTAAATTTTTAAAATAATATTTATTATTCTACTAAATATTTATTTCCTACTAGAGAAATAATTATCCAAGAATAACAATAAAGACAATTTCGATAAATGAACACTATTACATACTACTTTAGTGATCTTATATTTAAATATCTATATTTTATATTTTATTTAATTATTTATTTTACTTGCTTAAACAAAATATATTACTGTATTCCATATACAAAAAATATTTAAACAATAATTAACAGGATAAAATATTAAAGGCTCGGAGGTGAATTTCGACATTTCAAAAGAAAGTACTGCGTAAATTTTTAATATTTGATTAATTATTTTTACTTAATATGTAATAGATTAGTTTTTTAGCAAATTTAAATGAGCCAATATATTTTATAAATTGGAAATTATTAAGATTAATTTTTTCTAGCAATTTGATCATTTAAAAAAATTTGAATTTTTTTTTATTATAAAAAATGTAAACTAAAGCTTTATTTAAGGATATGGCTTTTAGCAAAGTAGAGTTTATTATGAAACCATATAATTTATGTGTAATTGATATATAATTTGCTAAAAAAATTAAAAAATAAATATTTTTAGAACTAAAATAGAGACAGCTTCTGCTGCTGCTATAAATATTACAATTATAATTTACTGACCAACTTTTCTAATAATTTTTTTGATAAATTCAACAAAATCTTTCAATACTATTTTTAAAAGGAAAATTTTGCTGAAAATTAAGAATAATTTCGTGTAATTAATATTGCTTAAAAGAGAAAGTAATTATTTATTTATTTATTTAATATAAATCTGTAAAAAATAAGCTAATTATTTTTATAAGAAAGTGGACTGACAAAAATATATACATATTTGATTCTATTTACAAAAATTAATGAATTAAAATTTATTTTTAACAAAATTCTATTATCAAATTGGTTAGTAATGTTAGGTTCCTATTAAAATTTAGTAAATTTAAGGGAGAATTTTTAATAGAGCTAATAATAGTAAATTAGTAAAAGAATATGAATTTGAGTAGATATTAATAAATGGTTAGTATCTAGCTAGTTTTATCAATTAATTAGCATATGCAAGATTGAAAACTATATAATTACTGAGTTATCTGGTCTCACTTAAGAACTAAAGTTAAAGAATATTATTATAAAAATTATAATTTTAACTTTTTAAAATAAGTTTGTAAGCGAGCAAACAATTAGGTGTAATAGACGAGCGAGCTGGTGGTTCTAAGAATTTTAAGCTAAATAAATCAAAACCTTTTGTTTTATCTATAGTTAACATAATCATATTATAATTGTAAATCATTATTATTATTAGTGTTATCAAAAGGAGTTTTTGTGATTATTAAAAATTATTATTTTATTGATTATTAATGTATTATTTTAGTTAATTTATTAAAGAATAAATATTTTAAGCAATTTAGTAAAAAAGTGAGGAATTATTATTAGACAAATTTTATATTGCATATTAATTAAATCTTAACTAAATTATTGATTTCTTTTTTTCTATGAATAAAATAAATCAATTGATTGATATATGTATGTATGTATCTTATTTGATACCAAGTATTTTCATTACACTTCAAACATCACTACTTCCTATTTAATCAAAAGTAAAGTTAAATTTAATTAAATTTCATTCATAATTTAAATATATCTTGCTTTAAAACCAAATAATAAGAAAAGCAAAAAGCGATATAAATATTATAAGGTAAGAGTTAACAAATTATTACTTCGTCAGAATCTTCTTCAGATGTCAAGAAGTCTTTCTGGGTAGAGTAAGGAGTTCTTATGTTATTGTCACTCATGCTATAGTCACTGAAGGATTTATCTGTGTCTGTCTACATGCTCCTAAGTCTTGAGACCTCTAAAAGACTAAGTGCGCATTATTGAGATGGATTGAATTTATTCCATGAACGAGAGCCTTAACGAGAAAGGTTTTAGAGCTTGTGAGTCACTGGTACTTAGAAATCTAAGTCATACAAAGTAGAATTGAAGTAACTTTTTGTTTGTCTTTACATTTTATGTATAAATATTTGAGTATAAATAGCTTAGTTTCTGTGTTGCTTGCTTGCCCGTATATATTAGAGTTAACTTTTATTAATCTTTTTTTTAATTATTATTTCTTTTTTTGAAATTGTTTTTTATTATTTCAATGAACAAACTCTTTTCCTTGTATTTATTTATTTGATGATTTTCTAATTAAATTAAGATTATTCAATTTACTATTCAATCTCTAAGGTACTTTCTTTTCCTTTTATTTTTGAATGATTCTCAAAAAAAATTTCCTTATTTTTACTAATTCATTTATTAATTGATTCTCCTATTTATTTTAACAAATTTACTTTCTTTTCCCATAGTGATTTAATGGTTGCATTGAAAATAATCAAGCAATTATTTTTTTTCTCCATTTTATTGATTGATTGATTAATTAATTAATTTGTCTCGTATCATCTTTACCAGGAAATCCACCAATTGCTTAAATAATAATTGAGATGAATATAAACAATAGATTAGTAATCAACTATAAAGTTAATTAATTAATACATTTTTATGTAATTAAGGTTTATACTCAATTTCGCTAAATAGATTACATCTAATTAATTTTTTCTACTAATATCACTTCTATTTTCATAACCAAGCAAATCAATATTACTAATCTCTCTTTGGCTATCTATTTACATCTTACTTTCATAAATTAATAAATTTCATAATAGATTCTACTCTTACTATTTTTATATAGCTATTACAAGGGTGGTTGCTATAAGCAAAGTCAGTGAAATTTTTTATCAATATAACTATGAATTTAATACACTTTAAAAAATATACTTATCAGCATCATATCTGTAAATCAATATAATTTGTCCATTATTCGCTGGTGAAGATTTATTTTCTGGAAAGATATTATTGATTTAATTGCATATATAGCTATTTTTTCATATACAAATACTCGTCAAACATCAGTCAGATATTCTCCGCTGTCTCAAAATTAAAAATTTATATATTTTCATAATATTTAACAAACTAAACTTTTTTAACACATCATAGTTATTAAGAAATATTTCAGAATTTCTAACAAAGGAGCTTTTAAAATGCAATTTAAATGATCCATTTAATTAAAAAAAATTTAGACTTTTTAAGTTTCTTTTATAAGAAAAGTCAAATTCAAAGTAATATTTGTGGTAAAGCTCTCAATCTTCATTCATAATTAATTTAATTTATATAAAAGGAAAATTCAAATATCTTATTTCAAAAAAAGACTTAAAATTTGATTAACTTATTTAACAAAAAAATATCCAAAAAAATATTCATCAAAATTAATTAGTAAGAAAAATTTTAACATTTACTTAACAATTTTAGAACAAAACAGTAATACTGCTTTGTTCAATCAGTATGAGCTAATAATAATTAGTTAGTGCAGAATAATTTTTTTTTTATTTATTCAAATAAGAAGAAAAAAATGAAAAAATATCTAAATTCCATTTAAATTATTCCAATTCTGTTTTAAAATTATATCCATATTTGGATTTTTTTATGTTTACAAAATAATAAATTAAAAACTGCGTATTGCTTTTATATATTAGAGTTAAAAGATATATATTACATAAATACACATTTTTAAAAGGAGAAATCTAAAATTTATTGATCAAATATAATCCATCATTTCATTTCGGGATTTATTTACTGAATTAATTTTCATAGAAAGAAAATCCATTCAAAACAAAAAGATAAAAAACATAATTTTTATTTTTTAAAGAATATTCAAGTATTTACATTTTTATTCAATATTATTTCAACCATGTAAATTTGAAATAAAAAGCAAAATAATATAATAAGGAGTAATAAGATAATAAAATAGCATTAAATAAATTGATTTTCATATTTGCAAATAATATATGAAAACTCAACTTATTCTAAAATACATTTTTATGCTAAAAAGTATCTAAAAATATTTATTTAAGTTAATTGTTACATTAAAATAAAAAAGATTGTACCATATAAAATTTATATCAACTTTTTCTTTAATAAAAATTTTATTATTTCTAAGAGAAAAAAGTGTAATATAAACTTTAAGTAAACTAAAAAATGCATTTGATTTGAAATGAGTCACCACATAAAAAAATACAATTAATTATTTGTATTTTGACTTAAACTTTTTCTGTTCAACCGATATAGGATTTAAACAAGAAAAAGAAAAGTTAATTATTGTGTTTTAATTAAAAATAAATTCATCAAGGAATTAAATTCTTATAATTATCTACATTAACATAACTAAATAATTTTTTATTAATTTGTAAATTAAAAAATAACATATTTTTCCAGATTAGATAATTATTAGAAGCTGTTGATAAAAAATATTAATTGACCCGCTATTACTGAATTAAAATCTGACTTAAAGCAATTAGGTTATTTATGCATGTAGAACATTTATAATACGTGAAATAATCAATTCAGTGAGAACCTGCTAAAGAGATAAATTAAATAAAAATAATTTTTAATTTCCTTGAAGTTAGATTGCATTTATGTTGAAAGTAAATATTATAAAGAATATCTTTATATAACTATTAATTTAATATAATTTTTTATATTATAAATAAAATCTGCTCATAATAACTATTCTTCTTACAAAAACTTAATAGAAAAAACGAATTATTCTAGCTTTCAAATTTAAATTACTGCATTAATATAGATTATTTTTAATTGCTTATTCATTATTTATAATGAAGAAATCTTGAAAAATCTGAAGAAATTATAAAATTTACCCCTAAATGTTGAAGTAAATAAGCATTATTTATTCAAATTAAAATAAATCTATTTTTTTATAATAAATTTTATTTATAATTTATTCATTATTCTTTAAAATATGCAAATTCAAACTATAGTGGCATCTATATTTCATTTTTTTTTTTAATTTACAAATATGGTAAAGATGCATATATTAATGCTACCTCTGTTTCTGTTTAGACACCTCACTTCACTGCCTTAATTAAATAAAATTCCTTAATTTACATTTAAAACCTACCTAAGTTAAATACTGATATTTATTTATTCATTTAAAGATATTTTTTAATTAGAAATGTAGGAGTTAAAATTTAATGAAAGTTGTATTGAATAGATTAAAGAAATTATTAATAATAGAAATTTATTACCGTACTTATTTTAACTTGTTAATTTTTAAAAGTTGAAATAAAGCCAATTAGAAACACTTTTTTAAATTTAAAATAAAAATTTTTAATTTTATTTCCTTCATAAATTAATAAATTAGAGTATTCACAGTATATTTTTTGTAGATTTTTGTAAAATTTTAATTAAATAATTTTATTTTTAAAAAATATTTATTGATTAATATTTGGAAATTAGATATTTTAGCAAAATAAATTTGCAAAATATTTGGAATTTATATAATATACAATTATTTTCTATACAATTCATTAAAAACTAATTAATATTTTATGACACTCCTCTCTCTTCTTCATTTATTCAATTATAAATAAATATGTTTTACTTAGCATTTAAATTAAATTAATTTTACTTGGATAAAATAAATATCTAACGATAAAAGTATGTATTTATAACTTTTTTTGAATAAATCTAATAAAAATATGCCTAATAATTTTTTTATCTATGAACTATGAAATAAAAAAAGCTCCGAGACCGGGAATTGAACCCGGGTCTCCTGCGTGACAGGCAGGAATACTAACCACTATACTATCTCGGATTACTTGAATTTATTTTACTTAAAAGATTGGTTATTTTCACAAATTTATTTGAAAATAATTAATTAATCGCTTATGCAAATTGCCAATAATTTACTAAATATAAACTCAAAATTTTGAGATTTTTTACAAATTTAATACCAAATAATTATATTAAAAAAATCATATCTGTAATAAAATTATTTCATTATTAAGATTCTATCTTAATAATTATAATATACTATATTAAAAGTTAGTTTCTCAATTTTGAGTTTATATTTAATAAAATTTTTTGTTTATTAAATCTTTTCAAATAATATCTAATATTTATGATGATTTATCTCCTTGTTCATCTTACTGTTAGGAATATTCATGATATTTTAAGATTGGAAAGAAATAATATTAAAAAAAATCAAATTATTAAATATAAAAAAATTTTGTTAATAAATTTTATTTTATTTCTTTTGGTCTAAAAATATTCGAAATAGCAGATAGGTAAAAAAAATTATAATTGAGATAAATAAATTTATATTTTTAAAGAGAACCAAAGTAGTGCACATTTAATAGTAAGTGTTTCATCTCCTCCTCAACCAAAAGGGACTTACAAAGTAGGTGTTGCTAAACCAGATCCTACAGATTTCAAGAATCCCTTCTTCAGACCATGTGAATTTACAGTTCGTTTAGATAATCCTTGTTTCACTATCTCTGTTAATAAATCCAGTTAAGATAGATGTAATTTTATTTTAAAAATCAAGGTTTTAATACTAAAATCAGGTAAAGAAAGTACTTGGTATTAATGTATAATATAAAACCATCCCTGGTTAATCTTCAAAAGATAGACTCATTATGCAAACAGGTAATTAAACATTCGATATATTTAAATATCCTTAATAATTCTATAATTGAAATTATAGATTCATATTTTAATAGTTGCATATAATATTATACTATTTATTCTGAATTTGAATTGAAAGAAATTCTAATAATTAAAATTAAATTCTTCTTAGATTTATTTTAAAATTTGAATTTTTAATTTAATTTATATTCTCCTATTATATTTAAATCTTAAAATTATTTTAATTAATTTAAAAAATTATTATTTACTTTCATAATATTGATCATATTAAACAAACATATAAAATATAAATCCACAATCTGAAGTTTAACTTAATAATTAAAGTTGGTAATTTTATAATTTTTATATTTATTTAAACTTAAATAATTTAATTTTAATTATTTCTATAAAGTTATTAGATTGATTTTACCAAGTTAACTTTTCTTTATTAATTTACCTTATTGCCTCGAAAAGACCCACCGACCGTTCAACTGAGGTAGGGCGAAAATGGGAGATTTATTTATGATTTTCTGTATGATTCATAAAACTAATATATTATTACACCCTCTTCATTATTTATTCAATAATAAATAAAACAATAACTTAGTTAAGCAAATTATTTTTACTTTAAAATAAATATCTAAGAATAAAAGTATTTATTACTTTCTTTGAGTAAATCTAATAAAACATTTGTCAAATTAATTTTTATATATGAACTGCTAAACAAAAAAAGCTCCGAGACCGGGAATTGAACCCGGGTCTCCTGCGTGACAGGCAGGAATACTAACCACTATACTATCTCGGATTACTTGAAATTAAATTACTTAAATTACCAGTTTTTTAAGTAAATTTATTTGAAAATTATTAATTGCTTATACAAATGGCAATACTTTACAATATAAACTCAAATTTATGAGACTTTATTACAGATTTTATACCTAATAATTATATTTTAAAAAATATATCTATTATAGAATTATTTCTTAATAAAGATTATATATTAATAATTATAATATAATATATTAAAAATACTATCTCAATTTTGTATTTAATAATTTTTTTAAAACTAGCTTAATCAATTAAATAATTTTAAATAACATTTAGCATTTATGATAATTTCCCTTGTTTTTCTTGCTATTAGGAATATTTAAGATATTTTAAGAATGAAAATTAGTATGTATGATTAAAGAAAAATAAAAATTGAATATCAAATTATTAAATATAAAAAATAGTTTTGTTAACAAATTATATTGGAATTCATTTTTTATTTTAATCAATTAAAAGATAATTCTAAAGTTTATTTCTATCTTTTTAGTCTAAAAATATATATAAGTATCCCAAATATCAAATAGGTAAAATAAATGATAATTGATTCTTGAGAAAATTCAAATAGTACACAGTTAATAATTAAATTCAAATTAAAAGAAATTATTTTGTTATTAATAATATATGAAAAAATAGGAAATAAAAATATTTTTTATATCTAATGATTAACTAAAATAAAATAAAATTAAAACAATGTTAACTTATAAATTAGGTAATTTTTATTTATATAGAAAAGATATATGTTTTTTAGGTTACATCAGAAAACAAATTAGATAAGTGTAAATCTTTTATAATTAGCAATTTAATTATGAAGGTATCAGAAAATGATAAGAAATTTAAAGAAATTAGGTTAATATAAATAATAAAAGCAAAAACAGGTAATAATATAGAGTAATCTATTAAATTTACTGATAAATAAATAAATATTAAAATGCAAAAAACAAAAAGTATGATATTAAATATATTTTAGATTTTTTTCAAATTAAATTAGAATTAAAATTAACCAAATATAAACTCATAATTTCAATCTTTTTTTAAAAAAAAGTTGATTAAATTTCACCCCTAGAAAAATGGCTAAAAGAAAAGCTATAAGAAATCAAGTAATTATTTTTAAAAAAAAAATCTAAAATTAAAAAAAATAATAGAAAGAAGACACCTAATGAATTAGAGATTGATTTAAGGTAAAATGAAGATATTATATCAACTTGATTATTCAAATTAAATTAAAATTTAATTAATTAATAATTCAAAAATAAATTTATTTTTTAATAAAAAGCATCTTCAATATACCAAATGCTCTACAAATAATAGCAGATTCACTAGATAATTGGAATTAGTTATATACACTAAATATCAGTTTACCGTAATATCTTTATTAAAATTTTATTTTTAAAGCAAATAAAAATATTAGCAAAAATGAAGTTACCACTTCAGAAGTTGAGAATTTAGTTAAATCTTTATAAAAATATTGCTGTGTTTCAAACCTTTCTCTTGTTTTCAAGTAAAACTAATACATAAATTAAGTAATAATGTATTTAATAATATTTTTAGCTGTTTTTAGTTGAATGAAGATATTATGCTAAGTATAGGATAGGCTATTTGTAGTTCCTAAAATATTTAATCTTTTAACTTAGCTTTAAGGTTAAATTATTATTTTAGTTTTATATAATTTGAATTATTCATTCTTAAAGAAACAAGTAATTAGATTCTTAAAAAATAACTAAATTCCTAGAGGGTATGGAAGTATGCACTAATCTGACATAATTTACTCTTAATTTATCGTATAATATAGTCATTTTATTAAAAATATTGAAAATTTTAATTTAAAATTAAATAGTTGTAATTAGTTTGACTAAGAAGGAGCTTTAAAGTTAGCTGATATTTTTACTCTTATGCCTAACCTCATTTAATTTAAATTACTGTTGACGTAAAATAATCCTAAAAATTATTTAATCGATGAATAAGTAAATATTATCTTAATTTTTTAAGAGGTTGTTAAATAGGCTCTGAAGGAGTTTCTTAATTAGGTAAAAAAATAGCTGAGTGTCATAACTTATAAAGTTTTTCGTTGGGATTGATGTAAAAATTTATTTTATAAAAATTGAACATTCAATTACTTATTTAAATTAAAGCTATACTTACAACTTACAATAATTTACTTCAACTTATTTAAAAATAGAAATAATAATATTAATTATGATGGTGCATCTAAATTTTTAAATGTATTATCTAAGCTTTCCAGACTTAATTCTTTGAACTTAAATCTAACGTAAATATTTTATTCATATTTAGTAATTACTACAAAAATTTAAATAGAGCTAATAAGAATCTGAGATATGATTGCTTGATGAATATAATCTATAAATTACAGAGAATAGTAAAATTTACTAGCACTAACAGACAACCTTATTTTTTAGACTGATACTCATTTAATTTACTATATAGAAACTAAATTTATATGTAGATACATAAATAATTATTTGTTATAATAAAAATGTTTATATTTTAGTCAAAACTAATAAACACTTACAATAAGCTATTATGCTTTTTTATTTGTTATTTTTTAAGTATTCATAATTAATAAATTTTTATTATTAGCAATTAATTTTACGTTGTGAATATTGTTTTTTCATTCATAAATACCAAAATATTATTTTGATAGTTTAATTATATATAGTAAATCTTCCTCAATTAAAGATAAAAAAACTTTTATTTAATTTCATGTCTTAAGATTAGCGTGCTTAAATTAGAGCACAGTCTTAAATTAGAATCGACTTAAGATAGAGTCTATACGGTATATATTTTTTTAATTAATTTGATTTACAAATTTGAGAAAAAAGATATTAAAATAATCTTAAGATAGATTTTGATTTTTAGTTAATTAAAGGTTTTATTTAATAGGAGTTTGTATTTATAGAAAGATTTCAAAAGGAATAAGAATCCATTTTTGAAAATTTAAAGATGAATAATATATTATATTTATTAAGATTTTTTATATTAAGTTAATTCATTGGTTGTATGTTAGAAATTTAGCTTCTAACAATGATAACAGAACAAAGTTATTTAGATGAAATAATAGATTTATCTTATGAGTATTTAGAAGGAGAAGAAATAGAATACGAAATAAAAATATCTTTGATTAAAGATCAATATCAAAACTACGAATTTATTATTTTTGTTTAAGATGATATTTTTTTTAGCTAATTTGAGATGATTACTTCAATAGAATTTCCATTTTCTTAGGAAGTGTGTTAATAAATTACATTCTAAACAAATAAACTATGCATTGATAAACTTGATAAATTTGTTAATTAGTTCAAAGCAATATATAAGCTTAAATTAAAGTGCTTATCTAGTGTGTGTAGGACAAGATAGATATTCTTACTTCAACCTAAACTTTACCAGAGTAAGATTAAATTATTGAAATATTTTCATATATTACTTATATTTTATTTTCTACTATTTAAACAAAGATAAAGATGAAGAGAAATATATTAATGAAAGAATGCTCACAAAGATTCTGTTTCCAAAAACAAATTCACAGTAAAAATTTTATTTTATTGATACAAAATAAAGTATTGATAAGGTCATTACTATAGCTGAAGAAACACATCCTTGCTTTTAAAAAACATAGCTAATTTATTAATTTTAACTCCTAATAATTAATTGCTAAGAAGAAGTAGAATTAGTTTTTGTATTTTCAGATTTTTATCATTAATTTGATTTGAAGGAAATAGATAAATAGATTTTGCTTTTACCCTAAAAATCTTATGATTTTACAGATTTAGGATTTAATAGATTTTTTATATTGGATTCATGTATTATGTTTTAAGACGAAGCATTATTTTTAGAAATGAATTCATAAAGTCTATATGAGATAACTTAAATTGAAAAGCTATCAACAAAATTATTTATCAAGTGCAACTAAAGTACTTCAATCATAGATGGAGGTTATTTTGATTAAATTTTGGTTTAAAAGTTTTATGTTCCTTTTTCTGATGGTTACTAAATGAATACTATATTCCTTAATAGTACTTATGAATACAATAATTAATACTCTAATTGCTTTCTTTTTTCATCCACCAATTTTGTTTTTTATAAAACTGTTCAAGATTCTAAAGAACCTTTAAATTTGTAATCAATAACACCTTAAGAGCTTGAGTATCAAATTAAAGTTGAATAAATACATTTTAAAGCAAAAAAAGAAATATGTATTTTTGAAGAAGTTTCACAGCCAAGACACTACTTTATATTCAGTAAATAAATTTTGAAAAAAAAATAAGTTTAAGTATATTTTTTCATAATTTAAAAGCTAAAAGTCAAAGAGATATTTTTGTTTACTATAAAGAACCAAGATTTTACTAAATTAATTTCTAATAAGATAATTAAGCTTTGAAATACTTTGTTCCTTTAAAAAAAAGTATATAAAATATAGATTACAGTATTGATTATACAGCAACTTTGTAAATTTGTATTGAAACTAACAATAATTAGGTTAATTTTTTACATTAAATAATTTTTAAATATTTAAGTTTTAACTTATAAATATATAGCTCATAATATAAATTCAAGATAATGAAAACTAATAAGTAGTGATAGATATCAATAATAAATGCAAATAACTCTAATTATTATAAAAAGGTAGTTATTAGTTGAGTGTTCTTAATTGCCAGATTGAATTAAACTCGAGAATTATTTTTTAAGTTTATTATTCAGAGAGTATATTTAATTATAATAGTTTTGTAGATTTTATAGGTGATAGAAAGAGTTTTTCAATGAGAAATTTATTTGAGAAAAATTATTATTAAGCTTTCATAAAAGTTAGTGAAGGATAAGGATGTAAAGGCTTTTTTTACATACCAGATAAATATACATATAGTTTAATAAATATAGGAAAAATTTAATAAAATTGCATACTTTATCTACCATAAAGTTTTTTTTAAACAAATGAAGAGTATTTAAAAGTGAATGTATATTTATTAAATAAATAAATCTCCTTTTAACCATAAACTTAGCTTTTATATCGTTTTAATTGTGTAATGTTTCTAATATTCTAGCCTTTTGCTTATCTAGATATATCCAATTTCTTATTGATTTCAAATAAATTTTATATTGTTTCTGAAAAAAATGGGATTATTTCTTATGTGAATGGAGAAAGTGTTGAAAACTAAACTGAATAAATTATTGAAAGAAATTTCAACAACTAATAAAGCGACTCTATTGAGATAGTTTTTTATAATTAATTTTTAAATTCTAAGGTGTAGTTCTGCTTTGAACATATGACATTTACATATTTTAACCCTCTCTCAGATTTAACATAACCTTTTCTAAATGGCAAAGATATTTTTTACTTTTGGGATTCAACAGATAAATTTTACTAATTATTGAATTTTGAATATTAGTATATTTATTACTCTGAAGACAGTAAAAATAAAATTCAAGATATAAGAAACTTTAGTTATTCAAATTTAAAGAGAAAATATATATGCGATGTTATTAGAAAAAATGAATCTCAAGGAATATTAATACACTTACCTAGATAATAAAACATGTAAGATAATTAAATAATAGATTTAGGTAAATTTTAACATTATTACTAATTTTTAAAATTATTATTAAATAAATTAGAAAAAATATATCAGAAATAGACATTTTCTATAATTAGTTAGTGCCAGTATTATTATTTTGAGATATTAAAATAAGATTAATTTCAGCACCTATTACTATTTATTTAGAATAAGTATGAAAATGCTTTCATATACACTAATTATGGTCTTATGATTTCTAAGAATTAGGTATTTTTATTTGAGTTAAGCTAGATAAATAATAATTCTGTCTGTGTCTAATCAATAGAATAAGATGCTAATGAAGGCTGGGAATTTTAAATTACATTTATACCAATTAATATTCAATAAATTACAGTTTACTAAACTTAATAGGTCTAGAATTTCAAACAGGTCTTTTAATTTAGAATAATTCCATATCAAAGGTATCTTATTAGTTTTTCTAATTTTACCTAAGAAGTACCAGTTATGAGCTATTGGTTTGAAAATGTGTAGGGTCATAATAATTTTATATTTAGTAATTACGATATTGAGGAAAGTTAACAAATTACGCAAAGAAACTTAATAATATTTACAGAGAACTAATATAATTACTGCTTAATTAAATCTATTATTAATGGATAATAATAATTTTCTTTTTAAATAAGTTTAATTTATGATTATTTATAAGCATAGAATGGTTAAAATTTAATAACCAAATAAAGAATGTTTATTATCTTGGATAATGGAGAATAATTTAATTAATTTATCTATATTAATATTAAAAATTAAGATATTTATATTATACCATGCTTTAAAAATATTAGTTTTACAGAATAATATGAAAATTTGAAATCAAGTATGAAAATATATAATAAAATTGATCATTACAGTAGTTAATTTGATATTATTATTCATGCTAATGAAATTCTTAGATTTTCAGAAAAAGACTTTAATAATTAAATGAATTAAAAGGTAAAATATTAAATTAAATAAATTTTTAAAAATTTCTAAATACTTGAGTTCCTCATTAATTCTCACTAACCCCCACAATCTTTTTAATCATAAAATTGTGAAATTTTTTATAAAGTTTTTTGTTCTCCAAAATTTTTTCAGCTTAACCCTATTTAGAAAAACTACATATCATAATTAATATTTTTTTATGAAGTTAGGTTTAAAATATTTATTATAAATTTAATCCAATAATTATTTGAAATAATCTGATTGGCCATAAATTTAATCAAGCAAATATTTATTTTATCAATTTATTATTTATTTTTATTTTGTATGAACTATTAAAATTTATTTTTAAAAATTATTCTTAGGATAGGCTTTCAGTTAATATGAATAAAAAATGTTTATGGATCGAGTAAAAAAAAATGGATTATGAAAAAGGAGATGAAAAGAGCTATTTTTATCTCAAAAATAATGAAAATTTAATTTTAAGTTTAAATGACTATGCTTTATTATAGGTAGATGAAGTATTAAGTAAATACAAATCAAATTATTTCGTAATTAAAGTAGATAATTTCTCTGAATATAAAATTCTCTTATTATTTAATAGTAATTCATTAATTTCTGATAATTAAATAGTAATTAGATTTAGGTTTTTTAGTTAAGGATAATATTTTTAATATATGGTACATGGTTAGGAGGAAATAAAATAAATAAATATAGGTAATGCTTAGTATGTTGAGGTTGATACATTTAAAGATATTACTTAAACCAGTATAATATTTCTGTAAAATTAATTGAGTAATGCTGTTAGATACCCAAAATTAATAGATCTACATAGCACGGATTTAATTTTTATTTAAAAAATGAAAGATAATAATACCATAATACATTTATATGATAGAAAAAGCTACTACCTATAGTAAAAATAACAATTTAATTATCAATATCTATTGGTCTCTTGTGAAAATATCTAACTAAATATAATATAAGTTAAATATTATGAATCGAATCAAGATGCTGGATACATCTTATAATATTTAAATTCAACATAAACCACATTATAAATTGATTATATTCATATTTTATAGAATCAAAATACAACTCCTGAATTTGGTAAAGATTATGAAATAAATTAAGCAAACCGAGATGAGTTTAATATTAAAATATTTAATTAAGTCCTAGAAAATGATGTTTTAAACATACTTAAATAGTAATTCTACTCTCAAATTTTAAAATTAGAAGTCTTAATTGTAATTTCTAATAATTATTATTTATTTTAAAGAGAAATTAAATATTAAAGAGTTTTTCCAAATGTAAATTTTAACTATAAAAGTATATTTATATTCATTAATTTATTTATTTAAAAGAACTTAGTACAGCAAGTTTTGTTAATTAATGGGTTGATTAAAAAATTAGATTTTCTCAAAGATGATAACACAGTTAGCTATGAGATTGAATCATCAAATTAAAATCTAATTTTCGAAAGCTATAAATACATGAGATTATACATAAAATAGAATAAGAGTGAATTTATTTTAGCGATAAGTAAAATAATAGCAATACCAAAGAACTACTTCATAAAAAGGCAAATTAATGCATAAATCAAAGAATAATAAAATAAAATAATTATTTTTTCAATAATTATTTTACTTTTGCTAATAATTGTAACCTTATTAGCTATTTTAATTAAAAAACTAAGAAATATTTAGATTTGAATCAAAATAAAAGAAAAACTTAAACAATATAATAGTTAAAATTAATAAAGTTTTACTAATTAATTAGATAAGATGAAATATTTTATATTGTAATTTTATAAAATTAAAAAATTTAAATAAAGTATATGTTGTTTTCTATACAGACCATAATAAATAACATTTATTACACCCCTCTTCTTTATTTATTTAATAATAAATAAATATCTTTTAATTAGCATTTAAAGAAAATTAATTTACTAGGATAAAATAAAAATATAAGAATTAAAGTATTTATTTATAGCTTTCTTTGAATAAATCTAATAAAACATTTGCCAAATCAAAATTTTGATCTATTGACTATTTAACAAAAAAAGCTCCGAGACCGGGAATTGAACCCGGGTCTCCTGCGTGACAGGCAGGAATACTAACCACTATACTATCTCGGATTACTTGAAATTATATAATTAAAATATTGTTTCTTTTTCACAATAATATTATTTCTTTCCAATCTTAAAATATGATATATATTCTTAATAGTAAAAGAAACAAGGTAAATTATTATAAGTATTAAATATCATTTAAATATATTTAATTTATTAAGTTAATTAATCAAAATTTACTTAACTCCAAATTGTGAAACTTAATTTCAAATTATTAAATAAAAAAAATAATTTTTTAACAAATTATATCTTAATTCATATTTTATTTAATAAATCCAAAATAAAACATATTTATTTTTCTAAAGTTTACTTCTTTTTAGTCTAAAAATATTCATAATAGCAGATATACAAAAAAGTGATAGTTGAGAAAATAAATTTACAAGTTAAAATAAACTCCAAATAGTGCACAAATAATAATTAAATTTAAAATAAATGACAGTAATTTGTTTATTCTAAATAATATTAATGAAAATAAGAAATAGTTTTTAATGTTATATGATTAACTAAAATAAAATTATAAAAAAAATATTTATACATAAATTAAATAATTTATTATCATTTTAAAATAGCTATTTTAAATTTAGTTTTTAATAATTATTCTAGGATAGGTTTACAGTTAATATTAACATAAATGGATTAAATAAAAAATAATTAATTATGATAAAATAGATGAAAAGAACTATTTTTATTAATTATGATTCACTAATGACTCATACATAATATTTGGTCATTATCAATTGTATTTATCTCTGAATATTTTAAAAAGCTTTATATTATTTATTTAAGAATTTTGTTACTTATTTAGCTATTAATGGCTTTTTATTTCATAAACTTTTGATACTGTAGCTATCTTTTAAGCTTTATGTTTCTTTTTTGATTAATTTTTAATATATTTATTTTTTAAAATAGTAATTATTTATATAACATATTAAATCAAATATATTACATTATATACTAATAGTAAAATTATTACTATATTTCCTGTTATTAGATAAGAATTAACAGTTTCTTATTCTAATTATATTTATCTTTTTAATGAATCTTCTATTTTATAAATTAGAATATGCAAGAACCATACTATTGAAAATACAATTTCTCCTAATGATTTAACTATTCGATTTATTTTGCTTAAATATGGTTTGTTAATTAACGTAGCAATTGACGAAATTAAAAAAATAGTACCTATTATTATACAAGATATTAAAGGATTATTTTTAAAACTTAATAGAATTATTATCACTAGGTACTTTCTAAAATTTTATATCAAAAAATAGTTTCTTAGCATTAGTGAGCTAATTTTTTCAAAATCTTATATTCTATCTATAAATTAGAAAGAGAACATTTTAGAATTAGGATTTTTACTAAAGTTAATTTCAATAATATTTTTATAGAAAGAGTATAAAATAATTATTGTGAGGCAGATAGCCAAGTAATAACCATATCTAACAGACCAATTTTCTTATTCATAAGTTGTAAATTAAAGAAATATACAAACAAATGAATAAAGTAAATTTATTTCATTTTCAGCATTTATTCTTTGTAGTAAAATTTTCTAAAATGATTATAATCTATCTATTCCTTTTTATGAAACTTTGTTTATTAATATTAATGTTATCTTAGAGATACAAATTAGAGTTAAAATTATTGCGTACTTTAGGATAATTATAGGTGCATTTACTAAAAAACTATTTGATATTCCTATTCTTTTATAGAGTTAATCGTTTATTATGTGGACTTCTGTCTAATTGAATTTATATCCAAATAGAGAATAGGATTATTTATAATCAGTAGATGAATAATCCACTACATCTGGGTATGTGAAAGTACCAGCTATTTAATAGAACATATATAAGTTTGGAGGAAAATTTAAATTGAGAAGTAGAAAAAGATTCATCGGCTGAACTGTATTCAATAAATAAAAGATAAATTGAGTTGATTGAATTGCATTTACTATGTTTTAGTTAGACTCCATTTTTATTTCACTAAGAATCATGCTAAAATTTATATTGAAAATGTTTTCTTGAAATAAAATTGGACCAATTTAGAATTAAATGGGATGTTTCTAATAATACGAGCTTAAGATATAACTATTATCATCACTAAGAAATTTGTTTGTTTCGAGAAAAAGAGCTTGTCCGTTGATTACATTAATATTTTATAGCACATTTAGCTATAAAATTAATTAATTTTCTTTTATTATTGGGTTAGTTATTGAGTAAAATGCTTATGGGATTTCTGAGAGAGAAATATAAATTAGATTTTTGATATTTTCATTTTCAAAATCTATTGATTTTAGGGGGTAGTCGAAAGTAAAAATAAGATAGTAAATTGAGTTTTAAAGCTTTGTTGATAATTTGACTTGCATCGATTGCCTGCAAGCATACTTTTAATTGCCACTATTTCCTTAAATATATTAAATTTCTAATCCATTTTAGCAACTACAAGTGTTTTCTACCATTTAAAGTCCATCTATACATTAAGTACAATTGTCTTTAGAGTTTTTACATTATAAGCATGGGAAAGAGCAACGAATACAATCACCTATTTTTTAATCATAATAGGATTATAAAGGGCACTCAGAGCAAGTACCATCTTTGTTATCTTTATAACTGGGCATACAGCTGCAAAATGGTGGATCAGTTCTTCCTGATTTGCATTTTATACATACAATTTAGCTCAAGGAAGTGTCAAATATGCATTAATCGCAATTTGGATCACATTGCAACTTAACACAAGTATTTTATATTTCTTAATAATTTTAGTAATCGCATTCACATTAAGGAGGATTTTTTCTATTTTAAGAACAAGTGGTGCAATAGTTTTCATTCATGACACAAGAGTTACATTTTTCTGAGCATTTTTAGCACTAATATTGCTAGTTTAAGAAATAGCTAGAATCAGCACACTAGCAAGAAGGAGTTAGCTAGTTTGAACTATGACATTATGTACAATTATCTCTTTTTCCAGAGCAAGTTTTACATTATGGAAGACATTTATGACAAGTCTTAGTGTCACTATCCATATAATAGCCATCAATACATTGACAATTGTTTTAAAGATCTGAATATAAGCTTGCACATTGTAAACATTAAAATGTATTATTTATATAATCGACAATTTAGCAATTTTAAAATAGTTTATTTATGTTTAAGCATTCTCTTGTTTACTAATTAACTAAAAACGTTTATCCTAACTGCTATGTTAAATTAAGACATTCAGCTTCACTAATTTAATTGTTGTTATAAGTTACCGTTCTGTTTTTGTAATATAGGCAAGTCATAGATTGTATATCACTGAAAATAAAGCAAGGTTCTTCAAGATTATAATCAAAATAATACAATCCATCACCTTTGTCGATGTTAATCAAATTTAGATAAAACAGATAATCAGCTGTATTAAGCAACTACAAGCCTATGTTTAAATTTATTGAGCTTAAGGTAAAACTTACAATTGTGTTAACAAATTAAATTTATTCTCTTTAATAATTGCAAACTACATCAAATTCTATAAAATTAAATGATTAAGAAAAGGGACTCTATGTTCTCATAAAAATAAATAAACTATTACTTTCATTTACGTTTAACATAGAATACTTTGAGTCAGTGCATTTAGTAAGATAGCAAATTCTCAACAACAATTTTTATCCAAATGGGACTAAAAAATATTCTACTTTTTATCCTAATAAATTGTTTGCTGAGTTCAAAGCATAAGATAAAAGTGAGACTTGCTAATTTATAACTACAGGAAATATTGTGCAGTAAAATGAAATCCAATAATAATTATTATTGTTAATGTTTGAAATGCTTGCATATAATTAGTTGTTAAATTTGTAGCCTTTTAATTTATCAAACTATGGTGGTTGCTAAAATTACAATTTCAAACTAGCCTATTGAGTAAGTAAGTTATTAAAAATTTTAGAGATGTCTGAATATAAATGAACTTCAAACTTAGCCAGATTTATAACTGGTTCTGATAAAAAAGTTTATAGGGAAATAGGATCATTAACAGGATTAGTCATATTGCTGATAAATATAAAAGGCTTGTCAGTAAATTAGCTGCATAAGTATCCAGGTCCGCAGTTTCCAAGGCAAATTTTTGGATTAGTCAATTTTAAATTGGTGTTTATAGCTTTAGATACTTAAAAAAATTTAGAAAAAGTGTTTGATAATAAAAAAAATTATTAGAGATTAGTCCAAAGAGATATCCAAACTGGCTATTCAACTCTTATAGTTGCTGTATATACAGGATTTCCTTAAATTAAAAGCTATATTGAGGGTAAGCCGTTTTGTAAAATATAAGAAAAAGTAAATATTTCTGAATTAGAATCTTTAAGGACAGCGAATTTTCCGTATGCATTTTGAATTAAAAATTCAACAGAGAAACTAAAGTAGAAAGAGTAAGGACCTTATTGACTCAATTTCATTTGACTATTATTAAGATTAAAATTGCAAGATGATATTTAGCTAACTAAATTATTTTGTCTATAAATGTTTAGCTTTTAAATAATGCAAGAATACCCATCATCAAAGTAACCAGCTGGGCAAAATCCATTTTTATTTCGGTTAATATCTTGAATTTTACATGTTTATTCGTTTGTACATTGATTACAGTAATTTGGACATTTTTAACATGTGTTATCTTATCTTAAATAAAATTATTTCATGCAAACACACTATAAAGTATTTTCATCGTAAACCATGTTTTATGGACAATTTGAAAAATTTTCATTCCAATCAATAATGTTATCCTTATTTACATTTATTGATGGTAAATTTTGGTTTTCACACCCTAAGGTACTTTAATAATTTATAAAATAGCCTGATTTGCATATAATGCATTGATTATCATTTGAAGCTTAAAGAAAGCAGTTTTACTAATTAGAAACAAGAAAAGTTCCTTTGTAGTATCTGATATGACTGAATTGAATTGATTATGTATTTGATTGATCTCCAAATTGCGCCTATCCTTATAAAAATTTATTCAGCTACAGCATCAAAATTTGGCTTTCATACCCATAAACAATTAGGTAAGCTTTATAAGTTATTTATGTTTTCAAAATTAATGTAACTTGATTCCAGCTAGCCAAAGAAACTCCGTTTATTGGTTGACCATTCAAGCATATGCTGTTTTGAATGCTATTAATTGTTACTTAAAGTTATTAACTTGAATTAAAAATAGTCAGTAAAATAGCACTCGGAGGTAAGGGAGAGGAAACTTTGAAGTGAAAACTAATAGTGAAGCCTCCTGAATCTTAGAGATTAACATAGTCTGCTTTAAATACTGAATTTATTTGCACAGATAAAACTGGAGAGGTGCTTAGATAACCGTTAGTATAAATGTTCATTTAATTTGCAACGTTAAAGTATTGATTTGGATTAGCTTTTGTGTAAAAAAAATCTAAATTCCATATCAATTGAGTCTATTAAGCAGTCAGGTCATTAGAGTAGGAATAATCATCAGACAAATTATTATTGTTCCAATAAATAAATAAATTATTTATATATGCGAGAGATTCATAGTATCCATCTATGTTAAATGAGTTACCTATTTGCAAAATAATATTTTACTTGTATACAAGTTTATTGTATGGATATGAATTAGGACCAATTTTAAATATTTAATATTGCAAATCCTGATGAAGAGAAGTTTATACATTTATTTATGTTCCATCAAAAGAGAGTTATGTTACTATTAAAATCCAGTTATCTTTCACAATACTGTTAGAGGGTCTAATTTAGTTGTACGTCCCCAAAGTTTTCTGCCTTAAATATTTTTATGATGGGTTAAATTAAATACTCAGTAATTCATCACTATTTTGCATCAAAGTAAAGAAAGTATAATAATTATTAAGCTCTATTCTTGGCCAAAACCATCCTGACAAAGCAAATTGAGTAATTGTAGATGACGAATCTGAGGACTAATCAAACAAGTAATTTCCATAAAAGATTTAATGGGTATTTAAAATTTTTTACTATTTAAGTGTTTAATCATAATTAAGCCACTTAAAATTCACTTCTGCGGAAATATACTTTATAAAGACTAAGAACAAAAATAATTTTGCTAAAATTTAAGACATTTCTTTTTAGAAAGCTATTTTTTAACATGTTTGAGCAGGTTTTTGTATTATATAAATTAATTGTTTAATCTACGAAATTTTAAATTAGTTTATGTTATGAAAAATAAATATTGAATAGATAGATTGCGTTATTCAATTAGATTAATTATATAGAATCCAAATAAATTACAATTAAAAGGTTGTTTGTTATTTAATTTATCTTACTTATTAAAAATTATTAATAATGTAAGAATTTTTGTTCTCTTTGATTCTAATTATTGTAATAAGCACTTTGTAATTTAAAGATTTTTTTTTTAAAAAATGAAATGTTAAAATAAAAAATGAGTAAAATATTATAAAAAAGAAGTAAATTTATTCATTGAGGAAATGATAAAGTAAGTATGACTAATTTATTTTTATTTTTTATTCAATTTGAACTTGAAAAAAGAAATATTCTTTAAAATTTCTAGATTTCTAAATTTGATCGATGGTATGAATAAACTATTAAGATATTACACTTTTTTATTTGTTAAATTACAAATGAAAAAGTTATATAAGGTTAATTTTGGGAAAATTTTTTTTTTTCTTTTATTGATTTAGCTTACTTTTTTTATTAATTTATTTTTCTTTTTTAATTTTCTTCAACATTGTATCCAAGAAAATTCAAGAAGTAAATTAATAAAGTAATCAAAATATAAGGACTTGAAAGAAAATATAATTTAAATAAATTTATTTTCATTTAAAGTTAATTTTGATTTGATCAAAGAAATTAAATTGGTATTAATTTATAGAAGAAAATAAAAAGTTTTATAAAAACCTTTTTATTTCATTTAATGAATAGCTTTTAAGTCTGATTCAAACTAAAATTAGAATTTAAGATTTTAACTATTTATTTTTTTTTAAATGTAACTGAGTAACTTCACTTGAATTTGAAAGTTACATCCATAATTTAATTTTTTTGGTCAAATATTGACAATAATATAATTAATTAATACTTATTTTCTTAATTATGTAAACAATAATCAAATTAGTATACAATATCTTAATTTAATACATAATATTAAGCGTATTTTATTTCATTTGGGTACATTATTATTAATTAAATAATGTCTAACCCAATTTCGTCATTAAACAATATATTATGATTCTAATTTAATTTACTAATTTATTTCTTTTATTGCTATTTTAATAAATCCAGCTGTCAATTTTTATTTTACTTTAGATGTTCAGATTTTAAAACCTTTATTAAAACTACATTTTATATGAATTTAAAAAAATACTAAAATAAATGATTTATCTGGTAATATATTTGAGTTATCTTAAAGTATCAGTGAAATATTTACTTACTATCTTATATACCATAAAAAGTACTTTAGCTTAAAATAGCCTTCCCTAATAATAACTACTGAATTTTTTTAATTAAAATAATCTAATTAAAAATTAACATTCGGTTATTCGGCCGTATAATACAATTTTTTACAGTATATATTCTGTATCTGTTTTTTATTTTAAGGAAAATATGGTATTCGGTATAATTTATAAATTGATTACTGTATTATATGGTTATATGGCTGAATGAAAAAAAATGTTCATACTGTCGATCCATATTATTTATCAACTCATTCACTCATATATTCTTGAATTTATTATTTTTTAAAGAAACTTAACTCTTCTATAATATCTTCTTCAATAAAGATTTTGATGAGTCAGTACTTTGTTAGCTTAATTCAATATATTGCCAATATTTGAGGCAAGATTATTCTTAATGATAATCTTCTTTATTTAAAGAGTAAAAAAGTCTTTTATTTCCTTTTTTATTTGATTGCATACTTTTTTTATCCTTCTTTTTTTTAATTAATATTAATTATTTAACAATATTAATTATATTTTTATTATGATATAATAAAATAAATTATTTTATTCGCTTTTTAAAAATTAAAAATTTAAATTTTAAGAAAATATTTTATTGAAATTAATTAAAAAAAAAATATAATATTCAGAATTTTAATTTTTAATTTCTTTATTAAACTTTAAAATATGTTGAGAATAAGGATTACTTAAAAGTGCTTAAATGAATGGATATGTATATACTTTTTGGAAGATTAAAATTTGTTACTAGTTTCATCCAAATTTCATAATATTTATGATTTTTATGATTTAAGAAGATTTTATTAGTATATTATTTACTTTATCATAAGATTTATCTCTATTTAATATATATTGTTTACAAAGACTATTACAGTAAAAGAATAGATTGCCCATTTTATTTATTTTTATAACAATAAAAATGAATCCTTACATCAAAATATATTTTTTGATTCATATGGTTAAATGCATAGAAATAATACAATTACAGACAAGGATTACTGAACATAGTTATTTAGACTAAAGGATAGAATTATCTTAAGAATATAATTTAGGTGAATAAATAGAATATGAAATAAAAATATCTCTGCTGGATGGTTTTTATCAAAATTACGAATTAATAGTTTTTGCTTCTGATGATGTGATTGAAAGTGAGTTTGAAATGACTACTTCTTTGTTTTTTCCATAAAAAAGAGTAATATGTCAGCAAAAAGTTTTTCAATCAAATAAATTATGTATTGATCAACTAGATTAGTTTGAAAATTTAGTTAAAGCAATTTATAATGTGAAATTGAAATGCATGTCAACTATTTGTAGGACAAGGCAATATTTCCTTCTTTGGCCTAAGAAAATTCAGAGTATTTAATTGCTTAAGATATTATAATAGCTAATTTAACTAATTTTTAAAAATAGATAAGTAAGAAGAGTAGTATATAAATGGAAGGATAATCAATAAGATTTAACTGCCAGAAACTTTAGAATTTAAGTATTACATCACTAATAGCTAATGGAATCTTGAAAAGATTATTACTATTGCAGGAGAAGATCATTCTTGCTTTAATTAAGTTAAATTTTATTATGAGTTTTAACTCCTTAGTGTTGAATGTCTAGAATAAGTAGAACTAGTTTTTGTGTATACAGAACTTTATAACTAATTTTGGTTCACAAAAATCAACAAATCATTTACACTAGAGCCTTACTTAGAATATAATTTTTAAGATATTGGATTAAGTACATTTTTTATTATGGAATCCTGTCTAATGAAATTTAACTAAAATGATAACTTAGATTTATAATAAAAAAACTTATATGAAATTTAAACTGACAATAACATAAAAATATCAATTTAATGCAATTAAAGAACATCAATTCTAGATGGATCTCATTTTGATTAATATTTCTTAAAAAAAATATATATTTAAAATTCTGAAAATGAGTAATTTCACTAAATAGAGAAAATTCAAAAACAAGAAATAATTTAATTTCAAACATGCTTTTATTTTTTTTCAGAGAATTTCGAGCTATATTAATAAAATATAAAGTCTGGATAGACTTTAGACATTAAATCAAAAACTCCTTAAGATATTAAAAAAGAAATCAATTTAGAAAAGATTAATCTAGAAGCTAAAAAATATATATGCTTTGAATAAATTAATAATAATAAATAAATTCGCTATTTTGTTTTCAGTAAATAAATAATTTTAAAATATTTTTTACATTTAAAATAATTTATAACAATAAAAATAGGTAGAAGCCAAGGAGATATTTTTATGCATTACATAGAAGAATTAATCACAGAATTTGATATTAGATTTGATTAACAGGCTTTTAAATATTTTATTCCTATTAAAAGAGGTTTATAGCAAATAGTAATATAACAACAATATTTAAAATATCAATTTAAGAAAATTAAAATATGTTTTTTAGCAGAAAATGACTAAGATGATGTAAATTTTTTTAATTTAATAAAATATTTAAATTTATTATTACTTGTAATAAATAGCTAAATATACATTTTTACAATAGTCAAAAATAAATATTAAACACTAGAGAAAAATGTTACGTTGATCCGAATTATTAATTTTAATTACTTGATATTTATGTAAATAACAACAAGAATTATAAAAATTCAAGAATTATGTTTTAGGCATATTACTCAAACAATGTTATAGATGAAGAAATAAAAATTGATTCAAATCTTATAAAAAGTGAATATTTTTAATTAGCAAAAATAGATATATAAGATATAAACGATTTTAAAGAGTCTGTATTACAATTTAAAAGTTCTTTTAAATGTTAAGGATATTTGTTAATAGCTGATAAAGTAAATTCTCTAATTATAGTTGGAAAAATTCAATAAAATTGCTAAGCTTTCCTCTAATCTAGTATATTATTAGGTAATGAATAAAGGAAGAGATTTTATATCTTATTTAGTTAAAATGATCAATATGATTTAAGTCTCATTTAAATGGCTTTTTATTTATAATCTAATCATATTAGAATATATCAAATAACTTAACCATTCTTAATTGTCAATAAATAATGGTTTAAATACTAATCAAGTAACCTCTATTTTATATCTTAACATAAAAATCAAGTAGCAAGCATTGATGGAATTAGTATCTTTAATAAGGGCTTAGATTAATTTCATACAAAATTAAATGTGAGTAAAGATATAATGATTGAAATAATATTTTGTGATTAATTTAATATTAACTAAGAAATTATCTTTTACTTTGAAATTACTCCTTATGTTCCATATTCTTATATTCTAGGAGATTTAGAAAAATAAATATAATAATAATCCGAAATCTATTATTTTTGGTAAGAAGATTAAAATATTTTTGCTTAAGAATTATCATTTACTTTTTAGTATGTAAACTTTTAAAAAGATAAAAATACTTATCTTTTAGACTAAATGAATATTTCAGAATAGATACATAAACTTAAGTGCGATGGAATTAAGAGAAATGACTCATAAGCGATTAAGATATAAAAAGAGTTGCAGCCTTAAAATAACTTTGCATATGTTTTGTTAATAGGTAAAATTCTTAATTCAAAATCAAATAAATTGAAATTTATTTTTTTTTAATAGGTGAATAGAAAGTTACTTACGATTATTTTAATATTTGTTCAAAAATTTAATTTGATGTAAGATTTTATTAAAATCATTTTTCAATATGCACTATTTAGGTCTTTGATCCTATAGCGGATTACTATATGAACAGTCATTATGTTTAAAATAATTTTTAAAGTTTTATGATTTAAACTAATAATGAGATACTCGAATTAAAGAAAAATAATTAATAGCTCTTTAAATAAAATTTTAAAATAAGCTTCATGCCAATATATATTGAAATAATAACATATTTTAAGCTGGTATAAGTATTTAATTCATTCTAAATATTTAAATTTAATATTTCTCCTTATTAAAGATACTAAGTGGAATTTTTAGATTTTAGTTAATAAAATAAGCCAACAATGACCTATTGGTTTGATAAAATTACAATTTTTAAGAATCATATCATTCCTATTAATTATGATTTTTAAGAAAAAAAATTAATTTCCTTAGAAAATTCTGTTATATCAACAGAAGATTAAGATTATTATTGCTATCTAAAGCTTAAAAATGATTTTATGGGTAATTTTTCGATTTAATTGAAATTTTTATATGAGTTCATAGAAGCTTAAGTAAATAAAAAAAATATTCTTGATAAATAGAGAATGTTTATCTTTTTTGAATAAAATTAGTCTTAAAGCCTATTTATCTAAATAAACATTAGGAATTAAGATTTATATATTATTCCTTGCTTCTAAAGTTTGAGTTATATAGATTAACCCTTCACTCAAAAAGCAGTTTACAAGTTATTCAATGGTGCTTATAAAACTTAAAAATTTGAAGTAACTTTGCATATCAATAATATTTTAAGATTTGAAAAAAAATTGCTATAATCAATTTATTCATCTAAAAAGGTAATTTTTTTAATTAGTTTTTTAATTCCACTTCATTTCAAAAAAATATATATTTTATTATTTTAAATAAATATATATATCTAAGCTTTAATTAAACAAACAGATCATTGATTTTAATAAAAAAATTTATTAGAAATAATTTCCATAAAAATTAAATTTTGTAAAAATATCAATCAAATTGTACTCAAAAATTAATTAATTTGGATATTTTAATTAATTTTCATTTTATTTTTTTAAATTAATTTTGTAAAAGTTTTTTATTTTATATAAAATGCTCAAATATGTGATTAATATAGGAAAATTATATATTTGACAAGAAATGCTTGTGGGTTGAGTAAAGATAAACTGATTATGAAAAACGAGAAAAAGATAGCTATTTTTATTATATGGAAAATAAAAATCAAACAATAGATTTGAATTATAATAGCTTATTAGATGTAGATGAAATGTAAAATGGATAAAATAAATCAAGCAATTATTTTTTGATAAAAATAAATAATTATTAAAATGAAAGCATTCTATTTATTACTAAAAACAACTCAATCTTTACTTATAAATAAGAATTAGTATTTAGCTTTAGATTATTCATAAATTATGAATATTAAATTTTTGAGTTTTATGAAAATCAGTAGCAAATGGAAATCAAAATTGGTAATGCATAGTTTATAGAAGTTGATATTTATAAGAATATAACATATACAAATATAATTTTAGTTAAAGAACCAATTGACAAAATTATCAGAGAATCAAAATTGTTAAATATTTAGAACTAACTTTTAGTTTTAATTTAAAATCTTAAAGGGTCTTATATTATTATAGAAGTACAAGAAGAGTAAAATTCATCAAATAAATAAATTCAAAAATTAAGAGACAAAGACCTATTAATATGTAATTAAGATATAAGCATAAGCATAACTGAAATTAGTAATCAGTTATCTAAATTAAATTCAGGTTACATTTTACAATTTTAAAATACAACAAATCTTAAAATGTAGGTTTAATATATCGAATTATTTGAATACTTAGACTAAAATATGAACATATTACAAAATGATAATGATTAATAAATAGATTATTAGATAAATCAAAAAAGCATTTATGAGCTCAATATATAAGTATTTAACTACCCTGTTAGCAACTTTTCAATCTTCGATTTTGATCAAATTTTTAAACAAGAATAACAGCCTGAAGCAATTGTTTTTATTTCAGACTAATTGTATTAGTTTTAATAGTTTTCGTATTATAAAAGATCAAATACTATAGTAAATACTTTAATTTTTTATATCTTTTATTTAAAAAAATCTTTTATTAAATTAGATGAAGAGTTCAAATTTAGTTCTGAACTGTAAAATAATTAAATTAAAATACGATAGTTAAAATAAATCAACTACCTACGAAATAGAATTACCTAATTAATTTTTACTCTTTAAATCTAATTATCTTATAAGAATATACCTAAAATCAAATTTAACTCAGTAAGCTTTTCCAATTAGCCAAGTAATATAAATACCTTAATATTTATTGAGTAAAAGAAAAATAGTCTCTGAAAATCAAAAGTAGAAAAAAATAATTTTATTCTTGTTGACAGTATCACTAATTTTAGTAATAATGGGGCTTTTTATATTTTTATTATTCAAATAATTAAAAAAATAAGCAGAAAAATAAATTTGAACCAAAGTATAATAATTATTATATATAAATTATATACATGTTTCATTCATCCTGCCATATGATAATTCATTTTCAAATTTAATAATATTTAAGAGTTTTATAAAATATTTATGATAAATAAATTATATATTCTTCACCCTATCATTTATGATAATTCATTTTCAAATTTAATAATATTTAAGAGTTTGAACCAAAATAAAATATTTATGATATATAAATTATATATTTTTCATCTTGTCATTTATGATAATTCATTTTCAAATTTAATAATATTTAAGAGTTTTATAAAATATTTCAATATAAAAATGCCAATTAATAATTTGTGAATCTTACACTAATTTACTTTCATTTTATTACTTCATAAAATAGAAAAATAAACAAAATATTTGTTTTTTATTTTTTTCAATAGATAAAATATTTAAATTAGTGGTTTTAAAATAATTAAAAAATATTATTAAATAATTTTATTTTTTTTCATTTAACAAGTAAAAAAAATAAAAAAAAAGCTCCGAGACCGGGAATTGAACCCGGGTCTCCTGCGTGACAGGCAGGAATACTAACCACTATACTATCTCGGATTACATGGTATTTTACCAAATTATATGCAGTTATGTATAATTTTAAATATTGTTTCGAATTATTTATTAAAATAAAATAATTAAGATATTTAATTACTTATTTAAAAATTAAATCAAAGGTTTTAAATTGGCTACTTAATATTTATCTTAATATTTTATGGATTTGAAATTATGATTATAAAAATGAATGTCTTAGCAATATGTAAAAACGACTAATTTACCTTTGGTATTATAAAAAACAGCAAAATCAAGAGATCTATTGATTGATTAATAATTGGAGAAAAAAAATATTGTTTGCTTGGTCTCTTTCGTTTTTAAAGGAAAAAAGTTAATTGCAACAAAAAAATAGTGATTAGAAATAAATTAGAAGTTGATATTATAAAGGAAAGTTTAATAGATCAGCTATTTTGAAGGTAAAAAAGCATTTTATTTATAATATTATTAAAGTATGATTAACATCAAAAGTTAAATATTTTACATTTATTTTAAAATATAGAGAGCAATTTTAGTAAATTAACCTATTAAGAGAAAAATTCAACTCTTCCCTCAAAGACATATTTGAATAATTGCTAAATTAATTGACAAAAAATAATTTTTTTGTAATAAATGATCAATCAAAACATAGGATAAAGCTAAGTTGTCAGATAATCTACTATAACAACAGTCACTACTAATTAATAGCCTTCATAAATAAGAGCTAGTTAAGGAAGTTAAGGTAACCCTTATTCAAGCTAATCATAGCAGTCGAATTAATATAAATCAGAAGGAAAAGTATTCGCATTGATTTTGCTTTTAATTTCTCTTGGGCTTTTCATCTATTTTTAACAAATAACTGACAGATTCGATGACTATGATGAGTGTAAGAAACTATACGTTGCTTCCAAAATTAATGAATATGTGTGGTATTATGGAATGTTCTTGCAATTCTACTTTCTTACACTTGCTTTTGGTTCTGATCACTGGAAATGCTATTATTTCTAACAAGACTTGCCTAAATACTATAATTTGTTTAATTCTATATTTGGTATTTGTATTTTAGGTATGACTATTGCTTTACAAATATGCCTTAATTACAATGAAAAATGCGGTAATCTAACAGATTAAGTGCGTGGTTATCTTGCTGTTGGATATATTGTTCTTGTTATAGTAATAATCTATGTTGCTTTTACTTCAAGAAAGGGTAGAACTTCTTCTGGAGCTATCTAAAATCCTAACACATAAACAGTCAATGAAAACTCAAGATTATAGTAAAACAGCTACTAACCTTATGTAGATTAATGAACACCTTAGCAAAAAATATATATTTTGATATAAAAGCATAATTCATAAATCTGATTAGTTTTTTACTCTTAAAAAAATTATTTCTATTTACATCTATCTACTTACCTATATAGATAATTAAATAAAATATTGATTTTATATGCTTTATTTTTGAAAATATCACAGCATTTTATAAATAAATATAACTTTATAATGATTCGTTAAAATATATATATCTTTTTAAAATTATTATTGATGGTTAATTAAACTAAAAATTTAAATTAATTGTTTTATTTAGAAATAATTTTGCTTTTTCTCAAATGAATAGAGTATTTTACTGTAGAAGAGTTATTTAATTTTAATCAATTTTAATATTTAAAAAGTTTACCAAAATTAAAAAATAAATGTTAACAATTATTTTAAATTAAATCTTTTATGGAAAATTTAATACTAATTAGTTACTATTGAGAATATAGACCTTTATTTAATTTAAGAGATATATAAATTCAATTTTTTCGTATTTAAAATATGAAAATAAACAATTAATAAGATAATTTTGTTTTATGTAAAGTTTAAATCATTTTTTCTGAATAGCTAGTTAGCTTGGTCATGAGTAAATGCCAATAGATTTTATAAATGTATTTAAAAAATAAATATTTTTTAAATAATTCAATATCGATTTCATTCTTCTTAACCTCCATCAAATGAGCTAAGGATTTAGTATTCCGTTATTAAATCAGCAGTGTTATATTTTGCTTCTTAAAATTCCATTTCATCCATTCCTTCTTGAAGATAATGATGAATAAATGCTCTTTTTTTAAGCATTTCATCGAATTTTTTTTTATAGATTTGCAGTTAAATATATATATTCCTATTCAGAATTAGGGTTAGAATTTAATTTTTGTTCAAAGCAGAAGAAACTTTGCAGTACTAAAAAGAATATGAATTAGGCAGCCATGCAGGAATTTCTTATTTTTAATATAGTTTCACTAATTATAATTCTAATTCCTCTTCAAATATATTAGAACTTCTAAAAATATGACGTGAAGTAATAATGCTAGGATTTCCATACCCAAAAAAAAAATTCTTCTCATTCAACGTCTAAGGAATCATATCAGTCAATTCTAGTTAACTTATCTAATTCTATCGAAAATAATTGAATGGAAGAAATGTTGCTGTCATCATTTTAACTCTTGCAAATGGAACCAAGTTAGTACATATCTTTCTTGAACTTGCATTAATTGATCCAGGATATCTAATTCCACAAGTAAAATTTGGCTGTATTTGAGAAACTACATTATTTATTGTATCAAAATTAAATTATTTTTGCAATTAGAAAGAATTTTAATTCATATTAGAAATATTCGAATTGCAAAAAGGTATAACAATATCTGATATCACTAAAGAATGAAGAGATAAAATTGTGTTGTATATCTCTAAAGTATTCCAACTATTTTCATCCTTAATATCTGGAAGCTGTACCAAAGTATTATGTATTATCTATGAAAAATAATTGTCCATAATAATATCAGAAATCACATTTCCTAAACCTGAGCCTGCTCCTCCACATAAAGACCTCTATACCTATATAGAATCTACTTTATCACAAACCTCTACTTATTTTTATATCTCATATTCTATTTCTTCTTTTAATTCTGCTCCATGACTATAGTAACCTCTAGGAAAAATGTTTTGGCTACTTTCCTATTTTGAAAAGCTTGTATTGCTTTAAAATAACCTCTTTAAAAATCCATTTTAAACTCTATTAATTTCTTAGTCATCCAAATCTGCAATTATTGATCTAGGTTTATAAACATCTTACTTAACTTCTTCAAAATAAACATTTATTCCTTAGTGAGTATTTTAGCATTCTATAAATCCCTCTTCATTTATTCCCTACTCTTTTAGAAGAGTAATCCACGCTTTTTCTTAAATCGAAATTCCACATTTGCCAGTTGCGATAGAAATAACTGACATATAAGAATAATAAATTTGTCTAATTTATTATAGAAATTCGTTTTTCAAATGTAAATATTTATTAATCAAATAAAAAGCTTTATGTTAAAAAGCTTTAATTGACTTTAATAAATAATATAAAATATTTTCTTTTAATTTAAGCAAAAAGTTTTAAATAAGGTCAAAAGCATTCATGCTAAAAATATTACTGAAAAAAAATGATCAAAAAAACCTTCAATCATTGATAAAATTAATCATGATTAAATTAGTTAGTTTAGGATAGCTATAAATATATTCTTACAATATGAAGTTTAACAATTTAAATTTAAACAAAAATATTTGTTATATAATTCATTAATGTTAATTTTATAAACAGACTTATTAATATAATTACAAAATGGATTGTTAAATTATTATTATTAGTTTATTGTTCAAATTTTATGAGAAAGCTATCTCTCAACCAAAGCTTTGTAGAGGCCATTGTTAAGAATAAGTTAAGCGTGAGTTCCTGACTCTACTATTTTTCCTTGTTGCATCATTATTATTTTCGAGCAGTTTTTAATTGTTGATAATCTATGTGCAATAACTATGATAGTCATAGTCCTGTTTTATATAAGTGAATCTATTGATTGTTGTACTAGATATTCACTTTCTGCATCTAAAGCACTTGTAGCTTCGTCAAAAATTAAAATCTAAGGGTGTTTTATTAATGCTCTTGCTATAGCTACTCTCTGCTTTTAACCTCCAGACAGTTTTGTACCTTTTTCTCCAACAAATGTATCATAGCCTTTTGGGAATAAAGTTCTATCTTTTAGGAATTCATCAACTCCAGCCATAGCACAAGCTCTATCAACTTCTTCAATAGTATATTTTTCAACTCCATATACAATATTATCAATTATTGACCCACTAAAGAGCATAGGTTCTTAGCTAACTAGACCAATATGTTTTCTTAAACTTGAAATTTTGATATCTTTTACATTGAGATCATCAATTAAAACTTATCCTATGGAAGTATCATAAAATCTTTCAATTAACTTTATTATTGTACTCTTACCACTTCCAGAAGTACCAACAAAAGCCACACATTCACCTGGAGTAATTGATAGATTAATACCATTTAATACTTATACTTGATTTGAAGGATAGTTAAATGAAATATTTTCAAATTAGACTGATCCCTTAATAGCGACTACTTCTTAGCCAGAATCATTTTTAATACTAGAATCATATTACATTAATTCAAAAATACGTTCTAGTGCCCCTGTTGCAGATATAATTGCTCCTAGTCCATAGGATATAGAAGATGAGTTACTAGCAAGTGAAGTTGTATATAAGATAAATGAAGCTAAATCACCAGATGAAAGATCATCTTAATGATTAACTACAACATAACCTCCATACCATAAAACAATCAAAATACCAATATTTGATAAGAAATAATTGCTAACAGTAAAAAATATAGCACTAAGCATTCCTTGTGATTTATTTTCAGCATATTCATCTTCTAACAGTTTTTCAAAACGTTTTTTTTCATATTCCTCTTAACCGAATGATTTCACAGTCATAATTCCAGTAAAGACTTCTTCAGCAAGCTCACTTGATATGGCATTTATATCACTGATTTTCTTTTCAATTTACTTGCTCTTAAAAGAATAATACTATGTAATAAAATAGTAACTTGGGATTAAGGGAATAATAGATAGAGTTACTTTCCAACTTAATACAAAAAGCATAATTATATTACCTATGCAAAGCAAAAAATTACGCAGTAGCATGTTAGAATTAAGGCTGACTAAAGCTTTCACAGTTTGAACATCTCTGCTTAAACGGCTAATTAAACCACCAGTTTTATTTTTTTCAAAGAAAGCAATATCATAACCAATAAATTTATTGAAGATATCTCTTTTCAAATACATATAAACTTTACTTCCTAAAAGGTTAGTATATAAAGCCCTAAAGAAACCAAAGAAGCAAGTAATAAAAATCAAACCTAAAAGTATAAGGCTTGTAGATTTGACATTTGAGTCAGAGCCTGATTTAGTAACTTCTTTGAGTAATTTACCGATCATATAAGGAATTAAAGCTTAACTTGCTGTTGAAATTAAAAAGGGTGCATAAATAATAAAAACTAGCCATTTTTCTCTCAAAATATAGTCTAGTAGCTTCTTATACTATTTCCAATCAAATTTCTACTCATTTTACTTTTTCCCAATATAACCATACTTTTCTTCATCTTTTTCTTTGTAATCTATTTTAATTTCTTTTTATATAACTTTTTGATATTCAATATTATTGTTTCTTTCAAAGGTATACTCTTCAACAACATTATTAAAATAATTTTTTTCATTTATGTTTGAATAGTTAATTATAGTATGGTAATTGTTCTTTTCTTCTACATCTGTGGTATCCTAACTATTCAAATTTAAGAATAATGATCCAGTCTTTTAAGTATTTAGAGAATAAAAATCTTCCTCTTAAAGAATACCCATGCTAATTTCTTTGGTTTTGTTCTTTTTCTCACTCATTTAAAGTAATATGATTTATTTTTTAAATTATTAAAATCTTTTAAATTAAATTTATTATTTAAAAGATAGCATAGTATTAATAAAGAAGTTTATATTAATTTATACTATCATTAAATTATTATGATTCATTTTTTATGGGTCAAACATATCAAAAGACAAAAATTTTTTAATGGTAAAAATAAATTTATTAGTTCTAGATATACAATAAAATCTCTAAGTACTAGTTAAAAACCCCCTCCGTAATTTTTATAGGTATTACTAAATATTATTTAAAATAATAAAAATTAATTTTAAATTAACATCATATGCCAAGTTTCTAAATATTAATAATTTATAATCAAAAATAGTTAAAAATACTTAATAAATTAATATAACTAAAATTAATTTAAAGCAAGAATATAAAGATGAAATATTTACTACTAATAATTAAAATATAAAAATATCCAAACCTTAATTACATTTACTTTAAAAAATATTAAAAATTAATTGTGTTTGGTAGATTTTAATAATTCAAATTTGTATTTTTAATTAATTTTAAATTATTCATAAAATAATTTATTCATACTTTGCGAGTAAGCTCTCTCTGTATTAAATTTTAATTTACTTTTAAGCATTTTTCTTATCAAATTCTACTAATTTCAAACAATCTATTTCTACATTATAATTTATTAATTAATTATACTTTGACTTTTAGAACATATTTATAGTTTCTTTAGCATTTTATTTTTGATAATAATTTACTATTTATTTTAGATATGAGGATTAGTTTTATATTTTTTTTTATTCCTTTATTTTCATTTTTCAAGCAATTTTTAACTATTTTTTAAATTAATAATATAATAGGTATAAGTTTTAAAATTTAAATACATTTTATTATCTCTAATTGTTAATTTAGATTAATTAAGCGTTAAAAGATAATATTATATAAATATTTATTAAAATATAAATTTAATTGTCAAAATACTAAATCTTAGATTATTTTAAAATAATTATTAACTCAAAATTATATTAATTTATCAATAAATAAAATAAAAATAAATATTTTTAAAATAATTAATTTCGTTTATTAAATCTACAAATATTCATAAAATTAAAAAAATTTACCTTAAAAAATATTTAATTCTCGTTGAATATACTTAAGAAAAATATATTAAATATACATTAACCGAGAAATAGTTTTGAAGAAAACCCTTTTTTTAATAGCCCAAATATTGAGAAATTGAATTGTATATTTAAAAATTGATAATAGTTAACAATATTATTCAGTTAATTGATCCAGTGTTCATCATATTAAATTTATTTTTTTAACTTAAATTAAATTTCTTAGTAAATTAATTTAAATATAATGATAAATAAAGATAAATCTATCTTAACAATCATATTCAATCAACTAAAATAAATAAAAAAACAATCATAATTAAGATATTTTAATTTCCATAAAATATTTACCTTTCTAAATTGTACATATAATTAAAAAAGATATATTTTTAACAATATTCTATTTATGATCAAAATTATTTTTTTGAAAAGAATGATACTATAAATACTACTTTAAACAAACTTTTAAAATAAATTATTCAGATTAACCAAATTACAATAATTAATTAATTAATAAATATATATTATTTTCATTAAATCTACTTTCTTCATTAATATTCAGATTTTGTGAGAAAGTTATCTTTCAACCAATGCTTTGTAGGGTCCTTCATGAGAAATAAGTTCATTATGAGTTCCTGATTCTACTATTTTACCTTGCTACATTACTATGATTTTTGAGCAGTTTTTAATTGTTGATAATCTATGTGCAATTACTACAATAGTCATAGTTCTATTTTATATCAACGAGTCTATTGATTGTTACACAAGATATTCACTTTCAGCATCTAGAGCGCTGGTGGCTTCATCAAAAATGAGAATTTAAGGGTGTTTAATTAATGCTCTAGCTATTGCTACTCTCTACTTTTGTCCTCCAGAAAGTTTTGTACCTCTTTCACCAACAATTGTATCATAACCTTTTGGGAATAGAGTTCTATCTTTTAAGAATTCATCAACTCCAGCCATAGCACAAGCCTTGTCGACTTCTTCTATTGTGTATTTTTCTACTCCATAAACAATATTATCAATTACAGATCCACTGAAAAGCATAGGTTCTTAGCTAACTAAACCAATATGCTTTCTCAAACTTGAAATTTTGATATCCTTTACGTTACGATCATCTAGTTGAACCTCTCCAGTTGTTGCATCATAGAATCTCTCAATTAATTTAATTATTGTGCTCTTACCACTTCCAGAAGTACCAACAAATGCCACACAGTCACCTGGAGAGATAGATACATTAATACCATGTAAGACTTAAACTTTATTAGAAGGATAGCTAAAAGTAACATCTTTGAACTATACTGATCCTGTAATAGTAGCGACTTCTTAGCCTGAATCGTTTTTAATGCTAGGATTATATTGCATCATTTCAAAAATACGCTCTAAAGCTCCTGTAGCTGAGATGATTGCACCTAGTCCATAAGATATGGCTGATGAATTAGTAGCAAGCGAAGTAGAATATAAAATAAACGAAGCTAAATCACCAGATGAAAGATCATCTTAACTATTAACGACGATATAACCTCCATACCATAATACAATTAAAATACCGATATTAGCTAAAAAGTTATTATTAATTGTGAAAAATGCAGCATTTAGAATTCCTGACCATCTATTTTCAACATATTCGTCCTATAATATTTTTTCAAAGCGTTTCTTTTCATATTCTTCTTAGCCAAATGACTTCACTGTCATAATTCCAGAAAAAACTTCTTCAGCAAGCTCACTGGAGGCAGCATTAATATCACTGATTCTTTTTTCTATTTATTTACTTTTGTAGGAATAGTACTTTGTTACCAAGTAATAACTAGGTATGATTGGAATAATAGAAAGAGTTACCTTCCAACTCAATACAAAAAGCATAATTATATTACTAATACAAAGGAGGAAATTACGCAAGAGCATGGTAGAATTGAAGCTGACAGCAGCTCTTGCAGTAGAAACATCTCTGCCTAAACGACTCATTAAATCTCCTGTTTTATTTTTTTCAAAGAAAGCTACATCATAGCCCACAAATTTATCAAAGATATCTCTTTTCAAATACATAGTAACTTTATTTCCCAAAAGATTGGTATACATTGCTCTAAAGAAACCAAAAAAGCAAGTAATCAAAATCAAACCTAAAAATATAAGACTTGTAGATTAAACGCTAGTGTCAGAGCCTGTTTTAGTAACTTCGTTGAGAAGTTAGCCTACCATGTAAGGAATGAATGTTTAACTTGCTGTTGAAATGAAAAGAGTTGAATAAATTATAAATACAAGCCACTTTTCTCTCATAACATATTCAAGTAGTTTCTTATACAATTTCCATTCAAATTTTTACTTTTTTTATTTACCTCCATTAGGGCCCTTCTTATCTTCGTCTTTTTCTCTATATTCAATTTTAATTTCTTTCTAAAAAACTTTATTCTTATCTATTTTATTATATTTTTCAAAGGCATCTTCTTCAACAACATCCATTTCAGTTTTTTCTTCATTAAATTTTTGAAATTTTGAAAAATTTATTATGGTATGTTCTTTGCTCTTCTCTCCTCCTTAAGTGGTTTCCTTTCCATTTGATGAGACAAATGATGAACGAGCTGTTGATACTTATGATGATTGTAGGTCTTCGTTTGGAAGAAGACTCATATTTATTTCTTTGTTTTCCTTCTTTTTATCACTCATTTTAGAGTATTTTAACTTATTTTGTATACTTACTTGGTTAACTTTTTAATTGAATGAATTAGTTGCTATAAATGATTTATAAATTATCAATTCTAAATTGCATATATACTTCAAATGTGCTTAACTTGTTAATTAAAATATCAGCATATAATATAATTCATTCTCTTTTTCTTCTGATAGGAGTTTATTTGTATCTATTGTCTCATAAAGTAGATGCATTTATCTATTTTTACAATAATATATTCAATATCTAGCAAAACAATCTGGAAATCTTCCAAATTATTTATAATATCGCTTATTAGATATTCTAAGTTACTTTCAGTTTTTAAAAATCACGCTTATTTTAAACAATAAGAAAATTTAATATCTATCAATTAGGTTGGCATTCTTGCTTATAGAAATAAAATAATTTAACCTATCTCTGCGATTTTATTTATCAAATTATATTTTCAAATTAAATAATAGACATTTTAATTTAGATATTTTCTCAAAATAAATAAAGCTATTTTAATAAAAAGACAAATTTTGTAAACAATTAAAGACTATTTGAATTATTTTTTGATAATACCATAAATATGGTATATTATTTTAGTAAAAGCAAGCATATTCGAATAAGTATAGTTAAATAATTATTTAGATTAATATTGATTAAATGTTATTGATATTTTTTAAATATTATTCCATTAGAAGGATAATATATATTTAGTACAATAAAAGACACTTTTTAATAAAATAAAACAAAGCATAAAAAAATAAAAATGAGGCTTTAACCATATTATATAATCAAATATTTGAATTCATGATGAGCTAGCAATATTACTTTTATTTATTTAAATATATTTTCAACAATCAAAACATATTTATTTTTTATATTAATTTAAATTCAATTAAACTATCAATAGGAAAAAATAATAATTTAAAATACATTAAATATCCAACAAATAAAATAGAGTTATAATTTTTCTAGACAATGTATATTATAAAATTTTAAAGCAAAGCAAAGTAAATAATTTCTGAATATTAATTTAATATGCTTTGAAATTAATTAATAGTAATACACCATTAATGTTTATTTTTAAATATTTATGTAATTGAAGGAAAATTTAAATTAGAATTTTATTAAAAATTATATAAATTTGAATAGTCTTGAATTAAAATTCAAACAATATTTTTACAAAACAAATATTATTGAAAATGTAACTATTTCACATAAATAAATAAGAACCAATTAATGACTAAATACAATTTTAATTTTATAATTCAAACTTTTGATATGAAAGTTAATGATAAACAACAATTAATTCAATAAAAACATATTTCTACTTAGTAAATAGGATTATTATTTTTATCAAATATGATATAACAATAGATTTCAAAAAATATGTAGAGGCTTTGTCCTAAATTTGATAATTTTTGGAGATATTTGAAATACAAATTTAAGTTTTATAAATTAAAAAGTAATTAATAGAAATCATTTATTATCATTAATTTTGAATGCAACTGTTGTTAATCATCTATTCACGCTATATTATAATTTTTTCAGTAATAAATCAAGTATTCTTTTTTTCAATTTGTTAGTTATTTTCTTTTGTTATTGTGAGAATAAAATATTAAAATTAGTAAGTTTAGATTGATTTTTCATCTCAAGCTAGTAGTACCTCCATTATAATTTGAATAAGTCATCATGTTAGGAACATTAGTCATATTGTTCATATAATTCAAGTTATGCATGTTATGCATGTTATTTATATTCATAATATTCATATTAAACTTTTTTAATGTGTCTTTTCTATACAATTCCCTGTTGAATTTATCATACATAATTTTATTTAAAAAATATCTAACCAAAAATTAATTACATAAGGCCTTCTATCTTTTTAATTATTTTTCTTCTATCTTCAGAATTTGCAATTTCATATTTTAGAGTCTTTTCATATTATTAATCAGGATCTTTGACTTTCATTATTACTATATTATTTTCTAATTCTTAAATAAACTAAATATCCTCTATCTTGCGTGAGGGATTTTTTGTGCCTGTCTAAGGATTTACGAATATTTTATTAAGGAATCCTAAAATAAATTTTTTGATAAAAAATGTTAAAGTTGGATACAATCGATAATGATTTATTATTATGATTAATTCATTTAATGTAAATTTTAATATATGAAAAGGATGGAAAATAATTAAACTTGTAATATTTTTATTAATACCTATGTCTTGTTGTTGTATGCGCTTATTGATGTTTAGTATCTTGTGCTAATCTATTCCAAGCACTCTTTCTTATCTCTTTTTCTTATCGTTTATTTTAATGACATTAAATTCTTCATATTTTACAAGATTCATGTTGCTAATTGGCTCGCTTTATAGAATTTAAGCAGGTAAATTAGGAGCATATTAGACTTATTGATTAGTAATTCTTGGTGTGTCTGCCCATTCTTTTTTCTTAATCTGTAATATTTATAAAATGTAAAATAAATATTTTTTTTTGTTTAAGAGTTATTTTTATTACTCTAATCTTTTTATCTTAAGAAGGGAGCTAACTAATAGATGTATTTAAATCTAATTCAATGTATTTTTCTTCTTAATAATCATAATAAAAAACAATACAATCTTTAATCGAAATTTTTGCATTCTTTTTATCTCTTAAGTATTCTAAAACTTATTTAATTGTTGATTGTGGGCTCTACTCGATGTTCAATTGAGCTCCTAGCTCTTCAATAGTAACATTTAGCAAATCCAAACCTTTTTATATTGTTTTTTATTTGATTTTTCTTGCTATTGAGTCTTAAAAATCTTCAGCAGGAGGCATAAATCTATCTATTTCCATTATTACCTTTTTTTAAAAATATGACTATGCCATTCATATTTAATTAACAAATTTTTTACAATTTATTCTTTACTAAAATTTTAAACAGGATATTTGGGTTCAATAGGACCAAGATTTGAATCTGGCTTGTAACCATCATCATCTTTCATTCTTAAATTGTAAGCTTTTATTAACAAAGAAATCTAAACACAATACTAATGAGTTTATTTAATTTTACCTTGAGGATATTTAGGATATCTCATTAATGATTTATCAGTATTAGGGTCTGCCATATAAAAATCAATTATAATTTTGATGAAATCTTATATTGTCGTATTGTCATCGTAAGGTACTTTCATATTAAAGCTTGTTCCGAAGAAATATACCTTTTAAAATATGAATAATTCATCTTAATTATTTTTCTACAATTAAAAATTACATCTAATTTTTATGCTCTTGGGTTGCTAGCGAGCTTAGCGAGGCTATTTTTTTACTGATTTATAAAAAATATGTTAAATAAGTAAAATAAACAAGGAAAAACTCTGATATTTGAAAATTAAGCTTCTACAATACCAAAAAATCAGCTAGACTTACAAATAAATAACTAGCTGTTTAATTATTGTGTTATGTTTTATCTACTCTATTAGCTATATCAATATATTTAATTATTCTAAAATAAATAAACAAATATTTTGAATATTTAATGCCTATTTTATATATTTTTAAGATTTTAATACCTGAGTTGTGTTTTTTAGTAGTGAAACCTATTTTAAAACTACGTTATTAAAGCTTTATATTATACAATCTTCAGGCACTTATTCAAATTTGTCTTCGTTGTTATCGCTATTATTCCCGTTTCTGTTTTAGCGATTGTTGTATCTATGCTATTCATCATCATCATCATAATCTTCATCTTCATCATCTTCTTCTTCGTCGCTATCATCGTAGTCTTAGTTGTTATTCTATTTTTCTTTACTTTTATAACCGTTTGATTTTTCCATTCCATTTTACTCACTCTGCTAAGCATTCTCATCTATCTTTTCTCCAGAGTCTAATCAGTTTAATATTTTGACTTAATTTTTAGATTCTTTAGTTATATTTTAATTTACTATTCTTGTAAACAATAATTGAATTAGTCTTAGAGATTTCCATTTTTTTCTGCTCTTCATTTTCCTACTACATGATTTCTTTAAGCATTTTGATTCTTTCTTACTCTTCTTCAAACTAAATAAATTATGGCATAAAAGTTAATACTAGGCATGTAATTATTTAATGAGAGGTATTTTATGTAGAAAATACCTTATGAAAAATATGAAAATCATATTAAAATAGTCATTTCAACATTTTGTTAATGGCATTATCAATGTAATTTCTTGGAAATTTTTAAAGAATTGAGTGTTTACTTATTTTTTCTTTTACTCATATTGAGATGACACAATTGAATTAATTTAATTAATCATATCATCCATAGATTCAGTATCTCCATCACTTTTTAATAAATTGCTGATTAGAGAAGTTTGATTTTCTTTTTGCCTATTATTTTAGCTCATTCCATTTCCTTGTTTTGATTGAAATTATGTTTATCTGTCATCCTCATCTGAAGAATCTGAGAGTTATTCAAATTTTGCAGATTTCTACCTATTATTAACCTAACCGTTTGCATTTCCAAAAATATTTTTGCTTACAGATTAAGCTACAATATAGTCAACCTCCTAAGCTTCAGTAAATTCCATCTATATGTTAATTTCTCTTTTTTGTAGCTTATAAATTTTTCTGATATTTTAAAAATAAATATGTACTTATTTTACTAAATTAAGTACTCTTAGCTTGCTTGTTTTTTATAAAGATTCTTGACAATATAGTTTAATAAAGTAAAAGATTAATCTCACCTATAAAATCTATTAATTGAGAAATCAAAAATTATCTCTTGTTATTTTGTTTGTTGCTTTATTGAAGTAATTAATATTCGATTAATAATCCTCTTTCGCTTAATATAATCATAAAACATAATTTTTTCCACACTTTAACTTATTATAATGGAATATAAACCTATTTGATTATATCCTTGCAAATTGATGATATTTAATTTTCACTATGACTCCATTTACTCTTTTTTCTATTTGCAAATTTTTTCTCATAATTTTTGATAAATCCTTATTAATTTTCTAAATACTTTCCAAACCAACACTACCAACAAAACTCACTTAAAAATTAAGTTGTTATTTTTATCTTTTTTTAATGTAAAATAAAAGTCACAAAAAGTAAAGATCAAAAGTATTTTGATTTAGATATTGTTTTAATAAGTTTTTAAAACCTAAAAGTATTTTAAATTTAATCATCTCCAAAATAATAGATATATAAACAAAATACAAAAATATAAACTCGTTTATAATATTTAGGATTAAATTTATAATAATTTAACCAAAATCAAAAAAATATGTTTTATGAAATTAAATTATACCAATTTTTATTTGCATTTATTATTTTGTTTTTTTTTTGATTAAACTTATTATTTTAAATTCTTTTTTAAAATATATTTTAATTTAAACAATTTTAATTTTTTTGTTTTTTTTTTGTTAAATTATTAAAATAAGATTAAAAATAATTAAATCTTTTATGAATAATTAAAATAATTTATCTCCTTAAAACTTAATTATAATTAACCCTGAAAAAATGTTTATTTATTTTATGAAAATAAAAAAAATATTTTTATTTTTAAATATTAATTTCATACAAAATTCTTTTTATTTTTCATAAAGTCTTTTAAATATTTTTAAAAATTAATAAAAAATGAATTAAAAATAGCTAAATCATAAAAATATTTATTCGTATGTATAATAAATTTTTATAAACACTTTCTAATTAATTTTATTTATTTTTTAAAAATTTACATCTAATTTTTAAAATAAGAATTATGTTTTAAAAAAATTTAATAAATCTAAAAGAAAAAATATTTATATACTTAGCTATATTTAAAAAAAAAACTGTTTATTTATTTTTCTAAATTTTAATGAAAACATGTAAATTATAATCTAATTCGAATGAATTTTAATTGATTAAATACTCTTTGAAGATTTATGAATTAAAGAAGAAAATAGACTATAAGATGAAATATGCTTTAAATAATATATATATATATATATAAAGCTAAATAACTAAATATATGAATAGGTTTTACTTAAGATAGAATTGATTAAATATGATTTAAAAGAGTTTTATATTTTAATGCCTTGTGTTTCTTTTCATAGGAACAATAAATAGTGTTTTCGATTAATTTTATATAAGGCATTTAGATATTCTGGTTATTATTTTAAAAATTTTGTTTATTTACAATAATTGAAAGGTAAAATAATAATATAATTTTAAATAAATGGTTATTTTTGATTAACCACATGATCTTTTACTAACTTATTTCTTTTTAATATCTATTTTATAAATAAGTAAAAAGCTACTGTTTTTAAGTTCTAGAAATATAGGCTTTAAAATTTTAAATAATTGAAATATTAGAATTTGGCATTTAGTTTGTCTGTAATTTTATTACTTTTATAAACAATTTTTTTATTTTAAAGTAATTAATTATGTCTATTTGCTTATTTATTTAATTAATTAATTATTTATTTGTATGGCTATGTGTATTTTTACATACATGCTTAGATTTTCTACTATGTTTTTATTAAAGCTAAATCTCATAATTAATTATTATTTGATTGACTGTATGAACAATTTAAATGTAGCTATATTGAATTGAAAATTTTAATACTAAGTTATCTTCAACAGATATCACTCCTTTTTTTAAAAAATGTTTATTAATAAATTAATTGAATAATAAAATTTGAAAAGAAATTACTGCAAAAGAAGACTTGATTTCATAGAGCTTGTTTTCGAATGGAAATTCAACAAACTCATTTCGATAGATGATCTTATGCTTTCATGGTTAACTGATTTATTTCCTGGAGTAAAGATAAAATTAAAATGCTAATCTAACTTTTAATTAATTTATTCATTTTCCATTCTCAGAAGATTCCAAATGCAACGTCTGATAACTTCCAGCAGATAAATTAGAAATTTGAAAGATTCTCTTTTTATGTCAAAATGATTTACAACACCACCTGAAATAGTGAATACCCACATACAACGCAATCCAAAATTCAAAGCCATTGCACTATAATAAAGGTGGGGTTTTTTGTATATAATTTTTTCACGTAAAAAGCCATGGCGAGTATCTCCAAGATTCCAATCTTTTTTGATATCCCATGCATAAGAATAAACTGTACTGATAACAGCGAAGAAGATCCAAATATCTAAATATTTTTGATTTCCTGCTGCAACGTGAGAATAATAAACTACTAAGACTGATAAAAAATACTTAATCATATTAAGCATATCAGGTCCTTTATAGTCTCTTTTTTAATAGCAATTCCTCAAGCACTATCCCATACGTAATAACAATGGAAAGAATGCGATGTAGAGTAAAACAGGAGTTTTTTTACCTATTATAAAATAAAAATTTTTATTAAAATTTAGAAATTTTATTTTTATCTATTCTAAAATTTGTTTGCTCCTAGTTAAAAAATGTGTAAATTTACTAGTTTAGTGCTGTTTGCTTATTATGTAAATTAATCATTAGTTTAGTTTGTACTCTTAAGTACTCCAAGAATCAATATTTTCACCCACACTCTACCTCATCCATCCATCCTTTCATTCATCCCTCTTCATCTCAAAATTTAAAAACAACGAATAGTCATGCAAATAATGTGAGACCATTTACAAAGTAAATTAATTACTTAAAAAAAATGTATTCATATTAAACAAAAAGTTGTTTATAAATAACTATTTAATTAATAAATATGTTTGTTAAAAAAGAAAAAACCCTATCAACCCTCACTTCAAAAAGGCATTAATTTAAAAGGAATAATTAAATAAGTATGCTAAAAGTGCTAACTACTTTATTTTAAAAGTTATAGAAATTAAATTTAATAAAATTTGGGTTAAGATTGACTTCAGTTTAGTATGTAAAGATATATCATTAATGAATGAGTAATCCATCAATTATTTGTTTGTTTGCTAGTTAGGTATTTATTTATTTATTCAATCAAAAGACTAAGATGATTAAATAACTAAATGCTTTACTTTATATTAAAAATATAGTAACTATATATATTTAAATTTTTTTTAGATAAAGTAGATAGATATTTTTGCAAAAAAAAGAGATTCTTTAATATGTTTTCTTTGTTTCTAAGGAGAAACATGAAATCATATATGACAAAATGAATTTTACGCTAATAGTCTACCTACACTATTTTCTTTCTTTTTGATAAAAGGTTGGGGCAATAAAACACCTGAAATAACTATTAGCTAATAAAACATATCACATATTTATATCTAATTAATTTTTATAAGTAATTTCTACTTATTATTAAATTAGTTGCTTATTTATTACTTATATTAATTGACTGCCTAACCATATTTTTAAAAATAGCTAAAATAGTAAAAAAACTAAAAAATAAATTTTGTATTCTTTAGTCTTTTGGATAAAAAAGGGATTTAAAGTGAGATAAATAGTAAAAAATTTCAATTTATGCAAAATTAAAAGTACTTGTTGATATTTTGAGGATTTTTTATACATTTATTATGCTGTATTTTAGGTTTTGGCCTAGCTTAAAATAAGAGGCGTTTTTTCATAATTATTGTTTTGAGCTAAAGAGGAAGAAGAAAAAAAGAAGGGGGAAATAATAGATAGATTAATTTATTGATAGATAGATAGGTGAGTGAGAATGACGTAGGAGCAAAAAATTAAGAAAATTATTTTGTTTTTTATTATTTTATATTTAAAGTTCTCACATTAATTGAGCTAATCAACACTTTGATAATCTGATGAGTAGTAACAAAGAGTATATTCAGCATCTTTTAAAGGTCCTACTAATGATACAATTTGATCTGTAGCAAATCCTAGTTGGAATGGAACAGTAGAGGGACGGAAAGGACTAAGTAGACTCTGTAGAAAAGTATGAGCAGCCCAGAGGCAAGTTTGCCTTCCAACAAACAAAAAATAAGCTATGCAGAGAATCCAAAGCACAATGCCTAAGTATTCCTTTTCGATAGCATCGAATACTTTGGAAATTTAATCAGACTCGTCTAGAATATCGATCTCCAGTTAGTACCATATAAAAAACACAAAAAATATAAACAAAAATACAAGAACCTTCCTTATAACTCTCTTGGGCTTGATTGAAAAATCTATGTTTAGTAGTTTCTGGTAATTGATTTTATATTCGTTGAAGATTAATTCATTGATACCTAAAATTCCAACATAGAGCACAAACACAGCTAGTGCTCTGTAGATAGGAAAAGTATATCTGAAAAAATAAGTTTCCTATTCTACGACAACAACGCTAATTATTTCACCAACGTTGCTAGTCGCACCAGAATCGTATTGCTACTACTATTACATTATAGCTATTTATTTTTCTATTTAATTTCTGGTTAACAAATTTGTTTTTTTTAAAGAATTTCTGCTTTTACTTTTTTTTTTTACTTTTTTTGAGGATTTTAAGAATCTCTTGTAATTAAATTATTATTCGCTTAGTATTTCGAGGTTTCGTTTAAAATTGAATTCCTTGTTTTGGTTATCAAGTGTATATTTTACTCTTTATCAAAAATATATAAAATATTAAATAAAAAAGATTATTTTGCGCTATCTTTTGCCTGCAATCATAAACTTTTTGATTGCTGGCTAGATTTATTTTAAAATCGACAGTAGATTAACATCATTTTATATTCCATTCTAAAATTCTAAAGAATTACTTTAAATTTCATTTATTTTCTAATCAAATGTATAATTAGTTTATTCTCTTTGCATTCTAGGATGTTTGTTTTTAAGCAATTAGTTCTAAGTACATTTTTAGCTTTTTGAAGAGCAATCAATTTCACTAAAATAAGCATTTTTTGGTTTATTTTTCTATTTTAAGAGTAAACCCTTCACTCATCGCTTAAATTTCACTGTAGAAATAAATAATTACAAATAAGTTTTATCTATTTCTTTTTGTAGTCTTTTTGAGTTCTATTTAATTTGTATTTTTCTTAGAATCTGCCACTCTCACAGAAATTTGCATTTTTTTTATTTCTCTTAATGGTTTTTATAAATAAACTATTTTGATGAGACGAATATTAAAAATAAAATAGATAATGAATTTGATGTGAGTGAATTTTTTAGTTTTTACATGCATTATCAATATCAAATTAAACTAAATTCAGCTTTAAAAAAGGAAAATACTAAACTTTTTAAATAAAAAATAACTAAATTACAAATTGTCCTATTATGGTATTAATAACAAAATAAAATCTAATTTGTCCTTTTAATTAGATACTTTATAAAAAAATCAATAGTATTTTTTGTAAAAGAATATCTCACTTTAATTAAAGTCAAATACAATATAAATAATAATAAATATTTGAAAAAGGTGACCACCTACGAAACTAAAAATGAATCATAAAAGCAAATAACCAGATTACTCGCACAATTAAATTAAATTAGAAAGGCCGAATTTTATCAGAAATGATTTACTTTTTAAAAATAAATAAGAATTTGAGAGAAATTGAGTAAATAAAATGAACTTATTCTTTAAATTACAAGCAAAAATACTTTAACAAACTATTGAACATGATTATACTATCTGCAGAGTATTTGTACTCTATTCATTAGTAAAAAATGCATTTATACTTTATTAAAAAATGAATCATTTTAATCTCTATAGTAAATTTAAATGGCATGTAAAATTCAGATTCAAAAAAAAAAACACAGCAAACTAATCTAGTAAAGTATTATTTAAAAATTTAAATCTCCATTTACATTGAATTTTATTCATTTTTACAAGACTCTTATCTTTAGATAACTAAATACTAATCAAACTGTAAGCTAATAAATTTTACTTAGCTTTTAAGTTTACCCTATATTATTAAAGTAAATTGCTTATGAAAACAAAAACCACTCATTTTTCAGGTATCTTTTCATTATTAATAAAAAATTTTCATATTTATTTTAGAAATTTCAATTCATAATCACATTTACTCTATGAAAATCTGTAAAAAATAATAAAAAAGATTTTTTTGTTCATTATTATTCTAAATAGTGTAAACTATCACATTATCTAGCCCTAACAAATGTTCACCCAAAAAACTTTTAAGGGAAAATTAATACCATAATGATTAAAAGATTTTTTTTAAATTCCTATAAATTAATGATATCACATTATATTTATGAACAGATTTGATTTATAAAATTTTAATAAAGAGCCAACATATTTTTAAAAATAACAAATGATTTAATTTTGGCTACAATATTTTTTACATATTTAATATTTGTATTAAAAATATTAATAAATTTAAAGTTTTGATTATATTTATTACTTTGAAATAAATACATAAATTGGTTAAAGGTAATTGTATAATTTATTTATAGTATCAACCTATTTCACTAGTTTGATATTTATTTATTTATATAATTAAAGTTTTATTTTCTTAAGTATTTATTTATAAAACTGTTTCCCTTATTATTGAAGAATGATAGCTTAATACATACTTAAAAATTTATTTTTAAAAATGTTTAGATTGAATAAAGTTATTTGTTTAAATATGTAATATCTTTAGTTAGTTAGTTGGATAAATAAGTAGCTAATTTGTTTGATTAAGATCTTATATTTATTCATTCAGATTTGTAAACGGATTGATTCTTCATCAACATAATTTAGCATCTCGCTTTAAATTTAGACCTAATTTAATTATTCATGCTTGAGGAATGGCTTTATACTTTTCAAGACTTTCAAGGCTTGTTTTATTTACTTAGAGGACACTCCTAATTATAGTTGATCTTAAAATTATTTTAAGGCAGCCTAAATTTTTATTTCCTCTCTTTTAAATTAATTTATAAATGTATCATTTTTATCTTCCTTCCTTTTTGTACTATTTGATTCAATTTTTTTAATATCTTCATCCTCTAAATTTTTCCTTTTTAATCTTTTGCTTTCTTAAATATTAGCCCCATCTCCCAAAATATTAAGTTTTATTTCATTCATTGCTCCTACGCTAGATAGCTTCATCTGATCTATTGTTCCAACATTTATAGAAAGCAAGTTATTTCTGTTGTAAGCATCAGTGAATTATTGATTAAATCCATTTGATTCTATCATTTAATTATCCTTATGTTTTAGTATATGGATAGGAGATAATTACTCAGATACGATGTATTCATTATCTTTTGGAGAGAGGAGTTCATTATTTTGAATCTTTATATTATTTGATTCTACATCCATTTCTGGTAAATTACTATTTGTTCCTCTTAGCCCAGCATTTTCAGTTAGGAGAGTTGTTGCATAATTATTTTATATAGGATTTATACGAGTGACTGAAGAAGTATCGACTTGAATTGGTAATTCTAAGTCAACAACAGCTTTGTATTTATTGCAATTGTTAATATGCTCTAGCTCAACACGGAAAAAATTCCACTAACATCTCCTATAAAGTTCAAGGAAATATACAATAAAAGTGAACATGCCTGGAATATTTATGGCATTGTCTATTATTGCTGTTAATCCCAAAGAAATATTCATTGCCCATACTATTCTGAGAATGAGATTGGAAAAAATCGCAAAAAGATATATATTTTAGTTGCTGTAATAAAGCTATCTTCCAAGTAAACGTGTTTCTTTCCAAGTCTTGCCTATTTTCAATAATCCCCAATCTTAAGAAATATCCCAATAAAAAGAAATTAAAGTACTAAAAGATCCTACCAACAACCAAGATATTAAGTATTTTTTCTCACTATTAACAGTATATTAGTAAGATAATATTGAAGTCAACAAAGAAAAAATATATTTAATGCAGTTATAGAAAGGCCAAGTTCTCCAAAATTTCTTATTGTCATATCCCTATCTAATACATTAAAGCATTCTATATAGTGTTGGTATAATATTCAGTAAAAATGGCATTACGCTGCTATTTGAACCTATTTATAAAATAAAATTAACATTTAAATAAACCTACAACTTTGAGAAAAATTAAATTTATGTTTTTGTCTATCCTGATTTTTATTTTCAAAAAATATCTTTAAACTGTAATTTTGTAGAACCAAGTTAGCCATTTCACATGGATGATGAAATAGACAATATCAAAATTATCTTGCAATAAAAGAAGAAAAATAATTAATTACACTAATCGGATATGATATGAAATTTACTTAAGTAGAAGCAAATTGTAATTCCCAAGTCCTTCAATGGACCTGCTAAAGAAACGAGCATATCTGTCATCCAAGAGATTCTAAACTCCATTTTAACAAACGGAGATTTAAGACAATCAGCAAGGAGACGGAAGAAATACAATCTACCTTGAGGGTTAAAAAACGAAACATTAAAGAATGGAAAGAAATAATATCCAAAAAGCATAAGCCAGCCAATAAGTGGAAGAAGTTCCATGTCTATCCAATCAATCAGAAAATATAAATCAACACCACCTCCAGAGCTTGCTACATCTTAATGAGGAGTATTCAAAAATATATACCAAACAAAGCAAACAAAATAGAAGAAAGTAAAGAAAGAGGCTCTCTTAAGAATTTAATACATCTAACTAAAATGATGATTAAATTTAAATATTAACTTGTAGTTAATATGGTTGTTTTACCAACCATGAACATTCCAGGCAATCAACCAAATGTTAGTTATAAACAAACCATTTCCTCTAAATAGAGGGAAGATAGTGCTCAGTCGTGTCTTTTGCACTGCTGAAGGGTTTTCACTATAAACTTAAACGAACTTAAGAACTATAAATAAAAGTAATATGAGTGAAATTCCACAAAAAACGCCATAGAAAAGAATTTAATTTGGAGAAAGAGGTTTAGGAGTTGTATATAGTCTGAAGTCAACTCTGCCCATTTTCTATTGTGAAATGTCTGGATAAAATAAGTTTATGTAATTTTCTTCTGTTTTTTTAATTATATCCATGAGCTTGTCCTTATTTCTAGCTAGATAAGTATTATACTGACCTGAGTTAACCCTTTTTGCAAGATTAAAATCTTGATGCTCTGTTTAAGTTAGCGACTTTACAACTTTGGAATACTTTTTTAAAATTTTTTGGAGTCCCATTTCATTTAACTTAATGTAATCTTTTAGCATATTTAGCTCCTTATAATAAATTTTGAAGGAATATTTTAATCTCTATTCGTTCTTTACTCTCTGCTAATTATGTAGTGATTTCCCAACAAAAGAGGAATTTATCATCAGATATTTATACCTCTTCAACACATCTAACAGTTTATACATAAAAAATTTATCAATTTTGACAATTTCACTTTTTATGAGATCTTCGAAAGTGCGAATACAATAAACTACTTCTTCAACTCTTAAGTTCTTTCTGTTGGTAATATGAAAAACCAAATTCCCTTCCTTATAAATTGCTGTCACAAACTTCTTCTGTAAAATCTTTGCAGGAGCAAGAAGCTTCTTCAGAGTGTTATACTCTATATATGCCTCTGCCCACTCTGGAACCCTATCGTGAAGTAGCAACTTTCCGAACTTCATTGCTATATTTACAGACTAAATTATATTCTTTTTTTCTACTTCAACTAAATGATTTTCAGATAAAATTATTTATAATTTTGACAGTTTAATTAGTTGATATGATGCTTAAAATTCTTTAAAACTCTTCAATACCAACAAGCAATTAGAAATCCCTGTAAACTGTTCCTTATTTGAAAACTTTTTTTCGACTTTTGCAGATATTATCTCTATAAATATTAATTTGTTTAATATTAATTACGAATAATTACTTAAAAAAAAGAGTTTTATCTGAATCTCTAAATAAGTATTTTACATAAAAATCACAAACTGATAGATTACAATAATAATGATATTTTTTACGAGAAATCAGAGATTACAATTAAATAATTTTGATTGTAAATTCTTTCATAACTTAGCCAAATTTTTTTTTTGCATTTTTTAACTAAAATGTTTTATATAAATAAAACTTTTAAAGTAGAAAAAATGATAGAAATTGAATATTTCTTGAATAAAGTTAAGCTTTAATATGTATTAATTCTGATAAATTTAAGTTAAGTAAATTGAAATAGCAAAATCTCTTAGCGTAAATTTAAAACAATTTGAATAGTTTTCCAATCAAATTATTGTAATTATTAAGATTATTTTAGTCTTTGCTTGATTTTTGATTGTATAGAAGAAAAAAATAAAAATTTGATATTTATAAATATAAAATCAAAAATAAACATCTAGTTAATAAAACTAAAAAAGATTACTTGCAAATTAATTTTAAATTTATATTTTTTTAAATTAAAGCTAAATTAAAATCATCAAATATTAAATAATAGATAATAAGAATATGATCCCACTCAATAAATAATAAATTTAAAAATTTTTTAAATAACATGCTGGGACTATAAGATATATAAATTTTTTTATTTTTTTAACAGAGTTAGAGTTCAAATTTTACTATAAATGAAACACCTTTAAAATAAAAACATGTTTGGATATTTATTAATACTAAACTAAAAATGAATAAATTATTTTTAACAAATTGCAAATTTTAAAATAAATGAGAAATTATTTTAAATTATAATTTATCTCTCTTATTCTCTCCTCTGTTATAAATAAAATAATTAAGATATAAAAAATTAATAAATAGGTTTAATGAATAATTTTATATATTTCATCATATATTTTTTAAAAACTATTTACTGAATGAATAAAGAAATATTATTTTGTTTATCTTAAAATATAATAATAAAATTTTAAGTAGCTACATATACTTAATAAAATGTTGAATTCGATGAAAATTATTAAAAATAATTATTAAATTATATTGAAAATAATCAATTTTACTTAAAATAATTACTCTCGAATTACATTTATTCTTTATGAATTCAAAAAAATTTGATTTTTTATTGGTAAGAAATATTATTAGTAGAAATAAGAAAAAATACAAAAAAATTAAAAAATTGAAAACACAATAAGATAGTTTAAAAATAGAAATATTACTTAACTAAATAATATTTTTTTATACATAAAATAATTTTTAATTTTGGTTTTTATTACTTTAATTTTTCTGACTTTTATTCAGATAATCTATTACGTTCATTTAGTAATATTTTTTTTATCTTGAAAAGTAATCAAATATAGTAACAATTTTTATCAAATGTGTTATATTCTCTCTTTACTCAGAAAACTTCAAATAATTTGACTACAGATGATTTTAAGAAGAAGAATTTTTAATTTTTTAATTATAAAATTTAAACAATATTAAAATTGTTAAAAATAACTAATTGTAAGAACATAAAATTTAGTTAAAGGTAACTTAAATATCGAAAGATTTATAGGAATTTAGCTCTTTTTACATGTCTAAGTCTTTAGAAGATAATGATTAGATAGCACTTCAGTTGGTTGATGTAAAAAAATGCAACTAGCAGAAGAATTAAGTAGACGAATCTTAGTACATATAAGTGCCTGAAAATGAATAAGGAGGGGATTAAATTATTTTAATTTCCAAAGGATATGATGATTAGGACTAAGGAATATACTTTTAAATTAAAAAAGTATATCGCACTGCTTAAGACTTTCTAAAAATGTATAGTAAATAAACAGTTGGATTTATTAGCATAATATTAAGCATTTTAGTTTTAGCTAGCTATTTCAGTTTGAAAGAAAGATGTCCTTATGAATCAGATCATACATGCTTAAAAGAATTTATTTTTCCAAAACTATTTGTGTGGATATCTAAAGTTTTATTTAACAGCTTAGCAACTGTTATCTAATTTCATTTTCTCGTTTCAAAAAGCACTTATACTTTGATACCTGCGTTCGGTTTTCTTCAGTCTATGTATCTCTTTATATTTAATGACAATACTATCAATTTGCAATATTACATGGGAGGAATTAATGCTATTCATATAATAATCTTATTTTTTCTTCTTTTAATATATGCTTTAATTAGGGTATGGGTTGCTTGCTTCAAAAAATACAAATGGATATGTTTTTTTGGTAACATATTGTTGATTTTAACTGTTATAATTATCTTTTATTACCAATCAATTGCGCACGGGTGTGATTATTGGACCTAAGGAATCAATGGCCAAATTGAAAGAGAATAATCCTCTTGCAATATTATTGTACCCAAACTTTGTTGGTATAAAATCACCCATTAGTGGCAAGATCTTTCTTTGCTCTTTCCCTCTTGTGAAAATACTTCTATTTCATCTGATTCTAAGCAAAAAATAGATTAATTCTATTCTCCGTATGTGAAGGATTCACAATTTATAGCCTTTTCTAATTTAAATTCAGTGCCTGAGTAAAATAGAACAGATGAACAAATTTAAGCAACTACATTTAGATTATCTAAAGGATATTCTTCTTTGGAAGAAGCATTCAATGATAAATATGATGTTGTTTTTGATAGAAAAGAGTAAAAATATCACATTGACGTGCAATTCAACTAGACTCTTTCTGAATAAAGAAGCAAGATAGCAAGCGAAAGTTCTTCAAAACCTCTCTCAAAAAATATTCTGCTCATTTTCATTGATGCTGTTAGCCGCCAATCAATGCACTTAAAACTTCCAAAAACTATAGAGTGGTTTTAAAAAAGGTCAAGAATGCACAGTTATGTCCCTGAAAATAGATAATCTGAGGAAGATAAAAAAAATAGCTAATCGTTTGAGTTCTACAAATACAACTCCCTCAAGCCTTATACATACGATAATCTCTAAAATCTGATATATGGTTCAATGATTAGAAATGTAGAAGTTACTGAAGAAGAAAAATTGATTAGTATACTAGAAGATATTAAATAAAAAGGATATGTAACAGGTCATAGTAGTGATTAATGTCAAACACTATCACTAAGTTTTGATTATGAAACTGCAGGACTCATTAATTCGTCAAGATACGATCACGAGACTTAATCTTATGCATGCGATCCTAATTTCCAAGACCCTGAAAGCAAATTTGGTCTTTTTTAGGGGCCATATTCAATTACTAGAAGATGTTTATATGGTAAAACTATGGCTGAATATCCAACAGAATACGCTAAGTCTTTTTTTAGAAAGTACAAAGATAATTAGAAGTTTATGCATCTAGAATTCAGTTATGGTCATGAGGGAACAGGAGAGGTTATTAACTACTTAGATGATCCTCTTTCTAATTTCTTAGAGGAGATGTCTGATGAAGGATTATTGAAAGACACTACAGTAATTCTCTTTAGTGATCATGGTCTACACATGTAAGGAATATTTTATCTTCTATAACTCAGAAACGTTTTTATTGAAATAAACCTTCCTGGATTATTCATTAACGTACCTCCTGAGTTGAATGAAAAATATGGAGATTAAATAGCCCTTAACTAATAAAACCTAGTTTCAATAAAAAACCTTCATCATTTCATAAAATAATTGATTGAAGGAGAAAAATATGAAAACCATCAATTAAGTTTAACCAATCCTCTACAATTTTAAAAATAATGTCATGATATTGGAGTTTTTGAGTCAGACGATTGCTCATGTAAATGATTTCTTAAAAAATATTTTTCTTTACTTTTGTAGGGCTTAAAAAAATAGATAAATATATAAATTAATATCAGAAAGCCATTTTAAACCCTTAATTAATTAATGAATTATTCTGTTTGACACATGTTTAATATTAAAATTAGCAAGAAAATCTTGAGCAATATAACTTTTTTTTAATTAATTTTTTTTTTCTTCTATTCTTTTATTTATCTAAATTACTACTTCTTCTTCTATTATTTGCATTCCTTAAATTAACTAAAAAGAGCTAATTATTTTAAAATCTCTTTTTTTGAGTGAATTAAAAGGGAAATATTTTAAAAAAAAATATTTTGATTGTTTAAACAACATTTTCGAATTTACTTGAGTCAAACCTTAAAAAGAAACTTTCATTTAAATTAAATATTTTAAATTTAATAAAATAAAAATATATATAATATACCTCTAATCTTCAAAATTTGAATAAATTATACCCAAATTCTGAGCTTTTTTACAACTCTAGCTATTAAAGATTTTGATTTTTATACAAAAAATCGAAAAAAAAGTTAAAAATGAGATTATATAGTAAATTATAAAAAATAAATAGGAAAATTTTTTTAATTTTGCTAAATTTTGAAATTTGGTTTTTAAAAAATTAATAGATTTATCATTTTTAATCTATCTAAGATAATCCTGAATACTCAAATATTGAGTGCTTGTTTTTCAAAAATTAATTTTGTTCTAATTTATTAAAAATTAATTTACAGTTTTTAAATGATAATAGAGCAACCAAATTCCAAATAATTTATCAAATTTTGTATTTAAATTTCTTTAGAGATTACTTCTTAGAATCTGTAAATTTTTCTTGCTATTTGAAAATTAAATACTTGGAAAATAAATCTAAGATTCTTTGTTTTTATGCTTTATAACATTTGATTTCATAATATTTACTTCAAATAGTTGAATTTAGGTTAAAGATGTTCCACTAATAAGTTCTTATTTCAGCGAGCAGCAAGCAGCTAATTATTTTATTTAAAAATAATTTAGAAAATTTATCTGCATTTGAAATTATTTGTCATAAGGAAAAAATCAATATTTCTTTTTAAAAATTAATTAATTATTTTTATTCAGAGAGAATTAGCTTTTGATTTTTTCTTTAGACTATTTTTCTTTTCATAGATTAGTGTTCTTTTACAAAAGTTGATATTTAAATAATTTTGTATGTTTTACCAACAATTGATTTGTAAGAATTGTTTCTACCCCGGATAAGCGATTCAAGATATAAAAACTTTTCTTTTTTAAATTTTGTTGTAAGTCTCTATAAATAGAAAGCTACTCTTAGTACAAAAAGGTAAATCTTTTTCATTTAAATTCTGAGATTGAAGCATACTTTTTATAATTTATTATTTAAAAATTAACATATTTTTAAAGAAGATTTAAAAAGAGAAAACAAAAATGAAATAAAAAGGATTAACTCAATATTAGCTAGTAGAAGAGTCTCTGATGAAGATAGATGACTAAAAAGCAGTAAATATTGACACAATAAATGATTAAGAAAATATATCACTGCCTTCTGAATAAGGATTATGCAGTAAAGTTAAGTCAAAGTTTAAAGATTTTCATGAACTAATAAAAAAACATAAATTATATGTATGCACTGGACTCTCTATTACATTAAGTATAATTCAGTTAATATTCTATTTTAACTTGAAATCACAAAGATGCCCTTATTCGACAGATGATAAGTGTGGTAAGTAATTCTTAATCCCTAGTTTACCTATATGGGTTCCTATGATTTTGTTTAACTGCTGTGTTTATATAGCTTAGATGCACATGTTTATTGAAAGAAGTACTACTACCAGAATTGTAACAATTTATGGTATGTTATAATCAATTTATCTCTTTTGCTTTAATGACCATACTATCAACTTGCATATTTATATAGGAGCAATGAATGCCCTTCACATAGTATTTTCAATAATTTTTTCTATAGTATACTTTTTTGTTAGAGGATGGCTTGAAATGTATAGGAGACTTAAAAAGAAATGGGTAATTTTTTCTTTGGCCTTTTTCCTGATTTTAGTATCTCACTTTTATTTCAACAAACTTTCTTCTTCTTGTGATTATTGGTCTCAAGGAATAAATGGATAAATAGAAGAGATAGAAGGAGTATGCTCAGTGCCTGTACCTTCATTATGCTGGTATAAAATAACTCATCACTGGTAAGATTTCTCACTACTTTTAGATGGTTGTGATTCAGAGCCTGGAACTAAAGAAACACAAGAAGTAACAACTAAATTCTTCTCTACCTCTGTAGGCGATAGCAGATACATTGGTTTTACAAATTTAAATTAACACTCAGAGCTAGATAGAACTGATGAAAGAATGCAGTAAACTGTATTTAACTCTGCTAAAGGTTATAATACAGCTTTGGAGGCAGAAATAGATAAACATGATGTTATCTTTGATAGATAGGAACAAAAGTATTTGATAAATGTACAATTTAATAAAACTCTATCGAATGAAAGGAAGAAAATTGCCGAAGAATTGAATGAAAAGCCTATGACTAAGAATATTTTATTAATTTTTATTGATGCAGTAAGCAGATAATCAATGCATTTAAAAATGCCAAAAACTGTGAAATGGTTTGAATAAAATGCATAACAACACAGCTACAAAAAGAGTAATTAAACCAAGTTTGCAGAAGAGAATAAAAGCTAGTCTTTTGAATTCTATAGATTCAATTCCTTAAAGCCTTTCACATTTGATAATCTCTAAACCTTCTTTTATGGAAAAAGTCTTAGAGATGTTATTTTACCAGAAAATGAAAAATTAGTTCCTTTAATTGAAAATGCAAAAAAATAAGGTTATGTAACAGGCCACACTAGCGATTATTGCCAAACTATTTCATTAGGAATAGACGAAGAATCAATGAATTAAATGAAATCTGTGAGATATGACCATGAAACCTAGTCCTATGCTTGCGATCCTAACTATTACGATCCAGATAGTACCTTTTCTCTAACTAAAGGTCCTTATTCATTGGTAAGAAGATGCCTATATGGAAAAGCTTTGGCAGAGTATCCTTTGGAGTATGCTAAAAACTTTTGGTAAAAGTACTAAGATAATTAAAAAGTGTTTCATTTAGAATTTTTGTATGGTCATGAGGGAAGTGGTGAAGTGATAAACCATTTGGATCAATATCTTTCCCAATTCTTAAATGATATGTCTAAAAGTGGATTATTAAAAGACACAACCGTTATCATGTTTAATGATCATGGATTACATATGTAAGGGCTGTTCTACATCCTAAAACTCTAAAGCGTGTTCATTGAGATTAATCTTCCAGGATTATTTATCAACATTCCCCCTGAAATTAATGAAAAATACGGCAATTAAATTGCTCAAAACTAATAAAACTTAGTTACAATATACAATTTGCATCACTTTTTTAAACATTTAATATATGGAGAGAACTATCCATATGCATAACATAGTTTATTTAGCCCTCTAGATCATCAAAAGACATGTCAATAAATGAGCATTTAAGATAATAGTCATTGCTCATGCAAGTGATTTCATAAATTCATATAAAACATGACTTTGTATAATATTATTTAAAATTATTACAAATTTTTACTGTACTTGTTTGTACAGTTCTCCGAAACAAATAAAAATTAATGCATACATAAATTTTGTCAGCTTTTACTATTATTTTTGTATCTGTTCTATTTTGAATTTTCAAATATGAGTTAAAAAATTTTTTTAAATTTTTATACTTTTAATTTCTGACAATCTTGAATTAAATTACAAGAAATTAATTTAGTTTCAGGTATATTTTTATCAATTGAGCTAATTTTTTTGTAAAATTTGTAAGTTCCAATTGCTTTGTTTTTTAATTACACTATTTGCTTTTAAAAACAATCATAAAACAAATTGCTGATCTTTCTAATTCTCTCACTAAATTTTACAAGTGAATACAAAGTTGAATAAATGTCTATTTTTAAAACATACAAATATCATAAAAATGAATACATATATATATTGATTTTTGGAGTTTTTGATAATGCTTTTTTATCAATTCTCTTTTGAACATAAAGGAAATTAATAAATATAAATTTTTTTTAATTTCAATATCTGATAGTCATGAATTTTATTACAAGTAATTAATTAAATTTCAGGTTTATTTTTATCAATCTGAGCAAACATTTATTGTAAAGTTTGAAATATATAGATTAGTTGCTTAGCTTTTTAATTACTCTATTTGTTATTTAGAAACTATCTTAAAATTTTTAGTGTGTGTAATTCCCTCTCCTTAAATTTTATCTTTTTACAAGTGTAAATGTTATATTATAAAATGGGTAAATAGCAATAAAATTTTCAAACTACTTTAGTAACATTGATTTTTTAAATTAATTTTATATTTCAAATTAAATTTCACTGAAAAAATTAGCTCTATACTTAAAATATTTATAAGTATTTATGAATTGCTCTATAATATTAATTTTATAATATATAGTAGAAATATACTTAAATTCTAGAAGTTAAAGATAAATAAATAATTTAACAAATAATTCCAACTAAAAATTGTTTTATTTAATATTATTTTTTCTTTATTTTTGGGTTGGATAATAATTTAATAAAATAATTAGAGAGTCTAAAATTTTTGTCTATTTTAAGATAAATTTCTAAAAGAGCTATTTCTACGATATTTAAAAATTATATAAATTTGATAATTATTTAAAGTTATATAAATATAATCAAATATAAATTTCTATTATAAATTCAGTAAATAATTTAAAAATGAATAGAAAGTAGAACTAATTATGAGTATTAAATAAAATTAACCCTATTTAATTATTTTATAATACTCTAAAATATATTAAATAATAAATTATTGACGTAAAATTCAACGGAAAAATAAAAATATTTAAATGCAAAGATATTAACAAATAAAAAAATAATTTATCTATCCATCCCAAAATATTTAAATTCAAATAAGACTAACAAAGACAATATTTATTAGTCTAATTAAGATAAATATTATTATTATTATCGTAAACTATCGAATTTTTATTTTAAGGATTATTATTAATATGATTAAAAGATTAAATTCTTAATTGAAACAAAAGCAGAAAATTCAAAAAAAATTTACACTTATTAATTTTTCAACAAAATCATAATAGAAATCTCAATTTATTCATTGCTTAAAGCATAAATATATGATTAAATTTATACTTAATTAATACTATTACATACATAATCCATAATTTGCTTGAATTAACCCATGCCTTTTGAGTAAGTTAATTAGTTCAGATTATGAATTTTATTATTTTAGGTAATTAATTGGGTAAACAATTTTAAATTTCATCTTTTTTAAAGAATTCAAATTTATGAACATTGAATAATATATAGAGTGTATTTTTTCAAATCTTTAATGAGACAGTGCACCGTTACCTAAAAAAGAAAACTCAATTTTATACAGACCAAGCTTAGCTTAGTAATTCAATGTTATGAATTAGCTTAATTTTATACACTTTTATTCACTACACACTGAAGGCATATTTGTAAATTGAAATATTACAACTAGTCGTATAGAAGGACCCTGCTGTACTTTTAGGTCTACAATATATTAAATCAAGGCTAATATAATTCTATTATGAGTAGGTTAAACAAGTTATAGATGAACTTAAAGTATTATACATTAATAGAAACAAAAAGGTTTTAGCTGAAAACTTAGGCAACTAATTTTATCAAAGGTTGAAGTACTTCTAAAATAATTTTGATTATAAATAATAAAAAATGAAATTTACATTTTTACATAATTGTTTTTTATTTTTATTATAATTATAAATTTTAAATAACTTATTAAAATATATACTATTATTTCAGCTATTGCCATTTTAGAAATTATTGATTTCACTGAGTTAATAAAAGATATTTTTTTTAAAATTTTAAAAGTATCAACATTTTTTATAAAATGTATTTATAAACCTGCCTTATTTATTTATTTATTACTTTATTTATTAATTGAAAGAATTAAATTTGAAGTTTTTTTCTTTAAAAATATTAAATTTAGATTTTAGAATTAGGTAGAATTTAGAATTTTAAGAATGAATAGAATTTAGAATTTTTATAATGTTTAAATTATGTGATCACTATATATGAATTACATAAAAATAATGTTTGTTATCAATTAAGGTGGATAGATTTTTTAATTAAGGTCCATAAATTTTGGAAAAAAAACTAACTAATGACTCTTCTAAAATAAAGTAAAAAGATAATTATAAAATATATAATTATAAAATGTTTGCATCTTTATCATAACTAAGCATAATCAGTAAAGATTTATGAAGATTGGAGTAATTATATTTTTTTAATAACTTAATTTCTTTTAATCTTAATTTATTAGAATTTAAAGTATTAATTTTAATAATAAATTAATCTAAGATTAAAAAATAAAATGTAAGTAAATAAATAAATATATTGATTAATTTTGATGAAATGAGTTTATTTTATACTAAACTATGATTAAAATTAGATTTTTATCATTTAGTTTTAAAATAAAAATATTTATAAGCTTCATCATTTCTGTCTAAATTTGTGTTAAATATTAATAGAAAAGCAATATTTTAATTGAAAGAAATATTTTATTGATAAAATTCATCTAAAATAATATATTGATTTGCATAAATAATTAATATAATCTGATAAAATACTTAAGCATAAATAAATAAAAAAGAACTTAATAATTAGTTTAATAAAATAGTTTTGGGACTTTAAAGTTTAATTTTGTTGTTATTTAAAATAATAAGTAATCTCCAGAAATTTAATAAACCATTATAGTTTTGAATTATCAAAAATATTTTTTTGTATATAATATTAATTTTATTAGAATAAAATTGTTAAAATACAAAGAAAGATCTATCTATTTAAATACTTTATTTTACTGAATTAATAATTTATTATTGCTATTTTTTAAAAATAAATGATAAAAGATATTAGAATTTGTTGAAACAAAAATATGTTTAATTATTCTAAAAAAATCGATATATTCTTAATTATCTTTAGAATTATTAAAAATGTAATATAAAGAAGAATAAAATATAAATTTTATTAAATTTAATATATAAAAAGCACTTAAATATTCTAATAAATCTATAAATTTTAAAATATAAAATACTAAAAATTTAATAGAACGAAGAATATAATTCAAATTCTTGGTAGTTTTCTAAAGAAAATAACTTAGAATATTTAAAAGATCAATTACATTATATTTTAATTATTAAAAGTAATTAATTATAAATATGTTTATTAAAAAAGTATTTTATTATAAATATTTTAATATTATTAAATAAAACTATATTCTATCTATATATTAATCATTTTTTAAAATAAAAAAATGTATAAAATTTAAGCAAAGAGTTAGAGAATTTTAAGGTTTTAGGAATCAGAGTACTATTAAGTTATAATTTATTTGTTATTAAATAATATTTATAGCTGGCAGAAATATTTGTTTGAGGATTGATTGTTTGTATTAGAATTTTTTATTTAAAATTAGAATTTTAGAATTAATAATTTAAAGTTAGAATTTTAGATTTAATTTTATCCAGATTAATTTTTGTTTTCTTAAAAAATAAAAGTAATAAATTAAATTAAATTAAATTATTTTTTATTTTTATTATTTTATTATTATAATTTAAATATTAACTTATCATTTTTTCAAAATAATATAATATAATAATAATAATAATAATAAATTAATAAAATAATTAAAAAAATGGCAAGTGTACTGATTTTAAAAAATATTTAAAGTGACTCAACTGATACTTTAAAAAATACTTAAAGTGACTCAACTAATACTTTAAAAAATACTTAAAGTGTCTCAACTGATACTGAAGATGATAGCTTATCTGATGCTTAATATGACTACGAAAACTATTAAGACTATTAAGATGTATCCTTTGAAAGCGAATTTTAAAAGAAGCTAAATTTCAAAGAATGTCATTTACTTTATTGTGAAAAGTAATTAGAAATAGATTAGGAGAATAGGTGTAGCTAAAGATGTGATTGTGGATTATAGCTTGATTGTGATTCTTGCTTACAAGAAGCACATCTACCTTTGACTTGTGAGCAAAAATTCTAATGGGACTGTTTAGATCCGAGCTATGATATCAAAACTTTATAAATTTTGTAGCATTAGAAAAATTATAAAAATGGAGACTGTGGTAGCATGCTATGCACTATCTGCCAAACTAATTTTTGTTAGGCTTGTTTGAAAATAACCAAAGACTCCTCTCATACTTAAAACTGTAATGATGACAGTAAGGATAGACTGTTTAAAAAATTCTCGCTCTTGAAACACTAAGTTTAACAAAACAAAAAAAATTTTTATGAAAATATTGAATAAATCTAAGAAAGAATTGAAATAGTTTTCAAAAATGATGATGATTTAGAAGAAGAGATGTAATCATTCATAATTCCTTCTCTAAATGTATTACTTAAAGCTAAGATATTTTATCTTTATTTAATACCACTTAGATACTTTGAGTAAAATAACTAAAGATCAACTATTTTGAAATATGAACAAAAAGAATTAAAACATAAACTAAGTATGTTAGAAAAATAATTAATTGAAGAATCTAACAACTTATTTAATATCTAAAAAATATTAAAAAATAACAATAACTAAGAAATCGATCTTAAAAGTAAATATGATCTTTACAGAATCTAAACTTAAAAATAAGTGAAGGAATTATAATAATCATTAAATTCACTTATCAAAACTGAAAAAAAATGTTCTGATGTAAAGTTAATTTATTATTGAGTAAAATTATAAATATCTAAAAAAATTAGAAACTATGAGAATTTTATTATTAATAAAATAATTAATTCATTATTAATAATTAGATTTTTAAAGTGCTCAATATTATAAATGGTCCAAAGAAATTGTTAACTGATTTCTTATTGTTGCTAATTAAAGATTATTACCTATTTTTTAGAATTTAAAAAATATAATTTATATGAAGGATTTAATTTGTAATTTTTTTAAATTATAGATAATAAATAGAATTTATTTTATTTTATTTTTTAAATTAAGCTATTTTTAATTCATTAATTGGTTAGTTGCTCTACAGTTTTTTTCACTATTAATTTAAATTTCTTTTATTAGATTTATTTGCTGGTTTTTGCTTATTGATCCTTTATCTTATACAGTGTTTATTTTGTATTATTCAAACAAACTTAATATTTCAAAGAGAGTAAAAAATTTTTGAAAATAAAACAAAGTTAAAATATTTTTATTTTTGGTATAAAAATATACATTCAAATAAATAATTTAAATTATTTAATTATATAAATTTATTATTTATTTAAAAAATTTTAAAAATCTATGTTTAATAATTTATTGCACTGATCTCTAATTAATTTTTTATTAAACTTAACACATTTAAATATTTTATAAATTGTGTTTTGAAATATTTTTAAAAAATGTTATTAATAGCTCTTCTTACCAAGTGAGGAATATACTTTTAAATTTATTAGTAAAAACATAATTTAAAGCATATTATTAATTAGCATTTTCATTATTTTAATGAACGAAAAAATATTAATTTGCTCATTGGTGTGCATAAATTATTAAAAACATAAATTTAAAATTTTTAAAAATTAGTTAGTTAGTTAGTTAGTTAGTTATGGAACTAACTCTGATACTTTGCTCCAAAAATAAAAAAGTAATTGATATTTACTATATAAATATATTTGTAAGAAATTTAATTAGCAAGTCTATCGTTAATCTAAAATAGATTAATATATTCCTGAATGTAACTTATTTTTTGCTACCACAAATAATAAATTGGATATATTTAAAAAGCAAAATAGGAAATTTGCTTATTATATAAGATTATTATCAATTTTTGCTATAAATCAGAAAAAATACTTAATTGTCAGTTAATAAATAAATCAATCAAAAATTAATATTTATTGTATAGAGATTACTTTAATTCAATTAATAGAGGAATCATATTTTATTAGTGATTTATTATGCTTTTTATCTTACTTTTACATTGATTTTTCATTAAATATCTTCTAATGATTAAAAATCTTTAAGTATTTTAAAGAATTGAGTTATGAAATTTGCAAGAAATACTTAAAGCATGATAAACATTCAAACTTATTAATAAAAGTAAATGCTAAAAGCAAATTTTAGTTTCTATTAATAATTCTTTTATTTCAATAAAGACATTATCAGTAGTAATTACGTTTAATACAAATCTTTTATTTTAATTAACACATTCATCGATTTAAAACTTAATTTTTTAACGTAGATAAATTACTGCTATTAGATTTTTAAATTTCGATTTGATTTTTGAAAGTTATTTCAAGGTTAAGATAGGTTTATAGTTTTTAAAAAGAAATACAAATAAATATGAAAGATTTAAAGCTAAACACGATAACCAATAAAAATAAATAATACTTACTTGCTGTAAAGAACTTAATTAAAATATAGAAAAAATTTAATGAAATAAATTGTAAAATAATCAATATAATTTCATTAAATATGATTTCTAACAAACTTTACCAGATATATTCTTTAATATTTTTAAAGAATGAGTAGAATTTTGTTAAATATCATATTAGTTTTTCTAGCTTAATTATGCTATCAGTTTATTTCGTTTTCAAAAAATATCTTTTTCGATTAAAATAAATTGAAATGATTGAAGTTCTTTATTTAATTTTAAAAATGCATAATTAAACAATTTCAAAATAAAAATACACAAACAAGCTAATTTAAAATTTTGGGAGATTTTTTAGCTATTTATTTATTTATTTATTATTTTTTTTGAGATTTTAGATAAAAAGATTAAGTAAAAAAATAAATAAAAAAATAGTATTTTTATTAACATGCAAATATTAAATTTTTTAATAGGTTTGTAAGTGCAAAAAGGAATATATTTCAGCTTTTAGTTAATTAAAAATCTTTTACTTAATTAATAATTTAATAGGATATAAATATAGAAGAAAATAATCATATTACATTTTATTGAAGCTAAATTCATTTTCATTTTTTATGAATTTTAATTCTTTAAGGTACTAAAAATTTATCAACTTCCGCAAAATATTTAATTCTAAATAAGAAAAAGCAATAAAATACAACAAACTTACTAAATTATTAAGTTGGAGAGTAAGGCTATTTTTCAAATTAATGTAAATAAATATTAAAAAAAAATCTTTTAATCAAATTATGCTTTGATAATAGCAGAAAATTAATAAAGCAATTAATTCTAGAAGTATTTACAAGCGAAATGAATAGTAAAGTGAATAAATATCAAGAATAATATTTTTAAAATAATTCACATACAGGTTAAAAAATATGCAAAAGATTCAAACAGAATGATTAAAATAAAGAAAATATGTATTAAGTCTTGAATTATTTATGAATCAATGAGTTTCTTGATTAAGTTTTGTATTTTAAATTTTGATTAAATTTTTCAAGATATTAAAAAAAAAAAAAATTATTAAGAATGTTTGAAGAGGTAGAAAATTTATTGCTACTTTTTTATCTTTTTCTAATTACAATTTTTGCATGAGTGATATGCACTTACTAACCAATTTATTCATTTTGTTTGTTTACTAAATTCGCTGCATGCATTTTGATTATTAATAACTTTGTACACTTTAATTATTGATTTCAATGCATTCCTATTCTTTTGATTTTTTATTTGGTTTTGGGGATTTATTATTTTGATAGCTTTGATTGTTATTAATTCATTGTGAGATATTTAAAAAAACAGTAAATTAAGAGAATCTAATAATGAAAAGAGAGAGTCAATTAGTAGAAAATTAGACTCACTTTATAGGTAGCAATCAGAACATTTAAAATTAGGAGAACATTGTACAAGAAGAAGCGTAGGAATACAATACTCCTGTAATGAGGTGTGTTCAAGATCAAGCCTCATTGCAATAAAGAAATACAATAAATTAACCTTAAATTTCTAACATTCGAAGCAGCATTAAAGAAATAAGTACCTCACCTTTTTAGGTTTAGAGAGAGCGTAAATCTACTTTTTCTAGATAGTTTTAAGAATAAATACAATCTGCCGCTGCAGTGGCTACTATGAGATAGGAAGAAGAGGATAAAATTAATAGCAAGCACGAAGACTTGAATGATGAAGTCAATGAATAAGCTGAGGAGTAGTTTGAAGTTAGCCAGAAAATAATTTAATACTTAAAAAATGCTTCTTTTTCGATATTTAATTTGATCACTAATTAGGTGTAGCAATTTTAAAATAAAGATATGGAAACTAAATATATACAAACTAGGCTAGAGAATACTTTTGATAGCTTTATCTGTATTTAGTCCTGTTTAATTTTAAGTTATCTTGCTTTATTTATAATTAACATTTCAAAAGGTGAGTTTAGTAATTAGGCGAACTCTACTTAGTAAAATTCTTCTTCACAACCTGGTAACTCTTTATAATATAAATTTCATAACTCTCTCATTGAAGTTATATGGCAATTAATCATAGCAATATTGAATTTGGGATTAATTTGTATCAGCAAAAGCGATAAGCTTACTGTAAGAGGTATTCTTATTCTATGTTAACTGGCTGAATTGGTTAACTTAGATAGATTATTATTTGGAGATATTAACGATTATTTATATGACAGTTTTACTAACACTTCTTCCTCTAATTCTGCCACAAATGACTCATGTTCTCTTGAGTCATCTGATAATTTGGATACATATATGGAATTAAGATATGAATTAATCAAATCTTTTGTTATCATGATTGGTTGCTTTTTGTTTATTAAAAATATGGTTGGCTGGAATTTCAGATTGCTTTTTAGTTTAATGCTCACTTGCACTTTTGGTATTATCTTATATCACGAAAACTCATTTTGGTTATTTTTGACTTCTCTGATTATTTTAACTATTGTATTTAATTACTACTATTATTACGAAGAGAAGAAGAGTAGAATTATGTTTGCTGAGATCTACTCTCACTAAGACTAGAATTCTCCAAGTCTCTACAACATGATCCACGAGTAGATATCTTCTGGCTTAATTGTCGTAGCTCGCAACTATTCTGAAGGTAGTAACGAGCTACTTTAACTAAAATTTGCTAATAAAATATCTATTGAACAGCTCTAATGCAGTAATGAGAGTAATATATTACAAAAATTTAAAGAAATTTCAGTTAAATCAGAAATGAATAAGTCTGTGGGAGATAATAAAAGCTAAGGAGACACGTCTTCGTTTGACCTAAACTCGAAAGACAATAAGGATGATTAATTAGAGAATTAGAAAGGAGATACAAAGCGAAATTCTAGTAATAATTCTAACTAAACGTTGTATGATAAGTTAGTTCAATATATTGAAGATATTCTCAAAGCTCAGTAAGAGCAACAAAAGTAGCTAAATGAATAAAATAATATGATGAGTATCCATTCTATAAAGAATCAGAAACATTAAGTTTATCAGCCTAGCATCATTAATAAATTAAAGACTGATTAAAGTAAGAAAACAAACAGCATGATTTAACTAGGCAAATCAACTTAGCGAATTTAGAAGAGATAAAATAGCTCAACACCTTTTAACAGTAAAAATAAGATTTAAACTCCTAATAATCATAGTACCTTAATTAAGGCTAATTATAGCAGCAATCTGATTTAAGCAAGTAATTTGAAATAAATTTAATCAGAAATTTCTATCAAACAGAAGAATTTTTCAAATCTTTAAGAATAAAACCAAAAAACTAATTAAAATATATCAAATATTAAGATAGAAAATAACCCAGATTTAAAGCTTAAAAAAAAGACCAGTTTTATTAATATAAATGCAGTTGTCAGTTCATATACTCCTTAAAATGCAGCTTTTAATGGTGCTTCTCCTATCCGTGGAGGAAATATTGGAAAGTCAACTCCAAGTGGGGATGAGGCTTACTACGATTCTTAAAACAGAGGAAGTAGCAATACTAAAATTAAAATTTTATAAAGTGCCTTTTCAAATAATAATTCTCCTGATCGCAGAAAAGCTGCAGATAAAAAAAACGAAAAAAGTTCATTTGGATAACTTATTTATGGAGTGCTAAAGTCAAGTAATTAAGACAGCCAATAAAAAAGCGAATTAAATCAATAAGTGTTGAAAGAGCAGATTTCAAATTAGAAAGAGAAGCCCTCAAGCAAGAATAGGATAAGTTCGACTCCAAAATAATCAAAATATCATTAAAAAGTTAAAGACAATCAATTTGAAGATGAAAGTTGCAACATCAGAGATGAATAAATGTAATCAATTGATTAAAATATTAAGACTGTGCATTTGGGATCTAACAATACTTGTAAATTACGTAAAACGAATAATAAGGAAAGAAATAATTCGAAATAAAATGAAGATGATGAAAATGAATCCCAAGAAAGCAGTAGTAGCAGCAGCAGCAGCTGTAAGAGCGAAGAAAATGCAACAAAAGACAAAAATATGTTTGCAAATAGTACAATTTAAGTACAATTACCGACTTCCGAAATTAGTTTTCAGCAATTTGATTTTAAAATAAATTTAATTGAATGGGATAATTCACCTGCTCTTATAATATTGGTTACTGAGACAACAGAAAAACTTGTTAATGAAAAACTTAGAGAGTTAGAAATGTACAAAGAAGAATTGCTTTATACAATGCAGCATATTTCTCGTACTCCTTTAAATAGCATCATCAATCTCTCAGATATTATGTTAAATGAATATTCGAGGCAGTATCGAATAACAAGCAGTTAAAGATAGATTATGAATATCCACTCTATTTTGTAAAGCAATAATTAAATTGCAAATAATGCAAATAATCATCAGCAAATCAATGCTGTTTCTATTAACAATAATAATACAAACATAAATAGCAACTAATATTTAAGACAAGCAAGTACAAATTCTTAAATTAATATAGTATTGAATAACTAAAATAATAACACTCCAAGTGTAATTAATAATTATCCCAGCTTAAATTAACATTTTTCTAGTGTAAATCCTTAATAATAATTAGAGAGTTAATAGCAAAATAATTTAAATCAGCCCTTAAATAATTTCATAAGCAATCCTAACTCTAACAGCCCTTAAAAAATAGCTACATAATTAACAAATAATAATGCTAACGCTATATTTTCACTTCAAGAGTAGTAGCTTAACGAATTAGAATCTGTTGTACAGAACCTGCATATCATTAAAAATAATGGATTAATACTGCTACATACTATAAATACTGTGACAGATTTGTCATATTTTTAGACAAATTAGGGTAAACTTAATATTGATCCTGAAAGTTTCAGCTTACAAAATGTAATAGAAGAAATTTATGATCTTTACCTTCATTAAATTTAAGAAAAGAAACTCACATTTTAATTCTATATCCCACAAAATTTAGATAATGTTTTCTCTGATAAAAAACGTGTTTTGCAGGTTTTATTTGAAATAATTGGGAATGCAATAAAATATACTAATAATGGATTTATTTAAGTCAAGATTAAGGAGTAAGAAAAAGGGTTGATTTGGGTTAAAGTTTAAGATAGTGGTTAAGGTATGTCCGAAAGCTAAAAGCACAGTCTATTTAGCAATAAACTTATTTAGTATTATAGCAGAGAAAGAGATTTTAGTAAAAAAAATAGTGCAGGCTTAGGTCTTGATTTCTCTAGAAAAGTTGTAGGCATCCTTGGTCCTTTTCATGAAATATTTATCAAATCCTCTGAGGGAGTAGGGAGCGCCTTTAAGTTTTTACTCTACAGTGATTACAAAATAAAAAATAAAGTAGATATACATGAATTAAAGTAGCGCTTATAAAAGTTGTAGATTTAAAATGAGCTCGGAGGAGGAATATTCACACCAGATATTTTGCATCCCTAAAAAAATGAAATAAATTTTTTTTCTTAAAATAATCAAACAGCAAATATAAGTTAGTAGGCTCATGCTCAAAGCAGCAATTAAATGCTAATGAAGAAAATAAATGAAAATTAGCAGCATCCTCAGTCAACGTTTCAAAAACACATTAAAAGAGGATCTAATAATTTGGTTCAAAATTAAATACCAAATACAAATAACAGTAGGATTTATGATATCAATGATTTTAACGGGGCTGTATCAGATGTAGTTGAAGGTGAATTTCAATCAAATAACAAAATTGTTTAAAACACTACAAAAAAAGATATAGAAAATTAGACATAAAATTTTAATGGCTTCAATGGAGATAAATCGAATCTCTCCTACCTTAAATATTCTTAACCTAAAATGGAAAAATATATGTCTTTAGAATATGATACTAATTAGAAATATAGATTTCCTTAATCTGCTTAACTAAATCAGGTATCTACATTTGATCATGAAGGTGCTCTTTCCTCTGCAATTGGTGGAGGATTAAACAACAAAAAGAAAAAAAAGAATTAGAGTAAAGGCTAACATTTAAATTCTCAACATGCTTTACAGGTTCAGCAGCAAAGAATAGGATAAATAATATCTGATAATAAAAAAATGATAAGCGATTAAAGGATACCATGTATTGATATTAATGAAGATATTGAATAAAAATATAATGGTGGGGAGGGAGATATGGATTCAAATCTTAAATCATTGAATTTGAATAAAGGATATAAATAAAATCACAGCTAAGACTCTCAGAATAAATCGCATAAAATAGACTAGAATAATTATTCGACTAGAAATATTGACGATTCTACAGCTTAAAACTAGAATTCAAATAATTTAAATTTTAACATGCACCATAGATAATCTTTTGTTACACCTTTCAATCACGAAATAAAAGAATAAGATAATATTGTCTAAGTTCATATCAATTCCTACTTTTAAAATATTCATGAGTCTCCCCATATTTAATCACAAAGATTAAATCATTCGCAAAATGTTTCTGATGATTCTTGTATCACAGTTGGAGCTATAAATAATTTTCTTCATCAATCACAATCAGTAGATTAAAGTGGTCAGTTTCCAAAACGTGTTTACAATTCGACTTCAACTAAACCTAATAATTTAAAATAATTAGGTCCTTCCATATTTATGCAGAGATTTCCTTAGAATTAAGAACATCAGTAAAATTAGTAATAATACTTTAATTTACATCTTTAAAAGCCTAACTTGTTTAACTTTAATACAATCTCTCACTAAAGGATAGAAATTAATTAAGTAGTTAATAAAAATAATGTGGTTGATGATTTCGAAAATTAAGAACCTCCTCCTGAATAATCTTTATTAGAACACGGTTCACCAGGTATATAAAATAAGCACGAGAGTATTTATATAGATTAAATTAGCCCTCATCCAAAACTTGGATATAAAGTCTAGTCCTTAATTTAATAATAATAATAACAATAACAACAAATATTGCAGCAGTAATCTCCTTAAAATAATCAGCAGTAAGTTTCTCAGATTTAATAATATCAGCCAAGTTCTCCATTTAAGAGAGTGAAACTAGAAAGAAAAGAAACTAAAAACTCTACTTTAATATGTCAAACACTTAAAATAGATGATTATGATTCAATGCTTTACCATACATTTCCAGAAAAAAGCTATGTGCTTGGTGTTGATGATAACATTTTTAACTTAAATATTTTAGAAATGGTGTTTAAAAAGTGCAGCAATGTCATTTTTCATAAAGCTGGTAATGGTGAAGAAGCACTTTAGAAAGTAAAAGAATTAAAAAATAGCTAAAATGCTTACTACAAAGTCTTCTTATTGGATATTTAAATGCCTGTAATTATTCAATTAATTTTCAATTATCTTTTTATTCAATTAATTTTTAATTATTTTTTTTTTAAATTAAATTTAGATTATGGATGGATATAAAACGCATAGCGAGTTAAAAAAACTAATGAAAAAAAAGTTTATTGAGCATAGTCCTGTATTTGCTGTTACAGCTTTTGCAAACGAAAAATAAATATGTATATAGTAAGGTATGGAAGGCTTTATTGAAAAGCCAATTAACATGAAATTATTAATCAATCTAATGTTTGATTATTTTGTTAAAAATATAAGAAATAATAATTCTTGATAGCATAGATTGAATGATTTCTAAAATTTAATTAATTAACCTATATAATAACTAAGCAATTTCTTAAAAAATGAACCATATTTTTAAAAAGCCAATAAGTCAGTCAATATTTTAAAATAATAAGAATTCAATAAAACACCGTTTGATATAAAAGCTAATTCATATTTATAAAAAAACTCATAAATAAATATAAAAATTTTATTTTATCTCATTCAAAAAATACTAATTGTCAAAAGAAAAATGAAATTATTATCCTCAATTAAATAAATATGTATAAAATTAAATAAATTGATAGCAAATTGTTTTTAATCTAAAAATAGATTTTTCCAAAATTCAATATTTATTAAAAATAAAAAATAATTAACAAAAATAAATAAATAAATAAATAAATAAATAATTAATACTTAAATTATAGTCATTTTAAATTATCTTTCTTGTCTTTAGCCTCTATATTCAAAAGTATATATTGCACTAATTTAATATAACTTATCACTTTTTATGAATATTTTTATATCTAACAATAATTTTTAAATATACTTATTTAAAACATTTAACACTATTTTATCATTCAGAATTTTCCTTTAAACATACACATACACACCTATGTTTTGGTATTTAAGATAAAATGAAAATCAAAATTGTTAATTTTAATTACTCTTTTACTCTTCAATAAGAAATAATATATTTAAATTTTAGAATTAGTTTATTTAATAAATTTAAAATTTTTTTAAAGTATCAGCAGTAATGCTTTAATTTTATTTAATAGTTAAATAATAATTATTAGACTAATTTTATTTATAAAATCGAAAAATATTTTTATTATGTAAATTCCTAAGAAAATGTATATATATATAAATACATATTGTTTTATTTGTAAGATTAATATGTTATTAACTTTGAAAATTAATTAAATTATAATAAATATATTTTTTAACTTCAAATAAACTTATAGAAAGTATTTTCATCTTCTTATTATTTAGATTGTGGAGTTTACTGTGTTTTAATGTTCTTCTTCATTAAATTAGAGCTAATTAAACCATCTTTCCAGTATTTAACTAAATACTTATTATCATTCTCATCAATTTCAATTCCTCCTCCATGCTTTTTATCATCCTCAAATGTACCATCATAGTATTTTATTTTACCTTTTTTATAGTAGATTACTCCATGACCATGTTTTTTACCCTCTTTAAAGTTTCCTTAATACTCATGCTTATTTTCTACCTTTTCTATCCCATACTTAGATCTTTTATTATACTCGTATTCTCCATTAAATTCAATACCTTTAATTTTATCGCAATAAACTCCAACACCATGCTTTAGACCCTCATTGAATACTCCTATATTTTATTAAAAAAATTTTAGTGAGTCTAAACTAACTATCCATAAAAGTTTTACCTTCGAAGTAACCTTTTTTTCCACCATCATATAAAATCTTTCCAAAACCATGATATAAATCTAGCGAAAAGTCACCTTCATAAATATCTCCATTTCTCATATAAAGCGTTCCTTTGCCATGCTTCTTGTAACTATCATCTGATTCATCAAAAAACACTTCTCCAACATATTTAATTTTATCATCAGTGTAATACAAAGTTCCATAAATCATAGAATTATCAACAAACTTTCCTTCTAGAACTAATCTGTTATTACTATAAAGTCTACCGTAATCCCAATACTTGCCATTCAAAAGACCACCTTTATAGCAATCTCCAGTAGGGAAAGTTAAAACAGTTTAATAAATTAAACTTTTTTATGCACTTCCATTTACTTAAATTTCTGTATCATAAAAAGACAATTTTCCATCTATAGGATCCCAGTTAGATAAACCACCTTTTTAATAAAATAGTAGATAAATAAATAAACTCAAAAAGAAGCAATCCAACTATTATTTAGTTTTGTATTTTCTCTTTATTTATATAATATAGCTCAATAAATGTCTAGAAATATTTATTAAGAATTCAATCATTCATTTTTTAAAAAGTCTAAAATAAATTTATTAAATTTAATACAATTTACTCCAACAATAAACATCATTTAAAAAATTATAATAAAATAATTATAAATTAATTAATTAAAAAAAAATAATTTATTTAGATAAACATGATAAAATTATTAATTTTTTTAATATCAGATTGATTAAATAGAAAGAGAAAATATAAATATTCAAAAAATAATTAATAAAAATAATTAATAGTTAATAATAGTGAAATACTATCAATTGATTAAAAAAATAGCTGAGAGAAATTTTAATAAATAAATAATACCATTATATTTACAGCCTTCAAGTAAATGCTATACAACATGCCAACTATTTGATAGAGATTTGATCAAATCTAACATGCTTAAAATTTTTTCTTCTTGCTACAGGCTAGATGCAGAAACGATTCCTTGGGTTGGTATTTCTTCAAATATAGAATATGTCATAATTGAATAATCAAATAAAAAGGCTTTAGCTTGTTAACCATGGATATAAAGTGTTTTATTCTCAGTAATGAATAATAAAGGACTAGTCTTATTATTTATTGAAGGTGTGCAATTGCTTCCTAGAAAATCACAAGAAATCCAATTGCCAAAGAAATCCAAGAATTTTTTAGTTGAATTAAAAAGACCATTAATCTACTGTATAACTTTATTTAGTTGCTACTATTCCTTGAATAGCTCTTATTTATCCTTTGTATCATCAATAAATGTTTTTGTAGCATCTGATCTTGGCATTCTTGTAGATTCTTCAAAACCTAAAACTGAAGTTTTTTTTGTAAACTAGTTCAACAAAAATCCACTGTGAGGCAAACCGAAATTTCCAAAATATCCTTAGAAGACTCTATCATCTTACATGAGCATTTTACCTTCCCCTGTAAGAATTTCTTTTAAGCTAGTTTCATCTTGTTTCTTTAATTTTAAATATATTTTATAATACTTTTAAAATAATTAAATTATTACTTTTGGTTTACTATTAATATGATATTCTGTTTTATAAGGAGTGAAGTAATAAGATTTATTTCCTTATTTAAGAAGAACTGAACCTCCAGGAATAAAATAAAATTAAGAAGAACTATTAAATTCATTACTTGCCTCAAAATCGTTTTCTTTTATTGAATCTAAAATGTAGTTCTTTGGAAATGATCCTATTTTTTTAATTGCTGAGATAGGTCTATTTTCTTTGTTTTTAAAGTATTAAGAATCACTTTATTCCCCACCATTTAATTTAGAATTAAACTCGCTATTTTAACTATTTTAAGGTGTAGGTGTTTCAGAAAATATTAAATCAGGATGTGATTTTCTTTATGACATATCGATTAATTGCTTTTAAGGCTATCCATTTTCTTAGATAAATACTTTGTCATTCTAATTTTAATTAAGGGTATTTTTTTCTTGCTCTTTGGAGAAACTCTCATTATTGTCTTCTTTTATTGTATTTAACTACTAGCTTTATTCTTTTCTTCCCTCTTGTTCTTCTGATTTATTTTTAGCTTATTAAACAGAATCTTAGTTTAAACTGCTCTATTTAAAGTATTTATCTATTATATTTTTAAAACAGTTAACTATTTTATTCAATTAAACAAAAAGTGAATAACCACTTTACAAAAATTACATTTATTTTTTATTTTTAAAAATTATTAAACTCTTGAATAATAAAAAAATTATTAAATTCTCATTAAAAATGATCAAGTTATAAATTAAAAAAATAACAAATTTTACAAAAATATTAATTTTTTTAAATAAAAAATTATAATTTACAAAAAATTGATTTATTTATTTAGTTATTTTGATGTTACTCAATAATATATTTTTAAAATAGCTATTGAAAATAGAAATAATTTAAAGATTAAAATTACCTTCCTGTTTTTGCCCTTCTTATTTTGTACAATATTAGATTCTTTTTAATGATTTAATTTTGGTTGAAACACTGTCAATGTTATAGAGAGTAAAAATACCTTCAGGATTTGATTTTTTTATAAATTCATGAATTTCTAAGAGTAATTCAAGAGCACTTGGTCTTGAGACAGCTTCGTATCTCAAACATTTTCTAATTATGCTTTCTAAAAGCCATCTAAACTCATAACTCATGCTAGAGACTTCAAAATACCTACCAGGTTGATTAGATTCTTCGTTTTAATGTTCTTTTTAATCTTACTAATTTTTAGTGTTTTTCTCAGATTTAATATTAAATTATGCAAATAAATCATCTAGGTATTCCTATGTCTTGAATTTGTTCACATCCTAAAGATATTTATCAACTTATTTTTAGGAATTAGTTTCATTAACTATGCTTTTTCCGTAAAATAAATACAGTAGGAGACTACCAATGCCCCAAATATCACATTTAGATAGTTATTACTGAGGTCCTTCTTCTAAAAGCAGTTCATGAGGGATTGTATTCCAATCTAGCTAAAAGCTTCCATCCACTAAAACTAAGAAATTTGGAGTTTTTATAAATCCTTCATTGTCAACTAGGAGAATATTTTTGCCAAAGAAGGAAATATATCCATAAAGCTCGCTATTATGAAGTGAAACACACAGAGAAACTATTTAGAAAAGCCCAGATATTTCTTTAATTAGTTTACCACTTAGCTATTCGTCTATGTTATAATCAGATAATTTATTTTAACAAAGCTCTTCGAAAGTGCACAAGTAAGGCTCAGTTAATATGGAAGAGTCTTAATGTGAAATAGCATAAATATTTAAAAAATAAGGAGAAACATTAAATGCTAAATTCAAGAAATTAGTATCGCCATTATCTTCAAAAAGGTATTTAGATTTAACAACCCACTTTGAAAATATTTAATTATTAATTGTAAAATGTCCTAATTATCTTTTAACATCTCTTTCATCGGAATGCATAATAATTTCATCTTAATTCAGTCTTGGAGGTAGATTTTGAACAAGTCTTCCTTCAAATTAATAATTCCCATTATTCAAAAAGTTTTATTTTATCAATGGAAGGTTGTTATTTTTTTCTTTTTTTACATCTCCATCTTCAGTAGACTATTACTACTGTTTAGTTTAACTTTCTTCGTTACGATTTTCTTTATTTTTGCGATATTATTTTAATCAGCTATTTAAAATGATAGAAAAAATTACTTTAATTAAATGATTAATTATCTTCATAAGGTTTGACTAAAGTTAGAGGCCACATCATTGTTGGGTTTGAAAAATCGCTAAGAATTTTACAAAATCTTTGGTTTTACCTTAGAATTCCTGATTTATTTTCATCGAAATAGCTTCTATTATACTCTTTTTCAGATCTAAAAAATATTTTAAATGACATACATACAAATAAAGAAAATACTTAAATAAAATTGAGTTTCCTAGAGTGTGAGCTATGAGATAATCACGTCTTGTTTCGTGGTCAGTGTTTATATTATGAATTATATTATAGAATCGCTGATGTTCTTTTTCTAGGAAAATTCTAATGTCTTAAATTTCTATTTAAAAAAATATATTTTAGCTAAACTTCTTTAAAATTAATTTTACAAATGTTAAGTGTATTAGAAATTAATTAGTCCCAAGGAATTGGTTAAGTTTTTTCTGCTTTTTCAGCTGATGGTTTATTTTAAAAAGTTGATTAGTAATCGCTTTAAATTTTCATGGTTGAGTTTTAGCTTTTACTAGATAGGTGACTACTTTCTTGTCTGAGTAAAGAACTTCCTTTCATTTAATTAGAAATACTACCCTTTACATTAGAATTCTTAGAAGCTCCTACAATAACTTATTGAGCAAAATTATTTTTTGATTATTTTATCTCATCTTTTGATTGCTTAATGAAGAAAAAAGTGATAAATTCATACATATAAGCTGGCTTTAAATTATTTAATATGTAGTTGTAAATCTTTATTGCTGCAGATTCTTATTGCTAAAAATAAAGTCCTTTTTATACAAGCTTACCAATCAAAAAAAGCTTAAAAATTAAGCTCAAATCTTAGCTTGAGCTTGAACTTTTGTTCAAAATTTAAAAGGCTGTCAATGCTGCTAGATATTTGCTCTGTTTTTATAGCATATTAGAAAGGATATAGCAGAACTATATTTTACTTCCTATTTAAGTTGATGTTTTAAAGTTTCTATTTATTAAATCTATTGCTTCTTTATGCTGATTAAGTTTCATTAATATGTATGATTTTTGTACATTTAAGTTAGTGTTCATAATTAATGCTTATGCTTAGCTAAATTCTTAAGTCAAACATAATAAACTATATAAAATTGTTGAACTTTATCGATGACCAAGACAGAACAATATTTGATAGCATTTTAATGCAGATTTTATGTCTTAATCTTGGATAAGCACTTTTTCTCCGAGAGTAATCAATGCATTTTAAAAATTATCCTATTTATATTCAATTAAATATTCAATGAAAATATATTCTTTAATTTAAATTTGTTAAAATGTTATCTTAAATTTAATTTTAATTTTAAAGAAAAATACTTTTTAATTAATTTTGTAAAATTGAAAAAGTTTTAAATTTTCTTATTAGTAAAGGGGGGTATGTAGGATTTTAGAACAAAACCAATAATATTTCTATTTATGGTAATTTATAGGGAAGAAAAATGGAGTTCCTTTTATTTAACTTTACTCCCCCCCTTAATTAAGAATCAAATAATTGATAAAATACCTAATTAAATTAGATATAAATTAAAATAAATATTTAAAGTGATAGAAATCATTTTTATTAATTTTAAAATTACCTCAAAAGCGAAATATCTCCATTAATCTTCTTCATATTTAGAGAGAGGAACTCCTTATTTAATCTTATCATAGAGCTAGTTCCATGCTTCTAAGCGATGCTATTCAAAATTAATTTTTGGTGCAACTTGATAGAGGGTTTGCTATTGTTAGTAATTGATTTCATCCTCTCTATCTGCATAAAATAAATAATCTTGATGAGACTTCTCATAAGAGTATTCATCAAGGTCTGATTCGGTTTATATTCTATCAACAATAGCTCCTTCATCTTCATTTACTTCGACTGCATTTTTCATGGCGGAGTTATTTATGCAAGTTCTGATGTTTTTAATTTGCTATATAAACTATTTTTTTAGAAAATCGTTAGACTATCTTTCTTTAACCCCAAGTTATTTTAAAACATTTGGCAAGGAACAATCTAACTCAGAAATAATTTCTTTTAACAAATCGATTCTTCCTTATGCATCTATGAGAGTTGTAAAATCATATTTATTATCTCCTTCTCTTTTTACTTAAGCAAACCTTATAAATGATTGAATATAAGCAGCAAAATTTTAATCTGGATTAAAATTTTAGGTATTGTTATAATAATTTTAAACATTATTTAAATCTAACTAATTGTTATTTGAAATATTTTCAGCTTCATAGTGAGTCATCGGAAGAGGTGTTTGTTATCCACTATTTAACTATGAAGACTTCATTTAACTTATTTAGCTTAAATTAGAAATTTTATTACTATCATTTTTTGATTTTGGAATACTCCTTTATATAATACCCTATTTCATTACTAAAGAGTAGACTAAATCTGAATATGAAGGAAAGCAGTCAACAAATGCTAAAATGAGTTATAGTGGTTATAGTTTTAGGAAAACTGAAAGACCATCAAATGATTAGTCAAATCCCTACTACAAAAACAATCTTAAAGAAAGGAAAATTAATTCTTCTAGGAGCATTTCTTGGATCATCTCTATGCCTCGAAGATTCATGCTAAGGGGATTTTCAACAACTGACTCATGCCAATCTTTATCAACTGTTTCATTTAGAATCGCATATATAGTCTAAAGCTATCTGGAATCTCTCATATTTTATTTCAAATAAGTTAATGCCAACTCTCTTTCTTCATGAGTTGGGTATATTTTTTCTATGAAATCTGATGAAGATGTCCATGCGACAGATTAAATATTTTTCTGTTACATAAAATTTTCAATTCCCATTTTTCCATTATATTTTGGATAGCAATCATCTACAAAAGCAATTTATGCAAATGGAGTTTAATCATTATTCACTATAAATACATAACCTTAATTGATAACAAGAGAAATATTTATTTCTTCCTAAGTTTCCCCCTAGGTTAAATTTTTAACTAACTAACTGTTTTCTATTGCGCTTTGATTATGAGACTAATCTATTCTCTAAGCAATAGGTGAGCTTTCCCTTTTTTCAAAGCTCTCTTGATCCATAACGAATTAAATATTATTTATTTTTTTTGATAAATCTACTTAAAAAAAGAAAGAATGATATTTGTTTATTTGTATAAAAAGTTAAACACCAATCTATTTATTTTATTGAAAATAAATGATATTTTTCTTTTGAAAATCGATTTACTCAAAATCAAAAAAGTTGAATGAAATTTATTAAATGATATTTTAGTCAGTTTTAAAATTTAAAGATAGATCTACATCAAAAAACAATTAAAATTTATAAGTTATAATTTTAAATCGATTCTAATTACAAAAGTGCTAAAATATTTTTCATAAAAATCATATTTTACTATTCCTGCTAAGAAATTTAATTAATTTAAAGAAAACGATTTTGTTAATAAATAAATATATAATTTCTTCTGCTTTAATGAAAACCGTTTAAATATTTTTAAATTTTATTATCTAAAAATACTCTAATTATCTGATTTAAATTAAATGTAAAATTTTGAAATAGTGTAATAAAAATAATTTTATTTAATTATCAATATTTATTTTTATGATAATGATGATGTTTTATGTTATGAATTGAAAATTTATTTAAAAAAGATATTTAATAAATAAATAATAGAAAAATATTATTTACTGTAGAGTAATTTTTGAGAACAAAATTCATTTAAATAATGTAAAATCTAATTTATTTTAATGATTTTTACATATTCATATTTAAAATTAATATTAGATACTATTTTTAATTATATTTTTGAATGATAAATTTTGTTTTTTTATTTTAAATCATATTGAAAACAAAATATTGTGAAGCTATTTAGAATAAACAAAATTGATTTATACATTAGTTAACAATAACAAACATAATGGAGATATTAACAGAAAGGTTAATTAGACTTTTAGAGGATCAGCTAATCTAAATAAAATATTTAAGATTAAGAATTTAAATAAATTTTGAAAAGGTTTTGTTATTTTGTTTGAATGTAAGCATTTATTATCTTCGGATATAAAATTTAGAGGAGCATTTTCCTATTAAGTCTTTTAATTTTAGCTTAAATACAATTATTTTCTCAGAATAACTTGAAAGAGCTAGTTTTATATCTACCTTGCTTATCTTTGTTTCTAAGCTTAGTGTTATTAGCTATTAATTTGGTTAAAGTAAAACATATAAATAAAATCTTCTTCATAATAATAATATAATAAATCTATACTTTTAATTAAATCTTTAGGTTGAGGAGTAGCTCTGGATAATTCTAAACTGAGTTCTTCTCTTTATTATTGAAGGGAAAGAAGTACATTAGAACCTTCCTTTTCAAGATCTAACTTCATAATGCTTTCGAGTTCTAATTTTTAATAAAAAGGTAAATTCATTAGTGTACAACACAATTAATTATGAGTAAGAAATATATTATTAAAATATTTAAAACAAATTTAATTCAAAAGTAAATTTTTTAATTTATTTTTTTGGATTTAAATCATAAATAAATTATTACCAGCCTTAGTAAGACCAGTGGCATTAATGAGAGCTTCTAATTCGCTTTCTTCATCAATAGTTTATTCGTTTCCGACGATTTTAAGAACTTCTTCAGAGTAATCACCGTGCTTGATGAAGTATTAGATTTCTCTTTCAGTAGCTTCTGCGTCGAAACCGTATGTTGTGAGGCAATCTCTGAGTAATTAAATTTCATCAACATTTAATGCTTAGAGGGGAACAGGATGAGGAGTATTTTCATACATAACAATTTTCTCATCTCCACGAGCATCCTTCTAAACTGCATAACGTTAGCCAAGTCCAGAAACATATTTATTTAAATCGTTAACGAAGTCTTCGTTAGAAATAGGAATAGAGTTTTCATCAAGCTCAGGAATCTTGCTTCTATCAAAGACCTTTGTGGGATATTTGAGTTATTTCATCATGTAAATAGTTTCTTCAGGGGTTTCTTCTAACATTGTGGATAATTCTTACACTCTTTTGTTAGGTAAAACATCAGCAATTGAGGTGTAGTACTTGAGCATTTCAAATTATTCATCAGAAAGAAGAATCTTATTAAAAACTTCTCCTTAATTTTGAGTGACGAATTAATTACCATCAGAATCACATGTTTTCTTTCCTCCTTCGACAAATATTTTATTCTTCATGGCCTCACTATATTCACCATCATATAATCTTTACATTTCATCTACGTATCTCAAATACTTTTTATATCTTTTTAAAAATAAATTAATTCAATATAAATTGCTTCATTCCATTTTTAAATAGCTAAATAAATATAATTTTTTATTGAGAATATGATTGAAAAATAGTAATAAAAGCTTTAAAAATTTCTAGATTCTTTTTAAATAAAACTAGTTAACTTGAAATGTTAATTAAAGAATTGATTTGAAATGAAAATAAAGATATTTATGAGCTTTATTTATTTCACAAAAAATGGTCAAAAAAAACTTTAATTCTCATTCAAAGTATAAAAATGATAAATTGAAATAATGAATTGCTTAATTGATAGATTGAATTAGAAAAATATAGATATTTTTAATACCTTTTTTATTGGATGTAATCATTATAAGGAGCATAATATTAATCGGCTTCTTCTTCTTTAGGTTCCTTGATATCAGGAACATCATCGACTCCTGCCTTATCTGCGATAACCTTCTTCTTGTAATTACGTCCGAAAACAAACTTTTTCTCAAGCATTTCTTTACTTTCTTCTAGCCATTTTTCTCTAATTTGTTATTCCTTCATGTATTCTTTTTATTTGAGCTTGTATTCTTTTAATTGTTGTTGATAGTAATTTTCTTCAACTTTTTAGATTGTTTCTTTGTCTGCTTCGATGTAAGGATGTGTGATCTTATTGATATCGCTGTACATAACCTTTGCTTTGTATAAATTAAGAAGTTCTTCTTCATCTTTTCTGACTTCTTCCAAAGTTTGCAAATTCTTCTTTTAATTTTCTTAGAATTAGGAAGCAAGTTAATTGAGATCATCTTAGGTAACTCTAGAGTTGAAGTCTCTACCAAGCTTGTCTGATTTTAAGTGTAATTAATGTTCAACTCCGTACTTAGTTTTTCCAATAATTTCATTTTCAAGTTATTTACTAAGCTCTTAAGTGAATTGCTAACTGTTGGCTTATTCAAGTAATTTTTCTCTCATTTCCTAATGAGTTTGAGCTAAAACTTTTTCTTCTTCAGTCTTAACGAGACTTTATTCATTAAACTTAATCTTAAAGTCACCTTTAATTTGTTTAATTTCCTTGAAGCTATTTTTAATTAAATTAATAAATAAATAAAAATTATATTTTTTCCATTTTGTAATTACACAGAAGTTTGATGAATAGTATCGCAGTGGTAATGTTCAATAGACTTTTTAAGAGTAACTTCATAGTTTCTTAAATTGTTCAAAGCATGAAAGGCAATTTGAGCTTATTGAGTGCATGCGTATGTTACAAATAAATATTATTTATTCTAATATTATGTTCTCAAATCATTTTCAATACTTTATATAATTTTTTTTTATTCCTCAGAGGCATTCTTCATTCTATATTCCTCAGGAACACGAGATTCAGAATCCCAGCTGTAAAGCACAATTCTAGGAATGAGCTATCTCTTAGCAAGTTATTATTGTCTTTCTTTTTCTAATTCAATTTCATCCTTAACTTCATGAACTTTCTTAGCGTCTCTCACTTTAATTTAATTTTAATTTAAATCAATTTAAAAGTTTTTAAACATTAAATTATTATAAAATCATATTAAACAGATTTTATTGATTTAATTAATAAATTAGGGATGAATTTTTATCAATTTTAACAAAAAATTGCTGTTGTAAAATTTTTTTGTGTTTCTTAAAAATAGCTATTTTAATTTTAATTTATCAAATAATTTTAAATATTATCATAAAAAACAGCAACTATATTATATTAGATTTATTATGTTAATTTTTATGGATAGAAACCAAAGTGAGGTATTTATTATAGCTGTTTATCTTGATTGAATTTAATAATTTATTAAGATAATTCTTTTTAATAAATTTAAAAATTACTAAGTTCGGTGTTAGGATTGAAGGGAGGATATTCGGTGATGCTTGGAGCACCGTCAGAGAAATCAGTGATTTCATAAATTACGGAATCATCTCCTTCCTTAATGGTTTTCTTGAGATATTCAATAACTTGTTCAGTTGTAGGTAACTTAGAGTGGACAGGATCTTCTACAATTTCGAAATGCATGACACTACCAAAGCTGGAGAATAAGTTCAACATGTCCTTAAATAAATTAGAAAAAAATTTAATTTAAAATAATTCTAGTAGAAAATAATTAAAAAGCAAGAAGAATTAGATTTGTTGATAATTTAAAGGTTAGGTGCACATTTGATAAGATATGTTAGATTTTTAAATTAAGATTTAAAAATTAAATTAGTGAAAAATAAATAGCTGACTTGCTAGGGCTTAATAAATTTTAGAAAAAAAAAGAATAAGAGCGAAACGTAGAGATTTTTTGATTTTAATTTTTTATATTTTTACAATTAAAAAGATATCTTGTGTTTATTTGGATTTGTTAGCTCTATCTAAATTTAGTTATAAATTTTTAATTAAATTATCTGCTCACTCACTCACTAACAAAACTATGTTCATATCTACACTTTCTTTATACGATTGTATATGTTTTTTCCATTCTACTTATTTAGTTTATTAAATCCCACTTATTTTATCCAATTGTTTATTGACTTGCTATGCTAATGAAAAAAAAAAATTAATGCCTTACATTGATATATTCATTTTTTTTAAATCCTGTAACAAGAAGAGTACGGTTGGTAGAATGTTCTCTTCTAGAATCTTCAAAAGTAGTAGCGTAAATGGGTCTTTTTTCTATTGTGTATTAGAGAGCATTTACTTTTTGCTTATATTCAGCTGCCTCCTTGGGTGAAGAGAAGGTCAAAACTACGTATGCAGGTAGAGATAATATGTCTTCACCAATTACGCTGCTTGTAAAATTTCCTTTGAATTCATTATTTAAAAGATTTGTGATATCTGATTCATCGCATGTTAAAGGGAATCCGAAAAGACAAACTTAGTTGTCATTAAGCTCAGAGACATACTCATCAGCAATGTATTCATCCAACAAAAGAGAGAAATGGGAGTCTTTAGGGACTACATATTTATGAGTTTCCTTTGGATCTACTGAAATGTAGGTTGTTTGCTATAATTGCTTGATCAAATCGCCATTCTTTGAATAATTCTCAAATTTATTAACATCTTGTAAATTTTTAGGGAATAACTCGAATTCACCAACTGCAACACCATCCTTGTGACCATCGTATTCGACGGCAAAACGTAAATTGAGAATCTTTTCATAATTTTTTCCATAAACTTCCTTTAGTTCCTAAATGAGTTCTTCTTTAATTGCAGACTAGCTGTAATTAGCTTCAACTATCTTTTTTAAGGTTTATTAAGTCTCTTTAAATCTGTCAATACCAACAAAACTATTAGAAAATCTTTCGAAAATCTCAGCCTTTTATTCGAAAGTCAATCCTGATTCAGGCTCTGTGGAGACCTTTTGATCAGAAGAGAAGCTTACACGTAGTATATTCTTGGAAGTTAAATTGATCTTAATGCTTTTTCCTAAATTGTGAACAACTCTTAACATTTTTCAAACTTTTATAAATTAACTATTTATGCTTTGAATTCTCTACTCCTAATTAATTATGGATGAATTGATCTCTTTTTGTATCGAACTATAGTGGCTTAAGCTATATTTAAAAATAAATAATTATTTTTTGTAAGGCTATATTTTCTTCTTAATTCTCTAGAAAATCAGTCTATGTCTATCCTCATCTAATAAGGATGACTTAGAGAGATCATCTACAGAGCTATTTTGTTCCTAAAATTGTTTAATATTCAATTAATTGATGCTTATACGTACCTTTATATTCTTTTTATTTGCTTTGCACTTGCTTGATATTTGTTTTCTTATTTCTTTTTATACTTTTTTTTTTTATTAATGAAATTTGTCAATATCTAAATTCCTTTCAAATCATGCTATGCGAGCTTGTTTGTACTCTCTCTTTTTTCTTTCCTCTTTGGCACTTTTTCATTCTGTGATATCTTAAATTTTGTATTTAACACATTCTTTTTGTATTCATATTTTATAAATTATTCATTTTTTATTTGCGAATGAATGCATAATATTAACAAAAGTCTTTCATTATGGCATTCAAAATGAATACAAATAACATCTACTCTTTCCTTACTTCAAAAAATAAGAATAAAAAAATATATTATCATTAAACAAAATTTTTTATAATTATACTTTAAAAAATATTAGAGGTAAAAAAAGCAATCATAATTATTATATATATTTTTTATCAAATATATCAAGTATTGGTAGTAATTTACTTCCTTAATTATTATATTCAAAATGTATATCTAATATTTTTTATTTTAAATCAAACAAACTAATCGAAATAAAATTATTTTTTTTAATTTTAATTAAAAAAGTTAATTTTAAATTGTTTTTAAATCCTATATAATCCGTAAATATTATTAATAATTAAATAAACAACAATTTATGATAATTTAGTTCAATTTTTTGTAAATAATATATATATTTAAAAATAAATCTTTGAATTTAAATTAATTTTAAAAACGAGTTTGAATTTTTCTTAAATTATTTTAAGTGAATTTAACAGCAAACAAAGTTAAATTAGTTTTATGTATTTATTTATTTATATATATAGATTAACAATAAATAAATGACACATTAATATTATTAAATAATGATAAATTTAATATTAGACAATAAGATCATTATGTAAAAACAAATTTTATAATTCTATAATTAATATTTGCTCAAAAATATCTACAGAATAAAAAATTATTAATAGGTTGATTCAAATAAATTTACTACAGAAGATAAAAAAATTTTTTAACAGTTTTTAAACACACAATATAAATTTAGATATTTTAAAGTTTATTTATTCAACATAAATGTTTAGATTAGCTCAAAAATGTTGACTAAAAGTCAGATTAAAACATTATAGCTTCATAAAAAAATTTACTGTGTTATTTTTAGTAATTTTAAACAAGTAATATTACTATTTTGAATTGCTCATAATATATATTTTTACAGATTTATTTGAGTGGGCATAACTTTTATAGAAATTTATATTTTATTGACTTAAACATTTAAAATCATAGATTCACTCCTTTTTAATTAACTCCTTTATTTAAATTTTCAGTAAAATTTATTATTTAATAAAGGTTATAAAGTTATTCTTTTATTATAATAAACATACTTAAATTACTAGCGTATTATTAAAATAGATAATGATAATGAATAAATATATAGATAATGGAGAGCCATCTTCCATGTTTAACTCGCCTTTATAGTCTTCTAATAGAAATATTAACGATTCCAACTCTTATGATTAAGATGCTATTGAAAATGAGTATGACAATAAATCTAACTAAAGGTAATATTTTACAATAAAAGATAATAAATCATAATAACTACATGAAGGAGATTAAGGATTATCAGAAAATAGCTTTCAAATGAATATGTATTGCTCGGTATAGGAATTAAAAAACTAAAGTACTAACAATTAATCTTTAGTAAATGACAATAATTAAGAAATTAAAGTCTAGTGTTTGAATTATTCATTGGAAAGTAAGTCTAACGATGACCAGTAGAAATAAATTATGAGAAATGATTTACAAATATTTTAAAGTAATACTGACAATAAAAATTAATCAAAATAGGTTTCTTAGTCAATAATCAATGAGAGCTAGCTTTAGTAAGTAAACAGCAATTAAAATTCCCAAAAAAATACTATTTAACTAAATGAGAATGAAAATGAAAATGATAATTGGGAACAAAAATAAAAAATAGAAAGTAGAAGTAATTAAATTTGGTTTAACGAAGAGCTTATTTATGAAAAAGATAATAAATGTTTAAGCAAAAAAATGACGCTTGCTTTTAATAAATAAAATATTTTCGAAAATAATTTCTAAAAGGCTGCTAACATAATAAATAAGCTGTTAAATAATTCCATAAACAGAGTGATGAGAATCAAGTAGCATGTTTAAAACTTTGTGAAATTCTTAAAGCTGAGAAAAAGTAACAAGGACATAAATGAATTAAATGAGAAAGATTTTATTTTGATTAATGATTTAAGCTATTTTTACAAAAAGTAAATTAAAAGCAAAAAAAATAACTAGCTTTATAAATGCTTAAACTACATTTTTATGTTCACTAAAATCATTCCTATATTTTTGCCTACTGACACAGCCAGAGTTATTTGGGATTTGAGCTAGGTCGCATTTACATATCTCTACCTATATATTTATTCTATTTTCATATTTTTTGATTAAGAAAATCCTGATTCTTAATTCATCATAAGAATTTCTTCATGTGCTTTCTTTTTATTTTTAATAGACTTTTTAATAAGTTTAAATACAGCTTACTTTGATAGAGATAGCATCATAACCAAAAGGAAATTGATTGCTAGGTATTATATTTTTTCTACTAAATTTGTAACAGACTAAGTGAGTCTTTTTGTTTTGGCAATCAAAATTTTATATTAAGAATCATTTATTTACAATCCTAATCATAATTTGTTTTAATATGGCTTAAACATTCTTCTTTTCCTAAAACTAAACGGTTTGTCTTCAAAACAGCAGCGATTTCACTATGTCTTTGTTTTAAAAGAATATTAAAAGCATTTAATCAGACTTTTTAATTAATTGGCTAGTGTTATTACAGCTGCTCATATAGGTAAAAAAAATTTTATTTACATTTTAGATTTTATATTTTATTATTATGAAATAGCTGCTATTGGATGGTATTTTGTTTCTTTATAAGAAAAAATTAGTGGCTATCCTAATAACTGGCTTGATAAAGCAGGAATTTCTTCAAATTTATATTATGAGAAATACATTTACTCGATTTACTGGTCTATCACAACAATGACCACAGGTAAATAAATACATATTTTCTAATAACATTAAAATGGTTAAAAAAAAATTGATTATATATAGTTGGATATGGAGATATAGCTGCTACAAATTATGTTGAAGCTCTTTATATAGCTATTATAATGATAATATTCAGTTGCATATTTGCTTATTCGATTAATAACATTGGAATTATATTGTAAGAAATAGAGAAATCATCTAAATAACTCAATGACAATTTATCTACTATATAAAGGTATTAATTAATTAATTACTCTCAAATCATAGATTATCTAAAATAGTCTTAATTCAAAATATGTAGGTATCTCCATAGGAAAAAAGTGAGTATTTCATTAAAAAGTAGAGTGAGACACTATTTATCTTTTCTAGAATCTGAATAAAAAGACAGAGATAAAAAGGCAGAAGATCAAATTATGTCAATTCTTTCAAATAAGCTTAGAGAGGAAATAGCTATTGAAATTAATACTAAAATTCTAAACGAATATCAAATTTTTAGCTCTAATTTTTCATAATCAACTTTAAACAAGCTCATATTTAAAATGGAAGAAGTTTTAGTTAGTCCAAATGAGATTATTTTTACAGATGAAGAATATGAAGATTTATCAATTTATTTTATATAAAATGGGATTATTGAAATAAATTAGAAGAATTTAGTTAAGCAGGGAAAGATGAATGCTATTTAAACACTTTCAGATAATCAAATGTTTGGAGAGTTGTCTTTCTTTTCTGGAACTTAAAGAAAAGCTTCAGCAAGGAGTGTAAATCTATCAACTCTTTATAAAATTAAAAGGGAAGATTTTATCTAAACAATCAAGGAAAATAACGAGGACTTTGAACGATTTAAGATGATACAAGAATAAATTATCTTTTAAAATGATTTGTCTGTTCTTCATAGTGAGTGCTATAATTGTAAACAAATTGGCCATGTAGCAAGGGATTGCCACAAAACTCATCAGTATTTCGATAAGCAGTTTATTGCTTTAAAGCAAAATTTTTCTTAGTTTTAGGAAAGGTTTCATAAAGAGAGATGCAGTCTTAAGCAGAGAGCTTAGTAAATATATTTATTTTTTTATTATTTTAATCTTAAAAATTTATAAATCAAAGCCATTTTGTGAAGAATAATAAGAACTTGAAAATATAATTAAAGGAAAGACTTGAAAATTTAAATAGTTATATTTTCAAAATGTTTAATAGTTATGAAGATTTTTAAGATTCAGAATTTAGTAGCTCTGAAGATTAAGAAAATGAAAATGACGATGATTGTAGCTCAGGTTCATAAGTTTTATCAGAAGAATAAAGTCAAATAAAAAATGTTTAAAAATCATTAAAAACAATTAAGATTAGCAAAAGAAAAACTCTTGCAAACAAACAAAGTAATAAAGAAAAAGAATAATAAAACAGCTAAGAATTCAAAGTTTATTCATAAAATTCAAATTTTGTGTATGAAGTTAAAGAAACAAAAGTAAATAATTCTAAAATTACAACAAGTTCCTAAGCTAAAACTTAATCTGATGATAATTGTAATAACAATAGTAGTAATTTAGATCAAAATAATATTGTTTCTTAATCTAATGTTTAGCAATTAGATTAATTAAATAAAGTTGTTGACAAAAACGATTCAGTTTTAGTTTTTAGCACAAGTGAATTAAATCATCATCTTTAAAATAATAATGAATCAGAAGAAGCAAAATAATAAATGATTGTAAAAAAGAATTTAACAAAGAATATTTAATCTTAGTTAAATTAATTTTAAAACTCTAATTAAGATATAGAGAAAAGCAAATAAAAAAATAAAATGTCTTTTCATTCCATAAACCCTGCTATATAGAAAGGCAAAAGCTATACGAGAATATCAAGTAAAGAAGATTAAAATAATTATCAAGAATATTAAAGTCAGTAAATTTAACAAGCAAATGATAATCAAATTAAAACAACGTAAAAAAATTCTTTTTAGTATTAATGCAATGATCAATTTGAAAAAGTTGCTCGCTGCTCTATAGAATAAATGGTATTGCAAGCTATTCTATCAAATACTTTAACACAGATTAATAAACTATCTCATTAGTAGATAAAAATAAATAATAACTAAATAAGCCCATCTGAGTAGCAATAAAAAGAGCCAAGTTTGCTATCATTGGATTTACTAAACTAATTAAATTAAATTAAAAGAGAATCTTCATAAAAATCTATTAATACAAAATCATGTAGCTTTATCAATGATCCTTAAAATAAAAATACTAGAGATAGCTAAAGGAATATATAAAATTAATACAACATAAAAGATTAATTTGATCCATAAATATTATAGAGAGTTTCTCAGCTTATCTAAAATTCTAATATACCTCTACTTTTATAGCTTACTACTCCTGGCACGAGTTTTAGAAATCCTGACATATTAAACCCTAATTTATCTATGGACTTCTTTGACAAAATGTAAATTTTCAAGAAATTTTTTACCAACAATAACTTTGATAAAGTGATTGCTAATTTAAAGACTATACAACAAGAATAAAAAAGGTAAAAAAAACAGAAAAAAGCTTTAAAACCTCGCCGTTAAAATATAGCATTTAGGATTTAGACATTTCACACACTTTAATCTGGTGGAAAAGTAATTTTTCAAAAAAGCTTAGCTTTAGATAATCACTTAAATTAATATAATAAACCTTCTCATCTTTTATATGGGGTGGGCTTTAAAGAAGGAAACAATATCCCTATTAGATAGTACAACTTAAACTTTCAAGGTAGAAAACTAATTAAAAATTGAACTAATCTATTAAATAAAAACTGAACTAAATATAGTATAACCAATCAAAGTTGGTATGAGATAATAAGGGCAAAATTTTTGTGATTGAGAAATTTTTTAAATTTGCTTTAATTTTTTGAAATTTTTCTGAATTTTTAAAAAGAAATATTGAATGAATACATAGCTTTTTAATATTTTTTGTAAATTTTAAATACTCTAATTTTTTTTTGGTAAAGTATTAAGACTTTTGTTGATAATCAACATGTTAACAGATATTTTTTTATATCTTGTTAAATACTCTTGTTCTTTCAAGTTTTATAATAAAAGTCAATCAATCAATCAACCAACCATTTTATATAAATAAACAGATATTTATTCAATTTAAATAGTATTCATAGAAATTTATGAGATTGAAAATAGTAAAAGCTCTCTCTTAAAAAAGAGTAAATAACTTAATTAATTAATTTTTAAAATTAATAACAATAAAATAAAAAAAAATATAAGATAGGATATATTTATCAATAACTGCTATTTATATGTTAGAATAATAAAAATATTTAAATATAATCTATTTTGTTTGAAACTTTTTTATTTTTTTATTTTGTCATTTACTGCTTCAAAACCTCTTTTTTATTTCTTTTAAATCTTCATTTTATTTTTCAAAAAGATTATTATTTTACTAAATATGTATGTATTTTCTACTTGCTAAAATAAATATTTAAAAACAAATAAATAAATAATGATTATATTAGTTCAATAAAAACTTAAATTGTATTAAAAACTATAAAATGAAGATTTAATATAATTTATCTTTAAAAAAAATGTTTATTATAACAGGTTATGAAATTTGTAAAATTAGAAGGAAATAGCTCTAAAAAATAAAATATTAAAATAAAAGAATTGATAAATTAATTTGAATTTAATTAATTATTATCAATCAATTACCAACAAATAAATATATTAAGATTAACAAAAAAATTAACTTTTAATTAGAAAGAGAGTTCAAAATAGACTTTTTAATTATTTATTTATTTTAATAATATAAAATAAGCTCTTTATAATATTTTAGGAGGCATTAAACTTATTAATTTCATGATTCAGTAATCCAACATCTAGGCTAGAGTTAAAAAGTAATCTATGTTTTCTAAAAGTCATATCGCTGAGGAAAGCTTACCCCAAAAGATACTAAGTGAAATTTAGTTGGATAGGTCCTGTTAGAAACAAATGTTTGAAAAGTAATATAATGATGGTATAAATCAAGTGCACCTTGGAGATGAAGAGATATCAGAAAGTAGCTTCTAAAATATGGGAAATAGTTCTAATTTAGAATTTTAAAATCATATTTCAAACATTGATCATCGTAATTAGGATTTATAATAGCAAAATAAAAATTTTTTGATAAATATTGACTTTCAAATCATTCTATTTTTTATTTATCCATTAATAGATAATGCAAAATCCAACTATGAAGTAAAAAAATATAATTAAGATGAGAATTTAGAATAGATTTATTAAGATGATTATCAAAAAGTAAATTTAGAAAACTAAAATTAATCATAGCTTTTTTTGACTAGATTCAGTACTAGTAATAGGGCTTAATAAGATTTTTAGAACTAATTTTTTTAGAAAAGTAGAAGTTAATCACAACATCAACATTAAGAAAGCTAATAAAACACAGTCTTAAAATAAGAAAGCAAATTAGAAAAAAGTAATAAGGAATCATGGCTTAATGAAGGACTTATTTTTGAAAAAAATTTAAAAGAATTGAATAGGCAAGTAACAATAGCTGTTAAAAATCAAATTGTTTAATAAGGTAATTCTACAGTCTAATCAAAAATCTAGTAGAATTTTTAGAAAGCTGCTAACATTGTTAACAGACTGTTGAATACATCTCTGAATAGGGTTATGAGAATAAGGCAACATACAAAAAATTTTGTGGAATTACTCAAAAATAGACAAAATAACAGAAGCATTAAAGATCTTAATGAGAAAGAATATTTAGTTATTAACGATTTATCTTATTTTTATAAGCAGAAAATGAAAAAAAAATCCAACAACTTTATTCTAAGGCATTTAAATTAGCTTATTAAGTATGGAAAGCATATACCTGTTTTTATGCCTATTGGTATGATTAGAGTTGTTTGGGACTTGTTTTAAGTAGTTTTTACTTACTTATTTCTCTATTTTTACTCCTTGCTCATCTTTTTTGATTAAGACAATCCTGATTCGGGATTTATCAAAAAATTTTTTTACTATGCATTTTTTGTTTTTTTGGCTGACATTGTAGTTAATTTTAATACAGCTTATTTTGATAAAGATACTATAATCACTAATCGTAAATTGATAGCTAAGCAATATATTTTTTCTCCAATGTTTATAACAGATTGTACAAGTCTAACTGTCCTTTCAGCAAAAGTGATATATTAAAGCCAAACTATTGTGTATAACCCTAATCATGATTTGTTAAGATATGCCTTCAATATTCTTATTTTTTTGAAAGCAAATGGTATGTCTCCAAAATAGCAACGCTTTCATTATGTCTTTACATTAAAAGAAAATTAAAAACACATAATAAAGCTAGTAAATCAATTAGCTAGTGTTATCACCGTTGCACATATTGGTAAAGATTATAATCTTAATAAATATTTATTTACAAATTAATTTCTCCAAAATAAATCATTTTCTAAAAGTATTTTAATAGGTTCTATTTATTTTAAAGACTTTTAAATCTTAAAAAAAATAAAGCCTTAATATGTAGTTTTTTTGGAGAAAAATACTTATTAGTAATATTAATAATTTAATTGTTTATTTAGCTGCAATAGGGTGGAACTTTATTGCAATTTAAGAACAGCTAAGTGGATATGATACTAATTGGATAGATAAGCTTGGAATCTCTAATAGACCATATTATGAAAGGTATGTTTATTCAATTTATTGGTCTATCACAACTATGACTACAGGTAAAAACTCCAAAAATAATTTTAATTAAAACTATTTATTTATTGAATATTTTATTATTAACTTTTTTTAATTTTTTGTATAGTGGGGTATGGAGATATAGCCGCTACGAATTGGGTAGAGGCGCTTTTTATTGCTGTAAACATGATTTTATTTAGTTGTGTTTTTGCGTACTCAATCAATAATATAGGATTTATACTATAGGAAATAGAAAAATCTTCTAAACAGCTTAATGATAATATCACTACTATATAAAGGTTTTTTTTATTTATTTAAATATTAAATAATTTAATTTTTTTATGAAAACAAGATATTTGCAGAGAAAAAATGTAAATATCTTTTTAAAAAGCAGAGTAAGACACTATTTATCATTCTTGGCTCAGGAATCAAAAGATAGAGATAAAAAAGCTGAAGACTAAATCATTTCCATTTTATCAAATAAGTTAAGAGATGAAATAACTGTTGAAATAAATACTAAGATTCTTAACAATTACAATATATTTAGCTCAAACTTTTCTTCAAATACTTTAAAGAAATTAGTATTTAAAATGGAAGAAGTTCTAGTTAGCCCTAATGAAATTATTTTTACAGATGAATAATATGAAGATTTATCAATATATTTTATTTCAAATGGAATAATTGAGATCTATCAATAACACTTAGCTAAATAAGGGTAGGTTCATGTCATTTAAACATTAACCGATAATTAATCTTTTGGTGAACTCTCTTTTTTTTCTGGAAATGCTAGAACAGCATCTGCGAGAAGTGTTAATTTATCAACTCTATACAGAATTAAAAGAAAGGATTTTATTGAAGTAGTTAAAGAAAATGATGAAGATTTCGAAAGATTCAAAATGATGTAGGACTAGATTTCATTGCAAAATGAAATATCTATTCTTCATACTGAATGCTATGTGTGTAAATAAAGTGGGCATATTTCGAAGTAATGCCCAAAAATTCATTAACATTTTGATAAATAATTTATCATTTTAAAATAAAACTTCTCATTATTTTAAGAAAGGAATTCCCAAGAGAGGAAAAATACTCGCCGCCGCTAGATCAAAGCTTAGTAAATAAATATTTTTTGAAAAAAAAAAATTATTTTTTTTCTATTAATATAGTAAATTTATATCTAATAATGGATAATTGTGTAATATTTTAAAAGAAAATCTTGAAAATTTAAACTCACAAATTTACTTTATGTTCAATACAAATGATAATATCTTAGATTCAGATTATAGCAGCTGTTCTAGCGAAAATGATTATGATAACGATGATGATGAAGATGAAGATTAATCTTAATCTGCTTCATAAAGTGATATTTCTAGCAATACTAGTTCTCAAAAAACTGAAATAAAACAAATGAAAAGTAAAAAATAAAGCAAGATGCTAAAAAGTATTAATAAATAAAATCCTGAAAATTAAATTTTTGATAGAGAAGAGCATGAAATGTGGAAAAATTAATCATAGTAACAAAACGATACTTAACAATAAAATTTAGTATATGATAATTAAGATCTTCTAAAATCATAGGCTAAAATTTCTTAAGGGAAATCAAACTCATTAAAAACAACTGATAACGAAAATGACTTTGTAAAATAAGACTCAAGTAGTATTTCTAGATAAGGTAGTAGTAAATAATCTGATAAATAATTAAAATAAATGTAACCTAAAGAAAATGGATCTATGAATAACAACTAAGGTGACAATTATGATAGATTTTTAGATGAAGATACTTTCCAATAATCTTATGAACCCGTCTCTAAAAAAATCTTCGATAAAAAATCAAATATAATAAATTCAGAAGTAATAACAGTTGACAATGATTAGTAAAGAGATATAGTAAATAGACCAAGGTAAAACAGCTCCAATAAGAATAACTATTCCTCAAATAAAAAATCAATTTCAGGAGTAAAAAGACAATCACATTAAGCATCACCTAAATTAGATCACCATAAAGGTGGGAAATTTGATTAAAAAAACTCAATAAAAAATATAAATTAATTCATCCTCGATAAAAATTCTCAATAAAAAATGATTGAATAGAGAAGCTCAATTGAATAAATATTATTATAAGGAATTATTTCTAACAATTTTATTTCTTAAACAAATAGATTATCACACTAGTTTAACAAAAACTAAGTATAAGGTAGTTTATCAAATATTTAAGAAATTTTTGAGAAAAGTCTAAATAAATCTATAAATGAAATAAGAAAAGTGAGTTGTATAAATGAAAATTCAAAGACTTCTCATAATATAAGTAGTAAAGATGCAGGATCTTAAAGGATAGCAAATACTTCTGTAATGGAAACATTAAAAATCGTTGAAAATATTTCTAATACTTAGAAAGCTTTAGAACCTAATAGCAACTAAAACTAATAACAATAGAACTAAACTCAAACTGATTGTAAAAGTCTTTAAGCATAAGAAGAAGAAAAATTAGTTGATAGATTTTCACGTCTTTTATAAAATAGCTAGATACCTTTACTTTTATAGTATGCATCTGGAATGAGCTTTAGGGATACAACTACTCTAAACCCAGCTAACTCTATGGATTACTTTGATAGAATTCAATTCTTCAAGAAGTTTTTCCCTCACAATAATTTTGACTAAATTATGAGCAAACTTAAAAATATTTAGCAAGAGTTTAAAAGATAAAAAAAGCGTAAAATCACATAAAAGGTACGTCGCCAAAATATTGTTATGTATTAAACAAGATTTTCTGTAATTTAAGGAACTTCTAATGCCATAAAAACTATTCCTAAAGATGTAAATATAGACTCATATAAACCTACTTATCTCTCTTATGGAGTTCGTATGCAAAAAGGAGTAACCTTTCCTATTAATAATTTTAACTTTGTTTGATAAATATAAATTTATCAATATTGATAATATTATGTATTAAACTATTTAATATTCTTAAATTCAAAATATTCATTTTAATTTTAGTTTTATTAAATATTTAAACCACATATTATCTATATAACCTTAGTTTTCTATCAATAAAAATATTTATTTTAAATGTAGCATTATTAGATAATAAATAAATATAGTAAATAATTATTAATTCCTATAAAATTACAATATATTTTCAATTAAACTCCTAGTTTTCCATCTTATTTTCGTTCTTATGTTTTTTTAGATTTATAAGGAAAGATTAAGGTGTATTGGATATCCTATACTTAAATACCACACATTTTTTACAAGCCTTGCCTTTTAATACTTTAAGAATTTTAAATAAAATAATAAAAATCTAAAATATCTTAAAAATTTCCCATGTCTAAATTAAAAGTAGTTTATGAAAAGAATATATTGATTGATATATTTTAAATTTTCTGTTTATATATTTATCAAAACTTTCCTTTATTTATTAGTGATAAACATTATATAATTTTTTGATTTTAATATTAAATTTCCAATTGATATTAATATTAACATAAAATGATAATAATACATAAATTATTGGTTGATGATTACTTTGATATAATAAAATAGTGAATTTTTAATGAACTATATTAATCAAACTAGAATCAGCTATTTATAAATTAAGTATCAGCTCTTTTTATAAAAATAAATAAAATTAATTAAAATAAGTCAGTTATATTAAAGATTGTTATTATCATATTTAAAATGGAAGTGTCTTTTGATTCAATAAATAAAAGCAAAACTTAAAAATAAAAATCCATATTTTCACAGCATAGCAAACATCTAGAATAAGATAATGATGATTGTTCATAAAGTTATAATGAAAGGATAGATAGATCTTGCTAAAGATATCTATTTGAAATCAAGCAACATTAACTTGAATAAGGGCACTAAGGTGATTAAGATGTATCAGATACTAATTCTTTAGATGGATATAGTGTATCAATATAAAATATTAAAGGAGAAGAAACAAATAGATAGCTATAAACAGAATTACCTATTTCAGATCAAAGAAGTAGTGTCATAGAGGCCAGAGAGGCTTTTCCTTGCAGTTTATCTTATTCGAAAAAAATAAATTCTAAATTAGATATGTCATCTAATTCTGGATCATCATAAATTATTAAAAATAAAGAGTATGGAGAAATAGATCCTTAAGAAATGAGTTTTTTTAGGGAAAATATACAAAATTAAGATGCTACTAATACTAAAATTAAAAAAACAGAGATATCATAAAATTAAACTAATATTGTAGTTAACAAAAATATCTAAATCTGCCAAAATAAATATAAAATAAGTGGAAAAGCTAGCAGAGATAAGTCATAAAGTTGTAAAGTATTTATGAAAAATGATAGATAAATAAATGAAAATATAATTTATGAAAACAAATTTGATAACTTAAATCGTGGGAAAACAGGAGCAATAAATAAATTGTAATAAAGAGCAATAATTACTGAGTAAAAATATGAGTAGAACTTTCAAAAAGGTACAAGCATAATAAATAGATTACTAAATTCCTCTATGAATAGAATTTTAAGAATTAAGCAGCATGTTTAAAATTTTGTTAATTTATTGAAGTAGAGATTACCCCATAAAAAAGTAAGTAGTCTTACCCTTAAAGACTATTCTGCTATCAATGACTTATGTTTTTTCTACAAAAAAAACTAAAAAACAAAATCAAATAGTTTTTTACAAAAGCGTTTACATTTGATATTTAAATTTACATAATTAATTCCAATTTTCATGCCCACAGATACACTACGAGTTACATGGGATGTATTCTAAGTCATATTTACCTACATATTTCTTTATTTCTATTCCATTCTTATGTTTTTCGACTAAGATAGCCCTGACTCAGAGTTTATTTAAAAGTTTTTCTTTTATGCATTTTTCTTATTTTTAGTTGATATATTAATTAATTTTAATACTGCTTATTTTGATAAGGATACTATTGTTTAGAAGCGAAAGTTGATAGCCAAGCAGTATATATTTTCTACTCTCTTTATAACTGATTGCATTAGTCTATTTGTTTAAGGGTTATAAGTTATATAAAAGCACACTTCTATTGTTTACAACCCAAACCACAATCTATTAGTATATGGATTTAATATACTTTTGTTTCTTAAAATAAATGGAATATCTCCAAAATAAAAGCGCTTTTATTATGTCTTCACTCTTAAAGATAGTCAAAAACACATAATTAAACTCATAAATTAATTGATAAGTGTCATTACAGTAGCTCATATTGGTAAATAAATAATAAAGGCAAATATACTAATATATTAAAATAAAAAAATAGCTGCAATTTGCTGGTATTTTATTGGAATTCAAGAAATAGTAAATAATTATCCTACAAATTGGCTGGATAAAAATGGGATATCTCAACAACATTATTATGATAAATATATTTATTCTATTTACTGGTCAATAACAACTATGACAACAGGTAATTATTTAAAAGATATCACTATTAGTAAATTTTTATTTATTTTTAGTTGGGTATGGCGATATAGTAGCTACAAATAGCATTGAAGCATTTTTTATAGCAATATTCATGATATTATTTAGCTGTGTATTTGCTTATTCAATCAATAATATTGGTTTTATACTTTAGGAAATCGAAAAGTCTTCAAAATAGTTAAATGATAATATAACTACAATACAAAGGTAAATTTTAATAAATTAAGTTTAAATTTCAAATAAACTTTTTAAACAAGATATTTAAATAGAAAAAATGTTAATATCTCTCTTAAAAGCAGGGTAAGACATTATTTGTCATTTTTAGCACAAGAATAGAAAGACAGAGATAAAGAATCTGAAGATTAAATTATATCTATTCTATCAAATAAACTTCGGGATGAGATAACTATTGAAATTAATTCAAGAATTTTGAATAACTATCATGTTTTTACCTCTAATTTTTCCTAAGCAACTTTAAGAAAGTTAGTTTTTAGAATGTAAGAGGTTTTAGTAAGTCCAAATGAAGTTATTTTTAGTGATGATTAGTATGATGATTTATCAATTTATTTCATCTAAAATGGTGTTATAGAAATATACTAATAATCAGTAATAAAATAAGGATAGACTACCGTAATATAAAGATTATCAGAAAATCAATTATTTGGTGAGATATCATTCTTTTCAGGTCTTTCTAGGAAAGCATCAGCAAGAAGCACAAACTTATCAACTCTATATAAAATAAGCAGAGAGGATTTCTTAAAAGTGTTAAGTGAAAATGATGAAGATTATTAAAAATTTAAGATGATGTAAGAGTAAATAATATTTCAGAACGAACTATCTATTATGTACACAGAATGCTACTTATGTAAATAAATAGGTCATATTGCTAAAACATGTCCAAAGACTCATCAATAATTTGATAGATAATTTATTGTTTTAAAAAATAATATTTCATTTTTTTAAGAGAGAGCAGATAACTTGAGAAATATAAAGAGGTTCAAACTAAATTCAATGTAATTGGTTAATTAAAAAGTTTTTAATTTATATTAAATCATTTTTTTAATAAAAAAAATTCAATGCATGAATTAAATAATATAAATTTATATTTTATTGTTAGGTCTTAAATTAGAAAAAATGTGAATTTGTGTTAAATTCTAAAAGAAAACTTAGAAAATTTAAATACAGAAGTTTACTTCATGTTTAATACTGAAGAAAATCTAAATAGTTCAGAGTTTACTAGCTCAGAAAGTGAAGAAGGAGAAGAATATAAAGAAGATGAGTCAATGGTTCAGTCATAAAAAACAATGTAAAAAAGCTAATCTTTATCTAAAAGTATAAGCTTATCATAAAAGAAAACTTTAAGGGGAGATAAAAGCAGTAACATGAGTCCATAGAAATTAAATTCAAATAATTTTTTTAACTAAAATGAATATTATCAAAGTTAAGAGATGTAATAAAATAATAAGCAAGTTTCAAATGCATAAAATAGATAATAATAAGATCTAAATTATAAAAAAAATTAATACTCTTAAAATAAATTTAATTCAATTGAATTAAAAGAAAACTAAATAAATAATTTAGTATCAGAAAATAGTAATAGTAATGGAACTTCAAATAATTAAACACAACAAGAAAGAGAATAACAACAATCTTCAATGAGAGGCTTTTAGTCTTCTAATTAAAATATAATAGAAATCTAATAAGTATAAAATAATGAAAATTTTGAATAAAACACACATAGTCCAGTACAGTCTAAGGGTTTAAAAAATTAAATATAAAAGAATCGAAGATTATCTAATTTATATTTATTTAATTTGAACAAAACAACAAATAAAGCTGTAGATGAAAAAATTTTAGATAATAAAATCTAAGACTTTAAAAAATAACCGACTATATAAGAAAAGATGAGTTAAGCAATAAACCAATATTAATAATCATTTAACAATTCCAAAAGATTATTATCATAAACTAGCTCAAAAACAATAAATTTTGATAACACCGAATTTAGATGTTCTATTGATTAAATGCTACTCTAAAACATGATTGCAAACACTGTTCTATAAGCACATAGACAATCCATTATGTAAAAAAAATATAGTGCTCCATAAAGTATTGTACAAGATATTATTTAGAAAAATTCCTACTCTAGATCTAAAAATGAATTCAATGAAGCAGAAAACAATCCAAACAAAAAAGTGGGCTCAAACAAATCAATTACAGATTTAAGAGAGGAAAAATCATTTAATAATTTACCAAACTTAAACCAAATTTCTATGAACAACTCTGAAAATTTAAATAGCAATACCAATGATAATATCAACAATAATAATGGAAGTAACAATAATGCTGTAAATCAAAAGAAACTAAATGAAAGTAAATAAATAAATGAAGATATTTAATTTATTGAAAGAATATCTAGATTAATGCAAACTACTCAGCTTCCTTTACTTTTTTAGTATACGTCTGGATTAAGTCTTAAAGACATCCAAACTATGAGTAATAGTAATTCTATGGATTTTTTTGATAAAATGTGTAATTTTAAGAAATTCTTTCCTTAAAACAACTTTGATAAAGTAATAAATAAGCTTAGATTTATGTAGCAGGAATAAAAAAGAATAAAGAAAAAACGGTTAAGTTAAAAGTCGAGGCGTTAGAATATAATTTTTCCTGCCAACCAAACGATTACTTCCAATCGTAAAATAAATTCTGGTAAATTGAAATTTGATTTAAATTCTGAACTATATAAACCAACTTATCTTTCTTATGGAGTAGGAATTAGAAATGGTGTAGTATTTCCAAAAAATAAATTTCAAATTGAATGATAGTTACTTTTATATATTTTAAATTTATATCAAAACTTAATTTGATGGAAGGTTGATATTTGTATAAAATAGCAATGTATAATGTTATATCCAATGGATTTATTATTAATTTTTGGTTGATAAACTTCTAAATTACAAAGTCTATTATCTAAATTATTATTATTGTTATTTTTATTTTTTATAAATTTTTGATTTTGGATTTTTAGAAAATCAGATTTGTAACACTTTTAGATTTTATCAAATTTTTAGAAGAAGAATTTCTTCTTAATTATTAATTAGAAAGATGTACAATGTATTCTTCATTAAAAATGTTTATAGTAAAACAATAAAAATATTAACTTTAATATATATAAAATATAAATTTATATAATGATAAAAAGAAAAACTATAATTAAATTTAATTTCAAAAAGTAAATAGTATTTTTCCTTTGAAATAAAATAAAGCTTTTTTTACTTTGTGTTTATAGTTTAATTGTGTATTATGACCCATTGTTTATTTATGTGTAAAGATTATGCTGTTTTCATCTCTTATCTCTTTTATTTAAAGAAATAAAATAAAAATTTGTTATTTTTGATACATAGACTCAGAGCTAGATAATCCTATTTTTGTATCTAAAATAGAGCATCTGCGCCCTTTTTGTATATATTGATATTAGATATTATTGTATCAATATAAATGATTTTTTATTGTAATTCTATCAATATGAATAATGATAAGTGTTATGATTATGTTTGTTATATTTGATTTAGATTTTTTTGAAGTAGATATATTTTATATGGATATGTTTTCTGATGATGTTTAATGTGACCTCAGTGTTTTGGGTAGTATAAGCTACTCTACATAATTATTTTTACTGATGATGTTTATTGTGATACTAGTGTTGTATTTACTGTAGTTGTATTAACTAAGATGTTTTGACTCAGAGCTAGAATAACCTCCTATTTTTATCACTAAAATGGGATATCTATTTCTTCATGTTTTTTATTTTATGATCACACTCTTTTATATAAGTATATTTGATGGTGATGCTATTTTTGTATTGTTTAGCATATTTGTTAAATGAAGGCAAAGAAAATAAATGCCTTTAGCAATAAAAATATGATTTATATTTTTAACTTTGTTTAATTTTATTTTATAGAAAATATTATTCTTAACTAATTAATATAAATTACAATTAAATAAATAAATAATTTATGAGTTGCAAATAATTGAATCAAAAATGTTTATATTTAGGTTAGATCAATTATATTACGGTCTTATTAAAAAATTTGTAAATAATTCAATATAGCAATATTGTTCAGAAAGAATTTACTGTTTATTAATTTTCTAATGCATTTAATTGAACTTCATAAATAATAAATTAAAATTTAATAAAACAAGTAAAATAAATAAAAGATTATTGAAATGAATACCTCTTTTGAAAGTAACAAAAAAGGCAAATTTAGAAAATAAAAATCTATATTTTCATAGCAGAGTAGGCAACTTGAAGATGATAATAGTGATTGTTAATAAAGCTGTGATAGCAAGATAGACAGATCTTGCTAAAGATATTTATTTGAAATAAAATCTTACTAACTTGAGTAAGGTCACCAGGGTGATTAAGATATATCAGATAATGGTTCAGTGGCCGATTAAAATGTATTAATATAAATTAACTAAGGATAGCAGATCTAAAATCAATTAAAATAAGAAATACCTACTATAAACCAAAAAATCAACATTAGTGAGGCTATTCCTTTTAGCTAAGATCAATCAAAAAAACTAATGGTATCTAAACTAGATATGTCATTTAATAACTAGCCGTCATTAATTGAATAAAATAAAGAGTAAAATACACCATAAGAAATACTTTTTCATGAACTAAACACAAAGGATTAAGAAATACCAAATGATAAAACAGATAAATATTAAGCTTAAAGACTTCATACTAATATATCAATTAACCAAAATATTGTTAGCAGTCCAAGCCAAATAAAAAAAAATGAAAAAGAGAACAAAGAAAAAGATTAAAGCCTCATAAAATACCAAAAAAATGAAGGTTTAATTTATGAAGATTTTATTTTTGAGAAAAATATAGATAATTTAAGTAAGAAAATGACTAGCGCTGTTAATAAAATGTAATAAAAAACAACTAAAACACAAAATAAATAATAGTAGAGGTATCAAAAGGCTACTAATATAATAAATCATTTATTAAATAATTCAATGAATAGAGTAATGAGAGTAAAATAGCATGTATAATATTTTATAATTCTACTTAAATAAAGATTGCTACTTAAAGAGGCTACAAATCTCACTTTCAAAGATTATACAACTATCAATGATTTGTGCTTTTACTATAAACAGCACTAAAAAAAAAGTAGAATGGCTTTATGCAAAAGAATCTTCAATTGATATTTAAGTTTAGTAAATCTATTCCAATTTTCATGCCTACAGATACTGTCAGAGTTATATGGGATGTATTCCAAGTGATATTCACATATATTTTTCTCTACTTTTATTCTATACTTATGTTTTTCAACTAAGAAAATCCTGATTCATAGTTTATTGAAACATTTTTCTTTTATGCTTTTTTCTTATTTTTAGTTGATATTTTAATTAATTTCAATACTGCTTACTTTGATAAAGACACAATCGTTTAGAAGCGAAAATTAATAGCTAAGTAATATATATTTTCTACACTTTTTCTAACTGATTGTGCAAGCTTAATGGTTTAAGCTTCCAAAGTTATCTATAAAAGTTCATCAATAGTCTATAATCCAAATCATAATCTATTAGTGTATGGTTTTAATATATTAATATTTCTAAAAATAAATGGAATGTCTCCTAAGTAGAAGCGATTTTATTATGTTTTCACTCTAAAAGAAAATTAAAAGCACATAATTAAGCTTATTAATCAATTAATAAGCGTTATTACTGTCGCTCATATTGGTAAAATAGTTTGATGTTTAATTATTAATCTGATTATTACTTAATTTAATTTACAAAAAAAAAGCTGCCATAGGCTGGTACTTTATTGGAGTACAGGAAATTGTGAATAATTATCCTACTAACTGGCTTGATAAACTTGGTATATCTTCATATTTATATTATGAGAAATATATTTATTCAATATATTGGTCAATAACTACTATGACAACAGGTAATAAATTTTTAGAAGAAAATTAAAAAGAAACTTATTTCATAAACTAATTAATTTTTAGTGGGGTATGGCGATATTGCAGCTTCTAATTATATTGAAGCTCTTTTTATAGCAATAAGCATGATTTTATTTAGTTGTGTATTCGCTTACTCTATCAACAATATTGGTTTTATTCTCTAGGAAATTGAGAAATCCTCTAAGCAGTTAAATGATAACATTACAACAATATAAAGGTAAATAAATAATTTAAAATACAGAATTAATAGAAATATTTGAAATTTGTAAATTAGATATCTTAATAGAAAAAATGTTAATATTTCACTTAAAAGCAGAGTAAGACACTATCTGTCGTTTTTAGCTCAAGAATAGAAAGATAGAAATAAAGAATAAGAGGATTAAATAATGTCAATTCTTTCAAATAAACTTCGAGATGAAATAACAATAGAAATTAACTCAAAGATACTCAGCAACTACCACATTTTTAGCTCTAATTTTTCATAAACAACTTTGAAAAAGCTAGTGTTCAGAATGAAAGAAGTATTAGTAAGCCCAAACGAAGTTATTTTCAGTGATGAGTAATTTGATGATTTATCAATTTATTTCATCTAAAATGGTGTCATAGAAATATATCAGCAATCAATTGTAAAACAAGGAAAAGTTAGTGTGATTTAAACATTAACAGAAAATCAATTATTTGGTGAGATATCATTTTTTTCAGGGCTTTCAAGGAAAGCTTCAGCAAGGAGTGTAAATTTATCAACTCTTTATAAAATAAGCAGAGAGGACTTTTTAGAAGTATTAAAAGAAAATGATGAGGATTTTGAAAGATTTAAGATGATGCAAGAGCAAATAAATTTTTAAAATGAATTATAAATTTTGTATACAGAATGCTACACCTGTAAATAAGTAGGTCATATTGCTAAAAATTGCCCAAAAACACATCATCTATTTGATAAATAATTTATAATGTTAAAAAGTAATATTTCATTTTTCTAAGATAGAGTCTATTATGAAAGAAGATAAATCAGGCTTAAATAAAAGGCATCGTAAATTGTTAAAAATTTTTTTTTTGATTTAAAAAATTATTTTATTAAATACTAGTTTTCTAGTTAAGTAAAACTCAAATATTTGTAACATGCTTAAAGAAAATTTGGAAAATTTAAATACAGAAATATATTTCTTGTTTAATACAGAAGAAAATCTAAATGGTTCAGAATTTACTATCTCAGAAGATTAAGAAGAAGATGAGGAGGAGGAGGAAGATGACGATGAGTCAGACGTTAAATCTTAATAAACATTTAAATCATAAAAAAGTGCATCTGCATCATAAAAGAATTAATTGATGAAAAAAAAAACAATAAAAGGCACTAAAAATGTTAACATAAGTCCATAAAAAATAAATAAAAATACCTTTTTTAACGAAAATGAACAGCCACAGGAAGCATAGTAAAAAGATAAGCAAACTTCAAACATACCAAACGAACATTAAGATTCTAGCAAAAATATTTCTTATTCATAAAATAAACTAAACTCTATGGAAATAAAAGAAAATAATACTAACCATTTAATTACAGAATAAAGTAATGATAGCTCAAATTTAAATAATTCACCCTAACAAGAAAATAAACAATCCCAAAAAAGAGATTCAATATCATAAAATTCAAATCCTACAGATATTTAGCAAATAAAAAGTAATGATAGTATTGATTAAGGTTCTCGGAGCCCAGGAAGAAATAAGAAATAAAAAAATCTACCAAATAGAAATAAAGTTGGGTCTAATAATTTTTAATATTCCTTTAATATTAACAAGGTATCTAACAAATTTATTGAGGATGTTAACTAAGAAAATTAAAGTATTGATTTTTAAAAATAATAACCTGGATCAGATAAAATAAGTTAGGTTATAAGTCAATACTAATCATCGTTTAACAACTCAAAAAGATTGTTCTCACAAAACAGCACCAAAACGCTAAATATTGAAAACACAGAATTTAGGACCTCTATTGACTAAATTCTGCTATAAGGTATGATAGCAAATACAATCATATAGGCATAAAGATAGTCTCTTATCTAAAAAAAATCTAATAATTAATAAAATATTTTATAAGATGTTTTAGAGAAGTGTTCCTATTAAAAATCGAGGAATGAAATATGTGAAGCTGATAATAATACAAATAAAAGATAAGGATCCAATAGATCAATAATAGATCACAGAGAGGAAAAATCAATCAAAAATTTATCAAATCTGAACCCAATATCTAGAAGCAATTCTTCAAATATAAATAACAATAATAATAACAATAGCAACATCCCTAACAGCAATATTAATATAAATAACGGAAATAATAACAATAATAAAAAGAAATTAAGTGAAAACAATTAAATCATAGAAGATATGAAATTTGTAGAAAGATTTTCAAGATTAATGCAAACAACTCAACTACCATTACTATTATAATATACATCAGGATTAAGTCTTAAAGAGATGCACTCTATGAGCAACATTAATTCTATGGATTATTTTGAAAAAATGTAAAATTTTAAGAAGTTTTTTCCAAAAAATAACTTTGAAAAAGTAATAAATTAGCTCAAATTTATTCAACAAGAATAAAAAAAAATAAAAAAATAAAAATTATGTTAGAAATCTAGACGTTAAAATATTGTAATGCCATAAAATTAAACTAGAATTTCTAGTTTTAATTTAAATTCTGGTTAAATTAAGTTTGGTTTATTAGATTTCAATATAGACAAATACAAACCAACTTATTTATCATATGGTGTATCAATGAGAAATGGCATGACTTATCCTAAAAATAACTTTAATTGAAATAAAATCTCTCTCTATTAAATTTTAAGATTTTGTTTGTTGTTTTGAAAATATATAAAAATTATATAAAATACATAATCAAAAATTTAAACATTTGCAAATCATCCTCATTTGCTGTAAAAAACTAACATTAGTGTTAAAATTATTTTACTAAGTTAATAAAGTTGTATTAATTAATGTTTGCTAAATTGAATTTTTTACTTCAGAAAAATTTCTATAAATTTAATGAAAATTAATTTAATCAAAGAAAATATTAGGGAAATAAAATATAATTATAATTTATTTTCATAAATTTAATTATTTCACAAGATTAAAACTTCCACAATTAAAGCCGATTTTAAAGATATATTTTAACAAAAAATTATATTTACTTTTTTTATTTAGAATAATTGAAAATTTATCAGAAATTTAAGTAGGATTATATTTTAATTAAATTTTTCATATTGAAGAAAAAGAATAAAATAACTCGTTATTATTAGTGTATATAGACTTGAAAAAGGCAGTAGTACCCTAGGGTACTTTACATATATTTATATATATTAAACTATATAAACAAATACAATTTCAAGAGTGATTTAAATTAAATTTTTTATCTCAGCTATAATAATATTTAACCTTTGTTTAGTAATTTTAAAATTTTAATAATTTTTATTTGATTAAATAGTCTTATATATTAAATAATAAAAAAACTTTTATTAATAAATTTTAATGTTGATTTGATCATTTTATTTTTATCCTTATCATTAAAATACATTTAATAATAAACTAACTGTTTTAAAATTTTGGTAATCTGTGTATATTATATGATAAATAATTAATTAAAATAATTTCTTATTTCAACTATACTACTACAACTAACTTGCAGTAATTTAAACTTGAGAATATTCTTTAAGTCATTTTTATATTAAAAGTAATTAACTTAATATATATATGAATTATCAATCCTTAAATTTAAACAATTAATATAATACAATATATTTAAATTACCATTAAGAATTCATTTTTCTTTTGAATTATTAATATTTATTTTAATAATTAATTACATTATACATACAAATAAATATGTTTCATACGTAAATTGATTAGTTTTTTATTATTTATTTATTAACTAATTACTATATATAAAAACAAGTTTAATTAAAGTAAATTGAATAATAGATGAGTAGTTTGCATGAAAATAGAAGTAGAAGTAAAATGAAAAGATAAAAATCTTATTTTTCTTAGGAAAGTAGATAGCAAGAAGATGATAATGGGAACTTATAATTCTAAAGTGATGAAAAAATAGATAGATCATGCTAAAGATATTTATTTGAATAAAAGCAAAATCAATTAGAACAAGGACATTAAGGGGATTAAGATGTATCTGAATGCTCTTAAAATAGTTATTATGTATCAATTCCTAATGTAAAAGATGATCAAACTATTTAATCGCAATAAATGTAAACTGAAAATTACAACTAAATTGAATCAAATCCTCTTAAATAACCTTAGTCAAAGAGAATATTAAATTCTAAGCTAGATACTTCAACAAATAATAATAATAATTAAACTTATACTTCCTAAATAAAAAACTAAGGTGACAGCTCAGTCCAAGAAATAAGCTTTCCTATAGCAACAATGGGTTATAACTAATGTATAAATTTTAAAACTGAAAGCAGTTAAATTTAAAAGGATTATTCTGATATTTCATTGAATAAAAAAATGTAATGTAGTCCCAATAAAAGAGGAACAAACTACAAGGTAAAAGAAAATTAAAGTAAAATTTACTAAAAAGAAGAGACTTGGATTTAAGAAGATATGATTTATGAAAAAAATATAAAGCAATTAAATCGAAAAATGACTTTAGCTGTTATGAAAATATAAAAAAATGCTACTTTAAATTTAGATAAGCATTAGTAGAACTTTCAAAAAGCTACTAACATAATTAATAAATTACTAAATAATTCTATGAATAGGATTATGAGAATAAGGCAACATGTCTAAAATTTTGTTGCTATCCTCAAATCTAGAATGCCAAATAAAAAAGTTGATAATTTGTCAATTAAAGATTATACAGCTATAAATGATTTGTGTTTCTTCTACAAACAGCATTAAAAAAAAAAGTAGAATAGCTTTTTTTAAAAGCATTTGAATTTGGTATTTAAATTTACTCAATCTATACCAATTTTCATGCCCACAGGAACAATCAGAGTAATGTGGGATGTATTCCAAGTAATATTTACTTATATTTTTCTTTATTTCTACTCAATACTTATGTTTTTCAATTAAGATAACCCTGACTCGTAGTTTATCGAGACATTTTTCTTCTATGCATTTTTCCTATTTTTGTTAGATATTTTAATTAATTTCAATACTGCTTATTTTGATAAGGATACCATCGTTTAGAAACGAAAATTTATAGCAAAGTAGTATATTTTTTCTACTCTTTTTATTACTGACTGCACTAGTTTAATGGTTTAAGCTTCTAAAGTTATTTACAAAAGCTCTTCTATAGTTTATAACCCAAATCATAATCTAATGGTATATGGTTTTAATATACTAATATTTCTTAAAATGAATGGGATGTCGCCAAAGTAGAAGCGGTTTTACTATGTTTTTACTCTTAAAGATAGTTAAAAGCACATAATAAAGCTCATAAATCAATTGATAAGTGTCATAACTGTTGCTCACATTGGTATGTTATAAAACTATTTTAAAATAGAATAAAACTAATGTATTTAATTTAATAAAAAGCTGCTATAGGTTGGTATTTTATTGGAATTCAAGAAATAGTGAACAATTATCCTACTAATTGGCTTGATAAACTTGGTATATCTTCATAGTTGTACTATGAGAAATACATTTATTCAATTTATTGGTCAATAACAACAATGACAACTGGTAAATTATTTTTGAGAATAAATTTAAATAAGAGATTTATTTATGACTTATATTTAAAGTGGGATATGGTGATATTGCAGCAACAAATTATATTGAAGCACTTTTCATAGCGATCAATATGATATTGTTTAGTTGTGTATTTGCCTATTCAATTAATAACATTGGTTTCATACTCTAGGAAATAGAGAAATCTTCAAAATAATTAAACGATAATATAACTACAATTCAGCGGTAATTAATTAACTTGAGAAAATAAATAATCCTAATGAACTGTTTATTTTTAATTTTATAGATATCTTAATAGAAAAAATGTCAATGTATCACTAAAAAGTAGAGTTAGACATTACTTATCATTTTTAGCTCAGGAATAGAAAGATAGAGATAAAGAATAAGAGGATTAAATTATATCAATCCTATCAAATAAGCTTCGAGATGAGATAACTATTGAAATTAATTCAAGAATTCTAAGCAATTATCATATATTCAGTTCTAATTTTTCATAAACAACATTAAAAAAACTTGTTTTTCGAATGAAAGAAGTACTAGTAAGTCCAAATGAAATTATTTTTAGTGATGAATAATATGATGATCTATCAATTTATTTCATCCAAAATGGTATTATAGAAATTTATCAACAATCAGCAATAAAATAAGGATAAGTTACTGTGATTTAAACATTATCAGATAACCAATTATTTGGAGAAATTTCATTTTTTTCAGGTCTTTCAAGGAAAGCTTCAGCAAGAAGCGTAAACTTATCTACCTTATACAAAATAAGCAGAGAAGATTTTATAGATGTTTTGAATGAAAATGATGAAGACTATTAAAGATTTAAAATGATGCAAGAGCAATTAATTTTTTAGAATGAGTTATCTATATTATATACAGAATGCTATACATGTAAATAGTCAGGTCACCTTGCAAAATCCTGTCCAAGGACACATTAATAATTCGACAAACAGTTTACAATTTTAAAAAATTCAATTTCCTTTTTTTAAGAAAGAGAAGATAAAGAAAGATGTCAGATTAGAGTTAAATAAAAAGCATGGTAAAACAATAAAAATATTACTAACCTTCTTTTTTATAAATTATTTAAATAAATTAGCACACAAATTTAAAAAAATTCTGATTTGTCCAAAATGCTAAAAGAAAATATATAAAATTTTAATAGCGAAGTATATCTAATGTTTAATTCAGAAGAAAATGTTAATGGATCTGAATATACTAGCTCAGAAGATTAAGAATAAGAAGAAGAAGATGAAGAAGACTCTTAATCAGAATCATAGTATGCAGCAGATAATAAATCTTAGGAAGGCTCTACTGTTTCTAATAAAAAAAATTCTTTTCTAATTAAAAAATCAAATAAAAATTAAAAAAAAGATATTGCTTTAAAACATAACATCATCAATAATCATATCGAAAGCGATTAAAATTGTGGTTAAGAAATATAAATAACAAATAAACCAGGAGGGAACTAGTAATTAGAAAGGCAGGATTCTCCTAAAAGCTAGATGATTAATCTCTCATAAAATAAGCTTAAATCTGTAGAAATTAGTGAAGGTTAAAGTAACCATTTAAACAGTGAATCAAGTAATAAAATTAATTATTCAAATAATAATATATCTGGAGAATGCAAACAAACTTTAAAATAAGATTCTGAATCATTGAATACGAATTTTACTGAGATTTAGCAGAAACAAATTTAAGAAGAATTAGAATAAATAAATCAAACAAATAGAAAATCTTAAAAATATTTGTCACAAAAAAAAAATTCAAACAATAATTTATAATACATGTACAATATCAGTAGGGTATCAAAAAAACTATTTGAAGATAATGATATACAAGCTACTGATAATTAATTATAGTAGAATAGCTCTGAAAGATTTAGTTAGGTTATGAGTTAACAATTTTAATCGTCATATAATAACTCAAAAAAAATGAATACGTAAAATAGTTCTAGGACTATTAATTTTGAAAGTAATGATATTAGATGCTCTATCGATTAAATTTTACTTTAAGGTATGATTGCAAATTCAATTTTATAGGCTCACAGACAATCTTAAATCACATCAAAAAAAGGAAGTGTTCATTCAAATATTTTTTAGGATATTTTAGAAAAAAATTATAATTAAAAATCTAAAAATGAAAATATGAAAGATGTAGAGAATGAAGGTGGTAAAAAAAAAAAATAAAGCTCAATTAAGTTAATAAAAGATCAAAAAGAGGAGAAATCTATTAAAAATTTGTCAAATCTTAATTGTGTTTAAGGAAGTAGCTCTAGCGGTTAAATTAACAGTAATAATACTAATTAGAATAGTAGATCTTTTTCAAATGCAGCTACTAAAAATTAATAAGTAGAAATTCTTTAATAAAAGACTGATGAATTGTAGCTTGATAGATTTTCTCGTTTAATTTAATCAGGAAATTTACCTCTACTTCTTTAGTATACATCTGGTTTAAGTTTTAAAGATATAAATACAATCAACAACAATTAATCTATGGAGTTTTTTGACAAAATGTTCAATTTTAAAAAATTTTTCCCTCATAACAATTTTGATAAAGTAATAAACAAGTTAAAAAGTATTTAATCAGAATAAAAGAGATTAAAAAAGTAAAAATTAACCCAAAAACAGCGTCGTTTAAATATTTTATTAGCAGATCAGAATAAAGCTTCAACGTTTAATTTACACTCAGGATAAATCAAAATCATTCCATAAGATTTTAATATAGATGTATACAAGCCTACATATCTTTCTTATGGAGTAGGAATGAGAAAAGGAATTAATTTCCCAAAAAATAGATATAATATTGACTGAACAGGTTTACTTCTTTTATCAATTAGAAAAATATTAGTTATTAATATCATTTAATTTATTTATTTTTTAAATTTAAAAATTTTTTTTTCCTATCATTGTTAAAATTTATATAAAAAAATACATATTAAATGATCTTTTCTCTATTTAAGTTAGTAAGTATTTTAATTATAATTAAATATAAATATGCTATAAATTTTAGTGTATAAATACCCTATTCAATTACATTAACATTGAGAATTAAAATAATTTATTTAAATAGCACCAAATTTCATTTCAAAAGAATAGGTCTAAATCAAATGAGGATTTATAGTATTTATTAATAAAAGTAAGAAATTCTATCTTAATTTTGAGAAATACTTAGCTGTTACTAAAATAAATTAAATTTATTTCTAATAAGCAAATTTTGGCTAAAAAAAATTGTTAATAAATCATAAAAAATTAATTTTCTAAAATTAATAATTTGATTTTAATATAGTTTCTGTTCATTAAAAAAATATATAATTAAATTTAAAGAAAAATTTGAAAACCTTTTATTAAATCATATATAATTTTATTATTCAATCAAAAATCTAATAATAATTCAAAAAAAAGGTTGAAGGAAATTTACTAATTAAATTTTTAAGTAAAAAATTTCATTAAAAAATCTAAAATTTTAGAAAAATAGCATATTTCACCAAAAATCTAAAAACCTAATTACCTATCTATGAAAATAAATATCAATGAAATAAAAAATTATGTTTATTTATCATCTAAAAAGATAGCTGATTAATTTATATAAAATCTTAAAAAATATATATTAAACTATCAAAAGTAATATATTTAATAATAAAAATTTTACAATCTAAATACATAATAAAATTTAGTAAGGTATTAATCTACATTTATAAAAAATAAATTGGTATATTTAAATCAATTCTTGGTTGCTTCATAACTCAATTATTACTTTTTCTTATGTTTTAAAGCTATGCTTTTAATTTAAAATAATTTTTATTATTTAGTTTTATCTTATAAATTTATTTGATCCTCTTGAATTTAAAAATCATTTAGATTATCTTTACTTGAATTTAATTTATGGTGAAAACTATTTTCCCTTCTAATGTAAGAGTCAAATTTAGAAGGTATATGATAAGCATTAGGAGCTGGGATAGCTTTTTCTTAGACATAAAATCTTTTTTCAGATGAAAATACAGCTCTAGGACTTTATTTTTACTATTAGTTTAATTCAACATTATAAGTTCCTACTCCAGGATTAACTTAATGAATTGCATACATGCTAGTTTTATCATCTAACCTAGCTTAACTAAAAACTGTGTTTTTATATAGTTACTATTTTTATGGATTATATTAACCAGGTCCAGGCTCTTCTGATAATGGTAAATTTGTTAAATTTCTATCTGATTTAGTGAAAGATATTTATTTAACACTTGACAAGCTTTTATTTGGTGTAAAACTACTATCTAAATTGTATTAGCCTGGACCTAGATCATATTCTGTTTTAATTGTAAAGAATTTTCTTTTATCTAGAGAGAACTTAGTGTTTCCAGAATTTTTCCTTCTATAAATATCTGCCTAGTTAGGATTATATTCACAAGGGTCTGGCTTTTTCTCATGCTTTGATAATTCTCTAGGAGATCTAGGGATAGTAGATCTTGAGGAATTTGGAAAAATAGAATCATAATTAGGCATATAAGTTCCAGGTCCAGGAAATTTATTATCAATTGATATTGATCTATATGAACTACTTTGCTTAGATTTAGTAAAATCATTACTTCCTGCAGAAACATCCCTAGATCGAAGTGCCCTTTTTGGTTGAATGTCATAAAATTATTAACTTTCTTGTGATTGTTATGGATCATAAAAGCTGTATCTATCAGATTCTACATTTTTCTGTTTTGATTTTTTAGTTTGCTAAATATATATTGGCATAGTTGGTAGTTTTTGTTAAATTTCTTGAGGAATACTCATTAGGTTAAATGCTAAGACCGCTTTAAATTGAAATTTTGTTATGTCTGTAAATGAAAATTACTTAGATAATAGTTTAATTGCCTTATAAGATTCTATTTTTATAAAATTAATACAAATTTTAGTAACACAATTATTATAATTAATTAATTGTACTTTGAATGGTTCTCTTTTGATGCATTAAATATTTTATATTTATTCCTAAATATTTATTACAATTTATATAAAATTTATGTAAATAATAATTCTCTCCAATCTTCATAATTGCAAAAAATCAATAAAAAAACATGATTGTTTTACTGTTATTGCAAAGTAATAGTAAATATAAATAAAAATATTTATTAGAAAAGCATATTTTACTTAATAAGCTTAAAAGTAGAAGAAAAAAATTTTTATTTAAATTAATATAATACACTAATATTTATTATTTCATTTAAATAGGTGAGTGTGCATATATTTAACTTTTCATAAATTACATATAATCAAGTAAATAAAAATGAATTATGTATTTTCATAAAGTATGTAATTTTTATATTAAGTTTATTCTAACTAACTTGCAAAATGAAATTGAAATTGAAATTAATTTATGAAAATTAAAATTTAGACATGTTGAATCAATTCATATATTTCAATAATATTTAATCTTTTAATACTTCAACTATATGTTTACCTATATATAATAAAAAATAACAAAATGTTTTATAAAACCTTTTTTTGAATGGCAAACCTCAATAAAAATTAAATTGTCAATAAATTTTTTTAAATGACATTTTTAACACAAATCAATTATATCTAAGAAGTTAAAATAAAGATTTTTAATCAATTTGTAAATTCAGATAGATAACCATAACATTTGTAAATACGAATATAGTGGTTATTTAGCTTTTTTTGATTTGTGGTTTATGAAATATTTATCATTTATTAATTATACCTTTTTTGAATATTTTTTTAGTTATTATCTTAATTCATTAAGCTTCTATTTAATGAATAACAGAAGATTGTTATTAAAGATTTCTCAAAACAATTTTTGTTTAATAATTAATTAATTATACATTTAGTCAACTTGATTATGAATAACTATTAGGTCGGTCCTTTTTAATAGAATTAAAATTAAATTCATTCTTAGGATTAACAGCATCTGCATGCTGATGAAAAGCAGGAATTACTAATGGCTACATAAAATTAAAAGGAATCATTTATAGCCTCTGAGAAGTTATAGTAAAAAAAAAGTAAAAAAAATAGGAGTCTTTCATAGTTAAGAAATTACCGACCTGCTATTTCAATAAATTAAAATTTAAAAGGGGATATTAGGTAAAAATAAGATGAAAATGCTAGGCCTTAGTAGATGTACAATTTGAATAATAATAATAAAAGTTTTAATGGCTAGATCAATAGCCATCATTAGATTGATGATACATACTAAATCTAGGCTGATTCGGTATAACAATAAAATCAGCAATTATAATAATTCAGTGAGGAGTTATTTTCTAGCAATTTGAGTCATAGATTAAAATCGCAAGGGAAGCTAATAGGACTACAAAGAATGAGATCGTAATAAACATAGAAATAAATTATCTCTGCAGCATAACCAAATGGTTAGAATAATGTGTATTCATAGAATTAATAGCAAATTTAAGGTAGTAGTTTTAATAGCAGTAATAATAGTAATATGATAAATTAGCATAATATGGCTTTGGTTAATGCTCTTCAAAATGGGATAATGAGTTCTAGATTATCTAATACCTAAAGAAATTATCATATTTAACAAATTCATAATAATTCTAACAATTAACATTAATAAACAAACTAAAATAATGTAAAATCGAAAAATATAAACAATTTTTATTCGTTTAGTTTAAATAATACAAATAACAACAGCTTTTCTGATGAAAATACAGAAAATATTCAATCCAATAATGGTAGTTAAAATATATAGAATGTAAATAATAATATTAACAATACTAACTAACAGATATAGGTTAGCAATGTAAATAATTATAGATAATCTGCATCAACTAGCAGGAATAGCTAAAATAATTTAAATGATAAGACTCATAATCAATTGTCAAAGCAGCATTCTCATTACTCTTCTAATGGTAAACATACTTCTTTTAATAACTCTAATAATAATAATAATAGTGGTGATCTTAATATGTTCCGTAGGTCTATGAATAGAATATATCAAAAGCCCTAATCTTCTTCTTAATAATAATAATCATAAGGTTAGTAGCAATAATAAAATAACTCTTCTCGAGTATTATAAGTAAATAAATTATTTCAGAATGAATCATTTTAAATACCAGAAGGATAAAAGAAATTTTTCAATAACTTATCGTCCTCGATAAATATATAATAAATAGAAGGAATGCAATTTCCTAAATCAGCTAGAAAAGTACTTCTTGGATCATCTCAAATGACTCATTTCAATGGTTTGAAAGCAGATCAATAAGCTTTTTTACCTCCTTTAATAGATTAGAGTAATGAAAAAAATCATTAGGAATAGAACTTTGTAAATAATTAATTAGATGAACAAGCTTAGAGCTCATTCATACCATAAAATAATACTAATACTACTGATTCTGAAAATAATGTTCCTTTTAACCATTTTAGTAATAGTGTTAGTTAACCAAGGAGTTAATCTAATTCAAGAAGTAATTTAAGTAATAAAGTTTAAACTAGAAGTCTTTCAAGATAAAGTATGAATAATTAAAGCAATTTGAATAAAAATAATAATGATGCTGATAAATCAGTAACAAACGAGAGACAAACCAATATGAATACATCTTAGAACGGGTTAAGTTTCAACTCTTCTTAAGCTTCTTCTTAAATGAGAAAAAATTCTAAAAAAAACTCCTTAAATAATATAGTTAAGAATATATACAACAACACAAATATTCAAAAAGCAGAGCAGCCAAAAGTATTAAGCCCAACAAAAAATAAAAGTTAAAACGTATTCAAAATTTAAAGTGTAGAAAATAAATCAATCAATTAGGGAGTATCCGCATTAAGTAATTCTAATACAAATGGAGTTATAAATAATAATTAAAATCCATCAAATACATTTAATCAGAATGTAAGCAGTTACTATCCAATCTTAAATTCGCGTAAATAAAGTACATCTAGCATTCCATAAAATGATAATACTAATTAAGAATCTGCATAAAACCAAACGACAGGTATTTAAAATATAATGGATGATTCTGTTGAAGAATATTTAGAATTTAACCAAATACCTAATATTGATCCTTCCAAAACTTCTTAAAAGTCATTAGGTATCATTACTGCTTATGGTGCAAATACTCATTAAGGAATTGTAAGAAATTATAATGAAGATAGAGTAAGTATAATTTTGAACATGGCCAAGCCTAAGGATAAACCAGAAGATTTAGTATGGCCAAATGTTTCTTTTTTTGCAGTATACGATGGTCACGGAGGAAGCTCTTGTGCTGAATTTTTAAGAGATAATCTTCATTATTATGTAACTAATAAATCAAAATTTAGGTTTATAATTAATACTATTCTAATATAATTCAATAGATTATAAGAGATGAAAATTTTCCTTCTAATCCTAAACTCGCAATTTAAAAAGGTTTTGAAAAAATAGAAGATACTTACATAGAAAAAGCTGATTCTGGTCCATTTTTAGACAAATCTGGTAGTTGTGCAGTTGTAGCTCTTTTTGTTGGTAATTTTTCTAAATAAATTAAAATTATTTAAACTAAACTAGTTTAATTTTTTATTTACTATTATTTTAAATTAAAATAAATTAAATATTTTTATTTTATGGTAATCAAAAATTTTTTATTTTGATTTTTTTAAATATTAAAATATTAAAAAAAGTTTAAGTTTTTTTGAACAGCAATAATTACTTATTTATTTTACCCTACTTAAATTTTATAATAAAATTTATTATATTTTTTTTACAAAAGAAAAGACCGTGTACATTGCTAATGTAGGAGATAGTAGAGCTATTTTGAGCAGCAATTTTGGAAAAAACTAATAGGATTTATCTGAGGATCACAAACCTTCTCTTCCAAGTGAAGAATAAAGAATAACATCTCTTGGTGGGCATATTTACTAGTAAACATAGGTCATTTTTAATTAAAAACAATTTATTTTAAAATAATAAATATTAATAAGGTCGGTCATTCCTATTTATGGATCAGTTAATGGAAATAATATTTAACAAATTTAAGATGTCATAAAAGGACCCCATAGAGCTTTTCCTGGCAGACTAGCAGTATTTTAAAAGGAAAAATAATATTTAAAAAGCTTTATTTCTGATAAAAATTTCAGGTATCAAGAACTATTGGTGATGCAGAAGCAAAACTACCTAAATATGGTGGAATAAAAGGAGTTATTTCAGCAGAACCTGAAATTCAAGTTTTTGAAATACAAGATAATCATGATTTTGTATTTCTTGGATGTAAATTTCAAAAAGAATATCACAATTATTAAATTAATATTTGTTTATAAATTTAGGTGATGGTATTTTTGATAAGATGACTAGTAAAGAAGCTATTTAATGTTGTTGGTAAATTACAGATTAATGTAAAAATTAACATGAATTTGTAGGAAGAGCAATAGAAAATACTATGAGGTAAAGTATGATGAAAAAAAGTTATGACAACGTAACAGTTGTGCTAGTAGGATTAAAAAATTTAGAGTATTACTTTTAAAAGCATATCAAATGATATAAAATAAATAAATAAAACCAATTTAACACACCAATTCAATAAAATCAATTTAAAAAATTAACAATTTTGTAACCAAGGTAGAGTATTAAAAATATATTTTAACTTTAAAACACTTTTTTTTCTAATAATAAGAAATTAAGATTAACAATCTAAAAAAATAATAGTATATTTAAATTAACTAAAAAAAGTATATAATATTAAAACAGCTGATCAATTGTACATACTTATATAATTAATATTTATAATCCTTTTCGTATTCAATACTTTTATCTTTAATATAATATCTATTGCATGAACTATTTCTTAAAAGTTCTTTCTAATTTTTCAATTTTTTTACATATTAAGTTTTTTTTTCTTAAATAATTAAAAATGTAAATCAAACTCAATAATATAAATTTCTCTTGTTTACAAATAGATATAGTGAATAAAATTAATAACTCTCATATAGAAATAAAAATATGCTAAATAATTTATTATCAAAAAAATACAAGTTGATTCAATTTAATTAACATATACTAGAATCATGAAATAAATATCAAATTAAAATAAAGTATGTAAATTAATAATACCCTAAAACCTCAATTTTGACTACGTTGTAAGCTGAGAGGCATCCCACAAAATCTAAATATTTATTTACCAAGAATAATATATTTATCATAGAAAATAATTAAGAAAATTCTTAACATAAAGGGTATTTTATATCAATGAATTAGATATTCACTTTTGCTTTTGAATTTAATTAAAGGTAATAATATTTGTACATTTTTCAATCAATATTTATAGTTTAATTGTTTAAATCCAAAATAAATATAAATAAATAAAATAAAAGATCTATGTTTAATTTTTATTTTTAAATTTAATTTTAATAAAGATTTTAAATTAGAATTAAATATCAAAACAGCAAATTTTAATAAATATTTTATTTTTTAAAATTTTAATTTGAAAATAAAATATTAATTTTTAGTTTTTACATATTTTTACATTGCATTAAAAAATTAACTTCCTCTTTCAATTAAATAATTTAAAAATGATTTATGTGTCTATTAAGGTTCCAAAAATTAAATTGAATTAAACTTACTTATGTCTATCAATAAAATATTGTAAAAAAAAATATAAATAATAGATAGATTAATTTAAATAAAATATTAATTTAAAAGCTTTTATTATAAAACTAACCAAATATCAAAATAAAAGTATTGTTTTTTCATTTTACTAACACAATATACTTTAAAATCTTAAATAATGATTAAAATCCAACTATTTTGCAAACAAAATATTAGTGAAATTATAATTTAAATTTGATTCAGCTAATTATTTTAAAATATATGTAGATGCTTCATGTAGGAAATAAATGCAAAAATATATTTCATTTTTTTTAATAAGTCCAGATTTAATTTAATTCTATGTTTTAAAGTAAAAAAAAATTCAATTTACATTAACTATAAGTAGGCTCATAAGATTCTCTAGCAAAAATTAGATTAGGAATAGAGAAAATAGCTGTGTTTCTTTTTTCTTTATTCTTTTTCTAAATAGTTTTTCTTTTTTCTATTTGAGAAATGTTTGAATTTAGTAAAATCTCAATTTTTGAACGATTAGACTTGTTTTAATCATTTCATATTAGGTTGTGAACATAGTTGGGTCTATTGAATTTTATACAAATTAGGAATAAAAACAAAAAAAATAATATAGGGATAAGCAAAATAATTGATATCAGGGTGATATATTATCAAGTAAGATCGCGAAAAATACAATCAAACAAACAAGCAAAAAAAAAAAAAATTAGTGAATTATTAATTAATGAACTAATTGCGGGTTTGTTTAAATAGGAGAAAAAGTGTCAGAAAATAGTGAAAATAATAAAAAAAATCAAATTTTGTAAAAAAAAGAAAAAAAAGTAAGAAGCAAAATAATAAGGTTTAAATAAATTATATAAAATGACAACAGCTGCTAAGAGAAGATTACTTAGAGATTTCAAGAAATTGCAAGATGATCCACCAAATGGATTAACTGCTACTCCTATGGAAGATAATATAATGAACTGGGATGCAGTAATTTTTGGTCCAGAAGACACACCTTGGGAAGGTGCAACATTCAGATTAACATTAGAGTTCACTGAGGATTATCCCAATAAGCCACCTACTGTTAGATTTAAAACTACCATATTCCACCCTAATGTATACAACGATGGATCTATATGTTTAGACATTCTTTAAAACTAATGGAGTCCTATTTACGATGTTTGGGCCATCCTCACATCTATACGTTCACTTCTTTGTGATCCAAATCCAAATAGTCCTGCCAATAGCGAAGCAGCCAAATTGTATTAAGAAGATCGCAAAGAATATATTCGTAGAGTAAAGGAAATAGTAGAAATGAGCTGGAATTACTGATTAGATGGAGAATCATCTTAATTTATGCAATAATTAGAAGAAACTTGAATTATATTTAAGATAGTAGATATAAAAATTCTAGAAAAGCAGAAAGAGTCCAATGATACATATATACATACAAATATATGCATATACGCGCACTCAAGTTCAATCACTCGTTCTATCAATAAATAATTCATTCAACAACCTATCTGACTATTATATTAAACTTATATAAAAGAATCTTTAAATCACCTTTGATTTAAGCAACATAAATATATACTGTCATTTTTTAATTAGGATAACGCTTATTATTCTTTATTTTTCGTATTCTCTACTTAACTTATATAATTACATACAATTACCTTTTTTTAATAAACGTTAAATTATTTTTTCAACTTCTTTTGTTAATACAGAGCCCTTTTGTTAAAAATTTTCAAAAAAAGCCTAGTAAAACTCACAAAAACTACATCAAAAATTGCATTTTGTTAAATAATTTTAAAGCTAAAACACCTATAGCGCAAAACAGACAACAAAATTTTATAATATACATATTTCATAAATTTGTGACCTATATAAATCTCTATTAATATTTAGAAACAACTAGAAAATGGAATAAATTATTTAGTGACAACTTCTAAATACTACGAAGCCTTCTTAATGGATTTTGAATTTTTTGCTTTTACTCTATTTTATAGATGGACTGTATTTGTGTCGATTATATACGGTAAAAATACTAACAAAAAAACAAATGTAATTTTGATGATAAAAAAGAAATTGAGGTTTTTTCTTTTATTATTATTATTATTTGATTATTGATGAATTATTCAAATAATTTAAATTTATCGATTAGATTTTTTTACTGTATTTTATGCATATATTTATTTACATTGAATATTAAATATTGAATTTTATAAATAGCTTATTTTTATGAGATAATATAAAAGAATAATGTAAAGTTATTTATTTATTTTGTAGTTTACTTTTTTTCAAATATTTATATGCTTATTCGAAGAAGGAAGCAAAGGTTGCACTAATCTTGAAGAAATGTTGTAAACACTTTTTGTGAAGATATTTATCTTATTGTTTTCTTATGGTTGTTGTTATTGCAATTCTTACTACTGCTATTTCTACTGGCTTGGTGTAATTATTACTTTAAAGGCATTTTTGTTTCCTGCTTCGTTTTTATTTGAGCTTTTTGCAAATTGCTCTTCGAATTTTTGCTACTTGGTTTTCAGAAGGGAATTGAAAATTTAAGAAGAATCAATCTTCTGTTTAGACAAAAAGAGATAATTGTTTTTGTTGTTTTTTGGCGAAGTAAGTTGAGACATGTGAACAGAAGTGGATTTATTGTTGCTTTACTACAAAAACGACATTTTGGAATGATTTGAATTTGGTGAGAGATATCTTGAAGTAATATTAGGAGAAGTAGAACCTAAAGGTAATATAGAATTATTATTTTCCTTTTAGCTATCCTTCAGAACTGAATTGAATGGGATATTGTATTTATTCATCTTACCACTCTTTTTGGTGTGATCAGTATGCTAAAACTAGAATTTCTCTTAAAAATGAGGCAGAGAGCCATTTCTTAAATTAAAATTTCCATCTTTCAATATTTTATTGATGGTAAAGACGTATTGATCATTTTTCATAGTAAAGAGTTTCACATTATTCTTTGTTTCCATAATTTTTTTTTTCTTTTGATATATCTTTTAAAATTCTTCGCTTTTCTCAACTTCATCTAGCACAAAAGTCAACGAAGGTCTACGATAAGGATGAAAAACCTAGTTCGAAGAGTTGTTTGAAACATTGTTCTAATAAGAGCTTCCATTGATATTACTAGAAGAATTTTGAGGTATATTTGTACTACTTGGAATATGAAGTGTTGATTTAATCTGTTAGATAGATGACTAAGAAGAGCTTATAGCCTAAGTTGATATATTTTTAGAGGAATAATAAAGAGATTGTTCTTGTTATCTATTGTGAACTGGAAGATTAATAAACTTTTCTTATTCCATCTACTCATAGTTTTTCTAGTAATATTTTACACTTGTACTATAAAGTTTTTAATCCCTCTCATTATCAAGCATCTTATTAATTCTACTATTTCTCATTTCATTACGTACTTGAGCATCCTATATAAACTTTTATTTCTATCCGTATTCCTTCAGTATATCAAATAATTTCTATTTTAATATTAAACATTCACTTAAATATCAAAAATGCTAAAATAATTTTAGCTCTATATTTTCTTAAAAAGAAATAAATATTCTAAAAATAATAAAATTTATTATTTTTTTTAAGTAAAAAAATAATTAAATCAATGATAAAATTAAAATATACTTTTTGAATGAAATATTTCTTTTTCAAAATAAATAAAATAATCAATTAATTAATTTATTTATTGTTTTATTTTTCAAATTTGAGATAAATAAGTTTTTTTTATATACCAGCAAATAAATTATGATTTTTAAAATGTTTAATCTTAATATAAATAAAAATAGCTTGTATCAAAAATGAAGTATCTCAAATAAAATATTTAAAAAATTAATTTTTTTGAAAAATTTTAAAATTCTTAAAAAATATTTTTCTTAAAAATTCAATATTTGTTTTAATTTTTTTAAATGTCATTTATATGATTGATAAATTTAGAATGAAATTTTAGTAACTTTCAAATTATATTAATGAATTATTAAAATAATCTTACCTTTTTTTCAATTGAGAAGATTTCAGTTTTTCCTGATTGGCATACTGCTTGAGATTTTCTTTTTTATGAAATGTGAATAAGTATTTCATCTTCACCAAAATAAGATCCTTTTCCGAGTGAAGCAATTGCAATTCTTTTTTGAGACTTGCTTTTATCTTTATTAATAAAGTAAATAATTTGCTACTCTCTTTCCTTGATTGAGTTGTTTAGAGAATTGCTGCTTTCTGAATCTGAGCTTTCAGTATTTATTGCTTTTATCATTGTGCTATTATTACTTTTATTTCCATTACTATTTTTATTTCTTCCTTGCTTGAGGTTTTCTGCTATGTGAATACTTTAGGAATTAGTTTTTCTTCTTATTTTAATTTTTTGATTAATATTAGTAGTAGAAGAAGTAGCAGGTCCTTATTCAAATGTATTTTGTTGTTAGCTAATTTCTACAGATCCGTTTTTAATGAAAAAAATATGAGAACTTGGGTCTTTTTCTGTATAAATAACTGTCTTTTTATTATATTAGTGGTTAGCCATTGAATGAAGCAGACCTAAAAGTCTTTAGTTTGGAATACTACTAAAGAATTCAAAAGTCTTTAAAAATTCTAAATTATCTTGTATAATATTAGTCTTGTAATTGCCCATAATTTATTCAAATGAAGACTTTGTCAAAGAAAGTACCCAACTATCTTCCTTAAAAACAACAGTTGCTGTCCTATTTAAAAATTCAAAAACATTAAATTAATTTTATGCATTTAAAACATTTCTTTACCTTTTGCTTTCTTCTGACAGCAGAGCTATCTCACCAAAGGCTTCTCCAGATTTCATTATTTTAGCTAGCTTGAACTAAGGATAATTCTATTCAATAAATTATTATTCTTATTCATCGTTATTATCAAATCGGGAGGAATCCAAATCAATGATAGAGTTCATTGCAGATATAGTTCCTGAATTTCTTCTCCTAAATTAAATGAAAAAATTAATTAAAAATGTATAATTTTTATATAAATTACTAGCGCTCTGTTTAGGATTTTACAATTTTTATAATAGCTTAATTTTTTGTTTTAATACCATTTTCTTAGTCATTAGCTTGATTGTTTATTTATTTTTAATAAGCTTTGCTTTTTTCAGCATCTGGAACAAGACAGTAAACTGAACCTTTATTTATAATATAAAAGAAATTTTTATTTAAGTAAATTAAGCTATAAATTTGAAGAGCTGAATTACAAAAGAAATATTTTCTATTGTAAGGAAAATAAATACTGGTTTTCAAAAGATTTTTTATGAAATATTTTGAAAATAACAGCTAATTAATTTATTAATTAATTTCTTTGAGATTTTGAAAAATCAAGAAATATATTTGAAAACTAAATAAAAAGTCTATTTAGATCTTAATTAATTTTAGTATTATTTTTTATATTTGCTTGATTGATGAAATAGATGAGATGCTTTAATTTAAGTCATATGATGAAACTAAATGCTCTCTAAAAAGAATCTTTTTGAAATACTTACCTTATAAGATGATGTAAAACTTGTCTCCATACTAGTCTAGTTATATGTTAAATTATCCTTATTAAATAATCACCTTAAGATAGTAATTAATTTACCAACATCAAATAGCTTGTGGTGTTTCTTATAGAATGAAATTTAGAAGTATTTTACTAAATCTCTTGTCACTATTTCAGAGCTCATAATTTCAGTGTTTTGCTCAAATATTTCTAGATTTTGCATGAGCTTGTAAATGAATTGGACTTCTAACTTTGACTTCAATTGCTTTTTGAAAATTTTTATAGCCATCTATATAATAATTAATAATATACTTGTATAGCGCGAACTACTATTTTTTTTATTGTATATAAAACCAAAGAAAAAAAAATTCGTTTAGAATACTTGCTACACTGCAGGCTGACTTAAATAAAGTCTTTCTTAATTCAATAATTCTTAAACTTCCTACATATGAGCATTATATTATTAGAGCTTAGTTTCTTTGAATTCAACATTTGCTAAGTCCACTGATCCTAGACTGAATCTTTGAAAGTGAGATGGTCCACATCGATTATTCTACTTTTCTGACAATCTTTTCTTCATAATGCTTACTTCATTCTCATTTTACTCATTTCTATTACTTAATGGCTCTTTAAAGTTAGTTCTGCTAGTATTCATCTCGTTTTAGCTGTCTAAGCTCGAACAAGATTTTTAGAATGGAGAAGTATCTCTATCTGTTTCAATTTTATTATCTTACATAATTAGCTAATTTTTACTTTTTTGTTAGCTTTGATTTTAATAAAAAATGTATGTATGCGATTTTAAATCAATCAATTCAAGTCTTTTTGTAATTTAAAAATTTATCTTTAGTTTTTCTCAAGATTTTAGCGACTTCTGTCTCAATAAAAAAAATTAATTAATTATTAATATAGGCGTTGGGAATAGATCGCGTTTTTACTTTCAAAGCCCTTATTAATCTTTAAAATATTACTTATTTAATCTTTCATTGAATTTTCATATAATATTTGGTATAATTTTTATAGAATTTTTATTCCTTAATTAATTTTACTTTATTAATTGCTAAAAGGAAAGACAGAACCACAACAAATAAAGCTAATTTAATATGCTTTTTAACATCAACCCTTCGAATTATTTATGTTTTTCTTATAATTTATTATAAAAGTGATACAAGAAACTAAAAATCAATATGTAATTTTATTTATTTTTATCAATTGATCAAAAAACCAGTAAAGAGTAAATTAAATTTTATTTATAGTTGAAATAAATAAATTTTATCTCTTTGATTTACTTATTCACTTAAATGTATTTATAAGATTTAATTTTTTCGTAAAAAGTTAACTGGACAAGTTATTTTAAATTTATTTTTAACTGAAAATATGCCATAATCAAAAAGGAAAAATTATATTGATGAATGTTCATATTAATACAAAAACCTTAGAACAATAAATTAATCTACTTTCAATAGCATTTAAGGAATATTTAAGTTTAAAAAGGAAAATAGTATTTTAAATATCAAATATACTTTGATAGCAATAATTAAATATTAAAAATACAATTTAAAAGTTGATATAAATATTTCATAAAATATATCATGTAGTATTTTTTAAAATATTTAATTACTTAATAATAAGGTTGGCTTAAAAATATCAAAGTTTGTATTTCAATATTTTAAATATTTAAATATTTGTTTTAAATATCAAATAGACAGGATTTAAAGTAACTAAAAGAATTTTCGTTTTCCATATCTTTAAAAATAAATTAATTCAAAAATAATTTAAAGTATTTTTCATATTTTGTGTTGCCTAATTATTTTGATTTCAGTAATAACTTTATAGAAAAATTCAAAAAGTAGTAGTTATTTCAAAATATTTGATATGTTAAATTTGAATTGATATTTGTTGATTATAAATAAATAAATTTATTGAATATTAAATGAATTTAATTTATTTTAATATAAATTTATTATTTTAAGAAAAAAAGAGTTTTTATAAAAAGAAAAATAATATTAATTATTAAACTGAAGATATTTTTTAATTAAAAAATAATGTGAGAAAAATGAAATCATAATAACAATAAAAGATTGTTTATATTAACAATAATATGTAGATATTTGAAACGACGAGAAAATAATGTTTAATTGTGATCAAATTTGTTTTTAAAGAAATTAATTTATGGTTTTCCATTATGGTATTAATGATAGGAAATAATTAATGAATGTATGAATGATGGATGTTTTAGTATATATTTTTAAGATTAATATTAATAAGAGATGATGAGTGAAGTTTATTTAACTAACATTTTTCCAAAGAAGAACTATTCGATTTTTGTTTTAAATCATTTCTCATCGAAGAATGTCTTCTTGAATACTTATTTCTCAAGCTTAGAAGGCCTTTTTAAGTTTTTCTTATTGTTATTCAGTCAATACAGAGATAATTTTGTTGTATTCGGCAGTGACGTGAGGATTTTGGGCCAAAACTTTGAGGGCTTGAGAGACAAGAGGAGCTCCCTTTTGTTGATCTAAATACTTGGTTTCTAAGATTTAACCGAAAATTTGAATAGTCTTAGTGATAAGATCAGTGGAGAGGAGATCAGGTCTAGAGATACAGATTTCTGCTAATAATTAATGTTGGATATGTGCTTCGGGCTTGTCATATTTAAGAGGAAGGTTAGAAATCCAGTAGGTAATGACTTCAGGAGCAACAATGCTTTAAGACTTGATGATTTTACCAATAGAGGCGATGGCATTGTCACGAGCATGACCGTATTGCTTTTCCTTTTCTTCTCCTTGAGGGATGTTAGAAGATTGGATCAAAGTTGAGATAAGGTCTTAAGCGTAAGGAGTGAAAGAGGCATTAGGAGTGTTTTAAGCAAATATACCAATACCGTAAACGGCAGCTTATCTGACTTGGCAAGACTTGTCTTGGGCGAACATCTTCAAAGCAGTGGCTAATTCATTCCATCTAACTGACATAAGTTCGAATCCAAGGAATTCAACCATATCGTCAATCAAGAAGAGACCAAACTTGTGCATTCTGTCAGAAACAGTAGGATCCAAAACCTTGGGGAGGACTTGGGTGTAAATGAGATCAGCAAGTTGAAGAGTTTGTTCTTTGTGGGTCTTGAAGAGTATTCCGATTAATTCAGCAATAGCGACTTATAATTCTTCTTCCATTTCAAGATCATCTTCAAGAATTTCCTTTTCATCTTCTTCGACTTCTTCGTCATTCTTCCACTTTTCATTTTCAGCCTTTCTCTTATCAGAATCGAGAAGAAGCTTGATAACCTTGTTGGAGAGACTTTGGAGTTCTTCTTGGGTCATGAACTTACCAGCAGAGTCAATACAGTCTCTGATAGCACTGATTTGGGTAATCATGATGGTGGAATCGAATTCGGTGCTTGTGGCATCGAGTAAGAGTTAGAGGAAGTATCTGACCATGTTCTTTTAGATTTCGTGGTTATCTCCAGCACACTTAACGAGACCAGGGACACACTTAGAAGCTGATTCTCTGATGGATTCAGCATACTTGAAGTCCAAAAGAGGAGAAATGAGTCTAGTGGTGCTTTCAACGTAAGGAGCGAAGTTTTTGTTGAATTAATCGATGAAAACTTCTAACATAGCAAGAGCAATTTCAGCTTCATCAACATCATAACCATCTTCACCGTCTTTCTTAGTGATTTATTCAACTAATCTGAAGACACCGGGGACGATTTCGGGTAAGTAAGGAACCAATTCGTTAGAGTAGTTGAGGCAGAGACGTTACCATCCAGAAAGAACGTAGCTCTTTTGAGGATCTTAGTTGTCTAAGTTGGAGTTTTGGACAGTGACAATGATTTAGGTGATTTTCTATAAGTGGGGTAAGAAAACTTCCTTGTTGATGGAATGAGCAATCAAAGTGATACATTCAATGGTTTAACCTCTCAATTGCTTGTATTCTTTGCTAGTGTAGGTTTCAAAGACGTTGAAGAGGATAGGAATGCATTCATTGAAGTAGTCGTGGAATTTAGCCTTGGCAGATTCAGCTGTAGAAGCGATGGCAGTCATACAATTTTCCTTGACAATAGAGCATCCAGTGTTAACTAAAGTGAAGAGTTTTTGTAAAGTTTATTACAAGTAGGGAGTAATATCATCATCAGAGAAACCTTCAACGAAGTTAGTTAAAGCAGCAGCAGCATGAGAAACGACTCTGGGAACAGGGTCATCTAAGTATTTCAAAAGAATGGGCATAATGTTATCCTTGTATTTAACTTAGAAGTCGGGTTTCATGTCATCAGAAATTTGACCAATAGCGTGGAAGACAGCATATCTGAGCATGGGATTTTCATTGTTCAAGAATTTAAGAACAGTGTCAACAATAGGTTGAACAGTAGCAACATCATCGATGTATTCACCGACCTTTTATTAAAATAATTTAATTTAGAATATTTTTAATTATAAAATTTTAATTGATTTTAGTTTGGCACTTATTATGATTAATGAATATGAATGAAATTTTAGACTTTTTAATTTTAGAATAAGAAATTATTAATTAAACATTCTATGTTCAATAGAATGTTCATTATTATATCTAATAATAATTGAATAGATTCTCAGTAAAAAATAGAAAGAAAAAATTATTAAATAAATTGCTTGAAGTGGGGGAATTACTTAATTAATTAATTAACTCAGCCAATTTATTTATTTATTAGTTTAATTCTTTCTAAAATCTTTGCTTGCTATATTGAATTAGCTGTTTGGTTGTATTTGTATTGTCGTTCATCACTTTTTATTTCTTATTTATTTATGCTTTATTTATACATTTCATATAAACAAATAGCAAGAAGCAAGAAGCAAACACTTTTTAATTTTTATTTTTCTTATCTATGATTTTTTATCTAATATCCTTTAATTATTGGTCTTTTTTTTTTAAATAATTCGCGCAACTCCGCTTTATTGCTTGACTGATTCTTTTTTATTTTGTTCCTAAAGAATATTTTGATAAACATATTTGTGCTATTCTTCATCTATTTGCTTCTCTTTTTTTGTTAATTTTTCCCCAATAAATAAATCTATACATATTAATCCATACTTGTTTTATGTTTATTTTTCAATAAGGTGCCAAACTAACTTTTTAAATATATAATCATTTAATATCTTTACCTATGAAAGAGCCATGATAGCAGAGAAATTGTATCTCCAGTCGTTGTGTTAAAGAAGCTTTTCAACAGTAGCAGAGAGGATAGGAAGAGTTTCAGCGTCACCAACTGAGTCAATGATTCTATCAATAGCATTCATACCAAAACGAGTAGTTTCGAAATCAGCATCTTCTTCGATATCTTCATTGAAACCTTCAGCAGGCTTTTTCCATTCATCAGTAATTTCTTCATCAATTTCGATCATGTGCTTGAAGATCATTTCAATAAGTCTGCTAATATAGGCAGGGTTCTTTCTTACAATTTAGGGGAGACGTTGAATCAAAGAGATAATAGTTTCAGTACCCATGTGCTTAACATCTGTTTCGACATCTTCGTGTTCCATATTGACTTTCCAGATGGTGGAGAAGAGGTATTCGAAGTGTTCCTTGAAGAATTTAGGTTCAGTTTCAGCAATATCAGTGAAGACAATCAAAATTTCTTCAGCATCATCAGGGCTTTACTTGATTTGAGTATAGAAACTTTCGAGCATAAGAGGAACTAAAGGTTGGAATAACTTAGCTTATTTGGGGTCGAGCATAGAAATGTAAGCACCAATAGATTAGATACAAGCAACTTGAATCTTAGCGTTAACGTTTTTGACACCATTTTGGAAGAGAGTGGCTAATTCTTACTTGTGACCATCGAAAGAGTCAGGAGCATATGTAAGTAAGTTAGTAAGAATCTTGAAACCAGATTCCAATAATTCAACGCTTTCCTTCATGAAAAGAGACCAGACGATGCTGATCAATTCAGGCCATTGGTTACCAGCATCCTTATCTTCGAGTAAAGAACCACCCAATTCACCAATACAATCACAAATCAAGCCACGGACAGTATTATTCTTTTCATTAGTTAACATTTCGAATAAAGCTGTCTTAATTGTATTTTAGTTTTAAGGAGCAAGCTTATCCCAAATAAGAGAGAAAGATTTTTCAGAGAACTTACTAATTCTCTTTCTTAAGTGACTGATAGCAAAGATTCTAATATTATCTTGAGTATGTTGGATAGCTATTTTATTTAAAAAGTCAATAAGTTAATAAACAATTTAGGATTATCATATGATTTCTAAAAATGAATGTTAGATCAACAAAGATCGATTAAGTAGAGTGAGTGAGATATTTATTTAAAACATAGTTGCAATAAAGAACTACCATAAAGTATTACATATGCTCACTATTACTCTTTCTTATCAAATCAATAACTAAATCTTTTCTCTTTTAAACTATGTTTCACATAAGCTGCTCAAACTACCTTAACTCTTTGTCCATAACTTCTTCTTTACTTTAAGATCTTCTATTCCTTTGCTAAATTCAAAAATTCCGCCAAGTTAATTGAAGGCGAGAACCAAAAAGATAAGAAGAAGTTCTATGAAAGCTTTAAAGAGAATCATGAACAAATTCAATAATCATAAATTTTATCAAGTAAATGAGCTTTGTGCACATGAGTTTTTAAAGAAAAGATGAGTTAATTGATTCAAAAGATAAATTTTTTCTCAAGAATTCGACTTCTAGTGATATGAATAAAAGAGAAGGTAGTGATTCAAACAAAATAATTACCAATTTAAAGGAGATTGATGCTGAAAGTGTTAGGATCTTGTTCACTCAAGGTAATCAAAGCTGCTTCAGCTTGCTTTTGGACGGTTTGGTCAATATCACCAATTAAATTTTGAATAATTTGAACTAATTGCTCAGCCATTTCTTATTATAGATGTATGTATATTGTTTAATTTATATTTGTTTTAGCTCTTTTTATTTTGAAAGCTAACTCTTACTTGTTATTTTTTAATTTTTGTTTTTTTAATTTTTTTATTATCCTTTCACCAAATATTTGGCGTACTTTAAATATCCAGCTCTCTCTTATTCTTATTCATATCTGCTCTAATTAATAATTATCCATCTTAAAAATTATATGTATAATTTACCCTATTTATTTTTAACCTTTTAAATGTAAAAAAATCTTATTTTTTCATCTAGCTTCATTTTTCATATTAGTTGTTTAATTCTTTCTTTTTTAACTTTTCATTTTCTTGTTGTCTTATTTCTTATTTCCATTAAGCGACATATCAGAAAATCCTTCAAGGCGAGCTATCTGCAAAAAATTAATTTTGTTTTTTGCCACTATAACACATTTTTTACAGTTGCTTGATCCTTGTTCTTCTTTTTAAAAGTCTTTGCAGTAAGCTACAATCATTTTTCTAAAACTAAAATATTTTGATAATGATAATAAAATAATTCCAGCATTATGTTTTTAAGTACTTTTCTCCCCGCTTTCTTAAACTTTTGAGATCTATTTGAATTTTTTTGTTAAAGCTTTTTTACTTGGTTTACTTGGTAAAAAATAAAAATATCTTAGTCCCATCAGATATTTTATAAAATTAAAAAGATACGCTAAGACTCTACATTAATTTAAATAAATTTATATTTATGTAGAACTATTTTTAACACTCTGCTTCCTCCTCTGAATTAATCTAAGAAATTTCAATTGTAGTGTAAAAAAGTATTTATTTAAACAAACACTCCTTTTTCATTTTGTCCAGTTCTGGATAAGAAATTTATGATAAATTAAAATTAAATTCTTTCCTTATCTCTTCTTTCATTTTCTGAATAATATTTCTTTTTTTCTTTCACAATAATATGCAAGGAAGATTTCACATTTCCTTTATTATGATTTAGTCTAAATTATTTTTTTAATTCATATTTTGACAATTTGAATTCAATAAAATCTTGAAAATGTTAAACGTATTATTTATTAGAAATCTACATGAAAGAAAGAAATAAGTAATTTAAGCTAAAATTAAAAAACTAAAATTAATTTAAAAAATTCTAAAAAGTATTTAATTGAGAATAAATGTGGAAAATATACATCAACAAGCTCTTTTATTTCAAAGTCTTCTAATAAATATATTAAAAGTGTAATTTTATTTTAAAAAAAAATATATTAATCCAATAAAAAACATTTATTTACTTAATAATCTATTTAGTTTTCAATAAAGATTGTTTTAAATGAAAATCAATTCTGTAATTAAGACTATAATTGATATTTTTAAAGTTAATAAGATATTCGCTAAAAATTTAGAACAAAAGTTGAATAGAATTTTTAACTTAATTTAATTTATAGCATTAAATGATAAAATAATTCAAAATATTTTATTAATAAGTTAAAGCGTGTGAAATTTGAAAGTTTCAATTTTATTATTGCCTTTTGTTTGTGTTTTAAAAAATATTTTACCAAATTGAAAATTTTTGATTTATTTTTATAATTTTAGTTGGTTTTGTTAATAAAATTAGATTTTGAATAATTTTTCTGTTAATAAATATTTATTCAGCTAAAATATTTAATTAATTCAAAATAAAAAGAATTTAATAAAAAAAAAGTTAACGAACCGAACTTAGCTCAGTTGGAAGAGCATCGGACTGTAAAGTTTGTAGTCATCCGGTGGTCCCCGGTTCGAACCCGGGAGTTCGGATTTTTTTTATTTTTAGCCAATTGTTTTGTTTTAATTTGTGCTATTTCTAATAAGATTTAATAGAAA